TAAAGTACACAGCAACAAACACCTTGTAAAGTACACACCAGCACCCTGTAAAGTACACACCAACAAACACCCTGTAAAGTACACACCTACAAACACCCTGTAAAGTACACACCAACAAACACCCTGTAAAGTACACACCAACACATTGTAAAGTACACACCAACCAATACTCTGTAAAGTACACACCAACAAACACCATGTAAAGTACACACCAACAAACACCCTGTAAAGTACACACCAACAAACACCCTGTAAAGTACACACCAGCACAATGTAAAGTACACACCAACAAACAATCTGTAAAGTACACACCAACACATTGTAAAGTACACACCAACAAACACCCTGTAAAGTACACACCAACAAACACCCTGTAAAGTACACACCAACACATTGTAAAAATACACACCAACACCCTGTAAAGTACACACCAACAAACACCCTGTAACATACACACCAACAAACACCCTGTAAAGTACACAGCAACAAACACCTTGTAAAGTACACACCAGCACCCTGTAAAGTACACACCAACAAACACCCTGTAAAGTACACACCAACAAACACCCTGTAAAGTACACACCAACAAACACCCTGTAAAGTACACACCAACACATTGTAAAGTACACACCAACCAATACTCTGTAAAGTACACACCAACAAACACCCTGTAAAGTACACACCAACACATTGTAAAGTACACACCAACCAATACTCTGTAAAGTACACACCAACAAACAATCTGTAAAGTACACACCAACAAACACCCTGTAAAGTACACACCAACAAACACCCTGTAAAGTACACACCAACAAACACCCTGTAAAGTACACACCAACACATTGTAAAGTACACACCAACCAATACTCTGTAAAGTACACACCAACAAACACCCTGTAAAGTACACACCAACAAACACCCTGTAAAGTACACACCAACAAACACCCTGTAAAGTACACACCAACAAACACCTTGTAAAGTACACACCAACAAACACCTTGTAAAGTACACACCAACACATTGTAAAGTACACACCAACAAACACCCTGTAAAGTACACACCAACAAACACCCTGTAAAGTACACACCAACAAACACCCTGTAAAGTACACACACCAACAAACACCCTGTAAAGTACACACCAACACCTTGTAAAGTACACACTAACAAACACCCTGTAAAAATACACACCAACACATTGTAAAGTACACACCAACAAACACCCTGTAAAGTACACACCAACAAACACCTTGTAAAGTACACACCAACAAACACCCTGTAAAGTACACACCAACAAACACCCTGTAAAGTACACACCAACAAACACCCTGTAAAGTACACACCACCAAACACCCTGTAAAGTACACACCAACAAATACCCTGTATAGTACACACCAACAAACACCCTGTAAAGTACACACCAACAAACACCCTGTAAAGTACACACCAACACATTGTAAAGTACACACCAACAAACACCCTATAAAGTACACACCAACACATTGTAAAGTACACACCAACAAACACCCTGTAAAGTACACACCAGCACCATGTAAAGTACACACCAACAAATACCCTGTAAAGTACACACCAACAAACACCCTGTAACATACACACCAACAAACACCCTGTAATGTACACACCAACATATTGTAAAGTACACACCAACAAACACCTTGTAAAGTACACACCAACCAACACCATGTAAAGTACACACACCAACCAACACCATGTAAAGTACACACACCTACAAACACCCTGTAAAGTACACACACCAACAAACACCCTGTAAAGTACACACACCAACAAACACCCTGTAAAGTACACACACCAACAAACACCCTGTAAAGGACACACCAACAAACACCCTGTAAAGTACACACCAACAAACACCCTGTAAAGTACACACCAACAAACACCCTGTAAAGTACACACCAACAAACACCCTGTAAAGTACACACCAACAAACACCCTGTAAAGTACACACCAATAAACACCCTGTAAAGTACACACCAACAAACATCTTGTAAAGTACACACAAACACACCATTAAGTACACACTAACACACCAACACACCATTAAGTACACACTAACACACCAACACATCATTAAGTACACACTTTAAAATAAATCCAACAAAAGATAATGGAAATTGGTCCTCTGATAACAAAAGACAATTGAAAAACAAATTTAATTAACTAAAAATTGTGTAAAAACATTCATTAATAATGCTTTAAAAAATTGAGATTATTATACATGACCTGTTTGAATCAAACGTGTTGTCAAGTGAAGGAAAAGTTTGTGCTTATCCACTCACTGATCCATACAACAAATTGCCTGTGGTTGGATCCTGTTAAAATTAAAAATACAAAATGTGCTCATAGTCTATCAGCCACCTTTTTTTATTTGCAAAAGCTTACTTTATATATAAGAAATATGAAGGCCCTTATTAATCATTGCTCAGATAATATGCTGGACAAGTCACCTCTTGTAATGCTTTAAAATATTCTAGTTTGACAGGAGGCTATGTAATATTTATTAGGTATTGCTGTTGGTCAGTTATTGAAATAATGAGCTGAAGGAAAGTGAATTGCAGAAATATTAGGCCTACAGTAGACATTTATACAATTGGTGAACTTAACTAAAAGTAAAAAGTAAGGCCTAAACATTGACCTAGTTGTGCAGTTTTTGGATTCAAAACATAAAAATAGAACTGGGATGGGGTGAGGTTCTTGGTTGAATAACAAGGTTATTTAAAAGCTTGATAGATAGGAATTTTTAGGTGCAGATTGTAGTGTTGGAGAAAGGAGGTGGTTGGGGGGGGGGGGTTAAACCACTCATCACAACACGAATGTTCTACCTGAGCTGCATGCTCATGCAGTTATTTAGTAAAATACGGAATTTAATGTTGTAATGCTAACATATTCTTATTGATAGTACTAGTACACATGCCCAAAATGTACGTAGATCTAATGTGTTAAAAATGAAAGTAGGATTATAACACTACTTCGCGGTTTTTCGCTTATCGCGGCCAATTCTGGTCCCTATTACTATTATATTAACAGATATAGATCTAGATCTAATTAAATATTATACATATCCTTGAGATAATCATGAATGAACGATTCTTCAAATTGACTCTGAGTAGGCTAACTATAAATATTTAATGTGGAAAACACGTCTATGTAGTAATTATTAATAATTAGTAGTATTTAGTAGGCCTATAATTAGTATTAATTACTAATTAGTAAGTATTAGGCCTTGGTAGGCCTATCTAATTTGAATAATGATTTAAATAATAACGTGTTTCTTTACCTTTCTGGTAGATATATAAAACGACAACAAATAGATCTAGATCTAGTTGTGATTTTCTGCCGTCCTTAGTTAGACAAACGTGCCATCTTTCCCCTCTCGAAGCCCAGATGTGTCTCTTGACTAGCCAGGATTTGTAACAGTGAGTTATGGCTGATAACAGTTCACAACACACAAACTGGACAACACTAGCCCGTCCCTCCCCCAGCAGTCTATCAATGGAAATGACACGTTTACAATCATGTGTAAAGCTGGTTATGTTGAGACAGTACAGTCTTACACACTATATTAAAATATATTTTTCTATATTTAGAACAAGCTAGCGCCTACATAATTAGCCCCCCCCCCCCACCCATTTAATTATTTAAAATGGGATGAGGTGGGAGATGGGCAGGACATTACAATAGCCTAAATAAGCGTGGCCTAAGCGGTCAAGGGCTAGGATGCTAACCCTGAAGTCTCGAGTTCGAATCTGGGTCTAAGTTAGAACTTCCCTGAGTCCACCCAGCTCTGATGGGTACCTATCTCATGTTGGTATTGTTAGGGAAAGTAAAGGCTGCTGGGCAAAGTGCTAACCACACTTTCCCTTCATATGCCGAGGTCAAGAACATGAACTCTACTGTATCTACCCAATGGATCGCTAGGTCTAAAGATGGTTTTTAATTTACTTTTAAATACATGTTGGTATTACTTTTTAAAAGTTAGGTCTCTTTAATTTTTATCAAAGCAGGTAATTGTATGTCAACTTTGTGTCCAGTGTATGACACTATACAGTACTGCAGGTCACGGCACATTCCTTACAATACAGATTTTAAAGGCCATGGTTTAATATGTTGCCACAATTTGTATCTGAAAGTGCGAGCAGTAAATGCACTACGTCACATCCTGAAACTTGTATAGGAGAAATTTTAATAGCAGATTAATTCAATTTGTTCTCATCAAGGATCGGAATAAAGGGAGTGTACTGATAGCTAAGTAAAATATTTTGCTTGTTAACTCCCTTGGATTACTCTGCCAATTTCATAAATTTACATGAAAAAATAGGAAAGTATTGATTTATTTCGGCTGTTGACAAAAATAAGCAAGAAGCATATCTAAATCTATCTTCATCAAAAACAAAGCAAAAAATAGTGATAACAAAACTGTAGTAACAAAAATGAGAAAAAAGGGTAAAAATAAACACTTGACAACATGTTTAAAATGTTTTTATTCATAGTCTTTGTTTGTAGAACAAAGTATCACGTGAAACGAAACCTGAGGTTAAATATTTATGAAATCAATAAAGAGCAGTTTGTCAAGATACAATCAATCACTTACTTTAATTCTGATTTTCAATGGTGAACATTTCAAATGTATAGTTACATTTTAATCGATGTGATGATGCTTTCGACAATACTAACTGTACCATTTTATGGTATGGCTACTCGATAAGATTATTCTTTGTAAATGTATATGTATAAGCTCATGGAAGTTATATCCTACATTAACAAATCTTCTTTTATCATATATTCATTCCACCGTTATATCCGCTCCACATTTTGTGTAGTTTCAAAAATTTTATTTTTACCGCCAGGCAGCTTTAAAATGGATTATACATGTATATGTATATGTATGTATATATATATATATATATATATATACATATATATATATATATATGTATATATATATATATATATATATATATATATATATATATATATATATATATATATATATATATATATATGTATATACTTTTGAGTACAACAACGATTTTATCACAGTTAATTAAAAAAACACAAGATTGAAGGAGAAAATTTAAATTAGTTTAAATTAGGTTATATAGGTATATATTATCATAGAAAAAAAATGTGGCTTATATGTCGTTTTCACAGATAAATTATACAATTAGTTACAGTAATAAAATGATTTCTAATTTCAAGAATGACAGTATTGCATGTACAGTAGCTTGTGGTAGTAAAAACTTTATCCTAATCCAGTTATTTCCCTGGAGGGGCAGACTTCCGGCCTCCCTTTTTCTTCCTCGCGCTTTTTGGTGAACTTGGAGGCGGCTCTTTGATTGGTCGATCTTGCGGGTCACGTTTCTTGCTTGACGACTGCTCGTTCTGTTTGATGTCACACCGAGACCGTAAGGTCTCCCAGGCTTTTGGAAATCCGAGCGTAATTCTGGAATAGTTTTAAAGTAGGTTCAGTAGCGTACGCAGGGGGGAGCAGGGGGAGCGGCCGCTCCCCCTCTGGCCATTTTCAGCAAAGTGGCGCCTTTATGGAAACTTTTTAAAGTTTTAAACAATGATATTTGTTAAAAAAAATATTTTTGGTCGGCACATCTATGTAAATCACAAGACTTCTATTCATGCAGCAATTAAGCATTATTGTACTAGTCTAGTTGTGTCTACGTTTACAACACGTATTAACAGCTGCCTCAGTTTGCCATTTTAAAAATAACCATTACGATGCATTGCAATGTTTAAAAAACCTCTACGGGTAGTACCACTTGGCAAGAGGGGTGTTAAGTTTAAGTCAACTGTATAATGTATTTGCTTACGAATAATTGAATTAGAAAATGTTATACATAAAACTTCACACATGATCACTTTAAATATATACCCCTCTGTAAAAAAACATTGTCATAATACTACTGCTACTTATTTAAATCTATTTCTGTAATATGTATTTGTGTAATATATATTTGTATAATATATATGTATGTTTAGAAAAGTCATCTAAAAACTAACGCTATGTTCACTCTGAGTTGGTTATCTCCCCCCCCCCCCCCACACCTCACCACCACAATTGTGTAGAGCGACATTAATGTCACACCTAAATATACACTGGGTTGGATAATTGACCTAAAGTGACCGGACAGTAGTGAATGAAGTTGAATATTTTAGATTATGATTTTTTGTTTTGTCGGCCTACATTGTGTGTTTTTTCTTTATTTCTTCAGAGTGCTACTTTCAATTTATTTTACATCATAGCGAAGTAATGGCATACAGCTAGTAATTTTATATATATATATATATATATATATATATATATATATATATATATATATATATATATATATAATACACGTATATAGAACGTGTTAAAAATTCGGCGCCATTTTTTTTGCTCTTTTCGCTCCCCCTACAACGAAAACCTGGATACGCCTCTGAGTAGGTTGTTAATGTTTTGGGTTCTTGACAACTTCTGTTGAATGACACAAGTCTGTATTATTATTTTTTTTAAAATTAGGTCTGCTAGTGCTGTTAATTTTTGTTATTGTTAGCAGAATAGAAAATACTTTTTGAGAAACTTGAAGCAACAATCACTGCGAAATATGTTTAGTTCTAATTCATGTGTTTACTATTTTTTATTTTTAAAAACCAAAATTTTATGATGTGTGGTGTTTTCTATTTTTATTTTTTGTTATATAGCAATATATATACTCCCTGAGTGTGACCTACTTATTGTTAGATACATTCAACTCCCTGACAGCAGGCAGCTTGCAGATACTCTCTGGCAGAGATTCGATGACGTTGTCTGAGAAGTCCAAAAGTTCGGCGGATTTCATCTTGTCAAAATCTCCAGGCAGTGCCTTCAGATCGTTGCCGCTGGCGTTAAGCACCTGAGAACAGGGGTGAAGTAGTTAGTGTTTAGGTTAGGCGATGAAATACCAGTTTAAGTTCAAAGGTAATGTTCAAAAGGTGATCTATGAGATGTCATATCACACCACTCCAGGGGTTATAACACACCACTCATATCATAAAACACCACTCCAGATATCATAACACACCCCTCCAGATACCGTAACATACCACTCCAGATGTCATGTGAGTGTTAAGAGCCCAGTTCTGATGAAGCTTACCTTGAGATGGTAGGGCCCAGTTCTGATGAAGCTTACCTTGAGACGGTAGGGTCCAGTTCTGATGAAGCTTACCTTGAGACGGTAGGGCCCAGTTCTGATGAAGCTTACATTGAGACGGTAGGGTCCAGTTCTGATGAAGCTTACATTGAGACGGTAGGGTCCAGTTCTGATGAAGCTTACCTTGAGACGGTAGGGTCCAGTTCTGATGAAGCTTACCTTGAGACGGTAGGGTCCAGTTCTGATGAAGCTTACCTTGAGACGGTAGGGTCCAGTTCTGATGAAGCTTACCTTGAGACGGTAGAGTCCAGTTCTGATGAAGCTTACCTTGAGACGGTAGGGTCCAGTTCTGATGAAGCTTACCTTGAGACGGTAGGGTCCAGTTCTGATGAAGCTTACCTTGAGACAGTAGGGTCCAGTTCTGATGAAGCTTACCTTGAGACGGTAGAGTCCAGTTCTGATGAAGCTTACCTTGAGACGGTAGGGTCCAGTTCTGATGAAGCTTACCTTGAGACGGTAGGGTCCAGTTCTGATGAAGCTTACCTTGAGATGGTAGGGTCCAGTTCTGATGAAGCTTACCTTGAGACGGTAGGGTCCAGTTCTGATGAAGCTTACCTTAAGACGGTAGGGTCCAGTTCTGATGAAGCTTACCTTGAGACGGTAGGGTCCAATTCTGATGAAGCTTACCTTGAGACGGTAGGGTCCAGTTCTGATGAAGCTTACCTTGAGACGGTAGGGTCCAGTTCTGATGAAGCTTACCTTGAGACGGTAGGGTCCAGTTCTGATGAAGCTTACCTTGAGACGGTAGGGTCCAGTTCTGATGAAGCTTACCTTGAGACGGTAGGGCCCAGTTCTGACAAAGCTTACCTTGAGACGGTAGAGTCCAGTTCTGACGAAGCTTACCTTGAGACGGTAGAGTCCAGTTCTGACGAAGCTTACCTTGAGACGGTAGGGTCCAGTTCTGATGAAGCTTACCTTGAGACGGTAGAGGTAAGGGAAACCCATGGGCATGACGTCAATGTGGTTCTTGGAAACGTTGAGCTCAATGAGTGAAGCCAGGACGTCGACCCGGTCCTGTGGGAAGATGACCAGCTCATTGTTGGAGAGGTCCAGTTTCTTGAGCTTGTTCAAGTTGCCGAAGTCGTCTGGCATAAGGCGCATCCTGTTGTAGCTCATGTCCAGCTCCTCCAGGTGGCTCAGCTTTAAGATGCCCTGCTCAAGGCAGACAGGAACATGTTCAGGGGAACAGGGGAACATGAATATGTAATGGGAAGGGAAACAGGGGAACAAAGCCTTATATAGGGGAACAGTGGAACATGAACGTATTGAGGGGAACAGTGGATGTCCTACAATGTCAAATCTGACTATATATATATATATATATATATATATATATATATATATATATATATATATATATATATATAAGATATATATATATATATATATATATATATATATATATATATATATATATATATATATATATATATATAAGATATATATATATACATATATATATATATACATATATATAAGAAATTTTGCGATGCGATTAAAACTTACAGGAAGAAATTCTGTGATGCCATTCTCTGTAACTTTAATGACCTTGAGATTATGTAAATTGCTGAGCGCGCCAGGCAAGTCCTCAAGGTTATTCCTGCTAGCATCCAGTTCTTCAAGTGCCCGAAGTTTGCAAGTCTTTTAAAAAAACATAACTATTTTAAAGTAATTGTTGATCTTTACACGAAAACAAAACTATTTTAAAGTAATCATTGAAATTTGAAGAAAAAAATATATTTTATTAACTAATCATTGATCTTTAAAAGGAATCAAAATTATTTTAAATAATTATATATTATTTTCTCGAAAAGATGCGTTGAGCTTTACATTGAATGTAAAAGTCAACAGGAAGCTTACCTGGTCGCTTAATGTCCTCAAACGGTTATCAGAAATATTTAAGACTTTGAGCAGACGACAGTTAAACAAGGCAGGAGGCAATTCGTCCAGATCAAGTTTGCATAATTCGAGATGGGTGAGATTCCTGGTAACGTAAAATATAATTACATAACGATGTCTACCGATGTCACAATCAAGCATTAAAACACTAGCCCATCACAAACAGCTGTTTTAACATAACTGGTCCGGTTTTTTTTTTAAATATTAATAACGAGCCGACCCGCGGCGTATCATACGCCACTATTTAGTTGTTTTATTTTATACTTTTCGGTAATTCATAATTTGTGAATTCGACAGTACCAATGCTGCCACTGAAAATATTTGCTTTAAAACACTTCCCCCCCCCCCCCCCCCCCCCGTGAAAGCAGCCTCCTCGTAGTTACCTCCTCTAAGTTTATTATCTGCCCCTAATAGCCGTCGCTGAACCCGGCTCTATGATTTTAAACATTTAGAGTGAACCACCGCTCACCAAACCAGCTTGTTTTCTAACGTCTCCCACAAGATAATTATATATATAGATTATGGCAGTTGATCAGAGTGTTCTGTCCAGAAATAATATTGTAGTCAGGCTTTATGTTAGGACATTAAAATCTGATCAAATAGATATCTAACCCATATTTGATTTTTGTTTTAGCTATTTTAAGGTATCAATACCAACTTCCTCGGATCTAGACTCAGGCCACTGAACAGCCGACTAAGAGAAAAAATGTACGGGTAACTTGCAAATCTAGAGAAACCGCGCAGTTCACCTACAATATAGAATATATTAAGTACAACGAAGAAGAAAAAATAAGCCAATGTTGGACCCCTGGTGAGTTATTGATGATAACATCTATAACAACACCACGGTAGATCAATGACCGCTGTTGATTTTTGTTCGATTGGTTCCCCTTGTCTATTGGAGCGTTGTTCGGTTGTTTCCCTTTGTCCTCTGTATCGTTCATTCTTTGAGTCACGATCAAAGACAAACTTTGATCGGTGTGTAGTTTACGATCTTGTAAAGCAGACCAGCCGACACACACAACCTTATCCTTCGTAAACCAGCCATTTCAATCATAGAACAAAGTCGTATTTCCCTCAGGAACGTCTAACAACCGGACCATTAAATGCCAGCCATGCACATCAGATATTGATTCAATTTGACGAATGGCTAGATCAATGCCAGATTTGCAGGATCGTTCTTTAGTTCTCATAAAGGTATACTGGATTTCTTCCCCTGTTTTCATTCATGCTGTATAGTAGTGTTATATGCTCATATAAGGCCTGCAGCATTTCTCTCCCCTTGTTTTATATACAGCGATATATAAAATATTAGACAGCAGCTGAACGCTTATAAAATATTAGAAGTGGTAAGTAATGTTGACCAAGTGCAAATAGTGGACTCATCATAATGTTGTCACCCCTAATTGTGTCACCCTAATGTTGTCACCCCTAATGGTGTACTCCTTATTGTGTCACCCTAATGGTGTCACCCTAAAAGTGTCTCCTTAATTGTGTCAACCTAATGGTGTCACCATAATGGTGTCACCCTTACGGTGTCACCCTAATGGTGTCACCCAAATGATGTCACCTTAATGGTGTCACCCTCATACCAAAACTGACCGAATGTGATCCTTGTCACCCTAATGATGTCACCATAATGGTGTCACCCTAATGGTGTCACCCTCATACCAAAACTGACCGAATGTGATCCTTGTCACCCTAATGATGTCACCATAATGGTGTCACCCTAATGGTGTCACCCTCATACCAAAACTAACCGAATGTGATCCTTGTCCCCCATGACAAAAAACAGCGACTTGTGGTCGTCATAGTTGAGGGTCAGTGGGTTGTCTGACAGGTACAGGTGGGTCAAGGTCTTTGGTAGCACCATCTCGTTAATCATGTTAGAGCTGATGTTCAATGACCGCACCTGGTGAAAGAAATCTGATGTTCAATGACCGCACCTGGTGAAAGAAATCTGATGTTCAATGACCGCACCTGGTGAAAGAAATCTGATGTTCAATGACCGCACCTGGTGAAAGAAATCTGATGTTCAATGACCGCACCTGGTGAAAGAAATCTGATGTTCAATGACCGCACCTGGTGAAAGAAATCTGATGTTCAATGACCGCACCTGGTGAAAGAAATCTGATGTTCAATGACCGCACCTGGTGAAAGAAATCTGATGTTCAATGACCGCACCTGGTGAAAGAAATCTGATGTTCAATGACCGCACCTGGTGAAAGAAATCTGATGTTCAATGACCGCACCTGGTGAAAGAAATCTGATGTTCAATGACCGCACCTGGTGAAAGAAATCTGATGTTCAATGACCGCACCTGGTGAAAGAAATCTGATGTTCAATGACCGCACCTGGTGAAAGAAATCTGATGTTCAATGACCGCACCTGGTGAAAGAAATCTGATGTTCAATGACCGCACCTGGTGAAAGAAATCTGATGTTCAATGACCGCACCTGGTGAAAGAATTCTGATGTTCAATGACCGCACCTGGACAAGGAAATATGATATTTAATGACCGCACCTGGTGAAGGATATTTAATGACCGCACCTGGACAAGGAAATATGATATTTAATGACCGCACCTGGTGAAAGAAATATGATGTTTAATGACGGCACCTGGACAGGGAAATATGATATTTAATGACCGCACCTGGTGAAAGAAATATGATATTTAATGACCGCACCTGGTCAGGGAAATCTGATATTTAATGACGGCACCTGATAAAGGAAATATGATATTTAATGACCGCACCTGGTGAAAGAAATATGATATTTAATGACCGCACCTGGTGAAAGAAATATGATATTTAATGACCGCACCTGCTCAGGGAAATATGATATTTAATGACCGCACCTGGTGAAAGAAATCTGATATTTAATGACGGCACCTGATAAAGGAAATATGATATTTAATGACCGCAACTGGTGAAGGAAATATGATATTTAATGACGGCACCTGGTCAAGGAAATCTGATATTTAATGAACGCACTTGGTCAAGGAAATCTGATATTTAATGGGGTATTGTGGTCTAAAGTGTTGTATAAACTGATAGAGAAACTCGATAGATTTGGGTATTGTGGTATAAAATGTTGTATCACCTGATAGAGGAACTCGATAGACTTGGGTATTGTGGTCTAAAATGTTGTATCACCTGATAGAGGAACTCGATAGACTTGGGTATTGTGGTCTAAAATGTTGTATCACCTGATAGAGGAACTCGATAGACTTGGGTTTTGTGGTCTAAAATGTTGTATCACCTGATAGAGGAACTCGATAGACTTGGGTATTGTGGTATAAAATGTTGTATCACCTGATAGAGGAACTCGATAGACTTGGGTATTGTGGTCTAAAATGTTGTATCACCTGATAGAGGAACTCGATAGACTTGGGTATTGTGGTCTAAAATGTTGTATCGCCTGATAGAGGAACTCGATAGACTTGGGTATTGTGGTATAAAATGTTGTATCACCTGATAGAGGAACTCGATAGACTTGGGTATTGTGGTCTAAAATGTTGTATCACCTGATAGAGGAACTCGATAGACTTGGGTATTGTGGTCTAAAATGTTGTATCGCCTGATAGAGGAACTCGATAGACTTGGGTATTGTGGTCTAAAATGTTGTATCACCTGATAGAGGAACTCGATAGACTTGGGTATTGTGGTGATCTCATTCTTGTGTATGTGGAAAGTCTCCAGGTTCCTGAGTTTCCTCAGGTCAGGCGGCAGCTGGCTGAGTCTGTTCTGTGACACGTCCAGGAAGGTCAGCACCTGCTCCTTGCCCAGTGTGTCTGGCAGCTCTTTGATCTTATTCTGGGACAGATTCAGCACCTTCAGCGTCTTGACCAGGCCTGCAGGGGATGTATGAAGTAGGATTAGTATTTTGATAAGAGTTGTTGTTCTTACGTTAGTTCCAGCAATACGATCTTATCAGCCGAGGCCTATTTTAGTTCCTTCTTTGAAAAGATAGGTGCCAAGTAGACACTGGTGACGGGTTCATCTGGGATTAGTGGCCTGGATTGTTATGCCAATATTTGGGATTAATGGCCTGGATTGTTATACCAATATTTGGGATTATTTGCCTGGATTGTTATGCCAATATTTGGGATTAGTGGCCTGGATTGTTATGCCAATATTTGGGATTATTTGCCTGGATTGTTATGCCAATATTTGGGATTAGTGGCCTGGATTGTTATGCCAATATTTGGGATTAGTGGCCTGGATTGTTATGCCAATATTTGGGATTAATGGCCTGGATTGTTATACCAATATTTGGGATTAGTGGCCTGGATTGTTATGCCAATATGTGGGATTATTTGCCTGGATTGTTATGCCAATATTTTAATACAGAGAGTCGACAGTAAGAAACTAATTCAACAATAAAAACCCTAAAGAGGTTGAGGTAGGTAAGGTATAGAGGGGTAAACGTTTCAAACAGTCACTCCATGATAACATGTGTGTGTAGTGATTGACTGATAGAGATATTCCCATGTGTGTGTAGTGATTGACTGATAGAGATATTCCCATGTGTGTGTAGTGATTGACTGATAGAGATATTCCCATGTGTGTGTAGTGATTGACTGATAGAGATATTCCCATGTGTGTGTAGTGATTGACTGATAGAGATAGTCCCATGTGTGTAGTGATTGACTAATAGAGATATTCCCATGTGTGTAGTGATTGACTGATAGAGATATTCCCATGTGTGTGTAGTGATTGACTGATAGAGATATTCCCATGTGTGTAGTGATTGCCTAATAGAGATATTCCCATGTGTGTAGTGATTGACTGATAGAGATATTCCCATGTGTGTGTAGTGATTGACTGATAGAGATATTCCCATGTGTGTAGTGATTGCCTAATAGAGATATTCCCATGTGTGTAGTGATTGACTGATAGAGATATTCCCATGTGTGTGTAGTGATTGACTGATAGAGATATTCCCCTGTGTGTGTAGTGATTGACTGATAGAGATATTCCCCTGTGTGTGTAGTGATTGACTGATAGAGATATTCCCACGTGTGTAGTGATTGACTGATAGAGATATTCCCATGTGTGTAGTGATTGACAGATAGAGATATTCCCATGTGTGTAGTGATTGACAGATAGAGATATTCCCATGTGTGTAGTGATTGACTGATAGAGATATTCCCATGTGTGTGTAGTGATTGACTGATAGAGATGTCCCTCACCTAACGTGGACGGCAGCTCCTTGATGCCGTTACACGACAAGTCAAGCGTGACCAGTGTCTTCATCTTGTTGATGTCATCAGGCACAACCTCCACCTTGTTGTTGGCGATCTGTAGGCTGACTAGACCCTGTAACAGAAAGACATTAGGCTGACTAGACCCTGTAACAGAAAGACATTAGGCTGACTAGACCCTGTAACAGACAAACTGTAGGCTGACCAGACCCTGTAACAGACTGTAGGCTGACTAGACCCTGTAACAGAAAGACATTAGGCTGACTAGACCCTGTAACAGAAAGACTTTAGGCTGACTAGACCCTGTAACAGACAAACTGTAGGCTGACTAGACCCTTTGACAGACTCTATCGAATATATGGGGAAAAAACTGTTTAAGTTATTTTTTTATGTATCATTCATTTAATTAACGTATTTCAATTTTTACTTTCTCGTATTCGAAGTATAGAGAAAGTATTGTAATCGTGCAAACAAATAAACCGGGAGTGATCTCCCCTAAACTTTCTCGAATATTCTTGTATAACACTACGGGGGATAGCAACTCGGGATATAGACAATATTTACTTTCACGTATACAGAATATAGAGAAAGTATTGTAATCGTGCAAAAAAATCCAGATTTTTGCAAATCTCGACGTTTTACACCTCCCTGGGTCGGAAAAACAGTTTTGCAATCTTGTCAGTATGTCTGTGTGTGTGTGTGTATGTGTGTCTGTAAACACGATAACTTGAGTACCGTTATAGCAAGGTTGATGAAATTACATATATAATTATTATATCAAATGTGTAATTCTGTATCCACTTTTCAGTGATTTCCGGTAACTGGAAGTGGAACTTATTCTACTTTCAATTTTTCAAAAGCCTATAACTTGAGTACTGTTTCAGATAGATAAATCAAATTTCACGTGTAAGTAAAAGATCTAATTATCTGCCTTCTGTCAAATTTAAGTAATTTCCGTTGACCGGAAATAGTCATTTACGTTATTTCCGATTTCTGAAAAAACGAATGTGAATTTATAAAATACTATTAATATTCCGCACTATTTTACACAGATTGTTTGGCGTTCACTTGGTGAACAATTCTTTTTTCTACGAGATTTTATAGTACTTTTAAAAGTGTAAGTAATTTTTTTAAATGGATTAAAAATCATATCTATATCCCGAGTTACCATCCACCGTAGTGTTATATATGAATGTTCGAGAAAGTTTAGGGGAGATCACTCCCAGTTTATTTAATGATACTTTTAAATTGCAATTAGTCATGTTCATTAAGAAAAAATCACATGAAATCAGTTTTTTTTTTAGATTTGTTGTAAAAAAATATGTCTTTTACTATAAGAACAATAAAAAGTTAATTAGTTTTTCACTGTTTGAAACCTAACTATGGTCGATCGATAAAATTTGATATACCGCCGGTTTCATTAAAAATTTATGATGCAGTTTTTCAGTAACACGAGATGGCGCTAACTACAAACAGGATGGAACATTGGCATTTATTTTTCACACTACCTTGGTGTGTTTAGCACACTACTTTGGCGTGTAAGCACACTACTTTTGTGTGTAAATGACACTACCGTGGTGTGTAAAGCACACTACTTGTGTGTGTAAAACACACTACTTTGGTGTGTAAAACACATTTATATTTGTTGTAATTTGATTCCTGTATTTAAATATTGAAAAGCCGGGTTGTCCTTACCACGTAACGTAACGATCTTTGTTTGATACTGCTATACTGCTACTTCTAGTCTTCTACACTGTGTTTTTCTTAGACATTTCTCTGAGGAAGTGGCCCTTGAAACTTCCTGGGGGGGGGGGGGGGGGGGGGGGGAAGCGGGGCATTGTTTTTGTTTCGGAAGGGCAGTGCCACCCCCAGGAGATGCATGGAAGAAACTCTACTTCTACAGACTATTCAAACCTTGCATCAACCTATAGTGCTTAAAACATGGCACCTAGTAGTACTGCTCTGGAGGGAGGGGGGGGGGATAGTATACTAAACTTACATTGGTTACTAAAATATATCAACAGAGCAAAAAGCAGCGGTGCAAGATAATAGACATAGGCCTACTTGTTAAAATTACTATATTATTATTTGACCAAATGTATAGACAATACTTTTTGTAGCAAGGGACTGAAAAAATCCATCTGGCCGACCCAACAGAACAAAAACGCCAAGCTGTAAATCAAGTGTGAGCGTACCTTGAGAGAGACCGCGAACTTCATGGAGGTGAGCTTGTTGCCCGACACGTTGATGTCCTCTATACAGGGCAGGCTGTTGACGGCCGTGGGCATGTACTCCAGCTGGTTGTTGGACGCGTCCAGCACGCGCAGCTTCATCAGTCGGTCAAGGTTGTCCGGCAACAGCGCGATCTCGTTGTTGGCCAGTTTCAGCGTGTCGATGGCGTAGCCGAGGGCGCAGATCTCATCGGGCAGGACTAAAGGGGGGGGGGTGAATAAAACGTTAGAGATTATGGGGGGGGGGGTAGATTAAACATTACAGATATCATCGGGCAGGACTAGGGTGGAGGGGGGGGGGGGTGAATAAAACATTATGGATGAGAGATGAAGATTATGGGTAGGGGGTAGATAAAACATTACAGATATCATCGGGCAGGACTAGGGTGGAGGGGGGGGTGAATAAAACAGTATAGATCATGGGATCAAGATTATGGGGGGGTAGATTAAACATTACAGTTATCATCGGGCTGGATTTGAGTGGGGGGGGTAGATAAAACAGATCTCATCGTGGAGGACTGGGGGGGGGGTAGATTTAACATTTCTAGTAGAAATAGGTTTAGATTAAAAACAAATTTCAACCCCACGTCAGAAAAATACGTTTAAAAATGCCCCCCCCCCCCCCCCAACGTCCCCCGTCCGCCTTATCCCCCCGCCCCAATGTTCTCCCTCAGCAACGTCATCGACGCCGAGAGTCTCCTAATGTCTCATGATATAGAACCCTTTGATGTCGTGTATGGCCCTCTTATAGCATACACTTTCATGTATGGCCTTCTTATTCTTATAGCATACACTTACATGTAGGGCCCTCTTACAGCATACACTTACATGTATGGCCCTCTTATAGCATACACTTTCATGTATGGCCCACTTATAGCATACACTTTCATTTATGGCCCTCTTACAGCATACACTTTCATTTATGGCCCTCTTACAGCATACACTTTCATTTATGGCCCTCTTACAGCATACACTTAGTGTATGGCCCTCTTATAGCATACACTTTCATTTATGGCCCTCTTACAGCATACACTTAGTGTATGGCCCTCTTATAGCATACACTTTCATTTATGGCCCTCTTACAGCATACACTTAGTGTATGGCCCTCTTATAGCATACACTTTCTTGTATGGCCCTCTTACAGCATACACTTAGTGTATGGCCCTCTTATAGCATACACTTTCTTGTATGGCCCTCTTATAGCATACACTTAGTGTATGGCCCTCTTATAGCATACACTTTCTTGTATGGCCCTCTTATAGCATACACTTAGTGTATGGCCCTCTTACAGCATACACTTAGTGTATGGCCCTCTTATAGCATACACTTTCATTTATGGCCCTCTTACAGCATACACTTTCATTTATGGCCCTCTTACAGCATACACTTAGTGTATGGCCCTCTTATAGCATACACTTTCATGTATGGCCCACTTACAGCATACACTTAGTGTATCGCCCTCTTATAGCATACACTTTCATGTATGGCCCACTTACAGCATACACTTTCATGTATGGCCCTCTTATAGCATACACTTTCGTGTATGGCCCTCTTATAGCATGTATGACTCTCTTAAAAAATTCAATTCTTTAGTCTTATATTTTGTATACTAAAAGCTCAGTGTTTTCAACGTGTCAACTACAGCCTCAACTAAAATGACACGGTGGGATTTTTTGTACAAAAAGTAAAAACAAAATGTATATAACATGAAAGATGATGCTGTTGATGATTAAGTTATAATTATTATTTTATTTTTAGAACATTAATGATGATCAAGGACACAAAAAAGGACGTGAATTAATGTGTAATTAGCCCATATTTGTTCATTTTTAAAAAAATTACCTTTGATTGAGTTGTGAGAGACATCCAGATAATGAAGATATTTAATCATCCCTATCTGTGCCGGCAGTTCGTCGAGTGAATTATGGGATAGATCTATCCACGTCAATGTGGACAGCCGATCGATGGTATCTGGTATGAAGGCTATGGAGTTGTGAGATAGATCCAGTTTTTTAATGTGGGGTTTTTTGACGGTCCCAGGTGGCATCTCCGTGATTCTGTTGTTGCTGAAGTTAATGAACGCCCCCGTCTCATACACGCCTTTTTTAAAAGACTTGATCATATTAAATGACACATCTATATACAGCAAGCTTGCAGATTTCCCGATGTTTTTAGGCAAAGACCGTATTCTATTTTTAGACGCTAAAAGCGTGCTCAAACTTGCTGCCTTGTGGATTGGATTGGGCAGTTTTTTAATTCTATTGGCGGTCAAGTCTAAATACTTGAGTTTGGACAGTTTGGCCACCGACGCGGGGAAGGACGAAAGGTTGTTGTTGCGAATGTCAATGTGCTCTAAGTTCTCCAAGGCGGAGATCGACTTGGGCAGTCGTTTTAAGCGGTTGTTCTCAGCGTTCAATCTCACAGTCAGCGCGCTCAGCTCTTCGTTGTTGTAGATCTCCACCGGAAGTGACTTCATGTTGGCGGTGCCGAACTGTAGGTGCACGAGCTTAGAGTTTTCCAGCCGCTTGATGTGGCCCTTGCGGAGCGGTTCAGGCAGGGCGATGATCTTGCTGCCGGGGCCCGTCGCTGGGGGAGGCTTGTCATCCTTCTTTTTACCTCCACGTTTAGAGCTCATGACTGTTTAGTTCTAACAAACGCAACCAAAAAACACACCGCCCAGTTTTTTCAGTTGATCATCAATACCGACATCCTACGATATATCTGTAAAAATAATTAAATTATTTTCTCGATTTACACTTTCATATTATTTTATAAATAAAAAAATAAAATAAATAAATAAATAAACAAATATATATATATATATATATATATATATATATATATATATATATATATATATATATATATATATATATATATATATATATATATATATATATGAGAAATACAAGTTAGAGGACTAGACAATCGATCGTCGTGTAAGATCCAATTCCAATAGGTAATAGGATAAGGTATGTAGCTCTATATCTACAGGTAGACCGTGCTACCTGTTATACACAACACGTAAAGGGCCTTTCAGATTTTGTTACAAGGAATACAACTCCTACGGGAACTAACTAGGCCTAGTGCTTATTCCTACTTGGAAGAGGAAGAATAATGGAATAATAAATAGCATAATGACCTTTTATTCGCCAAACAAAATTGTTTAGGCACTATTGTAAAGCAGTAAATGATACTAAGATTTTTAAAAATTTCTGTAAAATTTCAGATTTATTATTTGACATATCGTCCCCTCAGTATTATCTTGTTCTAACTACAAATTTTGATTTTTTCGAAAAACTCGAGTCCATAAAAAGAAAAGCAAAATATTCAATCGCCACTATTATGTTCAAGGTTGAAACTCAAATCTTAATTGCAGTTTATTTACACACATATAATCCGAATCGAATCGTTATAAAAAATTTGTTATAAGAAAATTATTATAATGGTTATAACCTAACTTAAATTATTAAAAGTGAAAAAAAAATATTTTAGCCGATGTGCCTTTGCTGTTATTATATTATTGCACAACGGCTCTGGAATCTAATCTAGGGAACAAATCTAGCGAGTGTGTAGTGGGAGATTTCTATCTGGTGTGTTGTGGGATAGATCTATCGAGTGTGTGGTGGATAGATCTATCGAGTGTGTTGGTGGATAGATCTATCTGTTATGTTGTGGGATAGATCTATCTGTTATGTTGTGGGATAGATCTATCTGATGTGTTGTGGGATAGATCTATCGAGTGTGTTGTGGGATAGATCTATCTGTTGTGTTGTGGGATAGATCTATCTGATGTGTTGTGGGATAGATCTATCTGCTGTGTTGTGGGATAGATCTATCGAGTGTGTTGTGGGATAGATCTATCTGGTGTGTTGTGGGATAGATCTATCGAGTGTGTTGTGGGATAGATCTATCGAGTGTGTTGTGGGATAGATCTATCTGTTGTGTTGTGGGATAGATCTATCTGGTGTGGTGTGGGATAGATCTATCTGCTGTGTTGTGGGATAGATCTATCGAGTGTGTTGTGGGATAGATCTATCTGTTGTGTTGTGGGATAGATCTATCTGATGTGTTGTGGGATAGATCTATCTGCTGTGTTGTGGGATAGATCTATCGAGTGTGTTGTGGGATAGATCTATCGAGTGTGTTGTGGGATAGATCTATCGAGTGTGTTGTGGGATAGATCTATCGAGTGTGTTGTGGGATAGATCTATCTCTTGTATTGTGGGATAGATCTATCGAGTGTGTTGTGGGATAGATCTATCGAGTGTGTTGTGGGATAGATCTATCGAGTGTGTTGTGGGATAGATCTATCTCTTGTATTGTGGGATAGATATATCGAGTGTGTTGTGGGATAGATCTATCGAGTGTGTTGTGGGATAGATCTATCGAGTGTGTTGTGGGATAGATCTATCGAGTGTGTTGTGGGATAGATCTATCTGGTGTGTTGTGGGATAGATCTATCTGTTGTGTTGTGGGATAGATCTATCGAGTGTGTTGTGGGATAGATCTATCGAGTGTGTTGGTGGATAGATCTATCGAGTGTGTTGTGGGATAGATCTATCGAGTGTGTTGTGGGATAGATCTATCGAGTGTGTTGTGGGATAGATCTATCTCTTGTATCGTGGGATAGATCTATCTGTTGTGTTGTGGGATAGATCTATCGAGTGTGTTGTGGGATAGATCTATCGAGTGTGTTGTGGGATAGATCTATCGAGTGTGTTGGTGGATAGATCTATCGAGTGTGTTGTGGGATAGATCTATCTCTTGTATTGTGGGATAGATCTATCTGCTGTGTTGTGGGATAGATCTATCGAGTGTGTTGTGGGATAGATCTATCTCTTGTATTGTGGGATAGATCTATCTGCTGTGTTGTGGGATAGATCTATCGAGTGTGTTGTGGGATAGATCTATCTGGTGGGCTGTGGTATAATTCTATCTGGTGTATGGTGGTATAGATCTATCGGGTGTAAAAAAAAACACGAAACGCTGGACAATCGGTTGTGAATTACCACTAAAGTACTTACAAAATATACTTTGTATAATCCAATAAAATCTGACGTATATCCATAAGAATTACTTACAAAATAAGTTCTGTAAACTCAACAAAATCGGACGTATAACCAACAAAAGTACTTACTAAAGAAACATTTCTGTACTCCAATCAAAATAAGCCCAGGCCGGTGATCGTACATAAGGTAAATAAGAAATAGCTTACCCTGTCGCTGAGAAGAAAATACACCTAACCTTATCTGGCGTAAAGCCTGGCCAAGTTGCCACAGTACAACATGCCTGGCAGTACAGGCCCCTGTTGCTAGGGACGCGCGTGTCCTATCAACGAGGCAGCGAAAAAGTTTGGGAAAGTTCTGTTGACAGCACACAGTTATTGTGTGCTCCAGTTGAAGGCTGACCTATCAGAAATGTAGAGCCCATACAGCGTGTATGTGTGTTTACATGCCGGGCTAAACAAAGTCTCGTAGTCAGATCTCGCTCGGTGCCGCCTGGATAGGTCGTGGTTATTTAACGCCAACAATGCGCATTGACGTCGTTGACACAATTGAATCAGCTTTAATTTAGAACAAGGACAGCTATATAGGCGAGTCAAGTCTGTACAGAGTTTCTTCCGGGCATCTCCTCCCCCCCCCCCCCCTATTGAAATAGAATTTATATATTTATTTAATTATTTATATATTTATATAGAAAATATATACCTTTACCAGTGCCCACTCCCCTCCCCCGGAAAATTTAGTCTCCCCTCCCTCCCCCCAAGTTTTATGTGCTCCTCTTCGCCCCCCCCCCCCCTCCACCACCCGGAGAAAAAAGTCAATAACATGACACCACGTGACCATGAGAGGGCCAGTTTCCTTGACATATATTTCATCGTTTGGGCAAAAGTGAGCTCATTATCGATAAGCGTTATTGTTATTATTATGATTAGTAAGCCTTTTTGAATGTCTATGAAATAAGGCCTACCAATCATAATAGAAGATTTGAAAATACGATAAGTCTACCAGTTATTTCCTCACATCGCCATGTAAACTACATTATAGTTATATAACATTATATAACAAATAACATTCCAAGTCTACCTCACTGTGACTCAGGCCTACAATCTATAATTTGTCAATCAAGTGTCGTATATTGGTTAGGTCGTCTTCCTAAAACAAGGGAATCATTGTTGCCACTATGACGTCAGTAACCAAGGTCGCGATACTGGTACTGCCGGTGTATGAAGTCCTCGTATTTCGTCCTATTGGCACACCAACGCGCTGGGAATGCTTGTCACGACTTCCGACATCCGAGCATTGTTAACAGAGAAGTTAGCTTTGGGTTGGTCGGGACCCATTGATTTGGTTCAGTATCTGATCAAGGTCTAGACAAAGCTGATGTGTGTGCAGTCTGGAATCAGTCGTTGGAGAGTTTGATCGATTCTTGGACAATAATAACTGCCATCAAGTCTACATCCAATAGGTTTATGGCAGTTTGACACCAAAGCTCAATACAACTATAGCAGTCACAAGCTGTTTCTTCAGTTAAGTTCTAAGTACTAATGCAAGTATATATATATATATATATATATATATATATATATATCTTTTGTGTGTGTCTATGTATAAGGTCTATGTATAAGGTCTCCAAAAAAGAGCTGATGTAGAATCAATACGAGAAACACATTTCTTTCATTTATTTCCACATGTTATGTGACGAATGCAATCTATCAATTCCGTCCAGCCGTTATTCACCCAAGTAGCGACGGTAAATTCTCGCGAGCAAATATCAGAAACATGAAGACCTAACCGATGAAATGCAGCCATAAATGGTACACTCACTCATATGTACATACAGACACACAGATGTGTACGTAAACAGTGTTTCTTCCAGACTTTTTTCTCCGGGGGGGGGGCACTTGAAATTTTCGGGGGGGGGGGGGGGGGGGGCGGTAGACTTTCTTCGGGGGGACGGACACTGTTAAAAGTATATATTTTCTATATAAATTATATAAATTTCATTTCGTTCGGGGGGGCGGTAAGAAAATTTCGGGGGAGGGGGGGCTCCGCCCCCCGAAGAGATGCCTGGAAGAAACTCTGTACGTAAACTCAAGCATGTAGGCCTATACACCAATCAAAAGATTAGGCCGACACATAAATTAACTCCTAATGACTAACACATAAATAAGCATTTATTAACTATTAACCAACAGCTATTTCATAAAGTTATAACTGTACAAAGATTTTTTTTTTCTGTTAAAAGTTCTTTTCCGAGATCTAGTATAAAGTATCGGCCAAGATTTAAATTTCTCTAAACCAGTGTGAAGATCAAGTTCCATAACTTTTAACTCATCTGTAATAGACTTGTTGGTACACACATACACGAGAGGCATAAAGCATAGTATGTATATATATATATATATATATATATATATATATATATATATATATATATATATATATATATATATATATATATATATATCCTCAAGAACACGTGTGACTTTCATTATTTTTTCCGGCCTCGCCTCGAGTAAATAGAAACTGGTATTGCGTCCCCTAGGCCTTAGCATTGCTTTCGATCTCATACACTAGCTTTGTACTAAGATCGACAGGCCGAATATGAATGATATATATAGTACACCTCAGACACTGATCAACACCGATCGATAACCAATCAATTGGCTAGTGAATTCGCCATGTAACAGTTTAGTCTAAAATGTATTCTTGTCAAGTTGTTTTTGTGAGCGCCAATTTTTTAGGACAGCTTATATATCACAATTCGGAACCCTAACCCTATTCCCAGCATTATTTTTTGCTCTTTATTTAATCATAACCCTTTCCTTATCCCCAACATTTGCCCAATGTCTATCCATACTCGTAACCCTATACTTAACCCGACACGTCACTCGATTCGCAAACCATTTTTCTAACCCTATCCCTAAAATCAAATGTATCCAAAATATTTTCTCTATCACTAAAATTTTTCCCAACTATACCCCTATCCTTACCGCTAAGTGAAGTTTTTTTCTGGTCGGTGGGTAGCGGTAAATACAAGGTGGGCACTAGACAGGGAGGTAACTAATACAGAGCAGGGTTTGATATAATATTGATCACCTGACACAACGTGAAGTGCGTTTTATGTTACGGGGATATTTTTCCTTATACACACACACACACACACATATATATATATATATATATATATATATATATATATATATATATATATATATATATATATATATATATATATATATATATATATATATATATATATATATATATAAAATAAATGCTACATATTAATTCCATGACGATCACGCCGTTGTCATTAACAACATCTTCCCCCCCCCCCCCCGCCCCCATCAACAATCCACTGACTACACCACTGATGCTCAGTAGCGTAGCGAGGGGGGGGGCGGGGGGGACATATGTCCCCGGGCGCCGACCTTAGGGGGCGCCAAAATGGGTTGAAAAAATAAATTGAAAGGTTGAGGGGGTGCAAATCGAAATCTTGAGGGGGGAGGTGCAAATCGAAAAGTTTGTCCCCGGGCGCCGGGAAGGGTCGCTACGCCTCTGCTGATGCTTACACCAAGATAAAATTTGTGTTGAGACTGCATGCTTTAATGTTTGGATTATAATTTAACCAGATTGAGCGTGTTTCCCTCTCCCTTAAAGTTTACATAAGCAGGCGTGGACAAAGGGTCTGGCTAGGTCAACTAACATTTCATTAGAAAACAAACCATCTTATTGGTAAGCTTAGGATTTGGTCAAACTTTTAACTCTATTTTAATTAACCCATTTCTGATACAAGCGATTTCTTTTGAACTTTGCAAATAAATGACAACATAAGAAAAATCAAAGTTTCTAATTAGCTATTAAATTAGCCCGTAACACTTCATTTCATGATTACCAGTCTCGGCAGTCTGTAAGGGGAGATCGCTAAGTGGTATCGATCACTCAATTGGTCAGATTAATTGCGGCTCACTAATGTTAACAAATATTTGAGGGAGAGAGACACAATGGAAACATACCACTCCAGAAATTTTTTGAAGGAAATCGTAGTCACATTAAGTTGAAACAACCCATAGACATAATAATTATAATCATGCTTATTAATAAACAAAACCAAGACGATTTTAGTTAATTTTTTAACTCCATACTTCAATCTATCCTGCATAAAAACAAAATTTTAAATAAAACAATATTTTAAAAAAGGTATTAACTATTATTTTTTTAGTAAAAGCTTGGGTGGCTCAAGAATTTCAGTAATGAGAGTAATTAAATAGTGGGTATTTAAACTTTAAAAACTCTCAATAACCTTTTTTGTTTAGAAAATTAGCTAATTTTAATCAAGCCGACACAGATACGACAAAAATAATTGTTTTATTATAAATTCAAACATAATTAATAACGATATGTTTAGAGTACACAGCTCGCCAGACTGATCGGGGGGGGGGGGGGGGGGGGGAGGAAGAGAAATGGCAACACCCCCCCCCCCCCCCCCCACTGAAAATATCAATCTTCATATTACTTTTTAATGATGAATTTAAAAACTAATCAGATTAAAAGTTAGATAATCTAGCTTTGTTGCCAGAGAAGTATGTAGATCTATCTGGAATGTGGGTTAAAACAGCCAAAACATTTGCCACAAACTCTCTCATAATCCCTTTATTTGCTTCACCTCCTGTTATTGTTTCTATTGTGGGTGGTGTAATAGACTTGTCTATCATTTTAATATAAAAATGTGTAGCTAAAATTGACAAAGCAACAAGAAAGAAACAGATTTTTTATTCTCTTCAGTGTCACAGATGACATGACAATATTTAAGTTTCATTAAAAGGGTGAAGTACTTAACTCTTTACTTCTATTAAAACACAAAAGGGTCAGTGTTCAATAACTTTAATGTAGATAGGAATATGCAGAAAACTTTCCATACACAATCACATTTTTATGACTACACAAAGCAGAAACCTTAACTAATGCAGCAAACAAAATAAAAAGGTTAAACTGTAGCTTGAATTAACCCCTGTATACCACTAAACATGTCAAAAATCAGTGATCCTCAACTTGATGTTGGCAGTAAACCACTGGTTAATTAGGCATTTGCCACACCTTTAAGGCTACCAAATATACTAAAGTAGTCTCAAACAACGGGAACTGGCATTTTAAAAAAAATATCCTGATTTTTTAGCCTACTTTACTTAGTTGAATACATTTCTTTACAATATAAACAGATGGATTCAACACAGATGTCTAGGATTGAGTATTAGCATATTTCTAATGCAATTTAAAATCAAAGAAAGTAACCATGAAAGTTGAGAATTTTAAAAATCTGGTTTAACTGCTGCACTGTATTCCATAACTCAGTTAACTTAACAACCAGGCAACCACAGTGCAAAAAAGGGGGAGATTAATTTTTTTAAATATAGATTAAACCCTATACACAAAAAACAAAGCCCTCAATTTTATTATGGACAAGTAAATAAAAAATAGCCGACAAATAAAATATAACATTGAAATATGTATGAAGCAACAATTGTCTGGGGTGAACTAATCACTGACACTAGCATTAGCTAGCAAGCATCAAATGGACTCCAGCATTCTAAACTCTAATAGACAATCAGCACTTAATGAATACTTTCCACGATAAAGGATTATTACAAAAGTCTATAGTTGAATGAAACAAAAGAAAATTTAGATGTTGGCATTCACTGTTCTATAAGTAAACGGACTGCTCCATTGGTTCTCAAAAAAAAAAGGTGTGACCATAAAAAGACAGCAAAAAAGACAAAGTTGCTCTTTTAAATAATAAACCGGGAGTGATCTCCCCTAAACTTTCTCGAATATTCCTATATAAACAAACAGGGGATGAGAACTCGGGCTATAGACATGATTTTTAATCCATTTTAAAATAAGAATAAAATCTCGTAGACAAAAGACTGCACACCAAGTGAACGCGAAATAAAAAAGCGCATAATAGTGCGCAATATTATTAGTACTTTAAAAATTTACATTCGTTTTTTTCAGAAATCGGAAGTAGCGTAAATTAGTACTTCCGGGCAACGGAAATTACTCAAAATTTGACAGAAGGTAGATAACTAGATCTTATACTTACATGTGAAATTTCATTTATCCATCTGAAATAGTACTCAAGTTATAGGCTTTTGAAAAATTCAAAGTAGAAAAAGTACCACTTCCGGTTATCGGAAATCGCTCAAAAGTTGATACGGATCTACGATTTTGATAAAATACTTATATATGAAATTTCATCCACCTAGCTGTAACGGTACTCAAGTTATCGTGTTTACACACGGACACACACACACACAGACACACAGACATACGGACAGAATTGCAAAGCCCAGTTTTTCAGACTGGATTACGCATAAAACCTCTTAATTTTGATAAATCTGGATTGATCATTTTTGTCCGATTAAAATAAGTCCTCTATACTTCGGATGTGATGAAGGACTGAGGTGTAATACGGTGAAAATTGTTAAAATTTCAAGTTATTTTTGTGCACGATTACAATACTTTCTCTATACTTCGTATATACGAGAAAGTAAAAATGGTGGCATGAAAATTATCAGCTTGAGGATCACTGATCTGATAGGACATATAAACACTAAAAAATATTGCTTGTTATGTATTTGACTGAGGTGCTAAAATTGTTGCACTTTTTCACAGCTCTTCTAGTCAAATTTTTTTTATCTACACTGCTACAGGATACAATGTTAGTAATACATTTGCCACTAAGGAAAACAATTCAAAACAACGAGGTGTATTTAGAAGAAAAGAATGACAAACAAATTTTGAATGCATTAAAAAATTAACTCAACTTGTCAAATAAAGTATGGTAGATGTTAACTGGTTACTACAATCAAGGTAATATATGCACACAATGAGAATTAAATGTTATATACACTGTATTAAACATGAAATATGTACACACAAAAAAAACTAAATTTTGAAAGAACTGTAAGAAAAATCCTTAACTGATGATTGAATGAGTTTTTGGCCTAAAGATTCCATGCACTTTGTCACACATCACTTCTATGAACATTTTAAAACATGCTGACTTTTCAGTTCTCATTGCTTACTGTTGAAGCAACTAAAATGGCATAACTGTTTACTTCACAACATGATGAAACAAAGTAGCTCTCAACTTAACAATAATTCAATTATGCAATACTAAAGTTAATAAACTGTGGTTATTCATTCTGTCCAAATTTATCCAGATAAATAAAAAACTTAAAACTAAAACATTTTTAAAAATTGTTAATTACTTTACACACATGATTAACTTCAATAAAATGTGCATTAAAATGGCTAACAAAATACTTGAAGAATTTTTTATTTTATTAAAGACAATTAATTGGCTATGGTATATTAGATCTATTTTAACAGCTGTGCACTAAAATAGATCTAACTCCATGAAGAATGCCATGTAAGTTTCATAAAAATTAAAATAAAACTACAAGAACTCAATGCACTAGACAAGCCCTTTGATTCTCAAATACAGATGATTAAGTGATTGGGATATACATTGCATTAAGGACATAATTACTCTAGAATTCAATGGTTTTAAAACTTCTAGACATTTAACATATATGATATGTACCTATATATTATATTGGTACATTTTCATATGTACCCATATATTATATTGGTACATTTTCATTACCTAGCCTAAGCATCATAACATACATTTGATATGTCAACTTTAATAATAGATTATATCATTAAGCAGAAAGTTGAAACATGGTTTGTCTTTAAATTCCTTAAAAACAAGCTGATGGGTGACATAATAAAACATGTGATAGTGCAGTACATTCATTTTAATTCACTGATACCAATATATGCTTTATTCAATGCCAAATTTTCTTCATACTAAGAACTTATTATATATGCTTGTTCATTAGATTTGTTTTTTTCAATCAGCATGTTTTCCAGTATTTGGTTATTTGGTCAGGCTTATATTTTTTTACTGTCTAATGTATGTGTTGTCTGCTACAGAAAAGCTTTTATTAATTGTATAAAACAGTGAAAGATGAAATAATTCTTTATAAGTTAGAAAATCAAATTTAACACAACTGTTTTTACCAACAGAAAGAAAATTGTTTTAGTATAGATGTACTTAACATGTTTGACATTTTAAAGAATAATTCTATTTTTAAAATGTGGTAAAATGTAAAGCTTCTCTAGCTTCTGTAAATCTGTGCAACTTGCATAATTTACCAAAAGGTAATTTTCAAAACTTATTTTATAAGTAATGTTTCATCAATATGTAGCTAAAAGTCTTTCTCTAGTAGTTAATACATTAAAAACAATATAAGCTACACAGAGAAACTGTGCGGAAAACAATTGTCACAATAAATCATTGAAAAATTAATGTAAGAAAGAAAAACAATGCAAAAGAATATAATGAAATAGTGTTATCTTAATAAATTATTATAATTAAAAACAATTTAAAAGCACAACCTAACTTCATATTTTAAATGAATAAATGTGTTTACTTCTTTTAGGTAGCATGTTAAAACAGTTTTTGCTTGGTACTAATAGATGACAATAATAAAGATAATTATATAAGCAAAAACTAAACTTTTACTTGCCAATATAATTCTTTTGAAAACCCAGCATCATTTATTTTTTGTGCATTTCTTGTACTATAGATATTACACTTTGAATAAACACATGAGCATCGAATGAATGTGAAATACTAAAATGTTAATAATTGTAAAATTGGGCAAACTGATAAATAAGCTAACTATTCCAAAATGTTTTTCCATTTTATTTGATAATTCACAAACAGCTTTTAATAAGAAAACTTTACCACATCTTTAAAATATATAGATTCCCTTTCATACAGTAAAGATATTTAAACATGCAGCATTTTTTATATTTGCTGTACAGAGATTATGAAATAATTTATGTATTGAAATTTGGCTGTGTACATGAATTAGCAGAGGCATATACTAATGTGTGTGTGTGTATATATATGTGTGTATGTATATATATATATATATATATATATATATATATATATATATATATATATATATATATATACACACACACACACACACATGTGTATACACACATTCATATTTATAAATGAATTTTCCTTCTTTAAATAGCAATGACTTGTATTTACATTGATTAAACAAAATATTTTCAAACATTTATTATCAATTTATTATCTAAATAAAAGTTATTTTTACCACTGGAATCATTACTTGTATTCATGGATAAAATACTATATTAAGAAGTATGTACATTTTAAAAAAACTGAATGAACTTAAGCTGAGCCTGAGAACATTTATAATTTCCAATTATCCATCAGTTTATATTACTAAGATAAATGGAATGACAGCTGTCCTTCTTTTGCTGCTTTACTAAGCCTCTCTCTCATCACCTCAATGGATGAGTAGTCTGGAAGTTTTAGATAATTGACACAAGTCATAACAGAAGGAAGATAGCAGTCTGGATCATCAGATCCCTCGGGTTGCTTTCTAACAATTGTCAAAGGTGGATTTAAGCTCCTGAAACCTAAAGACAAAATACGGGCAATGAATGTTTCCATGTACAACTGGTAAATTAATAAGGTTATTTAAAAATAGCCAGTCAAATAGTTATTAGTGGATAAAAAGTATAGTTTACACATACTTGTACAGTAAGGGCAATGCAATAAACCAATAAGAAGTTTCTGTTTATTTGTTACCAAAAAATACATAATGTATTCATTTTAATAGTTTATTTAAAATATGAAACATGACTACGTTTTCAGGAAAGGATCATGATGAATTTAAAAAGTATTAATGTTTTATTTTTATTTCTTCTTTACACATATTAAATCTAGCCCTAGTCTTCAGATATAATGTAAATCCAAATGTGTCCCAGAACATTTTTTCAGTCTTATCTAAAGGGTAGGTTCTGAAAATAATAACTTTGTTGAAATAACGGAGTTAACACTAAGTCCACCAATTAGCCTGTATATTTGAATAGGAAGAACTCTAACAGATGACACATTTATGCTCAACGGTCTATCACATCACAACAACACTCTTTAAAAACTAACCCACCATAGCAGTCATAGAATCGTAGCCATTTAAAAAACAACCACATTTTTTTAATAAATTATTTTCTAGTCTACCAATTAATTTTGATAATTATAATCGGCATCAAATTAAAGGTAAATTATGTAGTTTTTAATTGTTTATGTCATTTTCAACAATAATGAAATTTAAATCTTAGGCGACACCCTACTTAGGGGCCAAAAATTTTCATATTTAACTAGTAAATACGTTTACAATCTCAATAGTATCTTACCTCCAACTGGGAGTCTTGGTGAACCAGTGACAAACTGTAAAAATTCCCTCTGCTCAGAATTGTTGTAACTACTGAGCACTTCAAAGAGAAATTTGACTGCCTGTGAGTCATGAGTGTAGCCATGATCGGGTCTACAACAGTCCATCAACATTCTGACATCCCACACATCAGCTATGTTGCCACAGAAAAGTTGTTCTAACTGTAGGAATATATTACCTTCTTTTAAAATATGTCTAAATGTTGAATTTCTGATTGTGGTTTAAGTATTTATTACTGCATATGAGTACAAATAACAAACATATTACAAATTAATTACCTCTTCAGGGTAGAAATACTGTAATGTTGATAATGGGAAAAGAGATTCAAAGCCATCTCTAAATGCATCAAACTGTCTACTGATGCCCTCTACCAGACTCCAATGCAGCACAAGCTAATATATTACAATAAACAATCATGAAAGATTCATGTTAAGATTCATCAAATTTTCATCATTAATACCCAATAAATTTTATATATATATATATATATATATATATACATATATATATATATATATATATATATATATATATATATATATATATATATATATATATATATATATATATACACAATAACTGAACTCTTGTGATATTCCACCTTCTCTGTATGCATTTTAACTTTTATTTAATCAGATTTATCAATTTAATTTACTGATCATTGGTGATTACTATTTAATATTTTAGAAGAACTATTCTTAAACTTACTTGTAAGTATTCCTCTAAATTATCCAAGCAAACTTGAATGTCACGTCCACCTTTACACAACTCAATATTTTCATTTCCAGGTAATACAAAATACAGATCAAGATCTTCAAGTGAGCATCCATCAATGGATATATTTAAAAGAGCTTGCCTCCTACTTTCTTCTGTCTTTAAATTTAGAAAAAAAATAACTTTTATTGTACACAGCTTTATTCCTAATGTAGTAAATCAGAGTTGTTTTGTTAACATAAATAGGGGATGGGGTAATCGAGTGGTAGAATGTTAAGCTGCTAGCCCAAAGGTCTTGAGTTTGCATCTCGGTTTGGACAAGTGACAGTAGAAGGTCTCTGAGTCCACCCAGATCTGATGGTGACTTACATTAAGGTGACTGGGCATTAGGCTGACCACATAATCCCTGCATAAGCTGAGGTCAACAAACATATGAACTCTACTTCAACTGTAAAAATGGATCGCTAGGTCTAAAGAGGAATCATTACTAATTAACATTAACGTACATGAAAAATTAAACAAATTATGACTTACTAATGATTTATCATTTAAAATTTGTTTCTTTTGATGAACAATGTTTTCTAGCTGCTGAAAAGATTGAGCCAAAACTTTATCTACATAATACAGGTCACTTGAAGAAAGTGAATTCTCCTGTGCCAATATCCACTTGTAAAACACCCGACTCAAAGGCAGATCGAGCTAATTGTGAAAAAAAATTCAACTGAGTAAGAAAATGTTGAACAAATGCTTTATAATAGTTTTCAAACTAAACATTAGGGGAAATACAGACAATAAGATAAAAGTAGTTTTCTCTTAATTATTTTGTGTAACCACTTAATGAGCTGATTGTACAGATTTCCTAATGTTTTATTCCCAAAGCAAGTGTGAATAAAAGAGTTGGAATAATAAGCTACAGAACGTAAAGAAAAAGAAATAACCAATTGAATTATTAATAGAATATGAAATAACATTTTTACAATTAATCTCTAACTAGATTAACAGTAAAATACTTTAGAATGGTGTGATTTTGGTTTCAGTTTAAGTGTTCTCAGACAAAAGAAATTACTTGAAAGCCAACAAGAAGTACTAACCATTCTTGAATCCATTAATGCCTTTGCCATAAATTTGCCTAAAAATTTAAATTTAGCTTTCACTTTGTTGATCTGTGCTGCTTTAGAACTTCGATGAAGAGGCAATGGGAAAAGGCCGGATGCTGAGTGAGTATATTCAACTTTCAAATTGGGATCAGCAGGGTTTGTAGCAGCTATACTTTCCCCTCGCCAGAGTTCAAGGTCAGATCTCTGCAGTTCTTTGCTAACAAGTGCGTAAAATTCAAGGGTTGGGCCTAGTCCTGTACCAACCTAGAAGTCAGTGTAAGATGTGAAAAGTAATGAATTACAATGACATTTTGCTTATTTTATTTTTAACAAAATAACTGTCCAACTTATTTTACACAGATTTTGTGAACCTCTACAGAAGCATATTAAAAATATTTCTTTCAGGTTAAATATATTAATACATTGAGCAGATTAAGAATCACAAAAATGTAAAATGTACAAAATGTATGCGAAAACCAATCGATCTTACACATTAATTAGCAGCAATCTTACTTTATAACAGAACTATTTTGGTTTAAAATTTAAATTTGTGAATGAAATAGGTAGTTTCACTTTTAAAAATTTAAAACTCATTCCACATACTGGTAAAAATTAAGCAACATAGAAAAAGGTGATACCTCATTCTCATAATGTATTTCCAACATCGTTCGAGCATTTGTTGAGTTACCCATATCTTCCATCACTTTTTCTGCTTGTTTCAAAATATCCTTTCGGCTTACTTCTCTCTGTTAGTAAATTATAAATTTTCATTCAGGATACCGTATTTTCAACCGTATAAGACAATTGGCGGGAATAAGACTACACGACCCACCATTTTTCAAGTAAAAATATAGTTTTGGGATATACTAGCCTTATATTGGCAACAATGATTAAAATACAACTACCCAGGACTTTTAAAAATATTTTTACCCCACAAATACAGTAATTTCTTTAAATACTTAGACATTAAGGGCTATTATAAATAATAATATAAATAATAATTTAAAACTTAAGTGATGAATTGATCAATTTCATTTTATATACAAAATGAAAACTCAAAAAACTAAGATATTTACCCTTTTCCTATCTAAACGAGGTCCAACTCTTTCACTATCATGATTAGAGCTTTCACCTGCTTGGTCTTGTTGCAGTCTTAAAACTGCACGATCCCGGTCAAATGTTGTGGCAAAGAACAGCATTTGTCTTGTGTCAAATGGAAAAAGGAATGGTCTGGAAATATAAAAACAATTACTTTTAAACTGACAGAAAAGTTTGAGGATATTATTTATACAAGCCGATTGAAGTATTTTTTAAAATTTTGATATATCAAAAACAATGATTTTATCAGTTGTAAACACTAATTCTATACAAATTTAAACATACGCTGTTTGCCCAATTTCTGGTAACCAATTTGGTAAATTGCCAGTCATTATTATTAGTGGGTCTTGAAGCTGTCTGTTGGCTTTAGCTGTCAACTTGCTACTCATAAACTCAGAAGAAGACAGTATTTGTGCTGGTAGAAATGGTACCTATTTTGTTTTAAATTAAACAGTGAAAAAAAGTACAATGTTCACAATTTGCATACTAACATAAAATAGCTTGACAACATTGATTTTTAAAATGTTTTGACCTCTCTAAATTAAAACAACACTTTGTATTAAAACATTAACAAAACAAAGAACTCAGACAATTACATAAATGTATCAGGAAATTAATTTCTAATAATACATTTTGAAATTACCATAATTTTAAAATGCTTAGATGTTATACGTACATTAACAATAGTTATTGAGAAATGACCACTGAAAATTGAATACTATGCAGATTTGAACTTTTTCAAAAATTATCATTTAATTATGATGGTACTCATTTTTACATGTGTTCATACAATTAATGTAATGTAAAAATGTCTTATAACAGAATGTCCCATCCTTTTCATATTAATCATGTAAAGTTACTTTTACTGTTCTAGGAAAACAAATAATATGCTAACTTACATCATATATTGATGACCAATGCCTATTAAGAGCATGAAGAACTCTCAACAAAGCTATTGTTTCTAATGAAGCATCCTGAACAGTAACAGATGGAGGTAGTTTGTCTTGCAGAAAGCTATGTAACACAGGCTGAGAGACTGGACTACTTGCCCTTGATTCTAGTACAGAAAACAAAATGTGCATTGTAAAATACAGCTTTAAGTGTTAATGCTAGATTCCAATTTATGTTTGGGGAATGACATATGCATGATATTATGGTAAAGTGTTGCCACCAATGAGAACTAGCTCACAAAGTTATTAATGTATTTAGTGTTTCATGACAGCGTGGCCTAGCGGTAAAGAGTTATACTGCTAACCCTAGAGTCTTGGGTTCAAATCTAGATTCAATTTAGAGGAACGTCCATGAGTCTTATCAGCTCTGATGGGTACCTAACTCACGTTAGGGAAACAAAGGCGGCTGTGCATAGTGCTGACCACGCTATCCCTTCATATGCCAAGGTCTCTGAAGCTCTACTTCATCTGCCCCATGTGTCTTGGGCATGAGCGTGAAATGATGATGATAAGTTCATAACTTTTTAAAAAAATTAAACAGCAAAATTTAGCTCAAGTTAAACATACAAATCCCTACCTTTTTTCTTGGAAGATTTAGAGCTTTTAGACTCTGCCTTTGTTTTCTTTGGACTAGTTGCTGTATTATCCTCTTGTTCTGTTGCTGGTCGGTACCTTCCAAAATAAAAATAATTACACATGTAAAATTCAGGTGAACAAGGGTATGAGATAATATTACCTACCGAATGAATTCACATCTAATTTCTAAATTTAACTCTTTAAGCCTGTAATTAAAATTGCTAAATTAAAATTTTAAACCTTTTATTTTTATTTTGAGTCTACAAATAGTAAGATGTGTGATAAAATCTTGAATTTATGAAAATGAAAACTATATGTTTTATTTTATATCAAGTGAAAAACTTAGCAAAAGAATTTACACCTACCAAATAGTGTGTGTCTGTACCCAGATGCTAGTATTTCCAAAGGGTGTGTCTGTATCACCATCACTAAAGTCACCAACCTCTGTACCACCATGGCAAACAAACTGTTTCACAGCCTGATATACAGTCATATTGTACGGCAAAATATGGTCGCCTATTAAAAATTCAAGCCTGTGTCTTGGAGATGTGGCAGATATCATGATTGAAGCCATTTGTTCCTCCATTTCTTCATCTGAATTATCATCATCACTAAGATCTTCATCTGCACCTTCCTGTTGCCAAATAAATAAAACAGTTAAGTAATGGTGTTAAAAACAAGCATTGAATGTATTTTCTTTTTTAAGAATTTGCTTTCAAAAGGCTATAGTTACAAAAGCATTTATAAATACATTATGCCTGCTATCATTATGAAAAACATAAGCTTGTTAAAAGTATGTTATTAGCATCTACCTACTCTTACCCTGGTTTTTCCAAATCCTCTCACAAGCAAATATTTCTCTATTGCTTGTACTAGAGCAAGAGGGTCTATTTTAACAGGACCTCCTTTCCACTGTTTTAATGTAGTGCAGGCTGGATGTCTTTGTAATTGGCACTATAAATAAATGAATGCATAACAGGATTTATTTTTATTTTATTGTTATAATTTAGTGTCATGAGATAGGTGAAATTACATATCACCTGACATTAAACTAAGATATTTCAGTTTATATATATCTTACAGACTACAGTAGTTAAGATTACTTATTAAAATATACCTTCAGCTGATGCGTAGTAAAAAATCTCAGTGCATTCCCCCCTCGACTGGTCCCACTGCTCCCTCCAGGAAGATCATGGACCTTTACTTGAAACTATATAAATTGGTTGTGACTTTAATTAATTAGGATTAAGCATCAATCATATTTAGTTGCTTACACACAAAAATATCTTAAGAAAGAAGTTTATAAAAATATGTCACAGCTATTTTGAACAGAAAAAAATAAATTTACAGCAAAATATAAGGTAATGAAACCCAAGATTGTAAAAAATTATAATAAAAAAAAACCAAGTGTTTTATTCTTCTACTTTTTTTAAAGTGAATACAACTTGAAATAAATGATAATACATAATAATGAGAAATATCTACATTTTGCACAAGTATTACACAAGTTTTACATTAACAATTATGTTATTTCTTAGTTTTTATAAAGTACATGGGTAATTAACTGCTATAAATTAAAACACACTACCTGTTCCAGCTGATGTAAACATGCCAATAACTTTGAGACAAGATTTGAAAGAGCTGGTGTGTTGTTCTTCTCAATTGGAGACTCCTTCATATATACCATACTAGGAGGCTACAGAAGGGAAAGTATGTGTAAATGTTGACTAAAAACTTGATAATTATAGAAGTACTAATTTTAAAAAATATTATATCAATATAATATTTTGAAATTAAAAAAAGACAAGTAAACAATTTTTTAATTAAAAAATGTCAACATTTTCTTACTGGGAAGTTTAGGAAAACATGAAGAAATCTGCGAATTCTTATGTCTCTATTTACATCACCCGAAGTGGATGTAAGATATTCTAGAAGCTGTGAGATTAAGCCACTATGAATCACTTCAAAAGGTGACACATCACTTTCTCTCATTATTGTTGCAATTTCCAATAGGCAATCTAATCCACTGTCACCCTAGATAAAAAAGTAAATGTATTATTTTTATCTCTAAACAGAACTAAAATTTTAATTTACAAGTTTTTTAAGTGTAATAGTAACACCAAAAACATGTTATTTAGCTATTGATAAAAATATAAATGCATTATCTGCATGTTTATCAGAATATATATTACCTGTAAAGAAAGACATTTGGTTGCAGTACAAAGTCGTTTGAGCATATCCAGTGCTGGATGAGATTCTCCATGAATGTCAGCTGAGAAGTATTTCTCCATAAAAATTTTACCTAGAAAATCAAAAATAAAATTTCAGTAAGCAAGAAGAAACAACTATAAATGATCACATTATGTTCCTTTAATGCCTGTGTAATGTGATAAATACTCCAGAGATTCAGGAATTTTTTTTTAATTTACGTTTTTATCCTTTGTACGTTTTGTTTTTGTTTAGAATGAATAGGTTTAAACAGTTTTTAATATGCCCAAAAAGCATTGTCTAGATATCTCCATTAAAAAAATTATTTCAATAAGAATCCTTTCTGAAATAAAAAGTGAAATGTTTTAATTGCTAATATTTGAGCTGCAAAGTGGTTATACCCTAATTTCTTTATACATTTTATAACAAGAACATTTATTAGTTCACTTACATTGCTCTTTTATCCATGCTTTCACTTTTTCTTTGTTGACTATCATAGGTGGTAGCATTTGCTTATGAGACAACATATCCTTCAAATAAAAGTTTAAATATTTAAGTGGACGGTAGAAAATATCTTTATTGGTTATCTATAGCTATAGTGGAAAACATTAAAAATTTTAATGTGGAACCTTAATGACTGAACTTCTAACACAGTACTATCTAAATAAATGATTTATGAAAATGCAAGCTGTACATTTTTTTCTTTTTAAACTCTATGTACCTACTTTCTACCAAATGTAAAAAGTTAACTGCTTTAAAAAATTTTAAACTTTATTATTTCAAAGCAAGAAATACTGGGCAATAAAAAACTGAAAATATACAAACCAACAATTAAATCAAATCATTAAATAAAATCATGAGATTTATTATTAATTAGATTAATTATTACCTTCATTGATGACTGTCTATCAGCTGAGTTACTCATTCTTCCCCAGGAACGTGGATTTAGATTAGTTAAAAAAGGGATTTTAGAACTAGATGAGCTGGATCTAGCATCTTTACCTAAAGAAATAAAAATAGGCACATGTAAAATATTTTTAACAGCTTTAAAGGTAGATTAACAAGCAATAAAAAATAGTAGTTAATAATTATTAGGAAGATGTTAAAATCTGTTGTGTATATTATTAAGTAAAAATTATTAAGGAGCAATAACAGATTCTATAATTTATTTTAATTTTTGGGACTTCAAATATATTGTGTAAATTATGAAGAAGTTTTAAAGAAAGATAAACAATTTCAGTATAAATTAATGATGCACAAGTTCTACCATAGAAAAAAATACTTTCATTTGTTGATCAAGTAATAAATTGCTAATATTTATTAGAGATGTAACCAGACCAGAAAAAAAGATTAGAAAATATTTCGGTAAGCGCTATTGTATCACAATGAAACTGATCTTTTATTTTTCAATATAAGGATTACTAAAAAAACTGGTCATAAAGATTTTTTTATACTAAGTCTTTGAGGTCTGAGAAGCATATGCATATTCAACCTGGTAGTCATCTGTGTCAAAAGACATAACATGTTCCTCTCCTCCTCACTAATGTCAACCTTCTCACCCCTAGATGCAGTTTGAAAACAAACAGAATGGCCCTTAACATGCCAAAACTGTTGATGGATAATGGTAACTAGAATATTATGAAAATTCAGAAATCCAACAAAATTCTAAATAGTCACATTCCTGATTACACAATCATTTTGGCAATGCAGTTGCCATGTAACTTGTACATATCAGCACTATACTTTCCATTGAACAAATCTTCATATATAATGCTTTTGAAACACTGGTATAGCAACAGGGAAGCAATTTTTTGTATTTGGTATTTTTAGCGGAGTACAGATTTTATGCTTTAAAATTTGATAATTAATGTCTGTATGTTATGAATGGGATTACACTGTAATCTGCTTACAGCAGAAAGAATTAAAACTTTGACATGTATCTTTGTCAAAATAAATTCTTTTATAACAAGACAAAATTGCTTGCAAATAATACCAAGTATTTAAATTTTTTGTAATAGTTGAGGAACAATTTTCAGGGATGCAACTCATTTTTATATAAATCCTGAAAATTGATTCCCAAATTTTACAATACCTGAAAAAAAAATTATAATTTTTTTTTAAAATCCTGAAATTTACATGAAATTTTATTTTATACAAGTGAAATTTCTTTTTGTCTTTTTATTCATATTATGTTCAACAGACAGTCCTTTAGTGGACTCATTATCTTTGTAATGATCTTAAAACAAAAATTAATATTTAAAATATTGTGAATAAAAAATTAGTTTAAAATTTAAGACCTATCTCTACTTCAGAATGAGCCATTCTAGAAATTTTATATCAATCTGATTTTCTCTAATTTTAAAAAGTAGTGGCGCAATAAATGATGACATGTTAATGTTTGCATAGCAATGGATATCATTCTGTCTACGCATCGGAAGTTGGCAGTAAAGGTGATAAGCTTAACATCACCCTGAAGTCTGAACTTCTAAAATGCCTAAATTTTTAACTTTACAAAATCTTGTTTCTTGGATTTTTAAACGGAAAATTTAAAATTTTATGAATCTGGAAAGTGAACAAAATATGATTCTTGTGTCCAAAAATCTGATATATCTGAAAAAGCGGCACCAACTTTTTACACAATAATATTTGTATTAATGCATTCGACAAAAGCAACAAGCAACTATTAGCAGAGATAATTTCCCATTTCACTTTACCAGTTGAAGCTTTTCCTCTGTTTGAACTTCTACCCAACAGTAAACCAACTCCCTTAGGAGATACATCCAATGATCCTGAATCTTCTAGTTTACTTCCTTTCTTAGTTGGCCCTCTTCTAGGTGGCCTTTTTCTTTTCAAAACATCACTTAGTTTCCTGTGACAATAGTATTAAAAATATTTAGGCCTATACTTTATAAGTTGTAAGAATAGTTTTGTTATTGCTGTTATTTGTAATAGAGGTTAGCTACATTTGAGCATAGCAATTCAGTTGTGATTGTACCTTTGTCATTGTACTGTGTCCTGCATTTCACAGGTAAACTAATTTAATGTTTACTTCTTTTTGTAAATACTAGTTGTTCTATGAAAATGGGATGCGGTCTTGCAACATTAATTATCTTCACTCTACTCCCCAAAATATTCAGCAAACTAAACATGCAATTTTAAAATAAAAGCTTACATATGGGCAGATGAAGCACATGGCTCTTCTAAGTGATGTGAAGCACCACCAGCAAACATATCATCTCCTTCTCCTACTTCAGGAGCTTCCATCCTTGGCATAGGAGGAAGAAGCACACAACTGGAATCAGATGTAGATCCTAAAACTGGTGAAGAGCCAGGAGAGTGGCAAGATTTTGTAGGGGACGATGGTGATGTCTCTTGAGTGGCTAGTTTTTGAATTTGGTGCATCACACCTGTAAAAAAAATGTGCTCCTGAGTGCTACAGATAACTTGCTTGAATTGGTCTCTGATAACAAATATACTGAATGTCAAATAAATAATTACATTACCTTCACGCCTGAAGTAAATGCTGTAGACATCAGGCAATTTTTGCATTAAAATATTAGCCAGCTGTAAGGCTCCTACAACAACTTTCAGATCAGGTGAGCCCAGCATGCAGGCAATGTGGCTGTAAAAATTATAGTCAAAAAGAATCTATTTTAATTCAATCAATTTTAAAAGTTGAATATAGGTTTTAGAAATAAATTGGCATTTCATTTATGAATTCTTTGTTGTACAGCTTTCTTCATTAGAGAAATAATTATTAAGTAATAAAACACAAACCTTGAAACAGACTGATTAACAAGAACTTTTCTTAAAAGGTCTGGTGGAGAATAAAAGATCATTCTCAGAATGGTTTGAAGGCACTTATGGCGAATATTGGGCCCAGCCTGAATTGAATTTTTAGTAAAAAGTTAAAAAGAACAGATATTTGATTTGCAAAATAACTTCATTAAAGTTTTTTGAAAATTAAAACAATTAGTATGAAATATTAACTCACAGAGGAACTGTACACCTCATATAATACAGCAAATAAAGTTTGGATAAAATTGGAAGCCAAATCCTGATCCTCTTTTAATATTTCAGCTCTAGAATCACACCTCTCAACATTAGGATCTGACTGACCAACTGCAAATAATAGTTTTTGGAGTAATAAAAGATATACAGATGTAAGATATAGAGTGAATAATCAAAAACATTTTACCTGTGTCTCCAGCTGCACTGTTTTGGCCAGACACTCCAAGGCTATTTACTTTACGAACCACTGGTCTTGCAGTTCCTGTATCTTCATTGATTTGCTGCATTGAATTGAAGTCCAGCAAATAAGATCTCCCCATTGTGGATAAGCTAACTTCTTCTTCACCGGCTTGATAGGCAGCCTAAAAAAATTAAGTTTAGTAAAAAAATATAGAATTTTGTTTAAAAAGTGAGAAAAATCTTTTTAAAAAGTATTTTAAACAGAGGTTAACACTATTTTTAAGAGTCGCAACCCTTTCCTATGGACAGGAGTAGTGAGAAATGAAATACTGTATAGATAGTGTATTTAACAACTATCTGATTAAAAACAGCACTAATTATATCTACCTCAACAATTTTATTATCAATTGGGGAGTACATATGCCATAAAGCTCTATCATCTTGCCACTGCCACAAAGCTCCATCTTGATTGACAATTCCACCTTTTCCAAGTAGGCTATTTACTGTAAACACACCATCCCTTGGTAGACGGGGTAGAAGCTCACTGGAATGATTTATATCGTATTAAAGATGGTTAAGTGGAATAAGATTTGATTCAGAGGCTAAAAATAATACTGGTTATTCTAATATAAAGCCACCTTTACTTAACCCATAATTCAAATCAAGTATCCATTAAAGCTGGGTATGCTCATGGCTGGGCAGGGTACTTTACAAAAAAATACTGGCATAACAACTGAAGGCATTCAAAGCCCTTTGATAAGAGACAATACACTAAACAACATATCTATGTAGTCCCTTGTATGTAAATTATTTCACTTAATTTTTTATTAAACATACCCTATAAGACTGACAATTTCATAGAGCTCTTGTGGAGTTCTAGACACAAGCTGAAAAAAAAAATGCTACTGTCAAATCTATGGATAAATCAGAAAATATGTATTGTCAGTTGAAATGTAAAGCATACATACTTCAAAACACTGATCAGTTGTTTCAGAAGATCCTGTCAGAAGATATCTCAATGTTTCAGCAATTTCTGTAAAATAAGGTTTCAATATATTTTTAAATGGTCCTTACTAAATTAAAAGACTGCCTGGGCTTAGAACTTTACTAAGTCAAAAGACCGCCTAGGCTTAGAACTTACAAGACATCTCTTCATATGCTATGGTCACTTCCTACTTCATCTGCTCTATTGACTAAAAATAAACCCATGCAAAATCAATACTATGAAGTAACAGTTGAGTGTTCTTTTACATTTAGACAAATTTTCATGCAAAGAACTTACTCTGTTTAAGCAGTATGACAGCCAAATCAGGACAGCTTGCACACATCACTACCAACATCCTAACTACAGTGATAAATACACTTGTGTTGATAACCGGAGGACTCATCATTAGCTTGGAGATAAATACAATATGTTAAGAGTCTGAAAGTGCTTGGCTAAAACTATTGATCTTCAAAATATATGTAATGATGAATTACCTTTATTTTACTTCAAGTGTGGGCAGTATACAATTTTTAAAAATAAAATTGCTAAATGTTTTTTCATATTTTTTATTAAATTTTTGTAAGTTCATGCTAGAAAATGTTAAATTTGCTTATGCTCACCAACTGCTGTATGTTTGTCAGCAAATCATGCACTGCAATTTCTTTTAAAAGTCTTTGATCATTCTGAAAGTTATCAACAAGTCGAGCAAAGCACAAGCACACGCTTTCAACTGACTTGCTATCCTGCAATATAAAAATTTTTGACTAGTTACCCTTCAATATTAAAATTATCATAATTCTTGGACATGTTTGTTTCCAACTCATCATTAAAAAAACTGAAAATGCTAATTCAGCGATAACACAATTTTCAAAACTAAAACTCCCTTCTATTTCATTCATTTTCCTCTCTGTTATTAACCTAAATTTGCAAGCAGTGCAGGCCTTAATACTCAAATTTAGTTTTGAAGTTAATGTCCCAAAAACGCTTAACAAAAACAAGTTAGTTTGATGAACCGTCACAATGTTATTATCTAAATGCTAATATTTACTTACTGAATGTGTCAGCCTTGAGCTTAATAAAGATAAAGAGTCCCTCATATACTGGAATTCATCAGCTGACATAGACTGAACACAGTTGGCTGTGATATTTAAGGCTCTACGCTGAGCAATAATGCTAAAGAAGTCTAAGAACATAAGACACGCAGAAATACCACCCTAAAATTAAAAGAAGAAAACATTGAAATCTTGTGTGCTTAGAAAGATTAGGAATTAATTCATGCACATAAATAAGAATTTATTGTAAAGCTCGAGTTAATGGACATGGAATTATAATAGAAATCTGTTGAACTTAAAACTTTGTCATAATTTAGTTTAAATATTTTTTTGACTTACTTCTATAGAACAATTGTACAGTAATATAATAAATATAATTTACTCACAGCTTGCAGGATGGCTTTTCCATGCCGCTTTGAAAGTGTTTCAAGTGCAGATAAAGACTGTTCTGCTACATCAATACAATTAATCACTTGAAGCTATAAATAGACAAAATGTGCAACACTTTATACTGAATGCTTCTTTTAAATTTATAATTTTTTTTTTAATGTTTGTAACCATTTACCTTTTCTAGAAATACAGCAACACCTTCTACAACAGATGCTGAAGACCGTGGCAGTGCTTCCATCATATATGTAAGAGCCCGACTAGCATGAATCATCATCTCGAAGTTATGTTCCATTTGCAGAAGCTGGATTAATGCAGGCACCACTTGCTTGATTGGAAAACCGACTAAACTGTCTTCATTACCCATAACTAGAATCTGTAATAAAACATAAAAATAAAACATTCCAATCAAATAAATAAATTCCTTCACCGATCTGATAATAATAATCGCTATGAGTAGACAGGATTCACAAATTTAAAATACTGGCAATGCCAGAGTCAAGGGTGTTGGCATATATATTGACTTGACAGCATGACCAGTAGTTTAGATAAAATAGTCTGGATGTACATAGAATACAATGACCAGCAGCAGTAGGATAAACGCGCCTGTCTCCATATAATAAGTGCACCAATGGTGTGTCGCATTTTAGCGACAATCCACATTAAGGGGTTAAATGTTAATAGATTTTTTTTAAATGTTCTCAAACCTGGCACATATCCATAACAGCTGATAACTGTTGAGCTTCATCCCCTGTGGCCTGAAGTCCTTGTAACAGATGCTGAACTTTTGTCACTTGATTAAATGTATGATACAAAAATGAGGTTTTATATATATTTTTGTTTGTGTGTTCTGATAGCTGGTATTACTGACAATAAGTTTTAATGTACATTATTTCACAAAATTGTGGATATATACACAGACACACACACACACACACACACATATATATATATATATATATGTATATATATATATATATATATATATATATATATATATATATATATATATATATATGCCTATATACACACATGTATATATATACATAAATAGATATATTTATATTTAGATAGATGTATAGATATGGATAGATACATAGATATACATACACACACACAAATATACACAAATTACTAAAGTCAATTTACATGTGCCTCCGCTCATTGTACGGTGCAACAATTGATGCATGCGCGGTCCTAATGCTCCAAACAAATGAGATGGCAATCCTCTGGCTTCCAGGAGAGCTGTAATGAGATAAGTTTATTACATATCTTTTAGATAATGTTCAATTTTCCAAAAGAATGACATAAATAAAACATATTTTTATAATGATAAATGGCAGTTATCAGTAAAAGTAAACATACCTTGCAATCGATTCATGTCTGATTCATCACTTTCATTATCAGGACCAGTGCCACCTACAGCACCTAAAGGCATACCAGACACAGAGTCTACAAAAAGAAGTAAACCTGTTTTTAAATTATTTTCTCAATTATGGCTTGATAGAATACATTTGAGGTACTAAAACAATTCACAACTTACCTTGGCCTTCAGGTGGAACAATAGCTCCTGAACCAGTTCCTCCTTCCCTTGACCTTGATCCTCCACTGCTGTTACCATCCTGTTGTTGGTGATTTGAGGACATAGCTGAAAATGTAGCGGTGGTTGTGGCTATACTATTTTTATTAAAATCCGATCTCTCTCTAGCTCCAACACTTGCTCCACGGCTGGCACCAGCACGTCCTGATCCTCGACTTGATGTAGACGACTGCCGCCCACTACAAAGAAAGGATTTTTTAAAATTAATTTTGAATTGTTACTTATATTAGAATAAAATACAAAATACTAATTTTCTAGAAAATCTTTAACAAATACCTGTTACTGGCACAAGATCCCGTCTTTTTGCCTCTTGTTTTTCCTTTGGGCTGAGACTTTTCTTCTTTAGAAGTTTTGTCTTTAGTTTTTGGAGACTTGGATTTTTTTGATCTGCTAGCTTCAGTCTTTTTAACACTAGGTGAAGAAGTATCTAATTTTTTTGGCAGTGGTGGTGATAATTTATTTGAAGGACCAGGTAAGGCGTTCACAGGGCTACTCTCCTTTTCTTCGTTTGAAGATGACCTAAGACAACGCTTTTTTGGACTAGATGGTTTAGATGAAAGATGCTCCTCAAAGTCTTCAACAAAATCTTCAAGATCACTATACAAATGCACACCGTCAGAATCAGCTAAAGATGATGGCTTAGAAGATTTTTCCCTATTATCTTTTTTGTCAATACCTTTGCTGTGTTTCCCTTTACCTTTGGAAGGTGGCACTAAAAATATTCAAATCAACAATTTTTTTTTAAATAAATTATTGATTCAGTTTTTTTTTATATAGAAATTATTTTTTGAATAGATGAGACTAAAGACAAAAAAGAAGAAAAGTAATATTAAACATTTAATATTTAAAATTATGTTTTTACATTTAAAATGGCAATTACCAGATGTGCTGTCTCCTATCTCTCCAGAAATCTTTAATTCTGGTGAAATTTGTAATAAATCACCACCTTTTCTTTTCTTTCCTTTTCCTTTCTTAGAAATAACAGTCTCTGCCACAGGCTCGTCAAAAGTCTCTGTAACAAATCTAAATGCTGCAGCTTCTAAATCAGCTTCAGCTAATGATGTATTAGACTTTCTGGGTCTCAAAGATCGTTGTTTGTCTTTTAATTTTCCTTTACCTTTGCTGGCAGTCTCAACTATACTACAATTTACATTTAATGAAAAATCACTTTTTGATGGGTTCAAGTCTACTTTATGCGGTTTTGAAGACCCTTGAATAAGATCTGTTTGAATTGAGGTAGCAGATAGTTCTTTCTCTGACTTTGATTTTCTACCTTTACGAGGCTTAGTGACAGGTGCTGATTCACTTAGTGAAGTATTTGATCTGAAATATGAAATGTTATAATAATGATTGAATTTAAAAAAGCATTTTGAATCACACTTGGGTTTTTATTCATGTAGTGTTCATATCTAATCCCTAAATTTGATTTGATTTTAGCCAAAGATAAAAATATCCTTAGATTTACATTTCTAGCAAATTATACCTTTATCTAAACATCTAAATACTTTCTCTAAAATAATAGTTTCAAAAATTTCAAATCTGTTACTAGTGTTACTTACTTTGTAGCATTAGAAGTAACCCCTGCACCGCGCCTTCGTTTACTACCCCCCGCCAGCTCTTCACATAGAGCATCCATATGCTACTGCACACACCCAGCACATGCCAGATGAGTCTGAAGAGAAAAGTTTTATTATAAAGCTAAGTACAATGTTTGTAATGTTTCATTTTTAAAAACAAAAAGCCCTAATTATACTATAATTTTTTCAGGTTTATATGATAGTCACAGAAGTAGTTTTAATTTTGTATTAAGAAAATGTCCTACTGAACTATCAAGTTACTGAACATAGTGGATCAGTGAGTGTTAATTTTTATTATATAAAATTCTTACTAGCCCACCTACTTTTTCCTCAATTCCCTGGATATTAATATCTAATTAGTTCTCTCAGTCCCAGAGATTATTTAACCTGTACCCAAATCTTGTTAATAAAAGGTCCAGACAAAATACTTTAAAATCCATTATTTTACAAGTTAAAAAGCAGAAGTAAGGTTTATAATAGTAAACAACAAATTAAAATTACTTCTGTAGTAAATAGTTGTTAGTAGTATTGTAATTAGGGCTATGTGAGGGCTTATGTTAGGTTTTGAGATAATGTTAGTATTGCACCATGTAATAGTTTTTAATTCACAGCCATTAACATAAAGTCCATTGATGTGGCGTTACTGGAAACTGGTAACAGGATAACAAGATATTTAGATCTAAGTTACCACAAGGCTGATATTAAAATAACCCTTACAAACTATTGGGATGATTTTAGATACCTATGTCCAATAATAGACTCTTTCATAAAATAGGTGTGTTGGGTTGTTGGTAGTAGTAGTATTGTAATCATGAATAATTTTATGGTTAGAAATTAGGGTTAGGCATATGGTAGGACCAGGGTTTGGGTTAAGGACAGGGTTAGCATTGACATTAGCCAGTCATGTGTTTATTTAGTTAACTACCAGTAGCCTAACACTTCTTTCATTATTGGAAACCAGTATAAAAATTCACCCAACTAATTTAATGGGGAGGACAGTTCACAGTTTATCAAGAACAAAATACCCTCCTATTATTAGTTTTATATCCTTGCTTTTCCTATGACTGTAGTACTAAATACCAGACTGTATTACTGTATTATTAATATACATTTTTTTAAAAAGATCAAATCAGATATAAATGAAAATGTTTTTCTTGATAATTTTTTTAAATTTCCAGACAATCAAAAATTGTTCCCAACGTCTTAACATTGCTGACAGGGCAATTTCATTTTTAATAAACTTCCCTACTTCCTAGTTTTTTTGACTTTGTTGGAACACAACTTACAAGTTCTGAAATTAATTTTCGATGCCAAGTTAAGGAATTATTAGGAGGCCAAGCCTGCTATCATAATGCAAAATTCAACATAGAATATTATCTTACAATAATAAAAGCACTTATATTGTGATATTGTGACTGGTGAGATATACTGAAGAGATTAGTGGGTTTTTTTTTATTGTGTTAGAGCCTGTTTTTATAAGAAAAAGTATTGATTTAAGTTTATATTCACATTTACGATTTATTATGTCAATGGTGCACTCTAAGTCTAAAGCTTAAGTGATTAGAGTGTAATTACACATTAGGACTTGATAGTAGCCTAAACTCTAAATTAATAATTATGCAACTTTTTAGTAGTTCAGAATGCTATGCCAATCATTTTAAAATTCACATACAATAAATTTCAGGTGAAAGAGCATATCCATTTAATCCGATAGGCTTAATTATTATGTTTCTATCACAGTTTTCACACGTTTTTTTCCTCTCTTGACAAAAATCTAAAGGACATGACTTTTTCTTTCTGCAAATATACTGCAGTCCCGTCACAAATGAGAAAAAAAAAAAAATCGCAAATAGGCCTATACAACTTGAATTGTTTGTTTTTTTAATGAATTGAAATTAGATCTAACCCTTTCATGAATAAGGGGAAAAAATTATAGTTGTGAATTTTAAAGTTGTTCCCAAAGAGATTAAGGCATTTGGTGGTTTGGAACCCACATTCCTACAACATCCAGCACGACAACCACATATTGTTCCACTCAACCAAATTGTTTAGGATTAAAGTTTAAAGAATAGCTGACTTTTTTCAGTTCGACTTGGAAGACTTTGGAATAGAGACTTTGTTAAGATTTGAAAGTAGGTACTAGTAGTAGCGAGGCTCACTAACTTGAAAGCGTCTCTGGTTGCTAACAACAACATGGCGTCCTACACCGGACGCTTAGTTTCGGACATTTTTCTTGTCTGCCCAAGTGACTTTCTAGGAATTCGTTTTTAAAATGTTTACCTCGTGAAAAATGGCGGTTTTTTCACATAATGTAAACAAACTATAAATGGCAGTGCTAAATATGCCAGAGAAACGCTATAAATTGCTTTGGATAATGAAGACCGAAGCTCAAAAAGTGGTGCCGACAAACATTCGTAGATCTTTTTAAATATTAGCTACTACGATGTAGATCGGAAACCGAAAGTACATCAATATTAGATTTAGCAGTCTGTGTAAAAATAAATCGAATATTACATGCGCTAATTTTTTAAAAAATTCTCCAAAACGGTCACCACCAAAAGTAAAAATTCCATAACCCACGTGACCGCTATTGGGCGGGAGACGTTTGCCTAGGTGGCTCTATCGACTCTTTACTACGTTTGTGTTGTTATTTATGTTGACAAGCGTTAAGTGAATATTTTCCAATTTTGATTTTTACATTGCTGGACAAATTAATTAAGTATTTCGATCTGAACATGGGAAGATAGGAATTAGTTGGTATTTCTGTAAAAGCCCGTAAACCGGTGATCTCGTGGTGAAACGCGATCTCGATACGTCTAGTAAAGTCTAGGTGCTAAATTATTTACTTGATTTTATTATTACTAATTACGACTTGATCGAATTATAGTTAATATTATTTTCATTTGCTTTCATTTTTTATATAATTGATTATTATGATTTAGATCCAGAAGGACTAGGCTAATAAATTATAATAATCATATTAGAGGACAGCCTGCATAAAGAAAAGTTTGCATTCTTAGATCTAGATCTAGTTGACACAGTACTTGGACTTGCGCACACGCTCGCGTGATGTGTCGAAAGAACGCAAGCGGGCTCGTGACGAATTTGCATAATTTTTCACTCACAAGTGATCAACGTTAATGTGATAGGCGTAGCCTAACAATCTTTAAATATATCTAGACACCAGCTCTAGATACAAATTTAAGTATTAAAACTCCGCCTGGATATGTCTAGCTTCGGACGGGCGATGTTTCTCTCGTTGACAAAACAACGCGAGCGAGCCGTCACTACGCACAGCCTATGAGTGGCGATGTTTGGAATGCATTTCTCGCTCACATGTGATGAAATTTAATGCAACGACAGTTTTAAAAATAAAAACAGATATTTTATTATGTCTATATAGATCTACTTTTTTAAATATTTAAAACTCAGCCTGGACAAAGCTTCCATGCTGGATAAGGGAGGAGGGTTAGATTCCGCCGTTAACTCAATCTATTATTATTAGGCCTAATTGTCCTAATTAAACATTCCTATTTACACTGATTAATCAAGACTGAATAAAAGTGAAAATGAATACCTTTAAAAAGTTTAGATCTATATATTTTTAAACATTTATACGTGATTTTTTTTGGTTCATTCCTTTGGCGTTTACTAGAAATACAGTAAATAGATTACATAACCAAGTTACGAGTATCCTTTCGATTTCGTTTTATTGCAGCATACCTCCACTTCCCCCTCCCCACACATGATCCTTACGAACCTCCTTGGTCGTTTTCAGGTCAACTTTAGGAACCAGATCTTTGAATGGTTGTCATGGAAAAATCTTTCCCAGCTAAGCTGTATGGCACCAATAATTAAAATCATGTATTTTAGTTCAAAATGAGCTAAAATCATCAAATGTAGTGCCTGGTTAGTTAGAGAAATATCTCTAGCTTTTATTGGTATTGGTTAAAAAAATAAATAATTAAAATTAAGATTTAGTGAGCCTCGCTAACTAGTAGGTAGGCCATCTAAATCTAATCTAGATCTAGACATTATTTTCAAATAAGGTTTGATCTAGAATCTAGATTAATCTAGAATTCTAGATCTAGATTACTAATATAGAAGATCTAGATCAATTTGATTCTATCATCTAGAATCTAGAATTCTAGATCTAGAGAGATCTGAGATCTAGATTCTAGAACTAACAACAAGCAAGACTTCACTCTCAACAAGGTAGACCAAAGCTAAATTTCTACTAGATCTGGACTACAAGGCTAGAGCTAGACTAGGTAACTTAGAGTACTAGATTCTAGATATTTATATCTAGAATTCTAGATTTAGAACTAGAATCTAGATCTACTAGTACTAGACTAGGCCTACTGAAACTTAAAAAAAATAAAATAGTCTGGCACTGCCACTGGTGGGGGAAAAATTTAGTGACTTTATTAAACCTTACAAAAACAACATTGTCGGACAGATCAATCTCTAAAAATCATCTCATAGAATTAAAGACAAGACAAAAGTATGTATGTGATTAGCATGAGAGGGAATTTTAACTATTGCAGATAATTACTTGTAGTTTGTAAACAATGAAGTCACAAAGGTTGTTGATTTACAGCTGTGAAATGGATTCTCTACTCACAGATGATGATGCGCACGCAGATTGTCTTTACTTCCGTTTATTAAATGTCGTCTGCGAAAGTTAGGTGGATACGCAGAAAGTTTTTACACTTTAGGCTATGCATTATCTATGCTACGCCCAGATCAAATGCGCTAAAATTAATATTGTTGCTCTTTTTGTCTAAAAATAGTAATTTACCAGACGTTGATTTTAGCTTGATCTTTTACCAAAGAAAAAATCAAAGAAACTTTCCAGGGTCCATAAGACAAAATGTTGAAAAGAAAACTGCCTTGGGCTTGGGATATGATAGATCTATAATTTTTTATAACCTAGAACAAGAATCTAAAGCCAAGTATAAAAAAGGATATAGAATCTAGACTCTAGATCAGGGGTTCCCAACCTTTTTTTACTCTAGAGCACATTCTAAAATATCGGTAGGGTGGCGGGCACCACCTATTTTAAATTGACAAACTCCCTCCAGAGGCGTAGCGACCCTTTCCGATTTGCACCCCCTCAAACTTTCGATTTGCACCCCCCCCCTCGAATTTTCGATTTGCACCCCACCCCCTCCCCTCAAACTTTCGATTCCCATCCCCTTCAACCTTTCAATAATATTAATGAAAAAAAAATTCTGTCTCTGTCGAATAGTGAGAGGCGGGCACATCCGGATCTTTCGGCGGGCGCTATGGCGCCCGCGGGCACGGGGTTGGGAACCCCTGCTCTACATCCTAGATCTATATAGACTTCATAAAATAAGATATAGATCTTGGCGTATATTATAAGCTAATCTCCACCAAAATTGGCAAACACAACTAGCCTACATCTGTGGTGACGTTACAAACATCATCAAATATAACTCATTACTTGTACGCCGTGGAGTATCATGCGATTTCACACCAGTTACCAGCGGGCACAGGTTCAGTGTTTCTTCCAGACTTTTTTTCTCCGGGGGGGGGGCACTTGAAATTTTCGGGGGGGGGGCGGTAAACTTTCTTCAGGGAGGGGCGGACACTGTTAAAAGTATATATTTTCTATATAAATTATATAAATTTCATTCCGTTCGGGAGGGCGGTAAAAACTTTTCTGAAGAGATGCCTGGAAGAAACTCTGCACAGGTTCCCAAACTTTGACCACCATATAATTAAAAAAAAAAATTTATCTAGTCTATAAAACGACGACCCCGACAAAACCAGAGTTTCTTCCAGGCATCTCTTCGGGGGGCGAAGCCCCCCCCCCCCCCCCCCCCGAAAATTTTTTACCGCCCCCCCCCCCCCCCCCCCGAACGAAATGAAATTTATATAATTTATATAGAAAGTATATACTTTTAACAGTGTCCGCCCCCCCCCCGAAGAAAGTTTACCGCCCCCCCCCCCCCCGAAAATTTCAAGTACCCCCCCCCCCCCGGAGAAAAAAGTCTGGAAGAAACACTGGACAAAACCATTCGACGACACTCATAGATTGGGAACAGGTGGTCGAACAAGAGGGTCCGGGGCGCAGGAATCGACCCCCGACAAAACCCATGAACTAACAGTACCTATTCATAAACAAATTGATCCCTTAAGAGCTAAATATTCGACCAATGTTAAAATTTCGATAAGGTTTAATATACAACAGTGAAGATCTGTTGCTTAAAAACGAGCACTTGAAGTTTAAATCTATTATATACATTATATTTTACAGGATAGGGGTAATCCATAAATGACGTCACACTCGTAGGGGGGAGGGGGGTCCGTAATTTTGTGACGATGTGTGATGAGGGGAAGGGGGGGGTCTCAGATGTTGCGACGTCACACTTTTGCATTATAAAAAAACAATGTTAGAAAACGAATTTTAGACGTTATTTCGCGTTTTAGATAACTGTTTTAATAAATTGTAATAGTTTAGACAAGATTTTAGAAAAATATCGATGTTTTAAAAAAATTCAACTACAATTTTGAGGGGGGGGGGGGTTGTAGGTTGAGGTGTGACGTCATTTTAGGGGGAGGGGGGTCTGGCTTTTTGTGACGACGTGTGACGGAGGGGAGGGGGGGAGGTAAAAATCGTCAAAAAAGCGTGACGTCATTTATGGATGACCCCCATAACGGTATTTTGTTTTGATAACATACAATCATAATGTAGGAAAATGTACAGCGTGCACCTCTCTCCCACACAGTGAGTTGGAACAGCACACAGCCGACTGAGTCAACATTTTTTCCGATAACTGGAAGTGGAACTTATTCTACTTTTTGTTTTTCAAAAGCCTATAACTTGAGTACTGTTTCAGATTCAGGGGTCTCCAAACTTTTCAGCCCGAGGGCCGCATTAACTATCAAATATTAGTTCGGGGGCCAGAGTTTCTTCCAGGCATCTCTTCGGGGTAGCTGAAATGCCTTTAGTTGGGTGTATAGAAACTATATTTCCCTCTCTTATAGTTATGGGTTCAGAAAATTTCAATGACTAGTTATGTTTGCAGCAGAGGCCAATTGCTATACCCATTCTTCACCAGACATTTATGGACGTGGCTTGCCTACTTTCCAGGAAGTCACCTATTTCCTTTCTTAACTTAAATACTCTGCTCAGAAGTTTCTCACAACTTAGCCATCGTACTGCTGTGTAATATAGTAAATATTGCGATTCTGTGTTTGTATCTTTCAACATGTCGCTAAACTATCTAGGGTTAAGCCCATATGACCTTATTAAATTCACCATCTTCGTTAGAGTATTCAGTACACAGCTTAAGTCCATATATTTAGCACACAAAGCTTGCCGTTTCCACCAATGTCTGCAAAACGGCGGGCAATGGTATTGCAACCAAAGCTACATTTTCAAATTATTTTGAATTTTCTGGGCAAAGTTCCTCAGCCACCTCCAAGAAACATTTTTTCCCGTGGACAAAAAGATCTCCGCGGGCCGGATGAGAGGACCTCGCGGGCCGCATCCGGCCCGCGGGCCGTAGTTTGGAGACCCCTGAGATAGATAAACGAAATTTCACATATAAGTAAAAGTTCTAATTGTCTGCCATCTTTCAAATTTTGAAATTTACACGCTATTTCCGATTTCTCAAAAGACGTATATGAATTTATAAAGTACTAATATTCCCCACTATTATACACATATTTTTTGTCGTTCACTTGATTCTATTCTATTTAAAAAAGTAATTTAAAATGGATAAATATCATGTCTATATCCAGTGGCGTAACTAGGATTTTCGGATCCCTATGCTCCTTCGTCAGCCGTCTGGCTACAATGGAGTTACAACTGCTACTTACGATGGATAGTTTTAAATATTATAAACATTCTGCACATTTTGTATTTTATACGTCCTGATTATGTATTTATACCATATTATTATTTAGGCCTCCTACTGTTACTACCCCGTAGTTTTGTAAAAATGTTACAGGCTTACAGTTAATGTGTTGTTTTTGTAAGTAACCAAACACAGTAGCGTTGCAAGGCGGGGGCAGTGGTGCTGTACGCATCTGATGACAACATTTATGCATGGTATCTTTACAAAGCTGTTAAAAGCTATGTTGTATCCAGCTAAAGTAATAAAAGATTAGTGAGAGAGGGGTGACACCCCACCGAAAATGCAATTATTTTGTGGACCATGGGGTGATACTTTTAGTAAATGCACAGGGGAACATCCGACCTTGTAACGCCACTAACCAAACACAATTTTTTTGTTTTAAATTGCTCATGACTTATTTAGACCTGTTATTTTTCATGCTTTTAATTTTGTAAAATGATCAATAAGTTCATTGATATCTATTTTAGCTGCTTCTGTAAGTTCGATACTTAGGATGGCCAAGATATTGACACAATGGGCATATCTACAATTTGTAAGAAAGGACTGGGTGCATTTTTTTTGTGTGGAACTTTTAGCCTTTTTCTTTTTTAAATTATATATATTAAAAAAATTAAAATTCCAATGTAAAAATTTTAATTTTTTTTAGAGGGAAAAGGGCCCCTATATGCCTAGGGCCCCTATGTCTTGCCTACGCTAGCTTTACGGTAACTATGCCACTGTCTACATCCCGATTTACCATACACAACAGTATTATATAAGAACTAGCTGCATACCCGTGCTCCGCCACGGGGAATCTTTTTAAATGTACCAAATGTACCAACTATGGAACAGAACAAAACTAAACACAAACACAAAAGAAAACTTAAACACAAACACAACACAAACACAACAAACAAACACAAAAGAAAACACAAACACAACACAAACCGCTGAAGGATTATCTGCCCCATGCGATATCAACACCCTAGATCTCGAGAAGCGTTTGTGTTTTGTTCTGTTCACAAGTTCGTACATTTAAAAAAGATTCACCGTGGCCGAGCACGGGTATGCAGCTAGTTTAAAATATCCATGTTTTACCTAACATGTACCTACTTTATAAATCGATGCTAATTATGTTATTCTTGGACATCCGCAGATTTTGCAGTAACATTTTTATTATTACTATTATTATTTTTAAGTTTATGTTTAATTACCCCCCCCCCCTGGCATAACTATTACATATTTTAATTAATTAGTTTTTTTAGACACTACTGTTATTAAAATGTATCCACTTTTTCTAGGAATCTAGACGAAAATTATATTTGACATTGATCCGTTTAATATGTTTTAGCAATGTGCGTGTATTCAATATTTCCTTCACGTTATTCGAAAGAATAAAAACTGAGGCAGCTATAAAGTAAATTTAAGTCGTTATATAAACAAACCCTACTCTATCTATCTATAAAGTTTGTTTACATGTTTATATATATATATATATATATATATATATATATATATATATATATATATATATATATATATATATATATATATATATGTTTTTTTTGTTTTGTTTGTTTAGTTTCACCAGAGAATCTGCACTATGTGCAGAGCTGTAAAATACGTATTTAGGTAGAGAACAATGTTCTTTTTCACCAAAACTGTTAATCACAAATTTATTTAAAGACGTTAATTAATTCGTTCATATATTCATAGGTAGATTAACCACTTTAATTATTAAAGTTCAGAACAATGACGTTACTTATAGTGACGTCACATTATTTATTTTCTTTTTATAACAATAATGGCGGCTTACATCGAATATTTTGTTGCCCATTCAAAAGTTTAACGCATTATAAAGCTAATTTTCTGTCGGCTATAGTTTTAACGATACGTCCGTTTGCTATTTTTATTAGGTTCCAACACTATTATCAATTTTCAACAGTTCTTCTAATTTGAGTAGGCCCTATACAATAAATTTCTCTAGATCTACAGATCAGCTGTCGGACGGATCAATGGAAAGTCAATCCTAGATCTAAAATCTAGGTCAAACCAAAATTAATTAGTTAAAAATAAAAACCATTTGTAAAATCACAATAAATTGTTGAGTTTCTTTATTAAACTATTTTAGTTCTTAAATATTTCATATAAATCTTTGCTTTTTAGCTTCACGGATCATCTAATTCAAGAATACAAAAAATGTTCTAGTAGCTTATGTAGATCTAGGTTTTAGATCTAAAACTACCGAAAGACTAGACTTAAGCAAAGCAAGTCGTAGAATCTAGATCTAGATCTAGAAAACTATCTAGATTCTAGATTCTAGATCTAGATAATAATGAGTTTCTATACATAACTATCTCAGACCTTCATTATTTCATATAAATCTTTGTTTGTTTAGCTATGGCGCTAATTTAATTTTGGATACAATTTAATTTGAAATAATACTATGGCCTATGCGTAAATCAAGTTTCTTGCGCAGACTTAAAAGTCAAAGTATAAATATAACAGTAAATGTCAATCTTAAATATTTTGTTCACTTTTTAGCGCAATTTCCATACTGGAATTGCGATTATTAATTCGTCATTTCTGGATGTGTGTCCGCAGCTTTACCGCAGCTTTAAGTCGTATCTCCTCCTCAACGAAGCAATATCGAGGACTAGTTCCAAAAGCAAATATGTTAAGCAAGTTCCGAGGATGATTGTGGGCCAAAAAAAATTCCCGGAATTCCTTCCTGGATTTCCCGGAAAAGCCAAAAAACCTCGAAATTTCTGGATTTATGGATGTGTGTCCGCAACTTTACCGCAGCTTTAAGTCGTATCTCCTCCTGAACGAAGCAATATCGAGGACTAGTTCCAAAAACAAATATGTTAAGCAAGTTCCGAGGATGATTGTGGGTCAAAAAAATTCCTGGTTTCCTTCCTGGATTTCCCGGAAAAGCCAAAAAAAAACCTCGAAAAAAATGCAGTTTTTGGCCCATATCTCGGCAACCAGACCACTTAGCGACTTGAAACATTTACCAATCGATTCCTGCCATAATTTAGAACAATATTGCCGAAGAAAGCTTTCAAAAATATCTTTTTGTTCGGTCACAAAAATGTTTTTAAAATTATTTAAACTGAGCATCGTGTAGGCCTAGGATGATATTTTAAACTGAGCATCTTGTAGGCCTACTCGTTAAAATAAAACTATTTCCGTTGATATAGGTTAATATAGTTGTCTTTTTTTTTTACTTATTAATTCAAACGTTATTTTTGTACCCTATTAATTAATTTATAATTTATATAAGAGTGATAGGGAGTTACAATTACAAGGTTTTGTTTCGCTTGGCCTAACCATTTTTTCACATTTTTAAAAAAATTAATTAAGGAAATTGCGCTTAAATTGTCACTAGACTTTTTATTAACTTGTTTTTACAAGTTTTTAAAACTTGCTTATTCTTTCTGTCTTCATCCCTCCTGTCTAGATCGAAAAGCGAGAGCGAAAATTCAGGCACTTGAACCTATCAACTTTCTGAATTTCGGCAATGCAATTAAAGACAATGCAATCTGACATCATATTTGACTTAATTGGATGCCTAATTATTTTTGTATGAATTGATTGAAATTTTCTGAACATTGTGATACTTTTCCGCACTATTATACGCGCGCTATTATGTTTATTTGGTGCGCATTGTATTAACATTTTTAAAGTATTGAAAAAAATTGCATTAAAAACGTTTAAATAACAAGCTTTTATGTAATAATGCACTAAAATGGAGAAAATAAATGATTTTCTTAAAATATATAATAATTCACTACTATTTATCTAACTGTAAAGGAAAGCGTGAATCTCTTCCTAAATATTAGTAAATGTATTCAATGGATAATATATTGGCCCGCGCGTGTTTATTAGTATTCCCTCCGCCCCGCCCCCATCTCCTAATCAGAGATCACAGTTCCCCCCCCCCCCCCCCAAGCCCCTCCCGAAGAAAGTCTACCCCACACCGGACGAAATGGAATTTATATAGAAATTACATACTTTTACAAGTGTCCTTCCCCCACTCCCCGGAAAATTTAGTCCGCCCTCGAAAATATCAAGTTTGAAAGATACCATGTAGTGGGTTTTTAAATTATTTTTTTCTTCGCGGGGGGGGGGGGGGGGGGGGGAAGGGGGGGCACTCGAAAAAATAAATTGGGGGGGGGGGGGGGCAGACACTGGTAAAAGTATATATTTCTATATTAATTCTATTTCGTTCGGGAGGGGGGGGTAGACTTTTTTCGGGGGGGGGGGGGGGATTCCTAGAAGAAACACTGAAAGAAGCACTGACAGAACTCTTATTGGGTAAGCGCATTCGCAATTTATATTATTACAGTTATATTATTGGATGCAACCCTTTTATCGAAAGTTGCAGTTCCTTCCTAGCTTAAAACTTAGGACTTGGTCTTTGACCGTCCCATCAACCACAAGCACAGGCGCAGTTTAAATTAAATGAATTGCTTGTTTCTCGCCATTTAGATCTATGATAGTTTTTAACAAATCCCTTTTGTGGTCACGTGACCTTAAAAACAAAAATGTCGGACAAATCCAGCAAAGAAAAAATGATGGGAAAATCCAAGGTTTGATTCCTCTTAACCTAGACTCTAGTCTTAACCTATCCTAATGATAATTCATCTGACATTTAATAAAAAATAATTGAACAATAATCTTTATTTGAATCCCATGTTCTACGGAAAAGCTTAGGCCTTTAGATCTAGTCTACTCTAGACTAGTGACTAGAATCACTAGAATCTAGATATTAGATCAAACATTTTCCATTTTTTGGCCTAGATTCTAGATCTAGATCTAGAATTCTAGATCTAGATTTCTAAATTCTAGAATCTAGATGATCTAGATCTAGATCTAGAATCTAGGTCTAGACGTAGAAATAAAGTATGTTTGTAGATATTCAGATATTCTCATCAAATTAGGCCGTTCGAATTCACAGCTTCCGGGTTTGTTGTTTTGAAGCCATCTCACGGCTCATGCGCTTACCAAAAATGGCGACCAGTTTCGCTTTCACTAATGGGTAGAGCGATAAAACTAATGATTACGAAGCCATCGTTAATTTAAGAAATCGGAACTATCCGTTTCTATTTAAGTCTGTTATTTAAGAATTGTCGGATCTACTTTTGGCCTAATTTCTATGTTTGTCTCGCAAGCGGCGCCTTAGTGAAAGTAGCTCTATATAATTCTTATCTTTCGAATCAAATAACTATAAAATACCGCAGGTATTTTTAACCAGACTATTGCTATTTTTTACTTGAAAGCATTAATTTTACACACGTTACAATAAACTGGTAATAATTTATTGTAGGCATGAGATATGCTCTGTAAGAATAATAATGCCATTTTATTATAATCTTTTTTGGTGAACACGAAGCGCGGGAAAATGTGTGACGCGCAAGAATCCAATCATTCGGCTAGATTTATGACTGTTTTTTATGTCACACCTAAAAATAGAATGTTTACGCTTTCTTCATTGATGATCGTTTTCATTATTTTTTTAAACTGAAAGTATGAATTATTAGTTAGATTTCAGGTTTTGTAACTTGGTATACTTACCCTTTATCAAAATTTAAAGGCATAGCATGCTGATTGTGAACAAATATAGTCATAAAACACAAATATAAAGTTACAAACAATGCAATGTCGGGATGTGCCACACCCCCTCAAGAAAACACGTGTTTATTAAGCTGTTTATCTCACTTTACAACAGTAATTAAAATTAATTTTCAAATTTTTATCACTTATTGGGTAAGATTAAGCACATATTTACTAAAAATGAAAAAAAAACAAAAGCAAATTCTGTTTTAATGAAGGTCACGGGTCAAGTTTTTTTTTCCTTCTGTCATGTTCAGTGGAGGGTGCCACAGGCTGACCTGACTTTGGAATTTTTTTCAGTAATAATGACTTTGCACAGAAAGTTAAAATATGCTAAATTGGCTTAGTTTACTAGTGTGCAAGCTATTATTGATACATTTTTAATAAAAAAATCATTCTGTAATTCTCATCAAAAAGCCTAATCAAATCTTAACTTAAATTTAGTTATTTTTCTATTTAAACAACACTAATGAAAACTACTAAAACTAGAGATATATCTCTACTCTAACCAACCATACACTACATTTGATAGTTCTAGCTCATCAGGGGCTAAAATACATGCTACCTTAATTAATGGTGCTATTTAGTTCGGGGGGGGGGGGGAGTGAAGACACAGACAATCTCGTGAACTTGTGTTCATTTTATGGCCTATGCTTATTGCTTTAGGCCTGCTGAACTCACAGTGACCCCGCCGACTGTGGTGTGGGATTTTCACTCACGGGATAGTAAACATAAGCAAGCAATCATGCCAGTGAGTGACATTGTATTTTTGTTTGGAAATTTTATAAAAAAAAGAATCACATGTCATGTTTTCAATATGAAAAAAATAAAATGTAAAAGACACTAGTATTGGTCGTGCTAACCCTGGGTTTGAACTCGGAGCTTCAGAGCTATGAACTACACACTACAGTCTACAGCTCAACCACACCGGATGTGTTGGAGAAAGGAAAATGTAAGCATTTTCAGTCACAAGATTCAAGATGGCAAATCCAACCTGTGATATGCATAGTCACTTCGTTATGGGCCACGCGCTGCGAGATGCGGCACTTTGTATTTTTTTTAGTTTAGGCCAAATGAAGAAACGAAAAGGTTTTAAGGAAATTCATATTCACGTTTTATTTAGTTTTGATTAATCAGTGTATTTAGCAAGGTTTAATTAGGACAATTTATAAAAGATTGAGATATGATTGTAAAATCATAGTAAAATGAACCTAACCCTCCTCCCTTATTTGGCTATGGGACCATCACGATATTCACAAATAAGATTAGTATCTATTTGATTTTTCTTTTAAAAACTGTCATCGCATTAAAATTTATCACATCTAGGCAATAAATGCATCCCAATCAGCGACACTGGCCGCACGCATGGCAGACAGCTCGCTTGCTTGTTTACGTAATTTTATCAACAAGAGAAGCTAACTAATATAAACAGTGTATCGGGCCTATTAAATAAAAACATGCCTAGAGAATGTTTTTTAAAAAAATGTCAGCGCATTGAAACTGATCAGTCGTGAGCGAGAAACATGCATTCCAAACATCATCACAGACCACGTTAGTGCTGTTTTGGCAACGAGAGTAGCATCGCACGCCACAATGCGAGCACAGCACACTCATGTCCTAGTCCATGTGTACTTCGTTTACTAAGTGCTAATTAGTAACATAAGCCTAGCCCCAAGGTTTATAACATTAAAATTATTAGGCCTATTAAATTTTATTAATAAAAACATTAGTTAGCCTAATATAACTATTTGAATGAAGAACAGTGAAAATAATTTTATAATTAGCCTGATGAAAATTCATCAATTAGAATTAGGCCTAACAAAATTCTATTAGGCTATATCATATTTGAAAGCACGATAAATAGGCCTAATTAAGTAAGTAAATGTAGTAATAAGCCCACTAATACTAAGTCGGACAAGTCTCACTAATTCTAGAGATCAACACAGTAAAAAACAAAGTGTAAATTGTTGTTGTTTGGGTGATTTCAGAGTCTAATCCCATAGCAGTGTGAAAGATCGATAATTAGGCTTAATTAGCCTAATTACGCTAAAAACATTGTCCGAAAACAAATGGCAATTTAAAAAACACAACCAGGCCTAAATTACTATACATCTTCGGTACTGAAAGTCATGACGTCACATGTAAAAAATATGTTGTTTGAGTGACCCAATTGGAAGAACAATTTCACTATCTGGGAGTAGCTTAATTTCATTTTTTTTCACAGATAAGTAAATCTAATATTGATACACCCTTGTGTCAATTTTGACAACAGTTTCTCAAATATTAAAAGTTTTTAAATCTTCCAAACTTGACCAACTTTTACATTTGACCTTCACTACCGGAAAGCGATTTAACATTTTAGCTGGCATGCACAGCACTGTAATCCACTATTGTCTAAAAGTACGCAGGGAAATCACACTTTTTCGCGTGGTAATAATTTATAAACTTAACATTGAGATAGTCTCTTAAATTAAGCCAAAAAAATCGTCCAGTCGTATGCCGGGTTAGGTAGCCATATTGTTGTACGGTAGGACTAGGGGTTGGGGTTAGGGACAGGATTAGCATTGACATTAGTCAGCCATATGTGTATTTAGTTAACTACCAGTAACCTAAAGAAGATTCCATTATTGGACACCGATAAATTCTCCCAAAGCTGCAAATCCAGAGATATTGAAATTATTCTGTTGAGTTTAAGGCTACATTTCTATTTATTTTCATCAACCCTAAGTTATAACCTGATGTTTCACTTTTGTAAGGAAAACATTGATTGGCTGTACAGGAACTCAGTGATCTGATATTTATTTGTTTACAAAACGTGCAGATAAAGTTTTTAAATAACAATGCAAATTTAAACCACATTACCTACTTCTGCCATTTTTTGTTTACAATAAAATTTATGCTAGCCTATCGAATAGCAAGATGCCATTGTTTATGTCATCATTACACGTGAAAACCAAATTGTTTTTGCTTTTATTTTAAATTTTTATTTAGTTATCGAAAATATAAAAAATATCAAATCTTTAGTAAAGTCCGAAAAAAACAGACAGGATTTTATAACCATATTAATTTTAACTACACCGTGTATGATTTTAAAAACATTTAATGTGCCTTTCAATTAGCTTTGAGACTTTTCTTGCTCCGGTCCACTCTTGGGGAAAGGGAATACCCTTGCACAGTGAAGTGAAACTATTGCCTTCCATCAAATTAGTCAATATCTTTGTTCAACTGTGACTGGCTGCACATACATGTTTGTTCACAAAAACTGTGCTACACCACCCCTGACCTGGCTTTTCTTTCATTTACAATGTTGGTTCTTAAGTTGAAACTACAATTTTAATTGAGACCTTGCAACAAGCTGTCCTGAACCGCCACCTTAGTCCTGTGAAGTTTGTAAAAAATAAGGGATGCCTCAAAAATTCAAAATTTAACAGATGGCCTCTTAAACATCATTTTAAAGTGGATTATAATATCCTGAGTTGTTTTCTTCTTCTGCCCTGTAGTCAAGGTAGACAATTGGGGTGCCACTAGTGTCCCGATATTCATTCTTCATTCTATTTCTGCCATCCTCAGTGTTTCACCAAGTGTCTAATCCTTCATTGCCTGATGTTTTCTTCCTATTTGTCTGCTTATTTTCCATTTGCCTGGTTTACACTAAGCCTGACAACCCTGTGAAATGTCCATACCAATTTAGTTTGTTTTTAACTATTTAAATAAATGCCAACAGGTCAACATGCTGACGAATCGACATCTGTATAAAGTAACTTACTGCATTATTTATGATGGTGTCTTTTATGTTATTCTCTGCAACTTTCTACAGCAACGTATTCCCATGGCTTTCCTTTCTCATTTGTCTGATTTTTGTGTGTATGGTTTTAATCTTACCATGTTGCTCTCAGTCTGTTTTTCAATGCTATCAAAACATTTACACAAATATTGATAACTACAGTACCAGTTCTCCCCTGAATATGCTAGGACCCTGTGTAGAATGCAACTTTTCTTTAATTTTGTTATTAAACAATATCATCCCTAATTTTGTAAATGCTACTGTCATCTGGTATTTTGTTACTGTAAACATTGCCAGCTATTATATCTGTTTCTGACCTAAATAAACAGTGATACAAAATAGATTTTTTTCTTTCAGGGGCTGAGTGAAAGTAAACTAAGGGCCTTTGACATTGGTAACATGTCTTTAGGAGCAAAGTCTTTGTCTAAAAGAGAGATGGAAGAGATTAAGAGAAGGGTAAGTGTGTAGTTACACTTTCTAGATAATGGTTAATTAATTAGAAACTCAACCTATACACTGTTGTTTTTCAAATTCAGGGTGACATTAACAATAGACTTCTATAATGAAAAGATGCTACTAATACTTTTCTAAATGTTAAGCTGGGCAGGATGATTTTGTCCAACAACTTCCATGCACATCTACGCATTTTTGTTGTGGCAATAAGAAGACTATGTACACAAATAATCTGTACATATAAAAAGCAATGTTTGTTTGTCTGTCTTTATGCATTACTACACCTTTCATCTGATTGCCTTGAAACTTGGGGAGTTGATGAGAATACTCCGGGGGAGCTTTCTGTGAAGAAAAAATTTCAGATTCGCAGGGGCGCTCCCCCCCCCCCCAGCAGGGTGCGATTTTAATGTCTGATGTGGTTCTACACCGCCATGATGCCATGACACTTTGTGGAATTGATAAGAATAGGATACTACCGAGAAGTTTTCTGTGGAAAAAAATCAATAATTCTCTAGGCATATTGCTACCACCACCACCCCAGCAGTCTGGTGAGCTTTGGTTCACGACGAATGTTAACAATTAGTGACGGCTTTTAGGGGCAGATAATTTAGATTATAAACTATTTGAAACTAAGGGGAGGTAATAACAAGTTCTGCTTGATCTTTTCATTGTTGTCTGTAAGCTGTTGTCACTGACGGCTGCTTTCAAGGAGGATGGTGAGGGTGAGGATAATCATCCTTCACAAGCTACTGATAGTGTTTTAAAGGAAAACATTTTCAATCACATCATTAGCAGTGTGGAATTCACAAATTATGAATTACTGAAAGTAACTAAATAGTGGCATATGCTACATCGCGGGTCGGCTTGTACTTTTTATTGGTGTGGCCCAGCAGGGTGCGATTTTTGTCATGGCTATGTGCCAATAGTTTGAGAGTGGCTATTGTAGCTATTGGTATCCGTTAATCAGGCGTCCTGCATAGACACAGCTGCCGGCGCCCTGGTGATTGCATGTCCAGTAGTGCTTTGTGCTCCCCTGTGAGCTCTGGCGCCCACGTTCATTTTAAACCCACGCCCCACAGGGTGCTATTTGGCTCCCTGGAATTTCCCTTGAGTGCTATACTTTCATTTTAAAGAGTGCGGTAGAATATGGATAAAATGTGATATTATAGTCATTCACTAATTTGAATCAGAGGCTGGCACCCCGGTAAGGTGTGATTTGGTGCCCTATGCTATCCTTCGAGCACTATGGCGCCTAAGTTAGTTTTAAGGAGCACCCTATAATATTGACACGGTGGCACACGACATTTGTTGATTAAACCCGAGCAAGGGGCTGTACGCAGTGCCCTTGCAGTGTTATTGGGGGCTCTGCAGCCATGCCTACCGTCCTGCCAAAGGCAGAATTAGTTCTGCTGTTTTACAAAAAAAGTGTCCTGTTCCGCCATCTTGTTTTTTTAAAGTTTGTTCTGCTTTTTAAAAAAAACAGTAAACTAATCAATTGAATTGAAAATAAACCGGGAGTGATCTCCCCTAAACTTTCTTGACTATTCTTATATGAAACCAGGGGATGGCAACTCAGGATATATATACAGTGATTATACATGATTTTTAATCCATTTTAAATACTTAAACTTTTTAAAGTAGAATAAAATCTTGTAGAAAAAAGAATTTGACCATTAAGTGAACGCCAAATAAAATGTGCATAATAGTGCGGAATAATATTAGCACTTTATAAATTCACATGCATTGTTTTTGAGAAATGGAAATAGCGAAAATTACTACTTCTGGTTAATGGAAATTACTCAAAATTTGACAGAAGGCAGAGAATTAGATCTTTTACTTACATGTGAAATTTCATCAACCTAGCTGTAACAGTACTCAAGTTATCGTGTTTACACAACACAGACACACACACACACACACAGACATATGGACAAGATTGCAAAACTATGCTTTTCAGACTCAGGGAGCTGTAAAATGTCGTTGCAAATCTCGATTATTATTTTTTTTGCACGATTACAAGACTTTCTCTATACTTCATATACATGAAAAAGGAAAAAGAGCTGGAAATAGTGGTTATCTCCCTTTGGCTTCAGTTTCCTTGTTTACTTACAATATCTAAAGTATAATCTAATACTAGATCTACTAATAGATAATGTGGACAAGCTAGCTTCTGATTGTTCTTTTTGATATTTGCAATTGAATTTTAGATTTACTATAAATAAAATTATGCCTTTAGTAACATTTAGGGAGAAAAATACAATAAAATCATAACTAACATGCTTATTTCTTGATCTAGACATTAAATCTATCTTTTAACTTAATATAATAATAACTAACTATAAAGTAACTACAACTAGGACTTTTACTAGGTAGGTCTTAACTCCTCAACTCATAACTTTAAGCCTTCAGCAAGCATTTGTTGTTCATATGGCCTAGAACAGGGGTCTCCAAACTACGGCCTGTGGGCCGATTCCGGCCCGCGAAGTCCTCTCATCCCGCCCACGGAGATCTTTTTGTCCAAGGAAAAATCGTTTGTAGGAGGTGGCTGAGGAACTTTGCTCAGAAAAATCAAAGACATGCCTAGAAGAAACTGGCCCCCGAACTGAAATTTGATAGTTAATGCGGCCCTCGGACAGAAAAGTTTGGAGACCCCTGGCCTAGAACATAGCAAGGCAGAAATCATCAAATCAAGAATGTTTTGTTAAAGCTATGGTTTTTATTGCGGGGGGGGGGGGGGGGGGGGGGGGTAATCGGGTATCAGGTTACTGTTTAACTTCTTTTTTTTAAATGTAAGCTGACATTAAGCAGTATTTAGATGTAGCCTAGAGACTAGTCAAATATAACTAAAGGTTTACTAAACACTATACCTATGCTTGTATGTATGCTACTGTGTATAATGTCATTAGACTTAGGCCTATTTTTAATAATTTATTTATTTTCGACTTAGGAAAGTATAATCAGCGCATAAGTTCAGCAGGCCTATTTTTAATAATTTATTTATTTTCGACTTAGTAAATTAGCATCAGCACGTGTTTTCCTCTTTTTGGCTTCAAATTCCTCTTTTTAGGTATGACTGTTCCTACTTATGTTTGCTAGGAGTAGGCATGTCTGCCCCTGCTACGTCCCTGACACCTGGGCAGTCGACGAAGTGTTTTCTAACTCACTATTACTGAGAGTGATTAATGTACACTCAAGGGTTTCATACACCACGCTCTGGGGTGTGCTGGGCGGTAGTGTAAGCAAACCCCTGCTTCGATAAATATGGTCCAAGAAATGTAGCGCAGGCATTGTTTAACTCAGTTTTAGAAAACAAGGTCACGCGTCTACGAATGTAGGATTGGTAAATCATTGAAGAAACCATTTTAAAACATTTTTTCAGACTTTCTCGCAGGGATGGGCACGCTAGTAATTTATAATTGTTTGTTACAAACTTATTGTTACAGAAAGATGAAGAAGCTACAGCTGTGGTTTATGAAGAATTTGTTGCTTCCTTTGAAGATGCAGGCAAACTTAATAAGTCATGGGTCAAGGGAGGTATTGTTAATTCTGATAAAAGTAAGTATTTTGATACCTGTAAATTAACATTTATAATAACCTTTATAAAAAGCTTTTTAAAAAATAATTCATACACATCTTTTTCTCTTATAACAAGCTTTTATTCATTCTATTTTCTCATTTTATTATGTATGAATTATAGAAATATTTAAGTTAAAATTAAATAGTGCCAAAATTTTCTTTATAAGCTTATCATTAAGTCAAATAAACCTGATTGTAGCTTGAAATCATGGTCTGTTACAGTGTCAATCTTTGACTTCTTGCAGCTAGCTTATATAATGGCACCAGTCAAGAAATTCAAAGGGGAGATTAATAATTTAATGGATTATAAAAACTTTATTGCATTTTTAATTAATATTTTTACAGATGGGACTATTTTGATATTAATATTTTCTTTAACTAAACAATATATGTGAAAAAAGGCACTTGGTGATGTAATTTAAATTTTCACAAATAACTTTATAAGGTCATGCTGATGTTTATATTATAAGTATAAGGAAAAGTTACCCATAGAGAGAGTGAATTAAAAAACAAAATTAAAGGTGGCCCTGTAAAAAAATAGCTATTGAACATTTCTCTTATAGTATGTTAGACAATAACATTTCAGGTTAATATATGTTAATAGAAAAGCAACTGTAAAGGAAATACTCTAATTGCAAAAAAAAGCAACCATTCTCATAAGATTAAATTACTTATCTTTTGTTTCAGCTTTAGTTGTAACTTTTCTAAAAAAGATACCAAGATACGAAATGTCCATTTGAACAATATTATAATGATTGGGCCCCTCTCAGCCAACTGGGCCAATGCCATTACTTGCATAGCTATTCAGTATTGCTATAACTTAAAACTTTACATCTCTAATATACTCTTATATAAAGCACTACTCAAATATTTTTTACCCTTCAGTATTGCCACCTTTGTTGTAGTATTTGTAGGTAATGGTATTTAGGATTGTTGTTTGTAGACCTTTGTCGATGTACAATATATATTTTTTTCTTGTGAAAATCTTGTTTATATTATTAAAATACAATGTAAAACTTGTACTATACTCTGCTGTGATTGATAACTTTAGAGTCTGATGATAAAGGAGGAGGAAGTCGTGTGTATAAACCTACATCCAAGTTAGCTCAGTTGGCATCAACATTTTCTTCTGTCAAGGAAATGAAAAAAGAAGAGGAAAGAAAAGAGGAGAAAGCAAAATCGGTACGTAGCTGGTTCCTCGACAGTGAGGAGCAGATGAGGGATGAAAAACCACCCAAACCGGTACGTAACTGGTTCCTCAACAAAGAGGAAGAGAGACAAGATGAAAAACCTAGACTGGTACGTACTTGTAAAGGTGGTAGAAATGAAACAATAGTGTAAATTTGAGTTAATATCAGTGATTTTTAAAAAATAGTAGCTTTTGTATGTTTTTTTAAATTTTCTTTTTTTTATGTGATTTTTAAAAGGCTATTGCTTCTTTTTTACTTTTTCAGGGTTTTGGTAAAAAAAAGAAAGAAGAAAAGAAAAAAAGTAATTTGGAACTATTTAAAGAAGAACTAAAATCGTAAGAATACTTTGCTCATTGGTCTTATTATTTTGAGAAGTTTATAGCCATTCCATACTCATTTTAGAGTGACAGGATAACAATAGAAATGTAATTAAGGTATATGGTTTTTCAAACTATTAAAAGGATGATTGTGTTCTGATAATTTGAGTTTTTTAATGTAATCACAATTTGTCATTATTTACAAATACTCCATGAGTGACAAGCTATTTCTGGGAGCAGGACATAACCCCTGGACATTTAGAGATAGATGCTATACTGATAGATTGAGGATAAGTAAATAGTAAGGTTAGGATTAGGGTTATGGTTTGGGTTGGGGAAGGCTTTTGTTTAGGGTTGGAGTTGAAGTTAGTTTTGAGGTTTAGGCTAATGCTTAGGAATTAACCATCGTTTAGGGTTAGATATAGGTATTGGGTGAGTGTTCGTTATAGCTTTAGAGTTGGGTTTAGGGGGTTAGCAAAAGGTTTAGCATTAAGGTCAGGGTTCACGGGAGGGGAGTGGGTGGGGTAATTACTCAGCGGGAGGGTTTAGTGTCCTAAACCTCTATTTCTAGTTATATGCTGATAAATTAGGTGACAATAGACTTTTTAAACATGATATCTTGTAAATGTTGGGAGTGGGGAGATTAAAATTTTCCAACAGAAAACCATTTTTCTTTGGGTTAGGCTACGGTTTAAATAAATAAATAAACATTTTATCTTAATTCATAAAAAAGTTTTGAGAAAATATATATATATTTATAAACATTGACGGCTGGAGCAATGTTTCTACTTTATACTATATATATATATATATATATATATATATATATATATATATATATATATATATATATATATATATATATATATATATATATATATGGCATAAAGTAGAAACATTGCTCCAGCCGTCAATGTTTAAAGTAAAAATAAAACCTCACCTAAGACGGATGAAACTAGTTTGAATAAGATAAAGGAAATCTCACTAAAAAGACAACTTTACACCTTCATGATCAGGTGTCAAACTATTTAATGCTAAAGTGAAATATGGCAGCATTAATTTAGCATTAAAGAAAGGGCAACAGCAAGACAACCGTGCTTCAAAAAGAAAAAAAAATATAAATAAAAATTCAAGAAGTATAAGACATTTTATCCTTGAGATATTTTGTCTAAGATATTTTGTCATGTATCCATTGGTACTAATAATTGTCATCTGTTTTTCTAGTATTCAAGAACAGAGAGAAGAACGGCATGCTATTAAAAGAGCTCGTGGAGATATGGTTATCTTAGAGGATCCTGATATTATTGCTGCTAGTTTAAGATCTGCTAGTTCCTTTGACTTCGATGCAGGAGGAAGTTTCCCAAGAGGTGGAAAAGATCTTGGTTATGTATATGGTACTTGTGCCAGCATATCCAATATTTCAAAATTTTATATGTATACATATATATATATATATATATATATATATATATATATATATATATATATATAATATATATATATATATATATATATATATATATATATATATATATATATATATATATATATATATATATATATATATATATATATATATATATATATATATATATATATATATATATACATAATTTTTAAAATTATTAAGATAGGTGGTATGGTTCCTTTTAGAATAAAAACCTTTCAATATTTAAATAAAAAATATGGGAAGAAAATATAAAAATTTAGAGGTCGCTACCAAAGGATGTTGAGATTTTGTTTATTCACATTAAAATATTTTTTTTAATAATTTTAAACCAGTTGACTAAACATATTTTTTCATTCAGCATAGCTACAGACATAGCTATTTAAAGCGTTTGTAAAACATTAAGAGAGAATTAAACATAAAAATTAGTCGTTGTCTTATATCGCTCTGTTTAAGGGTAACAGAGAGCTAACAATCTTTTTGAAAAAACTGATAATATAAATGATTTTTGTTATGTTCCGTTAGAGCAGGGGTCTCCAAACTTTTCAGTCCGAGGGCCGCATTGACTATCAAATTTCAGTTCGGGGGCAAGTTTCTTCCAGGCATGTCTTTGATTTTTCTGCGCAAAGTTCCTCAGCCATCACCAACTAACGTCTTTTCCTTGGACAAAAAGATCTCCGCGGGCCGGATGAGAGGACATCGCGGGCCGCATCCGGCCCGCGGGCCGTAGTTTGGAGACCCCTGCGTTAGAGCAATAGGTTAACGACTCTCAAATATATCAGTAACAATTATGTAAATAACCACTGACTTTGTAACTAATTTCTTTTACACTGCTCAGCATTATTAATAGTATAAAAAACTCTATACTAGTGTGTGATATGTCCAAAGTATTTTATCTTTCAAATATCATCTACTTTTTCCCTTCAGCTTAATACTTGCTTAATACTTGCCTCCTGTATAGATAAACCATTTAATGCAGAAAGTGCTTTTCATATATCCATGCAGACAGGCTGATTACATTTTCACTTTCCATAATAATTTATTTTGCATTAATGATGTTGATTGGTGTCATACCTGCTGCTTCAGAAATGAGCATATTCCATTAGGCAATTATAATATACAATCAGCTCCCAATTAAGAGGATTAAATGAAAATAAACTACTTTTTTACTCATTGAAAATCATTTGCTGTTCTCCAGTTTGAACATGCCACTATAAACATTGAAAACCACAACATGACAGTGAATAGCTAATTTATAAAAGTTTGTAGTCAGCCATGGTAATCTGTTTCCACCAGGCTTTTTCTTTCTTATACAAAACATTTTATACTGAAGCTTTATAGCCTCCAGCCCTGTACCAAACTTACGCCTTTAGTCAGCTTTCTATAGTTAGACCATGCATCACTTAACTAAAGACAGACATCAATTATTTTTCACTGAATTAAACGTGGAACATCTAAACACGTTTGGTAATTACTTGGTGGTTCATTGGTTTCACACAGTAAATAAATAATTCTATAATCTCAATTACCGTAAAAAAAATTTTTAAGTCACTTTATATTTTTATCAGATATGCAGAATCTGGTTCTGGTAGCGACCCTTAAATATAATCAGATCTGTAAAAATTAAATATTTTAACTGGAACACATTTCTCTTTCTCAATATATTATTTAGATAATATATTATGTAATGTTAATAATAGCTGATTGTTTCAATTGAATTGATAAATGAAAATTTTATTGATTTCTTAGTAAAATTTTTGTTTTTGAGATAACTGATTCAGTGAGTTAAAAAATCTGTTTTGTTTTTATTCAGGTATGGGAGAGCCAGGTGATGAAAATACAACCAATATTTATGTGGGCAACATCAATCCTAAAGTAAGGCTTCGCAGTGAATCTTCATTGTCTTTGTATTGTTAACAGTGTTGCAGTGCATTTCTTCAATGTTAACAGTTTTCAGCAAGTAAAGACAATGCAGTGGCTGTAGTTATCTTGGCAAGATGAAATTGTTCTCTAATTAATGGATTACTTGATGAATGTTCCTCTTGAACTGACGTCTCTCAAGAAAATTTCAAAATGATGTTTCACAGATATGTGTGGATTATCGACTACAAGACTTATTGAAGAAAAATATCAACCTTAAAGAAAATTAAAAACATTTTTAAAAATACATGGACACCATTATTCAGTGACATTTATTGGAGACTTGTTTTAACCTTTTTCTATTATCTTAAAAATTAACATTTCAATTTTTTGTTGTTGCTCTGGTTGAATAGACTTAGTAGTAAAACTTGCATTTCTGTCTTATATTAGTCAAAGAGCACTTTTGTCTTTAATCAGTTTATTGTTGAAATGTAAAGCTTTTAAGATATGTTACAGTACAGAAACCTTTGTTTTATCTGTTTATGAATTGGTCTGTGTAACCATGTCTGCTGGTGAATTTAATCATAGATGACAGAAAAAGAGCTTTGTGAGATTTTTGGCAAGTATGGTCCTCTTGCTAGTGTAAAGATAATGTGGCCTAGGACAGAAGAGGAAAGATCTAGAGGAAGGAATTGTGGTTTTGTTGCATTCATGAACAGAAAGGATGGGGAGAGGGCAATGAATGCTCTGAAGGGTATGATTAATTTGGTTTAATCTGGTAGATTGTTTAAATGGATATCAAACTGCACCACATTTTTAAAAAGCTGCATCTTTGAATTGTAATGAAATAGGTGTAAATAGTTCAAAAAATTGAATGATTTTTTGGTGTATGGATGTTTTTGATGATACTTAGACCACCATGAATTGTTGCAAAAAACTAAAAAATTGCATATATTCTTTTTCATTTATTATTTCAAATTTTATGCATTTAGTATTTTTAAAATTTTATTTCATTATTGTTATTACATGCTTGATCAAGTTTATTTATAATTTTGGAATTTTTTTAGGTAAAGAAATCAGTGGATTTGAAATGAAACTTGGATGGGGCAAAGCTGTTCCTATTCCACCACACCCCATATATATTCCACCAGCCCTTGCAGAGCTTACTCAGCCTCCTCCCCCCTCTGGTCTACCATTCAATGCCCAGATCAAGAGAAGAAAAGATCGAGAATACACAAACGGCCAACTTCATGTTCTGCCAGATAACCCTGATGAACTTGAGAAGGTAATGTTTAAACAATTATAAGTGGTAAAAATTTTAAATATTGTGTATTGTTAAAATCATGTTAAATAATTATGATTTTTTAATTTAAAGTCCTAACTTATTCATGTGTTATATTGTATTATAATAGTGAGTTATTTTTTTAAAGCTTATTGTATTGTTGGGAGGTGGGCCAAATGTAATTTCCTTTTTACTTTATTTAAAATATTTCACAACTCCTGTAGTTTACCAATAACTTTGTAATAATATTGCCCAGCCTTTTAAAGATCTTAAAAACCCTAATCGTTCTGTTTGTCTTTTTCAAACGCATTTCTGCAGACCTTAGCGAATGCAGTTGTGAAAGTGGTAATCCCCACAGAAAGGTATATGTCTTTTTCTATCTGTCCAGTACTTCAACATCCATTCAATATTTGTTTAGCTCCAGCTAAAGCATAATGTTTTCACTGGCATTAATACATAGCTTTTTGTTATAGGTATTGGGTTTTTGTGAAAGTATATGAAACTGTCTCATCTTTTGGGAACTAAAACATAACAAAATTATTACTCATATTTTTAATATCCTTTGTCTAATAATTATCACAAGAATATGCATGGTCCTTTAGTAATAATCTAGACTTAATAATAGAAAATTTACAAAAAGCTATGTTTAAGCCAGAAATAAAACATGAAAAGGCTTTTGGAATTTCCCCTCTTTGTGACCATATATTGTATAATTCACAATTGGACTTGGAGCACGGTACAGAAATGAAACCAGGGGATATTACAGACTGATGCCAAGCACGCTGAATATCAATACATTTTGGAAAATATGTTTAATTTATATTTGTTTAAATAATGAGAGTGAGATGTAGAGAGTGTTAAATAAAAACATTTGTACCTGTGATGTTTTGTTCAAATAATTTACTATTTATAGTTTTTTTTTAATGATGCTCATCATTTGTCAATCACAATGTATCACATACTGTTCATTTGTTTAACTATTATTGTAGTGTTAGGAATACAGAATTTTAGAAACATTTTTCCCCATTGAACTGGCATTCAAGGTGTTTCATCTATCTGAGGGATTACTTTCTTCTCTTCTTTGGCCAGTTTCACTTCAGAAACTGTTTCAAATGATTTTCAAAAAATTATGATATGTTTGTGCTGGTTTAAAATTTTTTAAAGGAACTTGGTCTTAACAAGGCGAACATTGTAGTTGTTCAGTTAACTTTTACATGAGCGAGCATTAATATAAATTTGAATTTCAAAGATAATATTTTTCTCTCAGCAAGAAAAGTATTTACTTTTGTTATTCTTGTTAATAATTTATCATTTTAGTATAACAGTTATATTCTTGTTACTCAAAATCTGTTACCTTACACAATTGGATTTCACAATTTGTTATTTATAGATGGTACACAGGGTCTTCTTCTTTTAATAGTCAAAAGTAGTTCTAAAATCTAACAGTGGATGATCAGTAAAATTAAGAATTTTAGGGGCAACTAGGCACACATTTTTTGTTTACAGACAACTTTTGGCACTTATTCATCGTATGGTCGAGTTTGTTGTTCGAGAAGGGCCAATGTTTGAAGCCATGATAATGAACAGAGAACTCAACAATCCTTTCTTTAGGTAATTAACAAATAAGTTTCATTTATTGGATTATGGCTTTAAGCTGTTGTCCTTTGTAAATAAAATAGCTAATTATAAATATAAGAACTTGCTAAATGTAAAATCATGCTATTCTTTAAAATTGTTTTATTTTAGATTTTTATTTGATAACAAAAGCCCAGCACATACCTACTATAGGTGGAAACTGTATTCTATTCTTCATGTAAGTTATGTTTTAGATTGCCTTACAATAAAAACAAGTTTTTATCAGTATCACATTTTTTTTCCATTAGATTATATTTGTGTGATCACATTATCTTAACTTCACAGGGAGACTCAACAACAAAATGGCAAACTGAAGAATTTCGTATGTTTAAAGGTGGCTCCATATGGAGACCCCCACCTATAAACCCCTTTACTCAAGGAATGCCGGAAGACCTAGTAAACAGAGAAGCCAATTCTGAATTTGAACTGATTCTGCGTAAAGGAAAATTAACAAACAGGTGACTTTCTAAAACATGGTATCTTTACTTCAATATTTCATTTGTTTCAATCTGTGGAGAAAATTAACGTATAAATGATTAATGACAAAAACCTCTTGTGTTGCAGCCAAAGAGATCGTTTAGAAGATGTATTGAGAGAATTAACTCCTGAAAGATTAAAAATAGCTGAAGCAATGGTGTGGTGTTTGGATCATGCAGAAGCAGCAGAGGAAATAGTTGAATGTATTGCTGAATCCCTTAGTATTTTACAAACTCCTCTACCCAAAAAGGTTCTACATTCTTTTCACTATTATTCACATTAGCCGTAGCTGTTTTCAGTCGGTTTAAAAGTAATAAAATGGTAAAATAAACAAGTTTCATTGGTATGCATTTTTATAATAAGACATCAAACATAGTTTTGCTTCATAGTTGTGTTCATGTAAAATGACTATACTTTACAGATTGCTAGGTTGTTTTTAGTGTCAGACATACTGTTCAACAGTAGTGCAAAAGTTCCGAATGCATCATTTTTTAGAAAATTGTAAGTAGGCTCATTTCATTTTTTTGATGATACCTTTTGTTAATTGTGTATTAGATATTTGCTTAAGTCTGGGAAGTCCCTTCATAATGAGTACTTGATGTGATGTGGCCACAGAAATCAAAAATTTGCCTTAGGGTCTCAGTAGGGCTCATAACTACCTGACATGATCTAGTTTATTCTAAGCATAAAATCGTTATTTATTTTTAAAATTAGGTTTATTTTATTACAGTTATCATAACATTTTAAGAAGACAAACACTTTTTCAAAAAACTTATTTAATTCAAATGTTTACCAATGATTCAAATTTTTTTGAATTTTTTTTTTGCAGTTTTCAAAGTAAACTGAAAGAAATTTTTAAGGACATCAATGAATCCTATGAGAAAATTGAAGGTAGATTAAAAGCTGAACAGTTCAAAGTACGTTCATCAAAATATTTCCTACTTAATCTCATTTCTTTTTAAAGGCTTTAATTATGTTCAATCATTGTGTTTATGGCTCCACATACCTTAAAATATTAATTTAACCCATTTTCCGATTGACTTAAAATTTGGCACATCTTGCATAACAATGACTAAAAAGGAGGAAAATAATTTCCTCATAAAAAAGTATTTTTTAAGGAAAATCACAAAATCACCAAAAAAAAAAACTTTAAAAAAAATGTAAAAATATAGTTTTCCTACAAACCAAATTTTTATTGCCTACAACATACTAATTTTAATTTTTTTTGTCCATATTTGTTTAAAACATTATTTCTCTTTCTGCATGGTCTTCATGTTGTTTTTAGTTCTCTTCCTGCCATTCTGATTTACTTCAAGTTTGTTCCTTTAGATTTAAAAAAAAGTGAATATTTACAATTTAAAAAAGTTTTTAATAAAACTAATTGAAAAAAGAGCAGGAAAAAAGCAATTATTTCCCTATTGACATTTTCAATATTTATCTGGAAAATGTCAGCTGCAGAGATTGCAGGAGCTTTAAAAATGAAAACAGTATTTTATAGACATTCAGAGGAATGAATGAATACCAAAATGAATGTTCTCTTAAGGATTCGTAATCGTAAATTGGAGAAACTGGACAGTAGATTGTTTTTATATATTAAAATGAGGAAAGTATATTTCCAATGCACCAACAAAAAATTACAAATATAATGACACGCTTAAGTTTTTTGTTCAAGGGGTCTAATATTAGCTAGTAGCCTACATAGCAAGTCAGGAAATGTGAGCTTACAAAGCTAATAAAAGAATCATAAAAAAATTGTCTGTGTAACCTATCAGAAAAAAATGGTAAATAACACCTTTAACTTTAAAGAAATGCACTTTGTGAACTTTTTAAAATTCCATTAGTATGTTAGAATTCATTTTCTCTAATCTCTCCAGTTAAACATTTGCTCTTTCTTAGTGAAAATGAAATGAAATGAGCTGTTTTTTAAAATTCACTGTGTTGTGAATCAAAAAGCTTCTTTGATTGTTTGTCAATTTCAAATATTCTTGTAGTTACTAGAGTTTTGAAGAAATTTGTGTTAAGAATTATGCAATTTTCAAACTCAGAAATATTTTTTCAGCAAAAAGTAATGAACTGTTTTCGAGCTTGGGAAGATTGGGCTGTGTATCCCAATGATTTCCTTATAACATTACAAAATATTTTCTTGGGATTAGTTATTCCAACAAAGGTAGGAATTTGTTTAATAGGTTAGTGATGTTGTTGGTAATTGTAGTAGCCTTAAATTACATAAATTCAATTTTACATTGTTTGTGAAATTCAATGTATGAAATTTTGTTTTTTAAACTGCTTATTAGGAGGAATCACCTGAAAGAAGGCCTGAAAAATCATTAGATTTGGATGGTGAAATCATGGAAGATGTTGATGGCATTCCTCTGTCATCCTCCCTTAAAAATGGACCTGATTTGGAAGGAGATGAAATGAAAGAAGATGTAGATGGATTGCCATGTATGCAAATTATTATTACACGATCTTTATACTTAAGGCATTTAAATTCATGACTTGTTGGCTTTGCTTCAAACATATGTTAAGATTAAATTAACTAATTCATTTCTTTTGAAGTGGCTGAGGCCGATATTGATGGTGATCCACTTTCAAGTAAAATGTCAACCCCACCTTCAACTGCACAGTCACAACCAGCATTTATTCGTTCCAAATGGGAGGAGGTTGATGAAACAGAATTACAAGCACAAGGTTTGATAATTCTTATTTTTAGCAATAGTTCATTTTGATCACATTCATGCTAGTCATCACTCTTCATTAACTACATTGTATTTTAAGCAATGACCACATCAAAATGGGAGACACTAGAGCCTGAAGAAGACAGTAACACTCATGAAATAGGAGAAGATATTGACGGGATGTAAGTTAAATAGAAAAATATTATATTAGCTACATATTGTCTTAATTTAACAGAATTTATTTTAATTGACTTCAAGTTTTCATTCTTTGCCCTGAATCAAGTGTTATGTTTAAAACTTTTTACATTACATTTTTCAATTTTTCAATTATTAAATTGTTTGGCAAAAAAACAACTTTCTCTGAAAATAAAATGGAAAGTTTGGTTAATAATCAAGAGAGATTATTTTATGTACGAAAAAGAAATATGCTGAAATATGCAGAGTTCTTTTTATATTACCGTTATTCCATTTTGCTGGACATGTTTGCTTACCCACTTGCCATGGTGGCACCGATGGTGAGGCCTTTGATGTTCCTAGCTTGTGAACACCTAAACACTGGTGTTCAGGGTCTTAGGTGCTTTTACCATAGGGGGTTTGACCATAGCGGAGCTTTGACCATACAGGGTGTGACCATAGGGGCTTTGTCCACAGCGGGGTTTTGACCACAGAGTTAGGTTAACCATAATATATAGATTTTAATTTAGAAATTAAAAAGTTATTTGATTTAAATTTATGATACCATTCATACGATTTTATCCATGTTTTCTGAGAGTCCTGTCTTAATTGAAATTAACATGTACTAAAAAAGTCAATAACGATATTTTATTCTCCACATAAAGGCTGGTGCTTGGCCTCATAGATTTATTTTAAATATAAATGGAGCACAAACACTGAGACATAAAAAGTTTCACAAATAAATAATGTAGATGTACCTGAAAATACATAGCATACATTAAGGGTAAAAAAAGCATGCCAACAGCATAGTCAAAGAAGTAATACTTGTATGGTTAACTAAATGACAGATGTGCTATAGCACGCAAATGTGTCAGTACATCTGTTTGATTATATGTCTGAACAGCACGTTGTAATTTTTCGTGCACCATTCTGTATAGCTTCTCAGCTGGGTAGCTTGCTCCTGTGACACCTTGCAAGAAAATTGTCTTTTGCCATATGCAGTCCATCTGTAGACCTTTAAGGAAACGCCATATTGTTGGGTGACTTCATTGGAGGAGAGACTGAAGACTAATGCCATCCATCACAAATATTATTTGTTTGTGCTACACTATCGCCAATATTGTGTATTTGATTCCAATTTTTAAAATTGATCTGTACCATATAGGGACAAAGCGCTTGTTATCAAACGCCCCATTGTACAAACCACCTGTGATCAAAGACCCTCTGCTGAGAAAACACCTGTGGTCAAACCCCCTATGGTCAAAGCCCCTATGGTCAAAGCCCCTCTGTGGTCATACCACATATGGTCAAAGCACCTGTGGTCAAAGTTCCGCGTACTGTGTTCAGGCTGTCATGGTTATATTAGAGATGTTAGTTCCATATCTAATATTGCTTTTTCCAGTTAGTTCACCAGGATAGAATAAAATAACCTTCATCATCTTAGGTTGATTTGTTTAGGCATTTATGATGCAACAACAGGGGTTATTAAGATTGATGCAGTGTGTGGTGTTAACAAAATAATACAATTGGACAACTGAAATAAGGTTATCACAGTTTATCAGGGCCCAATTGCTTTTAAATTTATGATGATTAATTATAAAATTGCCTTGAAATATTTTTTGGTCCTATTAATATTTGATCGGGATAATTTTGTGTTGTGGGTATTTTCAGGCCACTGGATGACACAAGACCATCCAACCCTCAGTCAGATGATAGTGACAGTGACTCTGAATCTTTGAACCTCTCAAGGTTTTCAACAAGAGAAGATAATTCATTTAATCTCAAACTTAGTCAAGTATCAGAAGAAAGAAGACAAAAATTAAGAGAGATTGAGGTATTTTAAAAGATGAATCTACAAGTCATCCAAGCTATTTTAAAATTTTAAAATCATTTTGTTAGCAGCTGTTTTAGGTGCTTTAATGATTAAGCAATAATTTTATTATCTGTGTTTTCATAATGAAATCTGTATTAACATTATTTAACAAGGTTAAGGTAATGAAGTACCAGGATGAACTCGAAGCTGGTAAACGCTCAAGGAAATCAGGTATGACTTTACAAGATCAAGTTGAACATTACAGAAGAAAGATGCACAGCAAGGTAAATTTCAAGCAATATTAGATATTTATCCATAAGTTACTTGCTTTAGCACACCTGAAATAAAAGCAACACCATAAAATTGTAACATAATGAAAATTACCTCCATTTGAGAAGTAAAGAATTACAACCATAGACCTTCAACTAAACAAGTTAACACATCAGCACATTTATATTTTATATCCTACGAGCCGAACCCGCGGCGTATCATACGGTGCTACTATTTATTTGTTACTTTTCAGTAATTCATAATTTGTGAATTCAACAGTACCAATGCTGCCATTTGCTTTAAAACACTATCAGCAGCTCGTTAAGGACGATGCCCCCCCCCCCCTCCTTTCCCCTTTCAAACTATATTATCTGCCCCTAATAGCCGTCACTAAACCCGGCTCTACGATTGTAAACATTTAGCGTGAACCACAGCTCACCAGACCATGTAGAGGTGGGGTTGGTAGGGAGCACGCTTACAGCTTGGTGTTTTCTATTATCTCCGAGAAGATAATTATATATATAGATATCATGATTCATTGAAAGATTTCTTTAATAAGCAAATTCACATACATAAAAAGTAAGCTTGAAGTTCATTAACTTTTTTGTTTATAACATCAAACATTTGCAGCTTCTTGATGTGCTAGACTCCCCTTCAGCAGATAAAGATAGCAGAAAGAGATATCGCTCCAGATCTTCGTCCCCAGTACGTAGAGGAAGATCATCCGAAAGATCTGACACCCCAAAGAGAAAAAAAAAGGATAAAGAAAGGAGGTAAATTAAAGTGATTTGTCCATGTGTTACTGAGATTTTTTGTGCTACTGGTCTTTACTCAAAAGTAGTCTTATATTTCACTGGGCTTTCCTCATTGCTTTTCTTTTGGGCCTCTGAACTTGCCTCACAATTGGTCTTACTGGGTTTTCCTCCTCCCAGTTTATTCTATGTGCCACTTAACCTTTCTAAGTTAATTTTGTGTCTTACTGGGTTTTCTCTCATTATGTTGTATATGTGACAGGGCTCTCATCCTCCGTTTGTTTTATATGCCACTGGACTTTCCTCACAGTTTGTGTCTTATATGCCACTCGGCTTTCCTCACAGTTTGTGTCTTAAATACCACTGGACTTTCCTCACAGTTTGTGTCTTATATGCCACTGGGCTTTCCTCACAGTTTGTCTTATATGCCACTGGGCTTTCCTCACAGTTTGTGTCTTATATGCCAATGGGCTTTCCTCTCAGTTTGTCTTATATGCAACTTGGCTTTCCTCACAGTTTGTGTCTTAAATACCACTGGACTTTCCTTACAGTTTGTGTCTTATATGCCACTGGGCTTTCCTCACAGTTTGTGTCTTAAATACCACTGGACTTTCCTTACAGTTTGTGTCTTAAATGCCACTGGGCTTTCCTCACAGTTTGTGTCTTAAATACCACTGGACTTTCCTCACAGTTTGTCTTATATGCCACTGGGCTTTCCTCACAGTTTGTCTTATATGCCACTGGGCTTTCCTCACAGTTTGTGTCTTATATGCCAATGGGCTTTCCTCTCAGTTTGTCTTATATGCAACTTGGCTTTCCTCACAGTTTGTGTCTTAAATACCACTGGACTTTCCTTACAGTTTGTGTCTTAAATGCCACTGGGCTTTCCTCACAGTTTGTGTCTTATATGCCACTGGGCTTTCCTCACAGTTTGTGTCTTAAATACCACTGGACTTTCCTCACAGTTTGTGTCTTAGATGCCACTGGACTTTCCTCAAAGTTTGTCTTATATTCTACTGGGTTTTCCTCACAGTTTGTGTCTTATATTCTACTGGACTTTCCTCACAGCTTGTCTAATATGCCACTGGGTTTTCCTCACAGTTTGTCTTATGTTCTGCTGGGTTTTCCTCACAGTTTGTGTCTTATATTCTACTGGTTTTTCCTTACAGTTTGTGTCTTATATGCCAATGGGCTTTCCTCTCAGTTTGTCTTATATGCCACAGGGCATTTCTCTTCACGGTTTGTTTTATGTGGCACTAGGTTTTCGTCTATTTTGTTTTGCACCAGGTTTTTCTCAGTTTTTTCTTAGTGTTAAGTACCTTTGACTATCAGAACTGAGTAAGCTATTTATTCAGTTTTGCGCTAAATTATTTATTTAGGTAGAACTAAAACTTGTACACCCAAATGTATATATAAACAATGTTTTTCCCCTTTAAGTCCCAAAAGATCCAGACGATCAAGATCACGTTCAAGGTCACCCAGAAGGAGTCCAGGTAGAGAGAGAAAAAAGCACAAGTCCAGAAAACATAGAGAGTAGCTTCTTGTTATCTGTATGCTTTTTGGTTGAGTGTTGAGTTTATATTTTAATATTACATTCTTAGGCATGAGAAAGTTAATGTACATAAAATAATGTTGGTCATGCATCATTATCATCATTGATTTTAGTTTGTAACAGTTGCTGGCAAGATGTTTATCATTTGTTTAAATGTCTGATTAATATACCTGGGTTATTTTTGTTTTAAAGAAAGTTTAATAATGGTTTAATTAATGAAGTTTTTTAAAGAATGCTGTCACAACTCTCCATTATATTACATTTTCTTTGTAGCATTTCTACAGTATTTTGTGTCCTTATTGACCGAAATAAGGAGAATTGTTTTTGGGTGAAATGATTACTTTGCCCAGTATTATTTATCAACTGATTGGTCCACAAGAAAAGTTAATGGCAAAAATGTGATGACATATTTTGTAAATAGTTGTTTGTGCGAGTGTAGTGGAAATGATCTTCAGCTGTCACAAATGCAATTATCACCAGTGAGATACATGATGGTGGTTGATTTACATGGAAATTAACACCAATAGTAAGTTTCTGTTTGAATGGACTATGAGGTGTACAAATATCTCTTTGTTATAGGTTTTATTAATCATTTCTAGGTCATATTTTTAGCTGTATTTTTCTGTGTGAATATATGCAGACTGAAAGTTGCTGTTTGATTAATTATTTTATATACCATTTAAATATAATGAATACAATTTTAATGAAAGTACTTAAAATAGTTCTCTCTTGTGTTGTTCTTGAAAAGATCCTAGTCAAGTTTTTTTACCACCTTGCTTGATTAAGGTAACTGTAACTTGATAATTTTAGTATTTGAATAAAATTGAATGATTTATGGAAATAAAATCAAACTATTCTCACTAAAGTATACATCTGTAACCTAAACCTCAAAAATAATCAGATCATACTTTTAACCAAACTTTACAAACTTGCAATAAAATCTATGAAGTAGATGAATAGACTTTAATTAAGAATGCTACCTTGATGTTGTAACTGTTTGTTAATTTTTTTTTAAAAAAGATTAGTTTTGAAATCCTTGACTCGGTATTCAGTTTTATATACAGAGGCATTTGTACAATATTGAAAATTCACATCAGATAATTATATCTAGGTGAATTTTCAATATTGTACGAATAAATGCCTCTGTAAATGAAATTAAATAGCAAGTCAAGGGTTTCAAAACTAATCTGTTTAAAAAAAAAAAAAAAGAGAAGAGAGTAGATTTTTACACATTGATTCAAAACACAAACAGAAATCTTCTGCATGTTTCTCATCCGTTTTCCTTCCTATTTTAAAATTAAAATGCCCAAACCTAACATTAGAAAAATCTACAACATGCGTGTTTTCTTGATGTAATTTTAAGGAGTAATTTTATCTGTCCGTAAACTAATGTGGTAGTATAAAATCTGTAACAGTGAAGGAGTTAACGAGGGCATTAACTGGTTAAAGAGAACATTTAAAGTCACATAATGCTGGTTAGAACAAATGATAATCTATTAATATGCTTTTGGAAAAAACTTGTTTGTGTGAAGTAATGTCAACTAATATATTATGGCTGAGTGGTGTTTATTCAGCTGGATTGTGAGGACATTTTATAAGAAACAGCATCAAATCCAAACATTACATTTGTAAGGGTTCATGCACATAGTATAGAACACTATAAAACATTTTACCCTCTCCCCATATCTATTTATATTTTGCATAGTTCTGTTACATTTGTAACAGCTAACCCCTATTTTTCCCATTATAATTCTAATACCCCCCTACCCCCAGAGTTGCTTTTAGGTATCTTTTCAGTGCTAGAAAAAATGTCTACCCCCTCCCACAAAGAAATAGAATTTATATAGAAAGCATATACTTTTACCAGTGTAATCTCTCCTCCCCCCCCCCCCCCCCCCCACAAAAAAAAATCTGAAAGTTTTCTCCCCACCCAACTACAGATTAATTTGATACAATAAATATTTAATTTTGAGGATTTTACCCAACAACTGGTAGAATTGTCAAGTTTTTTTATTATTTAGCTTTCATTAAAACTTCAGATATTTAAGTGTAAAACTATAATTGATTAAGTACATTTGTTCTAATAGTAAGTGATAGTGCTTTTACTTTTACATTGTTTTGTATATGGACATAGATAAATGATTTAAAAACAAAACAAGAATCACATTTTATAGGAAATTGATTGTTACATCCACATAAGACTCAAATGAAAAACAGTTATAATGAATAATAAAGAAAATATCAGTTGATACTTACGCCAATTTATGTGTATGTATGTAGACCATTTTAAATATAAAAAGCAAATCAAAGGCAGTGTTAAATTTCATGGCTGTATATCACCCCTGTCTCACAATGCAATATCTTACAAAATGTTAAACCATCCTAACCCCCCCATTAGGAGTCAACCATTTATGATGTCTACAAAATTTTTGAATTTTAGACCCTCCCCCCCCCCCCCCCCCTCCAGGTGTGGACGTCCAAATAAAGTACACTTTTTAAAACTTTCTTCAACTTAACTATTTCAATAATACGGTTTTAATACATTCGGTAATGTTATTATAAGGCTTAAATATTATTAGAAACTAGAGTGAAGAGAAAAAAAGTATACTTTAAACGTCAAAAATACATATTTCTTCTCAAGGATTTTCCACATTACCAATCAAAACTCATACAAATTGTTAAGAAATTTGTGTGGGGGGATGTTAAAATTGTTATTTTCTGTACTTGGATGTAATAATCAATATTAGCATTTATAAAATTACTAAGTCGCAAGGCCTCCTTGGGATCATCCCTCTATTTCTGTTTACTTCATCGGTTGCTTACCAAAGAGGTACTATTTTTATTTAGGGATCGTTCATAGATGACGTCAAACTCCAGACAGTCTGAGTGTTTCAGAAAGTGACGACACACTTGCAATAATGTTAGGGTAGATATGAATACCGTGCTTTATTTACACGCTGTGATGGTTTTTAAAACACAAGCACAGTTGTCTTAATTTTTCTTTTTACATGCAGGAAACAGGATTTATGTTTGTTTTAGAATGTAAGCACATTTTGATGTTAAATGTAACATATGGACATCTAAATGGACCCCCCCCCCCACTCCGTCCCCCCAAAGTCTATTTTTTTGGATCCCCCTCCCCATACATGCAGGTGTCATAAATTTTTGACCCCTTTTGTTGTATAATACGTGCATGATCCCTTAACTTTCAATTTATTTTATATTATTCAAAAAATTGGAAGTTCAAGATTTTAAAATTGTTTTTAATTAAAAAACTGACATTACACACATATCATAAGATTTAATAATTTTTCTTGTGTGCTGTTTTTTTTAGAAATCTACAATTAAAAAACAATTCTTTATTTTTAAATCCCTTATGTTTTTAAACAAGTTATTTATTTCTTTTAAAAAGTTCTTCTCATTTAGAAATATTACAAGCAATTTAAATGGATAAATGCATATTTCATTTATATTCACAGTATAAGGCACTCATAACAGGTTAGTTATTTCAGATGCTCATGTAATTCACGTTACATTTTATGATGAAAATACAACTTGGATATTTAACATCTGGTAAAAGGTATACAGTGTCTTTAACTATCATAATTCTAATACGTAAAGTTAATGAATATAGAAAAAACAAATGAATAAAAATGTACACAGATTTTTGAAAGTTAAAAATAAAGTTAACTTAATGAAACATAGCACCACTGAAATCAGTTTTCATTTGGAATTGAGGGAAAATGTTTTTCCCTAATTCTCACCACATTTATTCTAATATACATTATGTATTGTAACATCACACAAAACAGTATAATACAAAGGTTGTTTATAAAGTACTTGAGCCTGCATGAACCGTTAAGTTAAAAAGTGTTAACATTATAAGTACAAACTTTGAAAATCTATAAAACTTTTTTTAATTTAGAAAATGGTACAGTATTCCTATAAAAGGTTTCTGACCCAAAAAATTAGAGACAAATTTCATATGAGCTTTTAACACCTGTCTAGAAGAGCCAAGCTTCCTTTCTCAACAATTAACCACAGCATTCAGCAAACTGATACATAAGCATTAATCTTTAAGCTGAGTGAGAGGACAAATTATTATAAAATGACTAAATGCTTAATTACAATCACTTGACCATCCTAAAGAACTGAGGGCCTGTTGTAAAATCTTTAATACACACCACACACCGGCTGATTCTCCTGCGCACATCCCCAGACTTGAGGGTTTCTGACAGGGGCTGCCTAAACTGGTCCTGAGCTTCTATTGTTGATATCCAGAAGCTGTATGATGCAGAATAGTAATTACATGTGCCACGGCCATGGCATTCAATGAATGGCTGCGACCTGAATTCTTCTAGACAGGAACCAGGTGACTCAAGAGCCTGGCCTGAACCTTGAGAACCAGCACCAGTGCTCTGAAAAAAATATTTTCGTTTTGCTTAAAGGTAATAACATTCTCAGGCAGAAATCTTTTGTTGGTGAGGAAAGTTGTGAATTTACTAATATATATACATACATATATACATACAAATATACATAGATATAAACATAGATATATACATATATACATACATATATATATATATATATATATATATATATATATATATATATATATATATATATATATATATATATATATATATATATATATATATATATATATATATATATATATATATATATATATATATGTATATATGTATATGTATGTAAATGTATGTGTATATATATGTATATATATATGTGAATATATATATATATATATATATATATATATATATATATATATATATATATATGTGTATACATATGTGTATATAAATATGTGCATATATATGTGCATATATATATATGTATATATATATTTGTGTATAAATAAATATATATATATTTGTGTATAAATATATAAATATATATATGTGTATAAATAAATAAATAAATAAATAAATGTGTATAAATAAATAAATAAATAAATATATGTGTATAAATAAATAAATAAATAAATATATGTGTATAAATAAATAAATAAATATATATATATATATATATATATATATATATATATATATATATATATATATATATATATATATATATATATATCTATATATCTATATATATATATATATATATATATATATCTATATATCTATATATATATATCTATATATATATATATCTATATATATCTATATATATATATATATCTATATATATCTATATATATATATCTATATATATATATCTATATATATCTATATATATATATATATATATCTATATATATCTATATATATCTATATATATATCTATATATCTATATATATCTATATATATATATATATCTATATATATCTATATCTATATATATATATATATCTATATATCTATATATATATACATATATATACATATATATACATATATATACATATATATACATATATATATATATATATATATATATATACTATATATATATATATATATATATATATATATATATATATATATATATATATATATATATATATATATATATATATATATATATATATATATATATATATATATATATATATATATATATATATATATGTTTATATATTTTTAAGTTCATTTATAAAGCAGACTTGATGCCTTTTAAAAAACACTATATTATATTCACATTGGTAATGATATTTTGACAATGCAGATTAAAGTATTACAAAAATTGTAAATAACTCACAAGAACAAAGCTGTAGCCGATCCAAACGTCAGACCATCCCACTGGACATCTTGGAACCATCATTGTCTGGCTGTGTACTGCCATAATCTTTAAGCGAAAAACAAAGCTAATATAATTTTCAACGCGGATGTGACTAAATTCAAATACATTCTAGATTCAGAGAAACATTAAAATATAAGTGATTTTCTCATATAGACTTGAGAAAGTTTAGTTTGACATTGTTAAAATTTGAGCAGCCGAATTTGATTAGTTTAAAACAAATCTAACCTAAATAAGACATGAACTTACTGGTGCTGGAGTCTCACATACACTGCACCGGCTAATATAGGGTCGGATCTCCTCACCAGTGACAGGTGCCATGGAGGCTGTCATTGTGTGTGGTGTACTCAGCCAGTAGCTGTAGTCCGAACGAGATGCCACATTGCACACGTTATTGATGTTACAAAACATGAAGGGCATGGTTGAAAAACGACGGAGACAGGAGCCAGCAGTACCTACAAAATTATTAGCCTCAGTAATCCACTCTGAGTGAGTTTACATTTTAGAACTACATAATAAAGATTTTAATGTAGGTCTACTACTAATAAAAGTATTATTAACAGCCATTCCATTAAATCACTATTAAAAAAAATGCACATTAAAAATTTATTCTGATTGTGAATTAGGCATAATTTCTTCTATACTTGTTTACCAACTGAACATTAAAATTATGTTGTTCTGTATCAGTTTTGTAATACGTAATAACAGTAAAATGTAATCACATAATGAATAAACTGTATTTTTTTAATGAACAATCCTACGATTGTTTTTGTTGCTATTATTTCATATCTAATGATGGTAAATAATATTTACCCAAATCTTGCCCATGACCACGTCCATTACCCATGACAAAGAGCAATGAATAGCCGTCCCACAATTTATTGGTACCCAGTGGGCAGTCTGGTATTTGGCTATCTTGGCTGTGTCTAAATGAAAAAATATGTGGTTTAAAATCTTGGATACATTCATTTAAATCAAATGCCAGTAGTACTTATTTTATACGATAGGACAACCACTAACTTGATCCTCAAATAAGTTAACTGTCTAATACAAGTAAGATATTAATTTATTGAATCATTTTCTAAAAATGACTATCATCATTTCACCTGGTGAAGATGATTCCTGCACCAGTACCAGGTGATCCAGGAGCACCTGGATCGCCTGGTAATCCTTGTGTGCCGACACTTCCTGGGAATCCATCAGTTCCTTGTCTGCCTTTCAAGCCTTGTAAGCCTTTAGGACCATATAGACCATCTAAACCAACATCCCCCACCATCCCCGGGATACCTGGCCTACCATCCATACCATCTAGACCTAGAAAGTATTGAAAAATGTGAAGAATACATTTAAAATAATAATTATGAACATAATCATATGCATAGGCGTCAACCATGAATGATGTCACATTTTTTGCAATTTTTACCCCCTGCCCCCTATGTACACATCACCAAAAATCAGAACCCCCCCCCCTCCTAAAAATGATGTCACATGCCACCCCACCACAATAACTTTTGAATTAGTATGTTTTCATCACTTAAATTGCTAATGGTAGGCAAAGCATTAAAGATAATTTTGCAGCATCCGTATGAAGAACGTAGGTAACCAATTATATAGCAAAGCAATGAGAAGTTGAAAGGATTATTTTAAAATATTTTATGGAGTTAAAATGTAGATAGTCCTTGAGGATCTGACAACACATGTGAATATAGCAGTAGGCCAATAGTATGTGATGTATCATGGTAGGATTTTCTTATACCACAGGTGCTGTGACTATAAGGGCGTTGACCATGAGTTGTTTGACTATGAGGTGGTTTGACAACATATAGTAAAAAACTATGTGGTAGAATTAAAACTGTGCAGTGACATATGTCCTAACCCCCCCTCCCCACCCCCCTTAGCGTGTGGCATCATTTATGGACGACCCCATTAACTAAATCAAATTCTATTTATATTTTGGAGGCCAAAATATCTGTTAAGTACCAGGCCAGCAAAACTTTTCATTTTTATTACCTTTTATAAACCAAAACAAGAGTTATTTACTTTGCTGCTTTTGATCAATAAAGTGTTTCGTAATGTAAGAGTTTTAGATAGGTAATAACATTTATATCATAAAATTGACCTAGTAGCTGCTGTAATGAGGAATAAGTGATTATTTTGATTGTGGTTGAAAAACTGCTTGTGGTTTAGCTTTATTTTCTCAGATAGATCTCAATGTAGATTAGCATAAGATTTTACCTGAAGTCAACAGATTAAAAAATAAAAATTCAATGAGTGCCACATACCCCTCTCCCCTGAACTGCCTTTGAAACCAGCAGATCCTTTACGACCTTTCTCTCCGATTTCTCCAGGTTTCTTGGGACCATCTATTACATTATTAGGACCTGCGAGACCAGGTTCACCTAAATCACCTGTAAAATATTTATTTAGCTTTAAGAAATCAAAATATAAAATATTCTATTAGCATAAAATCACACAATTACCTACATTTACATATTTGCCTATTTGTATATGTGTATAAATAATGTGTATATATATATATATATATATTTATTTATTTATATACATTTGAATATTTATAATTATACTTTTCTCTCATATAAGTACACATAAAGATTCTAGAAACAAAGCTGAAAATATTTTAACCCCTTCTTATATATGTGTTTGAATTGCAAAACTTTTTGTCTAGCATGGATGCAGTAGGTTGGGTTCAGGGGCGTAACTACAGGGGGGGGGGGGGTCCACACTATTTAGGGGCCCATAGCCAACCATAATAAAATTTTTGTAGTTAAAAAAAAATGTTCTTGCATTTTTGAATTGACGGTAAAAGCTTTTGTAAATAACAAACAGATCTAGTAGTGATGTTATACAGTAGCTAACACATGGTGTTGCATAAAAAAATATAAGCCTGAGCTGTAGTGTGAAAGATAGGCAAACGTTCAAAACACTTCCATGACTTATTTCCCTTTTTTAAATAGTTAAATAGGGGTGCTCATAAGCTTATTTTAATATATTTGTACTAAACAAATGAAAAAGCAATTACTTTTTTTTTTTAAAACCCAATCGGGCCAGAAATGAGTATCCAATGTTTGCATTCTGTGTTTGTATATATGTGTGTATATATGTGCCCTGAATTTTTTTGCAGGGTGGCCCTTTTTTTCTAGTTCCGCCACTGGTTGGGTTTCATCCAGGTGAGGTATATATATATACATATACATGTATAATATATACACATATGTATGTGTATAAGCATGAGAATATGTATTTTATAATTTTTTTCTGGATATATTAATTTTTTAAAATCTATGCACTTTTTGGATGACCCATGAACATCATTTTTTTGTATAGGAAAATGAGTAGGCCTAAATTAAATAAAGACCAAAGAGATTTATACAACATTTGAATCCTCTCGGAGCTCTTTATGAAAACCGGAAGCAGCTAGATTAAAGAAGTGGACGGAGAGGGATGGGGTTAAAAATGTCATTTTTGAGGGCATCACAAATACATGACCACAAAGAGGTCCTACCACTAGACTTACATGTGCCAATATTTTGAGAATTATACCAACAGATTGCAATCATAGAAGGGTCAAACAAAGCATCATTGACTGTTACTTAGAAATATGAAGCATCTTTCTTCTATATATTCAATTTTTTGTCACAAACCTAAATGGTGTCATCCCGTGCAGTCTCCCCCCCCCCCCCACCCCCTCCTGACGCTTTAGCATACATGTAAGATTAGTAATGTTGACCTGAGTCAAGTACAAATAAGTCCAGTTGGGTAGTGAATAAACTTCTCAAACCCCTTCAAATGCTTTTGGACCACAGTATTTGTTCAGTTACATTGGGAAAGAGAAATAATTTTAAAATTACATTAGTTGTAAAATTCAATACTGTTATAAACAATAGCATAAATAAATAAAATAAAAATTACATTTATTATTGATTAAAACTATTTGTTTAATTTACAGGACTGTAGTTCTGCTCTTAATGACAAACATACTCTCAGCATATAAATTCACTGTAACTATTCATTGCATGTTAATTTTTGTGTGCTTTTTTTTTTGTTTATTTTGCAGTGGTTCCATTTTTCTGTAATAAAATTATATATGATTAGTTGATTATCTTTTGGTTTTTATCTAGATTAAGGTTAGGGATTAACCACTATGGGATTAGCCATGGTTGCACTGACGCCAAATTGTTTATTAGCCTTGGGGTAGATTTAGAGCAGGGTTTTAGACAAACGTATGATAACTTAGTATTATCTTTGTATTCATGAGGGTTTATAAAACCAATGGTGTGGTTCCTTCCTAGAAATTTAGATTTTGTATACTTAAAGAGAATTTAATTGCTTACCTTTCCTGCCTTTTTGCCCAGGCATTCCAAATGGTCCTGGAGATCCCTTTTCACCTTTAAAACCTTGAAAGCCTGGAAATCCATCTGGACCATCATCACCAAAGTCTCCAGGGTCTCCAACCATACCTGGCTCTCCCACAAAACCCTGCAGTATAATTTACAAATTTGGAATTCATATAATCCCAGGTTTAAACATCAATAGTCTCATACAATCCCTGGTTTGAACATCAATCAATAATCTCATATAATCCCTGGTTTGAACATCAATCAATAATCTCATAAAATCCCTGCTTTGAACATCAATCAATAATCTCATATAATCCCAGGTTTGAACATCAATCAATAATCCTCACATTTTCCCCAGGTGGACCCGGTTTCCCTGGTTCTCCTGGCCAGCCATCTAGTCCTCTGAAGCCCCTTTCACCATCAATGCCAGGAAGGCCTCTGAGACCATTAATTCCAGGTCTTCCTTTTTGCCCAGGTCTTCCTGTACATTTTAAAAAAAATTGATTAATTCATAAAATCTTATGACAGTTTTATGTGAAAAGGTCAGCTTGTTGTCATTTTAAAACTAATTTTTGTTGATCTGGAATGCCTTGTAAAGAAAAAAAATATTTAAGATATATCAATTCCTCATAATCATCCCCCCCCCAAACACAATTAGTTTTGGGCAACTATAGCTATCAATGCTAGCTCTAATAATACAGATCATTATTTTATTTAGAAAACAAACAAGATTATGGTATTGAAACTACAGAAAAAAGAATTTCATTAGAAAATGAATATATAGGTCATGTTTTTAAAGTAACCAGTAAAGCAAATAAAGTGGGAGTGATCTCCCCATAACACTCAGTCAGGATATAGACATTTAAAAAAAAAATTTTCAAATATTAAATTCTCAAAAATAGAATAGAATCTGGCAGAAAAGAATTACGCAAAAAATGAACAGCAAATAATCTGTGTTAAATAGTGTGGAACATTAGTACTTTATAAAGAAAGACAGAGGAATCAAGTAAAAAAAAATCTTATCAGTTTTTTGAAAAATTGGATATAGGGTAAAGTACTACTGCGGTCACTGGAAATTACTCAAACTTTGTCAGAAAACAGAAAATTAGATTTTCTACATTTATGTGAAATTTCTTCTAACTGAAAAAGTACTTAAGTATGAGGCTTTTGAAAAACCAATAGTAGAATAAGTTCCACTTCTGTTTACCGGAAATCACTGAAAAGTTGAAACAGAACTACAAATTTGATAGAATACTTATAAATGAAATTTCATCAACCTAGCTGTAACGGTAGTCAAGTTATCATGTTTACAGACAGAAGGACACATAGACAGAGTTGCAAAGTCCAGTTTTGTTGACTCGATGACTCAATTTAGAATATTTTGTTGCTTAAAATAAATCCTCTATACTCTGTATATGATGAAGTACTGAGGTCAGGGGGGGGGGGAGGATTTCTTTTCATGCAGCAATTAAGCATTATTATAGTACTAGTCTAGTGTTAAAACATGATACCATTTATGAAGCGTTTACGTTTACAACATATAGTAACAGATGTATTGGTTTGTCATTTTAATGGTCAGTTATAACAAACACAGTGTCTGGTGAATTATCAGGCCTACAAAAACGAGTTAGGTACATAGCTCCCCATGCAATCATTACACACTGCTGTGCTCATAATTTAAATTTAATTCTCATAGATGCTGTTTTATCTAATATTCAAGCACAAATGATCAGAACTCTGGAAAGCATTTTAACATTTTTTTTACTGGAAGTCTACCTCGTCTTTATACTGAAAGAGGAGCAACAAAATGGAATCATTTTCATTAACAATGAAACTTAGTGATACAAAATGGGCTTTTGAAAGACAGCACTAGTTCTTGCATTGCAAAAGATTTTAAGGCTTTTAATTTATCCATTTATTTACAGAGAGTAGTATTAATGTGTTATCAGCTTTTAGATTAATTCATATTTTAAAAAAAATGAAATGAGAAGCTGGAGAAATGAATTTGAATCAGAATTTGAGCAGATTGAGAATGAAGCCACTGAGCTGGCTGAGAAATGTGATATTTGTACAGAGTATAAACAATACAGCGTATACAAAGGTATAACATTCCATCGAGAACAAAGTTGCAGAGGATATTTAGATATCTGACTCTAGGAAAATGTTCTTTTAATAAGAAAGTAATAAGTTACCCTCATCTCCTCTAGGTCCAGGGCTGCCAGCAAGTCCTTTCTGACCCTTTGAGCCTATCGCTCTGTCACCCTTTGGTCCTTTGGCACCTTTAGCTCCAGGTATTCCATTTTCTCCCATTAGTCCCATGCCTCCCACCATTCCGCTTATTCCAGGGATTCCCTCATCTCCAGGAGGTCCAGGGTATCCTTTATCACAAACAGTTTTGTACTTCAATATTTAAAAAAATGTAAAACTTTCTTACACCAAATTAATAAAACAGAAAATCAATTACTTGTACAACTCATCTGAAGCAAAACTAAAATTTAAGTGACATGAAAGAAGAACTCATCTGTGATGTCTGAAAGGTAGCCTCACCTGGTTCAGCATCCTGTCCATTACGACCTACAGGACCAGGGTCCCCTGGATCTCCTCTATCTCCTTGTACGTTATCATCGCCAGGTATTCCAGGAATTCCATCTTCTCCATCAATTCCATCCAGTCCTGCAAGACCTGCTAGCCCAGCGTCTCCTCTTGCACCAGGCAATCCTTCATCCCCATCCGGGCCAGCAATACCTAAAGAATACAACACACTATAAGCTTTTGTTCAAAAGATACAGCACCTAATTAATTTCAGGACATCCCCAGCTAATATTTTATTGACTATAATACTAACCATCATCCCCAGCTAGTATTTTATTGAGGCTAACCGTCATCCTCAGCTAGTATTTTATTGACAATAATACTAAACATCAACCCAGGCTAATATTTTATTGACTATAATACTAACCATCATCCCCAGCTAGTATTTTATTGACAATAATACTAACCATAATCCTCAGCTAGTATTTTATTGACAATAATACTAACCATCATCCTAAGCTAGTATTTTATTGACAATAATACTAACCATCATCCTCAGCTAGTATTTCATTGACAATAATACTAACCATCATCCTAAGCTAGTATTTTATTGAGACTAACCATCATCATCAGCTAGTATTTTATTGACTATAATACTAACCATCATCCCCAGCTAATATTTTATTGACAATAATACTAACCATCATCCCCAGCTAATATTTTATTGACAATAATACTAACCATCATCCCCAGCCCAGCTAGTATTTTATTGACAATAATACTAACCATCATCCCCAGCTAGTATTTCATTGAGACTAACCATCATCCTCAGCTAGTATTTTATTGACAATAATACTAACCATCATCCTCAACTAGTATTTTATTGACAATAATACTAACCATCATCCTAAGCTAGTATTTTATTGACAATAATACTAACCATCATCCCCAGCTAGTATTTTATTGACAATAATACAAACCATCATCCTAAGCTAGTATTTTATTGACAATAATACTAACCATCATCCCCAGCTAGTATTTTATTGAGACTAACCATCATCCTCAGCTAGTATTTTATTGACAATAATACTAACCATCATCCTCAACTAGTATTTTATTGACAATAATACTAACCATCATCCTCAGCTAGTATTTTATTGACAATAATACTAACCATCATCCCCAGCTAATATTTTATTGACAATAATACTAACCATCATCCTAAGCTAGTATTTTATTGACAATAATACTAACCATCATCCTCAACTAGTATTTTATTGACAATAATACTAACCATCATCCTAAGCTAGTATTTTATTGACAATAATACTAACTGTAATAGATTGAGTTAATTGTGAGGTCAAGGGAACTCACTCTCTGTATTAGTATTATATTTATATTGTTATCTTGAGTGATGTCCCTTACATGTTGTTATCTATAAATAGTTCTCTCTCGCCATTTCTCTCTCTCTTTGCATCATGGCGTCTGTACATAATAAAGACTGTTAACAACCAACGCGGCTTCTCGTCAGTCATTACAATCTACCTCATTTGGCGACGAAGGATAAACATCCACTAGAAAGAGCACCTACTTACGCAAAAAAGAGGTTTGCTAGAGCTTATTAGCTAATTATTTCTAGAATTATGGCGCTGTATGGCCAAATAAAAGAATTTGATGCGAATGATGAAATCATTCAAGATTACCTAGAGAGGTTAAGCTTTTACCTAGAAGCTAACGACGTGACGATAGAAGCCAAAAAGAGAGCTGTTTTGTTAACAGTCATAGGGCCTCAACAATTCAGGCTACTAAAGGACTTATGCGCACCAGCTAGTCCAGATACCAAGAGCTTTAACGAGCTGAGCAAATTGCTAACAGACCACCATGCGCCTACCCCATCAAAGTTTCTATGTCGAGCTAGATTTGACAGTAGGACTCGTCAACCAAACGAGTCAATATCAGAATATGTTGCTGCTTTACGTCATTTAAGTGAATTTTGTGAATTCGGCGATACGCTGTCTGACAGACTATGTGAAAAGTTTGTGACAGGTGTAAACAGCCCTGATATTCAAAGAAAGTTGCTGCTCGAGTCAGATCTAAAATTGGAAAAAGCAATACAACTTGCAATGTCATTCCAGCAGTCATCAGATGCGGCGAGATCTTTAGCACCTTCAGAGATCCATGCAGTAAACAGCAGGTTAGTCAATAAACATCCACCCCATCAGAGCATTCCAACTTATGCTAAACACCCTGCTCGTTCAAATCCTAGATCTAAATCTAGTAATAATTATCAAAAATGTCATCGATGCAAAGGTCCCCATGCATCTCATCGGTGCAAGTTCAAGTTAGCAACTTGTTATAAGTGCGGTAAGCAAGGTCACATTGCCAAGGCCTGCTTTGCAAAGTCTTCGTCTGTTGCTAAATCTAGCCAGTCAAGACAGTACCGCAACCAAAGGCAGCACTATGTTAACTCTCACCAAGACTACCTAACCCAACCAATGAACCACTCTACCTGTGAAAATGCTCAAACTGATTCGCAGCCGGATTTCAACCTGTTCTCTGTGAAATCAAAAAGTCATGCTCCCATCAATGTACTAGTTAATATCAACGGTAAGAGCATCAGCTTCCAACTTGACACTGGAGCATCTCTAACAGTCATCACAAAGAAAGATTTTGACGCTGTCACAGGAGGATCAGTGTCTCTACAGCCGTGTCACAAGTGTCTAACAACATACACTGGTGACAATGTTCCGGTAATAGGAGAGTGTATGGTTCATGTAAGTTATAATGGTCAAAGTGTTAAACTTCCTCTTCTTGTGGTTGAAGGAAATGGACCGCCATTACTAGGTAGGAACTGGTTAAGTGATCTTAAGTTAAATTGGGAGAGTATTTGTTCATTGAAGAATGTAAAAGAATCTAGTCTTACTTCACTAGATAGAGTTATATCTGAAAATAAATGTGTTTTTGGTAACTTTGGATTACTAAATGATAGAACAGTGAAGTTAAGCATTAAAGATACAAATCCAAGATACTGCAAAGCTAGAGTTCCACCTTATGCAATGAGGAATAAAATTGAAAATGAGCTAAGTAGATTGGAATCTAATGGCATTATAAAGAAGGTAGACTATTCCGATTGGGCGACACCCATTGTGCCAGTGTTAAAGAAGGATGGTTCTATAAGAATTTGTGGAGATTATAAAACTACACTGAATAAGCAAATAGAGCTAAATAGGTACCCTATACCTAACATTGAGGAAATTTCTTTGAATTTGGCAGGAGGAGACAAATTCACTGAATTAGACTTTAGTCATGCTTACACTCAACTAGAACTGCATCCAGATTCAAAAGTCTATACGACAATAAACACACATAAAGGACTCTACCAATATGAAAGACTATGTTTTGGCATATCATCTAGCCCTGGAATTTTCCAAGCTGTCATGGACAGTATTTTTAAGGATATTCCAAATGTTTGTGTGTACTTTGACAATGTGTACATAACTGGTAAGAATGACACTAAACATCTTAAAACACTTGATAAAGTATTGAAAATTGTTGGTGAAAAAGGTTTAAAGATAAACAAAGATAAATGTCAATTCATGTTGACAGAAATTAGTTTTCTTGGTTACATATTAAGCAAGCAAGGTATCAGACCTCAACCTGAGAAAACAAAAGCCATTAAAGAAGCACCCAAACCTGAAAATACCCAACAACTAAGAGCTTTTTTGGGCTTGATAAATTACTATGCAAAGTTCATAGGGAATCTGTCTGGTAAACTATCACCACTGTACAAGCTGCTACAGAAAAATGCAACTTGGCACTGGGGTAAACAACAAGAAGCTGCTTTTAATACAGCAAAAGAGGCTTTGTCTGCTGACACCTTACTAACTCACTATGACCCAGGGAAAAGACTTATATTAACATGTGATGCTTCACCAGATGGTGTAGGAGCAGTCTTATCCCACATGGATGAGAAGGGTGACAGACCCATTGCTTTTGCCAGTAGATCTTTGAACCAGGCTGAGAAAAATTATTCTCAGTTAGATAGGGAAGGCTTAGGCATCATTTTTGGTGTTAAGAAATTTCATAAGTTTCTGTTTGGTAGGAAGTTCACCATCTTTACAGATCATAAACCATTGCTAGGTTTATTTGGAGAAAACAAAACCCTACCTGAGCATGCCTCACCAAGAATTCAAAGATGGGCTATCACACTAACTGCATACAATTATGAATTGAAATACAAACCTGGATCTGAGAATAGTGCAGATAGTCTTAGTAGATTACCTTTAAAAAACCAAAGCCTGAGCTATGTACCAGAAGATGTATTTGTTCTCTTCACTATCATGGATAACTCCAATATAAATGTGAATGATATTAAAAGGAAAACACAAAAAGATGAGTGCTTAATAAAAGTATATGAGTACTGTAAGAATGGTTGGCCTGAAAAGTCTGTGAATGATGACTTAAGGCCATATAAAATAAGAAATTAAAACCCTTTGTGAAGATAATATAAAAGATGGAGAAGATGCAGTCCATTATCAGTCAGAGTTGCCTAAACAAAGTATTTGTAACTTAATAAATGATTATGGTGATATGGCAATTTCAAATGTTTTAAAGAGAATACATTAGTAAGAAGGAATGTGATCATCAAACAACTTTGCTAACATCATTAGCACTTACAGAAACTAAAAGGGTAACATCAAAAGAAGAAAAAGATTTTTGCCATTTAATACACCCACTTCAAATACTGGATCACAGTTGCAAAGTGATATGGTCCAGAATATTACTCATAAACAGTATTTTTGGTTACCAGGAAAGCACTATCAGATTACCTGAGAAAATTGATCAATCAAAGAAATCTATGTCAATTAAGGATCTGAATAATAGCATAATACTTTCAGATGCCAATTCAAAAATAGTTCCATTAAATCATGACAAAACATTCATTGAAAGAGAATTTGGTGTTAATGAGAATGTGTATCTAAGAAACTATGGGAGAAAGGAAAAATGGATACCAGGTCAAATTGTTCAATGTACAGGACCTGTGCCTTATAAAGTTAAAAATAACTTGTGCAGATAATAAGTGTGAATCTATCAATCCCACCAAGTTTGATCAGTTCACACCAACTCAGTTTGTTCCACAACCAAGTTCTGTTGATATGAGTGAACCAAGTTGTCTGGAGTCAGAAAATGTAAATTCTGGAGTTAATGATTTAAATCCTAGACCTCCTGAGATAGAGAATCCAGATGGTCAGAATCTTGAGTCACCAAATCAGAAGCCACTGAGAAGGTCAAGCAGGACAATCAAAGTCCCAAATAAGTTAGACCTATGATTCTAAAGGTCAAAAGGACTTTGACATTATTGTTTTGTATTTTGATTATGTTGTAGCATATTGTGCATTGTTTGTAAGGATGTAATCTACCATAGTGTTCATGTTACAATATAATTGGTGATTTTAGGATACTATCAATTGTTCTATTGAGAGATGTGTTATTGTGTTCTAAGGGTAAAGGGATGTAATAGATTGAGTTAATTGTGAGGTCAAGGGAACTCACTCTCTGTATTAGTATTATATTTATATTGTTATCTCGAGTGATGTCCCTTACATGTTGTTATCTATAAATAGTTCTCTCTCGCCATTTCTCTCTCTCTTTGCATCATGGCGTCTGTACATAATAAAGACTGTTAACAACCAACGCGGCTTCTCGTCAGTCATTACAATCCACTTCACTAACCATCATCCTAAGCTAATATTTTATTGACAATAATACTAACCATCATCCTCAACTAGTATTTTATTGACAATAATACTAACCATCATCCTCAACTAGTATTTTATTGACAATAATACTAACCATCATCCTAAGCTAGTATTTTATTGACAATAATACTAACCATCATCCTCAACTAGTATTTTATTGACAATAATACTAACCATCATCCTAAGCTAATATTTTATTGACAATAATACTAACCATCATCCTCAACTAGTATTTTATTGACAATAATACTAACCATCATCCTCAACTAGTATTTTATTGACAATAATACTAACCATCATCCTAAGCTAGTATTTTATTGACAATAATACTAACCATCATCCTCAACTAGTATTTTATTGACAATAATACTAACCATCATCCTAAGCTAATATTTTATTGACAATAATACTAACCATCATCACCAGGGGGTCCTGGTAGACCGGGATATCCTGGGATACCTATAAGACCTCGCTCTCCTTTTTTACCAGGCATCCCAATCAATCCATTTTCTCCTCTATATCCTTTTGGTCCTGGTTGTCCTTCTGCTCCTGCTATTCCATTTAATCCACTTTCACCCTATTTATAAGTTTAATCAGTAGAAACACAGATAAACTTCAATCAGAATTAGCTGACAATTTCCAAAACAAAGCTGTTACTGATAAAAAAATTTGTATCATGTACTATTTGAGAAATGTTCACTAAAATGTTCATTCAAAATCAATTGGAATGAGATAATTGCTTTAAAAGTATTATACAAAGAATGCCTTAGCCTTAGAGTAACCAAATTGTGAAGCCACTTGGGTGATAATTCACCTTTTGCCCAGGATCACCTGGAAGTCCTGGATCTCCATCTATCCCAGGTCTTCCTGCACTGCCTGGCAGTCCGTCTTTACCTTCAATACCATTTTCTCCAGCCAGTCCAGGTTGTCCAGGTAGACCAGGGAGACCTGTACACAGAACATCACATGATTGAAGTACTTTGTACACAGAACATCAAGTGATTGAAGTACTTTGTACACAAAACATCACATGATTGAAGTACTTTGTACACAGAACATCAAGTGATTGAAGTAATTTGTACACAGAACATCAAGTGATTGAAGTACTTTGTACACAGAACGTCAAATGATTGAAGTACTTTGTACACAGAACATCACATGATTGAAGTACTTTGTACACAGAACATCAAGTGATTGAAGTACTTTGTACACAGAACATCACATGATTGAAGTACTTTGTACACAGAACATCAAGTGATTGAAGTACTTTGTACACAGAACATCAAGTGATTGAAGTACTTTGTACACAGAATGTCAAATGATTGAAGTACTTTGCACACAGAACATCAAATGATTGAAGTACTTTGTACACAGAACATCACGTGATTGAAGTACTTTGTACACAGAACATCAAGTGATTGAAGTACTTTGTACACAAAACATCAAATGATGGAAGTACTTTGTACACAGAACATCAAGTGATTGAAGTACTTTGTACACAGAACATCAAATGATTGAAGTACTTTGTACACAGAACATCAAGTGATTGAAGTACTTTGTACACAGAACATCAAGTGATTGAAGTACTTTGTACACAGAACATCAAGTGATTGAAGTACTTTGTACACAGAACATCAAATGATTGAAGTACTTTGTAGACAGAACATCACACGATTGAAGTACTTTATACACAGAACATCAAGTGAAGGAAGTACTTTGTACACAGAACATCACATGATTGAAGTACTTTGTACACAGAACATCAAGTGATTGAAGTACTTTGTACACAGAACGTCAAATGATTGAAGTACTTTGTGCACAGAACATCACATGATTGAAGTACTTTGTACACAGAATATCAAGTGATTGAAGTACTTTGTACACTGAATATCAAGTGATTGAAGTACTTTGTACACAGAACATCAAGTGATTGAAGTACTTTATACACAGAACATCAAATGATTGAAGTACTTTGTACACAGAACATCAAATGATTGAAGTAGGCCCCTACTTATAAATCTATGCACTCAATTTAACCAACAATCCAAGTTCATACTAAATGCTTAATTTAACTACTAATCTAAAAATAGTCCAACTTGACATTGAAGTTAGCTAATGTCACAGTTAGCTAATGGTCACTATAGGTAGAGACATCAAACTATACCTTCTAATCCACGGGCTCCTTTATAACCCTTTGGACCTCTGGCACCTTTTGGGCCAGGCATTCCATCAAATCCGTCATCTCCATTTAAACCTACAATCAAGAAAGTTAAACAAATTGATTTTATATTTCCTCTAAAAAATTTGGTTTGTCAGTTGTATTAAAAAGTAGGCTCTAATGCATTTTACAGACACAACATTCACATCAAGAACATTTGATTACAAAAACTTTCACTATAAGAACTAATGTGCTAGAACATTTTATTACAACAACATTCACTACAAGAACTAATGTACTAGAACATTTTATTACAACATTCACAACAAGAACTAATGTGCTAGAACATTTTATTACAACAACATTCATTACTACTAATGTACTAGAACATTTTATTACAACAACATTCACAACAAGAACTAATGTACTAGAACATTTTATTACAAAAACATTCACTACAAGAACTAATGTGCTAGAACATTTGATTACAACAACATTCACTACAAGAACTAATGTGCTAGAACATTTTATTGCAACAACATTCAATACAAGAACTAATGTGCTAGAACATTTTATTACAACAACATTCATTACTACTAATGTACTAGAACATTTTATTACAACAACATTCACAACAAGAACTAATGTACTAGAACATTTTATTACAACAACATTCATTACTACTAATGTACTAGAACATTTTATTACAACAACATTAACTACAAGAACTAATGTGCTAGAACATTTTATTACAACAACATTCACTACAAGAACTAATGTACTAGAACATTTTATTACAACAACATTCACAACAAGAACTAATGTGCTAGAACATTTTATTACAACAACATTCATTACTACTAATGTACTAGAACATTTTATTACAACAACATTCACAACAAGAACTAATGTACTAGAACATTTTATTACAACAACATTCACTACAAGAACTAATGTGCTAGAACATTTGATTACAACAAAATTCACTACAAGAACTAATGTGCTAGAACATTTTATTGCAACAACATTCAATACAAGAACTAATGTGCTAGAACATTTTATTACAACAACATTCATTACTACTAATGTACTAGAACATTTTATTACAACAACATTCATTACTACTAATGTACTAGAACATTTTATTACAACAACATTAACTACAAGAACTAATGTGCTAGAACATTTTATTACAACAACATTAACTACAAGAACTAATGTGCTAGAACATTTTATTACAACAACATTCAATACAAGAACTAATGTGCTAGAACATTTTATTGCAACAACGTTCACAACAAGAACTAATGTGCTAGAACATTTAATTACATCAAAAGCTTACAGAGCTTTCTTACCTGTTTCACCTGCAATAGAATCACCACGCAGTCCCTTTTGTCCCTTTTCCCCTGGTCTGCCCTCTGGACCATCTCTACCATTTACACCATCATAGCCTGATAAAAGATACAATAATCCTAACACCATCTACCATTTACACCATCATAGCCTGATAAAAGATACAATAATCCTAACACCATCTACCATTTACACCATCATAGCCTGATAAAAGATACAATAATCCTAACACCATCTACCATTTACACCATCATAGCCTGATAAAAGATACAATAATCCTAGATTCATTTCATTCTAGATTAGCTTTCATAACCATTGTCACTCAAGAACGATCAGCGAGGTAGCAGTTGTTTGATTTTGGAGTTTTCTCTCCTAGATGGGTTGCTGTCCTCAACTAACGAGCCTCATTTACTCTGGGGTTGGAGCTCTCCTGCCACCACAGCATGTTCAGTTTGACACACTTAAGACACACATCAACCACCAGGCAAACTAGAGGGTCATTTATTGACAAACAACAGGCATCTCATTCATTGGGCTTACCTGCTCTACAACACAGTTTAGATATTTACTGTTATTTCATGGAGTTAGTTGACTTAGTTTTGCCTCTTACCAGGTTCTCCAATATCTCCTGTCATTCCACCATCTCCAGTAAAACCTTTAGCACCCTTGAGCCCAGGTAAGCCGCTGAAACCTTTTTCACCTCTTGCACCTGGTTTTCCAGGTGGTCCAGGATAACCTGGTGCTCCCATATCACCACGATCTCCTCTTCTACCTAAAATATGGAGCCAAATTTGATTCAAGTGCATTTCATTCTTTAAGTAAATTCTAGCACTTTATATTAGAAAAAGTAATTTAGTAAATGAAAGCCAATATTATTTTATTAGAAAAGTTTCATAGTACTAGAAAAACATAACAGAACAACAATGTTGGCATCAATCTGTTACCTTTAATTTGATCCTTGTACTTTAAAACTAAAAACAACAACAACCAAAAGAAAATTCACCTTGAGGACCAGGGTCTCCTGTAATCCCTATTAAACCAGGCATGCCAAAGTCACCATCTGGTCCTTGATCTCCCTGCTGACCTTTAGGACCTGGTAAAGTAAATGATACCACATGTGGCAGTGAGAGAAGAAATGTCTTTAGCACCATTTCTGTCTTTTGAAGTTCATATATGTATCCACTTCTTAACTAAAAGACTTTTTAAGACTTGATCTATTGATTCTGCAATAGCTAACATGTTTGATAACACTAACCATCAAATCCAGCCAAACCGATTTCTCCAGTCAAGCCTTGCAATCCAGGCACTCCTGGCTCTCCGAGAGCTCCAGGCTCGCCAGCTGATCCTTTGGCGCCAGGAAGTCCAGGCGGACCTTCTTGGCCAGGCAATCCCAAATCTCCATCTTCACCAGGGAAGCCAGACTCACCTGTGACAATATATCTTAATGTAAATTACCTCTTGCCAACGTTGTACCATAATATAGATCACACACATTAAATTATAAATTATTTCTTTTTGGTCTGATGTATTTGTACAAAGGTGTATAGCAACTAGCGAGTAAACTAAATATGTTTTTATTTTCTGACCTGGTAGACCCTCTTCACCAGGAAAACCCTTTAGACCTTTGGGCCCATTTCTTCTGTCCCCTTGATCACCTTTTGCTCCTTCTGAGCCAGCTAAACCATCAAAACCAGGCAATCCTGATAAGAAATAAAAAGGTCTTATTTACCATGCCATTTTATAAAGCAAGGCTCAAATTATAGATAATTGTAGGGGATACTTTAAACAAGGTACAATATATAGATCCTTGTAAGTGATACTTTAAATAAGCCTCAACATATAGCCTAGATCATTGAAAGTGATACAATAAATAAGCGTAAACATATAGCCTAGATCATTGTAAGTGATACTATAAATAAGCATCAACATATAGCCTAGATCATTGTGATACTATAAATAAGTCTCAACATGTGGCCTAGATCATTGTGATACTATAAATAAGTCTCAACATATAGCCTAGATCATTGAAAGTGATACAATAAATAAGTGTCAACATATAGCCTAGATCATTGTGATACAATAAATAAGCATCAACATATAGCCTAGATCATTGTAAGTGATACAATAAATAAGGCTCAACATATAGCCTAGAACATTATGATACTATAAATAAGTCTGAACATATAGCCTAGAACATTGTGATACTATAAATAAGGCTCAACAAGGCCTTACTCACAGGTACTACTGTGCAGAGCTGAGAAATACAATATTAAGTAATATGATGTTGGATTATTAATATAAGTAAAAATACACAGTTCAAAAAGTAGTTTGGCAACATTTGAAAGGATTACCTGACTCTCCTTCAATACCCATATCTCCCATCTGACCCCTTGGACCTTGAGCTCCATCAGGTCCTGGTAACCCCCTCTGACCGTCCACTCCTCTGTCTCCTTCTGTTCCTTTTATTCCGCTTTCTGCATCAAGTCCATCTGGACCCCTGAAACCCTGTTTTGTTTCAAATTGAACAGATGACAAAAAAATTGTGTGATTAGCCTTATTTTACCTTGAAGTGGTGACTAAATAAGCTGTGTGATTTGTCTTATTTTGCCTAAACTAAACTGTCAAGTTGAGAACAATTCATGCAAGCTGTTGTAAAAATTATCACCTTAGTCTCTGATCTACAAGAAATTTAAACTATCTTTGCAGTTACAATTCAGGAAAAACTAGATTTAAAAACAACAACCTAGAGAGTCAGTATAAAAAATACTAACGTCTTCACCCATCTCTCCATCTGGCCCTTTATCTCCACGATCCCCCTTAAAGCCCTTGACGCCATTAGGGCCTTGAAATCCTCTAATTCCAGGATAGCCCTTGAGACCCTGCTCCCCCTGGATACCATCAATGCCATCAGTTCCAGGGAAACCTGGCTCACCCTTCAGACCAATTGGGCCCATCTCTCCTTCTGGTCCTTCATCTCCAGGCTCACCTACAGGAGTAAGTCAGGAAACATAACCTTGATCATCAATACAGTCAGGAAACATAACCTTGATCATCAATACAGTCAGGTCATAATTTAGTCAGGAAACATAACCTTGATAATCAATACAGTCAGGAAACATAACCTTGATCATCAATACAGTCAAGTCATAATTTAGTCAGGAAACATAACCTTGATAATCAATACAGTCAGGAAACATAACCTTGATGACCTTTACAGTCAAGTCATAGTTTAGTCAGGAAACATAACCTTTGGGGTCATCCATAAACAATGTCACACTTGTAGGGCGAGGGGGGGGGTCCGTAATTTTGTGACGTGTGATGAGTGGAAGTCATTTTAAGTGGGAGAGTCTGGCTTTTTGTGTCAATGTGTGATGGAGGGGAGGGGAGGGGGGGGTGAGGAGGAAACAAATCGTAAAAAAAGCATGACATCATTTATGGATGACCCTTTTACAATCTCTATAGTCATCTCATAATTTAGTCATGAAATATTACCTTTATAATATTTACAGTCAAGTTATAATTAATATAGGAAATATAACCATTATATTCTTTACAGTAAATGTATAATTTAGTTAGGAAATGAAAACTTTTCAGTCAAATATTATATACCTACTTAAAAATATTTTAAGTTGGATGGTATTTAGTTGGGAAATGGGTTCTTTAGCATCATTTTTGTCACATGATATATTTTAGTCAGGTAATATATTCTTTTCAATTGTGTAATTCATGTTACACATATAACAAAACACTTAAAATTTAAATGCTACAACTATGTCAGTTAGATGTAATTTTGACAGATTATAATATAAAATGTTTTAACTGTATTAAGAATACTAACCAGGTTCACCAGGCTCTCCTGAAATGCCATCCATGCCTATCACACCCATCTCACCCCTTTCTCCCTTCAGCCCACCTTGCTTATGTCCAGGGTCTCCTGGTGGACCTAAAGATAACCAATTCAGTTATAACTAGAAATCAACAACTCAGACTGCATGCACAGTGTTTTTCTTGTGTTACACGTGCTTAGTATGACTGGGTTCTCCAACCTAATTTTTGTAAATTTTCAAAACCATGGTATTATGAAATAGGCCTACCATTAGATCTATATTTAATTGGTAATTTTATATTACAACACAGAATTTTGAAAAAAATATTTCTTGAATGTTTTCTTTTACAATAACAAGTTAGCTGAATCTAACAAGAGTTAGTAAAAGAAGCATTGATGATTATAGTTTTCTAATCTTTAAGAACTAGAGAAAAGTTTTTTTTTAAGCTGGCTGCTATTACTATTGCCATGGCAACCATTTTTTTAGAAGCATCCCCGATGCATGCAAACATTCCCTAAAGTACCCTAACTAAGATACACAAAAATAGTCTTTACTTTTTAAGAAATTTTCCCCCATAGATTAACCCCTTAAAGTATCTTTAAAACCAGATCACAGATCGTTAGAAGAAAATTATTTTTGATTCCTATTAAAAAATGAAGATAACTAATCCTACATGGCAGCCACCATTTATCTGCATGTTATAGGCCAACCAATCTAAGACTATCTTATTCAGCAGTAAAGAATTAGTTATTGTAAAATCTAACCTTGTGCACCAGGCTGTCCTTTTGTTCCATCAAATCCTGCCCGACCTTTTATACCTTTAGGACCTTTGGGTCCTTGAATACTGTCACCTTTCTCTCCTGTCATTCCAGGCATCCCATCAAAACCTCTGCTACCATCCAATCCCTCTTCACCCATGAGACCTTCGTCTCCCTGGTTTTGTAATTGATAAAGAGTTTGAATAATTATTTGTCAAACCTCGCTATCTTAAGCCATTTCTTTCTTAATGGTTAAAACAGCTGCAATAAGAAGAATTTTCCTATAGTAAAAATAAGACCACAACAAACCTGAAAACCTTTCTGTCCAGGTGCTCCAGGAAGACCATAGAGTCCAACTGGACCCATGGCACCTCCCAAACCAGGCGGTCCAGGATAGCCAATATCACCCACATCTCCTTTCTCCCCAGTGAAGAGTTCAACATTGTCCATTGGTATCTGATTTCCAGGTTGACCTTTTGGACCATCATCACCAGAGCTGCCTGGCATGCCTGGGAACCCCTGTAATGGTAAACAACATTATCTGAATGTCCCACTATTTAATCAATTATTGATAAGTAACATTATCTGTAAGTCCTACTATTTGATAAATTAATTGTAAAGACATTCTCTGTAAGTTATACTATTCAATTTATAATTGGTAAGTGATGTAATCTGTAAGTCCAACTATTTAATAAATAATTGGGATCTTCTCTATAAATTCTACTATTTTATAAATGATTGATAAGTGTCTTTCTCTGTAAGTTCTACTATTGAATAAATTACTGGTAAACACAATCTCTGTTAAGCCTAAGATTTAATACATTATTGGTTAGCAACATTCTCTGTCATCTGTACGTTTTACTATTTATAAAATAATTTAAACAATTGCCAAAACAGTTGCCTGAAAAAGTCATTAGTCATAAGCAATGTATGAATGTATGACATATTTAAATAAATAGCATATCTCTGACATACAGCAGGTCCAGGTAGCCCTGGTTGCCCAGGTAAACCAGGGTCACCAACAGGTCCTCTTTCACCTTGTCTTCCCTTAGGACCTCTGGAACCATCTTTGCCTGGATGACAAAATAATTTTTTTTTTACTAAAACAGTAATTACAAATTACCCCACATAATGCAGCAGTGGAGAGAATTTAATATTATTAAAAACAGATTCCGTTAGTAGCTTACAGATTGATAATACTTTTTAAAAATATCTATTTCACATAATTCACTTTAGCCATCGTTTTCATGCAAGTCTATAATTCGTGATTAATAATTTGGCCAGAAGAAGGGGTGGATTAAGCGTGAGTGGGGCCCCTGGCGGAAAATTTTTGGGGGCCTATATATCTATACCTATCTATCTATCTGTCGGTCTATATATCTATACCTACCTATCTAACTGTCTGTCTATATATCTATATATAATTTATATTACATTTTAGTTACACATATTAAATTTTCAAGCATGTTTAACATTGTAATTATAAATCCTGGTTTGCAAGGTTTTCTTTTTTACATTCAGATATGGAACTGGAAAGTTAACCCATTTGTTTGTGGTATAGCCATACTGACAGCAAGAAAGGCAGACATTTAGTGTCTGTGAAAATTTGATACAGAACTACAAATTTGATATAATAATTATATATGGAATTTCGTCAACCTAGCTATAATGGTACTCAAGTACAGACACACATACATACACACACACACATACACACACACAGACATACTGACAAAATTGCAAAACTATGTTTTTCTGACTCAGGGAGGTGTAAAATGATTACACAAATACAATACTTCCTCTATACTTCGTATACAAGAAAGTAAAAAAGGGGCGTGATTTTGTGTCCAGCGACTCAGAAGATGTTTCACATACCCATAACATGTATTGGAAACATTTGAGTCAGTAGATTCTCATATTATACACAAGTTGTTTATGTTCATTAGTGTGCTATTCTACTTAAAAAATCTAATTTGCGAGAAAGTTTAGAGGAGATCACTCCCGTTTTATTTTAGGGATGTGACAGAACGCGACAACAGCTCCTGTCAACATTGAGGCGGGGAGGGACTTTGTTTTGAAGGTTTTTTTTTTAATGTGGTGCAACTCAAATTTGTCAGGCCATTGTTTGTTAAATACAATCGCTTATTATTTAAAACATTCAAACGATCTTTAAACTAGCAGAAACAAAAGCCTGTCGGAAAATAAAATGTATTATTGTTGGTAAAGGCAAATTTTAGAGCCCCTAAAAATTGGGTGCCCCTGGCTGCTGCCCCCTCATCCCCCACTGGCCTAGAGTAGATGTGTTCTGAGTAAAAAAAAACAAAAATAAAAACAACCTACCCACATAGCCTTCTTCTCCTGGGTCACCTTTTGGTCCTGGGATACCATCTGGACACAGCCCACAGTCTTCACCCCGGGAACCTGTTGTTGTGAAAATAGCACATTAGACATCTATGGGTTACCGCATTATACTGTTACTATGGGTTACATCCTTATACTGTTACTATGGGTTACATCCTTATACTGTTACTATGGGTTACATCCTTATACTGTTACTATGGGTTACATCATTATACTGTTACTATGGGTTACAGCATTACATTGTTACTATGGGTTACAATATTAGACTATTGTATAGGGTTGAACATTCTATAACTAAAAAAACGGTCCCAAATATGTAGGCTACTCCACAATGACATGAACTTTAATTAAATTACATTTCCTCCAGCCAACACGGACTCACCTTTTTCTCCATCCTCTCCAAACACTCCATCGTTACCTGGAGGGCCACGGTCACCCCTAAGGCCAGGTAGGCCCTTTATACCTTTAGGCCCAGTGACATCGGAACCAATGTTGGGCAGACCCTTGATACCAGGTGGGCCGGCGTCACCCTGAGGACCTGGCAGCCCAGGCTCCCCGTCCCTCCCGTCTAGGCCAGGTTCCCCCACCTCTCCCACCTCATCATCTCCTGGCTCACCAGGCATGCCAGGGTCACCAGGCAAGCCAGGAAATCCTGGTTTGCCGTCTGTCCCTGCTTGTCCATCTGGTCCTGTCAAGACGGAGATTTCACTTATGTCAATATGCATTTGGTGGTAGGCCTATAAGTAGAACTATTGACAAATCTGATTATTGACAATTAATTTTCTAAACTCTGAGAAAGATTAATAACTTAATCCTTAACAGCTAACAAAACTCACCTCTGTGCCTAATCAATCATCTAAAATTTAACCATAAGGAATCTAACCCCTGTGCCTAATTAATCATTTAAAACCTAACAGCCAAGGAATCTAACCTCTGTCTCCTGGGTCTCCATCTTCAGATATTCCAATTTCTCCTTCAATGCCAGGCTCACCAGGCGGTCCAGGTGGACCAATATCACCATCTTCTCCTTGTTCCCCCGGAAACCCTTCCTCTCCTGAAATTGTTTTCAAATTTATTGCTTAGTTTAATTCACAACATGAGCATAGAAATTAATTGTTCTTATAAAATTGTGTTACATCTAAGTTTAATACACCCCTTAATTATCAAATAACCTGTTTGTAAAAAAAAACTGAAAAAAAAAACAACAACCAAAAAACAGCTGATAAATTAAAAAAATTAAACCTACATGACTGGTATATAGGAACACAACAACCAAAAACAGCTGATAAATTTAAAAAATTAAACCTACATTACTGGTATATAGGACAACAACAACCAAAAACAGCTGATAAATTTTAAAAAATTAAACCTACAATACTGGTATATAGGACAACAACAACCAAAAACAGCTGATAAATTTTAAAAAATTAAACCTACAATACTGGTATATAGGACAACAACAACCAAAAACAGCTGATAAATTTAAAAAAATTAAACCTACATTACTGGTATATAGGACAACAACAAACCCACCTTGCCTTCCACGTAATCCTTTATTACCAGGTTCTCCCTGTAAACCTCTTGATCCCGGGGCACCTTTTTCACCTTCTATATATTCACCAGGTTCACCCTAAGATGTAATGTCAACACTCATATACTATATGCATACCAAGCCATATAAACACATAGGAATCGCCCTGGGACTTAAACAGTATAACCCATAACAAAAAAAAAAGACTTTGCATTACTCTGCAGCTCTCAGAAATACTGACGAAGGACACACATGATTATACTATGTGAAAGCTATAAATTTCAAAATTGAAGCTAGATCTAGATTTTAAGTAGTGCAACTTACAATGCTGTAAACTTGACTTTTAAGTTTGGTAATAAAAACCAATCTAAACGCAATAGTATAAAATGAAAGAAAAAGCTCGAGACTATGCAAACCGACATTTTTGAGATAAGGGCAAAGTTTGAAACTCATAAGCTGATGTTAATAATTCAAGGAAAAGTACCATACACAAAAAGTGATGTTAATAATTCAGGGAAAAGTACCATACACAAAAAAGTGATGTTAATAATTCAGGGAAAAGTACCATACACAAAAACTCATGTTAATAATTCAGGGAAAAGTACCATACACAAAAAGTGATGTTAATAAGTCAGGGAAAAGTACCATACACAAAAACTGATGTTAATAATTCAGGGAAAAGTACCATACACAAAAACTGATGTTAATAATTCAGGGAAAAGTACCATACACAAAAACTGATGTTAATAATTCAGGGAAAGTACCATACACAAAAACTGATGTTAATAATTCAGGGAAAAGTACAATACACAAAAACTGATGTTAATAATTCAGGGAAAAGTACCATACACAAAAACTGAAGTTAATAATTCAGGGAAAGTACCATACACAAAAACTGATGTTAATAATTCAGGGAAAAGTACAATACACAAAAACTGATGTTAATAATTCAGGGAAAAGTACCATACACAAAAACTGAAGTTAATAATTCAGGGAAAGTACCATACACAAAAACTGATGTTAATAATTCAGGGAAAAGTACAATACACAAAAACTGATGTTAATAATTCAGGGAAAAGTACCATACACAAAAACTGAAGTTAATAATTCAGGGAAAGTACCATACACAAAAACTGATGTTAATAATTCAGGGAAAAGTACAATACACAAAAACTGATGTTAATAATTCAGGGAAAAGTACCATACACAAAAACTGATGTTAATAATTCAGGGAAAAGTATTACATAAGCTGCTGTACAAAATTCACGAGAAAAGTAACACAAACCTAAGCTGACGGACATAATTCATTTAAAAATATTATGCAAATTACCCTGATGTACACAAAACGCACTGAGCTACATAAAATCTTTATACATACGTGAAGTAATATTCTGAACAATTATTTGTAATTCCCCCAAAATTTTTCTTTCTTACATATTAAAACTGTTTTTTTTTGTTAGAACTAACCCGAATTTAATAAGATAGATTCTTAATTTAATCTAGAATATCCTTACTAATTGCAGCAATTTTCCTCAAACAAGCTGATTGGGGGGAGTGGGGTACTCTGTTGTCATTTTTAAAAACAAACACCTATATATTTGCAAAATACACTACAATCAATTTATAAAAGCAACATGTAAGTCAAACATGCTTACATGAACTACATGTAAGTCAAACATGCTTACATGAACAACACAGAAGTCAAACACAATTATATGAGCAACATGTAAGCCAAAAATTACATTAGCAAAATGTAAGTCGAAAATGATTACATGAACAACATGTATGTAAAATATGCTTACACGAGCAATGTGTAAGTCAACATACTTACATGAGCAATATCTAAGTCAAACATGATTACATGTGCAAGATGTAAGTCTAATATGACTTCAAGAACAACTGTTAAATCAAGATGAATACACGTGCAACATGTAAGACAAACTTGATTACATGAGCAACATGTAAGCTAAACTTGATTACATGAGCAACATGTAAGCTAAAGTTGTTGATACTATTTAAAACATTGGATCAGGTAAGGAGTCACTTACCCTTGCACCTTCTCGTCCAACTTGCCCTTTCACCCCTGGATCACCTGGTAAGCCCTGAGTAAAAGAAACGATGATTTTAAATCATTTATATACTCCATTTTATTCTTATCCTAAGTAATCTTATATAGAAACATGTCAAGTGAGAGATCCCACGATTGGGTGCCAACCCTTAAGTCATGAGTTCAGGCCCCTAGGATCAGTATCTGGTGACAACAATCTATCCAGGATAGATGACTATGTATTCAGACAACTGCTGCCAAACAGATGTTCTCGGTTGAACACTAATACTATTTGTTCATTTGAAAGCATGTTGTTTAAGCCATTGATCTAATCTGACCACAGTTCAACCCATTGATCTGGCCACAGTTCAACCCATTGACCTGGCCACAGTTCAACCCATTGACCTGGCCACAGTTCAACCCATTGACCTGGCCACAGTTCAACCCATTTACCTGACCACAGTTCAACCCATTGACCTGACCATAGTTCAACCCATTGATCTAACCACAGTTCAACCCATTGACCTGGCCACAGTTCAACCCATTGATCTGGCCACAGTTCAACCCATTGACCTGGCCACAGTTCAACCCATTGACCTGGCCACAGTTCAACCCATTGACCTGGCCACAGTTCAACCCATTTACCTGACCACAGTTCAACCCATTGACCTGACCATAGTTCAACCCATTGATCTAACCACAGTTCAACCCATTGACCTGGCCATAGTTCAACCCATTGATCTAACCACAGTTCAACCCATTGACCTGGCCACAGTTCAACCCATTGACCTGGCCACAGTTTAACCCATTGACCTGGCCACAGTTCAACCCATTGACCTGACCACAGTTCAACCCATTGACCTGGCCACAGTTCAACCCATTGACCTGACCACAGTTCAACCCATTGACCTGACCATAGTTCAACCCATAGACCTGGTTATGGACATGAGAACTGACCTTTCTGCCAAGGAGTCCATCCAGTCCCGGGAGACCACTTTCTCCTCTCATTCCCTTTGGACCAGAGCTACCAGTTGTTCCTGGTTTACCACGTTTGCCCTAAAAATAGAACCGTTGCTAAAATAATCAACATTAAGAGATAAAGACAACAAATTAAACTCTACATTGGTCTTCAACTAAGCGTAACATTTTTTCGGGTAACCTTCCTTTGAACAATTGAACTTGACAAGTTGAAGTGCTGTTTGGGCAGGGGGATTCTTAGATCACACATAAACTTACTGCCGTTTAGTATCTTCACCATGACAGGCTAAAATGTACACACTGCTAGTCAAGCAGCAGCACCATCAGCCATGACCTACACCATCAGCCGTGACCCACGTGACCCAAACCATCAGCCGTGACCCACACCATCAGCCGTGACCCACACCATCAGCCGTGAACCCACGTGAACCACACCATCAGCCGTGACCCACGCCATCAGCCGTGACCCACACCATCACCCGTGAACCCACGTGACCCACGCCATCAGCAGTGACCCACACCATCAGCCGTGAACCCACGTGAACCACACCATCAGCCGTGACCCACACCATCAGCCGTGACCCACACCATCAGCCGTGAACCCACGTGACCCACGCCATCAGCCATGACCCACACCATCAGCCGTGAACCCACGTGAACCACACCATCAGCCGTGACCCACGCCATCAGCCGTGACCCACGCCATCAGCCGTGACCCACACCATCATCTGTGAACCCACGTGACCCACGCCATCAGCCGTGACCCACACCGTCAGCCGTTATCCACACGTAACCAAAATGGTTTTGAATAATAAGTGACAGCGTCGCGAGAAATAATCTTTGCCTTTTGTATAATAAACAACTTCAAATTCCCATTTACCATACGACCATTAGGTCCTTTCTCCCCAGGCAGACCCTTGTCGCCCTTGTTTCCCTGAGGGCCCTGAAAAAAAATCAAATTTTGTTTTAGAACTTAATAAAGCTTGTAAGCTGCGAAACATTCGTCAGTATGGTACACCTAAACTACATGATACTTTGACACAATACAAAACTGACAGTCTTATAAAATAAAGTAATTTTTTAAGCCTTGTAAATTAAATTAGTTTTTTATGCCTTGTAAAATAAAGGAATTTTTTAAGCCTTGTAAAAAAGGGAATTTTTTAAGCCTTGTAAAAAAAGGAATTTTTTAAGCCTTTTAAAATAAAGAAATTGTTTAAGCCTTGTAAAATAAAGGAATTTTTTAAGCCTTGTAAAATAAATTAATTTTTTTAAGCCTTGTAAAATAAAGAAATTTTTAAAGTCTTGTAAAATAAAGTAATTTTTTAAGCCTTGTAAAATAAATTTATTTTTTAAGCCTTGTAAAATAAAGTAATTTTTAAGCCTTGTAAAAAAAAGTAATTTTTTAAGCCTTGTAAAATAAAGAAATTTTTTAAGCCTTGTAAATTAAAGGAATTTTTTAAGCCTTGTAAAATTAATTTTTAGTCTCGTACAACAAAAACCGACCAGTCTGTCAAAAAAAAAAGAAAAAAAAAAGAAAAAAAAAAGAAGTCAAATAGTAAATATTTACCGGTGAGCCAGTCCTTCCTTTATCACCTCGGTCTCCAAAGGGACCTTTATCGCCGATTACTCCCGGGGGGCCTTTGGGACCTTTTGTTATGGTGCTGTTCAAAGGGTTGCCCGCTACCCCAGCCACTCCGTCATCTCCAGGGTCACCCCTTGGGCCCTGAAAACATGCATAGTGCAGGTTTTTATATCACCAAACACAGGAACAGTATGTTTTGTATCACCAAACATAGGAACATACAGTGTGTTTTGTATCACCAAACAGAGGAACATACAGTATGTTTTGTATCACCAGAGGAACATACAGTATGTTTTGTATCACCAGAGGAACATACAGTATGTTTTGTATCACCAGAGGAACATACATTATGTTTTGTATTACCAAACAGAGGAACATACAGTATGTTTTGTATCAACAAACAGAGGAACATACAGTATGTTTTGTATCACCAGAGGAACATACAGTATGTTTTGTATCACCAGAGGAACATACATTATGTTTTGTATTACCAAACAGAGGAACATACAGTATGTTTTGTATCACCAAACAGAGGAACATACAGTATGTTTTGTATCACCAGAGGAACATACAGTATGTTTTGTATCACCAGAGGAACATACAGTATGTTTTGTATTACCAAACAGAGGAACATACAGTATGTTTTGTATTACCAAACAGAGGAACATACAGTATGTTTTGTATTACCAAACAGAGGAACATACAGTATGTTTTGTATCACCAAACAGAGGAACATACAGTATGATTTGTATCACCAGAGGAACATACAGTATGTTTTGTATCACCAAACAGAGGAACATACAGTATGTTTTGTATCACCAGAGGAACATACAGTGTTTTGTATCACCAGAGGAACATACAGTATGTTTTGTATCACCAGAGGAACATACATTATGTTTTGTATTACCAAACAGAGGAACATACAGTATGTTTTGTATCAACAAACAGAGGAACATACAGTATGTTTTGTATCACCAGAGGAACATACAGTATGTTTTGTATCACCAGAGGAACACACATTATGTTTTGTATTACCAAACAGAGGAACATACAGTATGTTTTGTATCACCAAACAGAGGAACATACAGTATGTTTTGTATCACCAGAGGAACATACAGTATGTTTTGTATCGCCAGAGGAACATACAGTATGTTTTGTATCACCAGAGGAACATACATAATGTTTTGTATCACCAGAGGAACATATAGTACAAGTTTTCTTATCACCAAATTCAGGAACTTAGCACATTTGTTGTAACATTACCACCACACTAGAAGAAATAAAACTTTGAGCTGCCAATGTGTACCTTTATTCCTTTTGGGCCCTCCTTGTCGTCACCTTTATCACCTCTTTCTCCCTTCAAGCCATCCAAACCTCTAGGTCCCTGTTAGTGGGGCAAGTTTATAAAATATTTTTTTAAAACAACCTAAGGTCCTGGCTTTTGACAAAATGGAATTAATTTTAAAACAGTATTAGCTAAATTGTTAATCTAATGGTGATATTGTGAGTGGACTGGTTTAATTGTTAATTATCTAAATTCTACTGTTGATATTGTGAGTGGACTGGTTTAATTATCTAAATTCTACTGTTGATATTGTGAGTGGACTGGTTTAATTATCTAAATTCTACTGTTGATATTGTGAGTGGACTGGTTTAATTATCTAAATTCTACTGTTGATATTGTGAGTGGACTGGTTTAATTATCTAAATTCTACTGTTGATATTGTGAGTGGACTGGTTTAATTATCTAAATTCTACTGTTGATATTGTGAGTGGACTGGTTTAATTATCTAAATTCTACTGTTGATATTGTGAGTGGACTGGTTTAATTATCTAAATTCTACTGTTGATATTGTAAGTGGACTGGTTTAATTATCTAAATTCTACTGTTGATATTGTAAGTGGACTGATTTAATTATCTAAATTCTACTGTTGATATTGTGAGTGGACTGGCTAGATTGTTGAACACCAATTGACGAAGACTCACAGGAGGGCCTGGGTCACCATTGGGGCCGTAATATCCTTCATCCCCTGGTTCTCCTTTAAATCCCTACAGAAATAAAAATATTCAAATATTTTCATCAGTGACTCAACCTTGAAATCAACAAAAGACTTATCAGTGAGTACATTTTGAGCGTCAAACATTGTGCCATGCCAGCCGCTAGCCAACAGACGTCACCTACTTTTGGCCCTGGAAGTCCTGGATCTCCCTGTTCACCTTTCAAACCTCTAGTGAAGCTAACAGAATCTCCCGGCATACCCTGTGTGACGTATGGAAAATGACATCTTTGTTAAAATTTATAAGGGTAATTTACAAGATCTTGTTTTGTAGCTGAATAAATAATATCAGTTTAAGCTCTTCTTCCTTGTTCTTAATTTTAATGTTGGAATGAATCCCCTTCAACACAATTGAGTATACGTGTCAACTGGTTATGCGCCATTGAGGCCATTGACTCCGATTTCAGCCTGCTTTTCTTTTTGGATTTGCTTCCATAGCCTTTGTTCAACCAAGAACTAAAAGGCAGCAGTTGTCTCTCCTAGAAGAGTGACTGTCCCCAGCTAACTAGCCTATTCTGCCCGAGGTTTGAACTCGAGACTTTTCGGTTTAGCAGCCATGAGCATTACCGACAAGACCACGCCTGGAGTTTAAGCAAAATACCCTAATCTTGGAGCCTACATACCTTTAGGCCTGGTTTGCCTTGCATCCCTTTTGGGCCTATTAGTCCTGATGAGCCAGGTTGACCTGCACGACCTGGTTGTCCCTTGATGAATTAAGAATAAGCTTGTCATTTAGGCGGTACGCAGAACATCAATATGGACAAGGTAAATAAAGAACATAATTTGTTCATGGAATATTAAATTGTCATTAATTGGAAACTCGAACAAAATTGAAAACAGAAAAAGTGATCAAAAATACCTTAGTTCCATTACACCCTGGAAAACCTTCTGGACCAACGGGACCTTCAAATCCAGGAGAACCCTGTATGTCAGTCAAACATTTGAGTTTTAGCAAATACGAATCATAAGATCAACCCTGTATGTCAGTAAAGTGTAAAGGGGGGGGGTACTGTTATTTCAAAAGTACGAAGATTGTTTTTAAAATGCAAACTTACGTCAATACCAGGTAGACCAACAGAACCATCATCTCCATTAACGCCCTGGGATGAAAAAAATATGTGGATATGTATATATTAAATCTATCCAACATCCAACAAACCATATCCCTTCACCCATCCATCCACCCATCCATCAACCCACCCACCCATCCATCCATCCATCCATCAACCCATCCATCCGTCCATCCATCCATCCATCAACCCATCCATCCGTCCATCCATCCATCCATCAACCCATCCATCCATCCATTCATCCATCCATCAACCCACCCATCCATCTATTCATGCGTCCATCAACCCACCCATCCATCTATTCATGCGTCCATCCGTTCATCCGTCGATAAGTCCACCCGTCCATTTGTACATCCGCCCATCCATCCATCAACCCACCCATCCATCTATTCATGCGTCCATCAATCCACCCATCCATCTATTCATGCGTCCATCCGTTCATCCGTCGATAAGTCCACCCGTCCATTTGTACATCCGCCCATCCATCCATCAATCCATCCATCCACTAATCCATCCATCCATTAATCCATCCATCCATTAATCCATCCATCCATTAATCCATCCATCCATTAATCCATCCATCCATCCATCCATCCATCCATCCATTAATCCATCCATTAATCCATCCATTAATCCATCCATCCATCCATCCATCCATCCATCCATCCATCCATCCATCCATCCATCCATCCATCCATCCATCCATCCATCCATCCATCCATCCATCCATCCATCCATCCATCCATCCATCCATCCATCCATCCATCCATCCATCCATCCATCCATCCATCCATCCATCCATCCATCCATCCATCCATCCATCCATCCACCCACCCACCCACCCACCCACCCACCCACCCACCCACCCACCCACCCACCCACCCACCCACCCACCCACCCATCCATCCATCCATCCATCCATCCATCCATCCATCCATCCATCCATCCATCCATCCATCCATCCATCCATCCATCCATCCATCCATCCATCCATCCATCCATCCATCCATCCACCCATCCATCCATCCATCCATCCATCCATCTTACCCTAAATCCTTTTTGACCTTGAGCCCCAGGTTCACCAGGTTCACCACGACGTCCCTTAAAACCTTCTGGTCCTTCATGGCCCGGCCAGCCGGGTAAACCTTCAGGTCCTCGCAAGCCCGTTAGACCCATCTCACCCTAAATAAGAGGACATCGAAATGTAGAGGACGACTGACAAGGAAAGAACGTATCAGAGTTTCTTCCAGGAAACAATGCGGGGGGGGGGTGCGAAGTCCCCCCCCCCCCCCCGAAAATTTTTACCGCCCCCCCCCCCCCCGAACGAAATGTAATTTATATAATTTATATAGAAAATTTATACTTTTAACAGTACCCCCCCCCCCCGAAGAAAATCTACCGCCCCCCCCTCCGAAAATTTCAAGTGCCCCCCCCCCCCCCCGGAGAAAAAAGTCTGGAAGAAACACTGGAACGTATACATTTGCATTTGGATGCAGTTCTGGAAAATATGACCAATGAGTAACAAATAAAGATGTTACAACATTGAAAAAACCCACACTTGCTTTAGATTGAAGTAAAACATTGAAAACTTACCGGCAAACCTTTTTGTCCTTTGCATATACAGGGTGGTGCACAGCCAGCGCATTGCTGTAAAAGATGTAAAGCGGAGTGTTACAAAAACTAGCCAACTGACTCCAGTATCAATGATTATATGATCAAAATATACGTTCGAGTTTTAATCTTGAGACCTCCACTAATTTTTTTCCCCAAGATATGACAATCATATCTTAAGAAGAGTTCCTGATGCAGGCAATTAGTTTCCCTTAAGATAAGTTTTTCCCTAAATTAGATACACAAAAATAAATAAAAACGACTTATTAATTGAGAAGTTTTTTTTTCCAGAGCACACCACCTTAATCATGTAATCATTTTAATTAGTTAAAAATAGATGACTCAGGTCGAACAAATAGAAGGCTGTAGCTGGCGCAAAGTAAAAAATAGATGACATTTGTCACAAAATCCAAAATAGATGATATTTGTCACAAAGTCAAAAACAGATGACATTTGTCACAAAGTCAAAAACAGATGACATTTGTCACAAAGTCAAAAATAGATGACCTTTGTCACAAAGTCAAAAATAGATGACATTTGTCACAAAGTCAAAAATAGATGACCTTTGTCACAAAGCCAAAAACAGATGACATTTGTCACAAAGTCAAAAATAGATGACCTTTGTCACAAAGTCAAAAATAGATGACATTTGTCACAAAGTCAAAAATAGATGACATTTGTCACAAAATCCAAAATAGATGATATTTGTCACAAAGTCAAAAATAGATGACCTTTGTCACAAAGTCAAAAATAGATGACATTTGTCACAAAATCAAAAAGAGATGACCTTTGTCACAAAATCAAAAATAGATGACATTGGTCACAAAATCAAAAATAGATGACATTTGTTTGACAAAAAGAAAGGGGTGTGGCTTGCAGCTACGAGCTTACAATGACTGACACTTGAGTTTAAATGTAGAACCACTCAAATAGTTGTAAGACTTACTACACTCTCGTGTAAGGATTCTCATGAATGGGAAGGGACGCAACTTTCACCAAACGGAGTAGTGGGAAATGATTTCTTTGAGTCATTGAAGTTGCGCCTACTCAAGTTTGAGGGGACTCGCAAGTCTTTATTCTTGAAATGGCCCATATAACTTATAAGGAAGGAAGTAATGATTGGTGGAGGGAAGATTTTTTTTTTCATAAGGGGCTTGGTTTTAGTGAATAGTCAAGGTCACGTTAACCTAGTAAATAAGATGCACACTGGTTGGCTATCAAGTATCAAGGCAAGTGAGCCACAGTTACAGACATTCGCTCCCACACAGACATGCGCCCACACAGACATTCTCCCACACAGACATGCGCCCACACAGACATGCGCCCCCACAGACATTCTCCCACACAGACATGCGCCCACACACACATGCGCCCACACAGACATGCGCCCACACAGACATTTTATCACACAGGCATGCGCCCACACAGACATGCGCCCACACAGACATGCGCCCACACAGACATTCTCCCACACAGACATGCGCCCACACAGACATTCTCCCACACAGACATGCGCCCACACAGACATGCGCCCACACAGACATGCGCCCACACAGACATGCGCCCACACAGACATGCGCCCACACAGACATTTTCTCACACAGGCATGCGCCCACACAGACATGCGCCCACACAGACATGCGCCCACACAGACATGCGCCCACACAGACATGCGCCCACACAGACATGCGCCCACACAGACATGCGCCCACACAGACATTCTCCCACACAGACATGCGCCCACACAGACATTCTCCCACACAGACATGCGCCCACACAGACATGCGCCCACACAGACATGCGCCCACACAGACATGCGCCCACACAGACATGCGCCCACACAGACATTTTCTCACACAGGCATGCGCCCACACAGACATGCGCCCACACAGACATGCGCCCACACAGACATGCGCCCACACAGACATGCGCCCACACAGACATGCGCCCACACAGACATGCGCCCACACAGACATGCGCCCAGACAGACATGCGCCCAGACAGACATGCGCCTACACAGACATGCGTCCACAGGACTTGTTAATCACCTGCAGATATTCATTCTCGTGGACATTCGCCACCACCGAAATCAACACCAAAGACACCCCACAACCCCCCCCCCCCGCCCACTGACATTAACCCACAACAGACATTAGCCCCCCCCCCCACCACCCCATCCCCAGACAGTAACCTCGGAGACAGTCGGTTATCCAGGCAGCTGCATTACATACAATCAACTAGACAGAATTTGGTAACAGACAGCTGCATTACATACAATCAACTAGACAGAATTTGGTAACAGACATCTGCATTACATACAATCAACTAGACAGAATTTGGTAACAGACAGCTGCATTACATACAATAAACTAGACAGAATTTGGTAAAAGACAGCTGCATTACATACAATCAACTAGACAGAATTTGGTAACAGACAGCCATCTTTACATAAAATAATCACCAACATCAAACCAACTAGATGAGCGACCACTACCAATAGACCACAAGATGAACCACCACTAACAATAGACCAAATGATGAACCACCACTACCAATAGACGACCCAGTAAGCGACCAATACCAATAGACCACTAGGTGAGCGACCACTACCAATAGACCACTAGGTGAACGACCACTACCAATAGACCACCTAGTCAGCGACCACAACCAATAGACCACTGGGAGAATGTGTGTAAATGTGGCTCACTCGCCTTGATACTTGATAGCCCACCAGTGAGCAGATACGCTTGACCGCTTATCGTCTTACTGTACCGTGTGTGATAACTCAACCATAACAAGGTCACGGTACAGTAGCTTCGCCTGGTGGCCATTTGCGTGTAGCCTGGGTTAGCCGTACTAAACACAGATTACCAATTGCGTGTAGCCTGGGTTAGCCGTACTAAACACAGCTGGCTATTTGCGTGTAGCCTGGGTTAGCCGTACTAAACACAGCTGGCTATTTGCGTGTAGCCTGGGTTAGCCGTACTAAACACAGATGACCAATTGCGTGTAGCCTGGGTTAGCCGTACTAAACACAACTGGCTATTTGCCTGTAGCCTGGGTTAGCCGTACTAAACACAACTGGCTATTTGCCTGTAGCCTGGGTTAGCCGTACTAAACACAACTGGCTATTTGCCTGTAGCCTGGGTTAGCCGTACTAAACACAACTGGTTATTTGCCTGTAGCCTGGGTTAGCCGTACTAAACACAGCTGACCATTTGCGTGTAGCCTGGGTTAGCCGTACTAAACACAACTGGCTATTTGCCTGTAGCCTGGGTTAGCCGTACTAAACACAACTGGCTATTTGCGTGTAGCCTGGGTTAGCTGTACAAATCACAGCAGACCAACTGCACGTACATCTCAACACAAATGTCAGTCTTAGTCATGCGGTAAATGAACGCTCCACTAGGCGATTGATGAGCTTCCATGTGTTAATTACTGAGACGATTCTGATGTCTAGTCTGTTTCGAGTCCGCTGTGTTAGTGTGCAGTTTGTATGACTAGCCTTAACCAAATGTCTAAGTTGGTTCTAGTGACTATCTTCGTGAACTGGTACATTACTCACACAAAGGTGCGGCACACACTAGTTTCAAATCACTGCATTAAACATTCATTTTATTTATTAAAAAATATGTAATGGCAAAAATATGTTGAATGTAAGAGTTATAAGATAACTCGTTAAAAAACTATAAAAATAAAAAATAAAATATGATTTCGACCCAGAATAGTTCGTCAAGTGTGATACAATGTTCTAGAGAAGAAAAGTATTCTTTTATCATCTCCTCTCCACCCCCCCCCCCCGCCCCTTCCCACCAACACTTTCCATTTTCCATATAACATTATATAACATTTCCATTGATCGTGGATTGAATTGAATACAGCTTTAAATACAGAGACCATTTTTATTTGGTGAAAATAGTTTTTTTAATTTTTTATTTTGAGCACCAAGAAGTAAGTTCTGTGGAACCGGGTGAGTTATCTCTTACATTGCTGAAGAAGCGAATTGTTTCCCCTGGATGCTGATAACAAGTTTCGCCGTTTCTACTTTGACCGATTAAATTAGCTGCCCCCCCTCCCTACCCCCTCCCTACCCCCCTCATATATTGCAATTTTAATGTTTAGAAAATAAAAGGAACAAAAAAAAAACCTGTTAAAAAAATCACGAAACATCATTCAATAAAAAACAAAGATTTTTTCTAAAAATTCTGTAGCAAAATATTTGTTCTAGTCCTCTCGCTTTGACCACCATTAACAAATATTTCTAACTTTAGTCTCTCGATGTATTGTATGTAACCGTACATAAACTATAAAAATTTAACTTACCGCTAACGAGAAATCCACAAGTCCAATAAATATTGCTAATACTAATAGAAAAGGCCTCTGTGTTTCATTAGGTGCCATCCTGACGGACCGCTCCCTCTGGTAAGGGTTCAAACCCTTCTCGCTACAAACTGAGCCTAGCTAACCTCAGAGAATAAAGTCAAATTTTCGAACAATCAAGATTTGGTCATTCCATTTGATGTCATCCAAAACTGCTGAACTGGGACTAGTCTTGTGCTAGCCACGTATTGGCCACCATCTTGATCTTCTGGATTTCTAGCACCAGGAGATGCTGACAAGAGAAGAAATTTTCTCAAAGGAACTTTTTTTCCAGTAAAAATAGTAACACAAAAAAGCCCTTCAATTTGTATGTGCTCATCTTATTTCGTTTTACGTGAGTCTTATCATGAGGACGAATTAAAAAATCTACTGAAAATACTTTCAAAATTCACTTGTAAGTGTGACAAAAATAGTGACTATTTTCTTCCGCGCACTCGTGGGTCCGCCCACATGGTGCACGCAGTTTACAGGTTTACCCTATGGTACTGCCCGTCAAGATATTGCTTTACTGTACATATCCTATTTGTTGTGTCAAGAAGATCCTCTTCTTTTGCTTACACTAACTTTTTTAAAAACACCGAAAACTTAAAGCAAAGAAAGGAAGCAGAAAAAAAACCCAATTCAAACATAAAAATTAACGTTAGCCATAATTAAATGCTTTGTTTAAAAAAAATGTGTGAGTAGAAACTTAGAGCGGTGATGATTCATGTAGCGCGCGGAAGAAGAAAGGGTTTACCGTAAGGAGAGCGCTCACCCCCACCTATGAGTACACGCATGCGAGGAACGGCTTTGTTAAGTGAATTCAATTCTCACGGACTTAAATACTTTTCTCTTGACTTAAGTGATATGCATTTTAGTCAAGTGCTGCAACATGCCCATCTGAAACAGCAAAGTCGTTGATTGTTGAGTACTTATTGAAGTACCAACCCTGCACGTCCATAAGCTCCGCCCACATGTCGTCATAATGAGAAAGTTCTACTCCTCCGCTGCCAGTGTGAGCAGTTAGTTCTTGTAGAAAGAATTTTTCTAGTGAGGACTGCAAGTTTTCAAGAGACAGTGAACGTCCATGAGAGATCCGAGGGATTTGTAGACAGGGCTGGATCTTCAGCCGGGTCAGGCAGAGAACGGCCTTGTCGTTTGCAAGCGTTCAGCCAACAGTGGACGCCAGACGGCCAATGAGGCTGAGTGCCAGACACCCTGGTACCTCGACTGGACAAGACACTTGTTTTTGTGATAAGGCTTTCAGATTGTCCACCATGTCGACGTGGTAAGTAGCCATTTCTGACCAATCTTGATATTTACCCAATATTCACACACAAAAACAAACAAACTCAGACGTTTTTTTGTTTACCTTAGTTGCAAAAGCCCGTTACTAAACAATTCTAATTTTTGCTAATACAGCAGATCTTTCTACCAAGTCAGCTACCGTAGCTACTGTAATAAACCTACATGCATGTAGTTAAACACTGTTAACCTGTTTTGTTTTGTTTTTAATTTTTCTTTAAGAATACAGTTTCAGTTAAAATACAAACAAAATACAAACACATATTTAAATGCATCCATCAACTTAGTATAGCGGTCATCGTGTCTACTTAAATATATGTTTACACCATACACTGCAGACATCAACACGGCATACGTCATAAATCTGTGTATCTGTGTGTGACAATTGTTCAAGCATTAACAGACGGACCTGTGGATTATAATATGTTTTCTCTTCCCTAGGGTGACGTTAGCCATATTTGTTGTTCTAGTTTCTTTGATTAACACGGCATCAGCGGTGAGTTCATTTAAATAATACTTTCTTCTTCTTCTCTCTCTCCCCGCCCCTCTCCCTCCCTTTGGATACACGCACTACTGACTCTAGAATACGAATTTTAACTCTTTGAATGTGAGTTCTGTAGATCTAGGCTGTATACCTCAAAGTGTAAACATCTATACCATTTTTTCAACGAAAACTCTAATAATTAGGCGAAACGTATTTAGGCCAAACAGAATCGCAGCTTCCGCTTATCTGTGCGCGCGGGTTGCCTTACAGACACGACAGTCGACGGTGGCTGGATGCCTTAGCCCTACCTTTCTCCCTGCCCCCATTCCCCAGTTCTCATCGCGAATTCTTACTAAAATTGCTTGCTCATGGGAATGAAATGTGAGGCTTTAAAAATAATCTCCGCCTGTAAAGTCGAGCTGCCTTGAAGGCGGTTAAGAAAACATACCGATTAGTGGCTAGTGGGCTGTGCTTTCTCTGCCAGCTCAAAGTTACAAGGAAAATTATCTCATTAAAAATACTTGTAGACAGTACAATTAATGATTTATTGGGGTATATTTATAAAGTTCCTTAAATTTAAATTAAAAATCACAGTGCCTAAAATCAACGAAAGTTTTATTAAATTATGAAATATTATTTACAATAGATATGGAAAGAGTATTAAATATGATACTTTGATAATCAAAACTATAAACTTCAGTAAAGAAAGTCATTGAATTTATTAAATGCATTACTTTTCCAAAAAAAAAAAAAGATTAGTGAGATATTAACAGAACAATTGTGTCTATTTTCGAGATAAACAGCTATTGTGACCTTACATGATTAGGGCAGGAAAACCAATAGTAGACTTTTTGAAAACTTTTTCAAGCTTTACATGAATTAGAAAAGTTTGTGTTTACAAAAGATGCTTTTCCCAAACTTGTAAACACATTTTTAAGCCCCATACATTTCGTCATGTTCCCAAAGATCCCCTACATTTCGTCATGTTCCCAAAGATCCATTACATTCATGTTCCCAAAGGTCCACTACATTTCGTAATGTTCCCAAAGATCCACTACATTTCGTCATGTTCCCAAAAATCTCCTACATTTCGTCATGTTCCCAAAGATCCACTACATTTCGTCATGTTCCCAAAGATCTCCTACATTTCGTCATGTTCCCAAAGATCTCCTACATTTCGTCATGTTCCCAAAGATCTCCTACATTTCGTCATGTTCCCAAAGATCCACTACATTTCGTCATGTTCCCAAAGATCCATTACATTCATGTTCCCAAAGGTCCACTACATTTCGTCATGTTCCCAAAGATCCCCTACATTTCGTAATGTTCCCAAAGATCCACTACATTTCGTCATGTTCCCAAAGATCTCCTACATTTCGTCATGTTCCCAAAGATCTCCTACATTTCGTCATGTTCCCAAAGATCTCCTACATTTCGTCATGTTCCCAAAGATCTCCTACATTTCGTCATGTTCCCAAAGATCTCCTACATTTCGTCATGTTCCCAAAGATCCCCTACATTTCGTCATGTTCCCAAAGATCTCCTACATTTCGTCATGTTCCCAAAGATCCACTACATTTCGTCATGTTCCCAAAGATCCACTACATTTCGTCATGTTCCCAAAGATCCCCTACATTTCGTCATGTTCCCAAAGATCCCCTACATTTCGTCATGTTCCCAAAGATCCACTACATTTCGTCATGTTCCCAAAGATCCCCTACATTTCGTCATGTTCCCAAAGATCCACTACATTTCGTCATGTTCCCAAAGATCCCCTACATTTCGTCATGTTCCCAAAGATCCACTACATTTCGTCATGTTCCCAAAGATCCACTCAACTTCCTTAACCCATGCAGCAGACAAACTGCAGGCCATGAATCAACATCCTGTCTAACCGTTCAGATAATTACCACAGGATAAGTTTAAGATAACTCTATCTCTGCCCTCAACCATATGTGCCCCCCTTTTCACGAAAATTAGCTGGAATTTCTGTCTTAAAGGGAAGTGTCTGTTTCTTGGATTAGAGGGGAGTGTCTGTGTCTTATTGGGGAGTGGCTGTGTCCTATTGGGGAGTGGGTGTGTCTTATTAGGGAGTGTCTGTGTCCTAGTGGAGTGTGTGTCCTATTGGGGAGTGTCTGTGTCCTATTGGGGAGTGGGTGTGTCCTATTGGGGGAGTGGGTGTGTCCTATTGGGGAGTGGGTGTGTCCTATTGGGGAGTGTCTGTATACTATTGGGGAGTAGGTGTGTCCTATTGTGGAGTAGGTGTGTCCTATTGGGGAGTGTCTGTGTACTATTGGGGAGTGGGTGTGTCCTATTGGGGAGTGTCTATGTACTATTGGGGAGTGTCTGTGTCCTATTGGGGAGTAGGTGTGTCCTATTGGGGAGTGGGTGTGTCCTATTGGGGAGTGTCTGTGTACTATTGGTTAGTGGGTGTGTCCTATTGGGGAGTGTCTATGTACTATTGGGGAGTGTATGTGTCCTATTGGGGAGTAGGTGTGTACTATTGGGGAGTGTCTGTGTCCTATTGGGGAGTAGGTGTGTACTATTGGGGAGTGGGTGTGTCCTATTGGGGAGTGGGTGTGTCCTAGTGGGGAGTAGGTGTGTCCTATTGGGGAGTGGGTGTGTCCTAGTAGGGAGTGGGTGTGTCCTAGTGGGGAGTGGGTGTGTCCTAGTGGGGAGTGGGTGTGTCCTAGTAGGGATTGTCTGTATATTAGTGGGGAGTGTCTGTGTCATAGTATAGAGTGTTTGTATCCTAGTGGGGAGTGTTTGTGTGCTAGTGGGGAGTGTTTTTGTCCTACTAAGTAAACACATTAATTTTATTTTAAGAAACAAAATATTTCATATTTGATAAAGTAATTCAAGAGTCATTTTGATACGGCGAAAAGACCTTCACCTTCATTCAAGTAGAAAGAATGTTAAGCTTGAGATGTTTTCAAGTTTTCTGAAAATATTTCACAAACCAAAACAACACTCCCCTCCCACGAGCACTTTTAGATTTCCAGACTTGTCGGTCACGTGATTCAGCGAGTGACGTAATACTTGTGCGGGCAGCTGGGATTTTGTAGGAAAGAAATCTCAGAGAAATGTAGTAGTTTTTATCAACTTAGATCATAGGCTCCAGCCACTTTTCATCTATGGAGGACGAAGAATTCTTTTTGGTTTACTTTTGGTAGAGTAGCCGGGTTCCTGTGATGCACCACGTCACCCCAAACATCTCCATAAACAACACCCCCACCCCCCACTCCTATCATACCTACTCTAACATCTCCATAAACAACACCCCCACTCCTATCATACCTACTCTAACATCTCCATAAACAACACCCCCACTCCTATCATACCTACTCTAACATCTCCATAAACAACACCCCCACTCTTATCATACCTACTCTAACATCTCCATAAACAACACCACCACTCCTATCATACCTACTCTAACATCTCCATAAACAACACCCCCACTCTTATCATACCTACTCTAACATCTCCACCAAATGCACACCTTTACCAATAACCCCTTCTTCCTACCTAAGTTTGACACATTAGTCTTGGGGGGGGGGGGAAGGGGGGGGGGGACACATGAACCTTCATGGGTGAGGGGATGGGGGTTGAGGGTGGCCTTATTGTGTGTGTGGGGGGGGGGGGGGGTGAAAGGCCTGGAAAAACACTGCTACTTATATCCAACCCACGTTCCTGCCCATTTCCTCAGCTAATCAGCGCCTGCATGTAGTGCCAGAAAAATAATATTAACTTAGTTTTCAATGCTAAATTAAACGACACAAGTAAGGGGTCGTCCATAAATGACGTCACACTCGTAGTGGGGGAGGGGGTCCGTAATTTTATGACGGTGTGTGATGAGGGGGAGGGAGGGGTTCAGATAGTGTGACGTCACAGTTTTGTATTATAAAAAAGCAATGTTAGAAATCGAATTTTAGCCGTTATTTCGCGTTTTAGAAAACTTTAAATAAATTGTAATATGAATTGATTAAAATACTCTATGTTGACAGCGTTCTGACAAGATTTTGGAAAAATATCGTATTTTAAGAAAAATTCAACTGCAATTTTGAGGGGTTTCTAGGCTGAGGTGTGACGTCTTTGGGAATGGGGGGGGGGGGGGGTCTGGCTTTTGTGACGATATGTGACGTATCATATCATCCAATGAAAATCTATTTTACTATTAGCTGAGAGGACGTAAATTTAATCGAATACTTTTTTTTCCTCTAAAAGTCTCAAAGCAATAACGCGACCTTAATAAAGAATGAATGAGCTCTTTTTTTTTTTATTAAAGGGAAATCACTCGATTCTTTTTAATTGGCGTGTTATCACATTTATCAAACCTTCTAATATATATATGTCTTTAATTTAATTTTTTAAATAAAAACAGTTTTTCTTGTAAATTTATAACTGCTCCATTTATATATATATATATATATATATATATACATATATATATATATATATATATATATATATATATATATATATATATATATATATATATATATATATATATATATATATATATATATATATATATATATATATATATATTATGATTGTGATTAAATCATGTCATACACTGATGACCCCTTGAAATCAGATTTAGCTGGCTACCTTTAATAATGAATGTTAATTAGCACATTTAGAAATTGAACACATCCTAGACTGTTGACTATATAGAAATCGTCTGTAGTGTCGCATTTGTCGACAGGAAGGATGGATGTCCTCTACATTTACCCGTCGTACCTGTTATTTTTTGTGTGCACTTTCTGAGTATATGAGTACAGGTGTACTTTAGTAGTGTCCCAGGGGAGTACTGCTGTACTTAAGCATTTTGTATGTTTTACAGTCTTCATTATTTAACAGTTTGTTCGGTGCTTTCTTAAAGTACCGGTACAGATATCTGTAGGTAAGGGCATAATAGATTTGGCTGGACTTTCTTCCATGCACTATTTAGTTATAGGCATCATTTAAGGAGATGTGAAAGTGTGGTTTCAGGTAGATCACGATATGGCTAGATAGCTTGTGTTGGGGGTACGTGGGTTGGGTTTGTTTTAAGGCTAGCTAGCAATTGGACTATCATGCTGGGATGCTTTGTGGGTTGATAAATGGGGAATATTTTGTTTGCAGTAACGGTAGTGGAACACATAAAATGTGTTGTGGCTAAATAGTATTAGAGATGGGAGGGGTATGTGTTGTGTTGTGGCTAGATAGTATTAGAGATGGGAGGGGTATGTGTTGTGAATAGATAGTATTAGAGATGGGAGGGGTATGTGTTGTGTTGTGAATATATAGTATTAGAGATGGAAGGGGTATGTGTTGTGTTGTGAATAGATAGTATTAGAGATGGAAGGGGTATGTGTTGTGAATAGATAGTATTAGAGATGGGAGGGGTATGTGTTGTGTTGTGAATAGATAGTATTAGAGATGGGAGGGGTATGTGTTGTGAATAGATAGTATTAGAGATGGGAGGGGTATGTGTTGCGAATAGATAGTATTAGAGATGGGAGGGGTATGTGTTGTGAATAGATAGTATTAGAGATGGGAGGGGTATGTGTTGTGAATAGATAGTATTAGAGATGGGAGGGGTATGTGTTGTGAATAGATAGTATTAGAGATGGGAGGGGTATGTGTTGTGAATAGATAGTATTAGAGATGGGAGGGGTATGTGTTGTGAATAGATAGTATTAGAGATGGGAGGGGTATGTGGGGTATGTGTTGTAGCTAGAGAGCCCCATTTCATCCACTATCTAACCCCACCCTCTCACTCCACCTAACCATCACTATCAAACTTTACTATCTGACCTCACACTCTCACCATCACTATATACCCTTTCACCAATCCTACCATCTCCATCTCTGCTCAGCTCACCATACCATACCTCACCATGTGATCTTACCATCCCAACATCATCATCTCTCCATCACCATCATAATCTTACATTAACAATTTTACCATAATAATCTTATTATCACCATCTTTCCTCATCTTGTGACCATCATCTATCACCTCACCATCATCTCTCACCTCACCATCCAACCATCCCACCATCTCACTTCACTATCTCACCATAACCTCTTACCTCTTCATCTCACCATCTCACCTCGCCATCCCACCTCATCCCACCATCCCACAATCCGATCATCACCTCTTACCTCATCATCTCAGCACACCATTTTACCATCACCTCTCACTTCACCATCTCACCATCTCACCATCACCTCTCACCTCACCATCACACCTCACCATCACACCTCACCATCTCACCATCTCACCATAACCATCTCACCATCACCTCTCACTTCACCATCTCACCATCACCATCACACCTCACCATCACACCTCACCATCTCACCATCACCATCTCACCATCACCATCTCACCTCACTATCTCACCTCACCATCATCTCTCACCTCATCATCTCACCTCACCATCTCACCATTTCATCTCACCTCAACATCTCACCTCACCATCTCACCTCACCATCTCACCATCACCTCTTACCTCACCATCTCACCATCACCTCTTACCTCACCATCTCACCATCACCTATCACCCCACCATCTCACCATCACCTCTCACCTCAACATCTCACCTCACCATCCCACCATTTCATCTCACCTCAACATCTCACCTCACCATCTCACCATCACCTCTTACCTCACCATCTCACCATCACCTCTTACCTCCCATCTCACCATCACCTATCACCCCACCATCTCACCTCACCATCTCACCTCACCATCTCACCGTCACCTCTCACCTCACCATCACCTCTTACCTCACTATCTCACCTCACCATCATCTCTCACCATCACCATCTCACCATCACCTCTTACCTCACCATCTCACCTCACCATCTCCCCATCACCTCTCACCTCACCATCATCTCTCACCTCACCATCTCATCTCACCATCTCACCTCACCATCACCATCTCACCATCACCATCTCACCTCACCATCTCACCTCACCATCTCACCTCACCATCTCACCGTCACCTCTCACCTCACCATCACCTCTTACCTCACTATCTCACCTCACCATCTCACCTCACCATCACCATCTCACCATCACCATCTCACCATCACCATCTCACCATCACCTCTCACCTCACCATCACCATCTCACCATCACCTCTCACCTCACCATCATCTCTCACCTCACCATCTCACCTCACCATCTCACCTCACCATCTCACCATCACCTCTCACCTCACCATCATCTCTCACCTCACCATCTCACCTCACCATCTCACCTCACCATCTCACCATCACCTCTCACCTCACCATCATCTCTCACCTCACCATCTCACCTCACCATCTCACCTCACCATCTCACCTCACCATCTCACCTCACCATCTCACCTCACCATCTCACCGTCACCTCTCACCTCACCATCACCTCTTACCTCACTATCTCACCTCACCATCTCACCTCACCATCACCATCTCACCATCACCATCTCACCATCACCATCTCACCATCACCATCTCACCATCACCTCACCATCACCATCTCACCATCACCTCTCACCTCACCATCATCTCTCACCTCACCATCTCACCTCACCATCTCACCTCACCATCTCACCATCACCTCTCACCTCACCATCATCTCTCACCTCACCATCTCACCTCACCATCTCACCTCACCATCTCACCTCACCATCTCACCATCACCTCTCACCTCACCATCATCTCTCACCTCACCATCTCACCTCACCATCTCACCTCACCATCACCATCTCACCATCACCATCTCACCATCACCATCTCACCATCACCTCTCACCTCACCATCACCATCTCACCATCACCTCTCACCTCACCATCATCTCTCACCTCACCATCTCACCTCACCATCTCACCTCACCATCTCACCATCACCTCTCACCTCACCATCATCTCTCACCTCACCATCTCACCTCACCATCTCACCTCACCATCTCACCTCACCATCTCACCATCACCTCTCACCTCACCATCATCTCTCACCTCACCATCTCACCTCACCATCTCACCTCACCATCACCATCTCACCATCACCATCTCACCTCACCATCTCACCTCACCTCACCATCTCACCTCACCATCCCACCATCTGACGTCACCAACTCACTGACTCGCCTCCCGAGCACCGGAAGGGCGGCAAAGAAAAATGCCAGACGTCAAATAAATGAAAAGAAAAGGTAAAACTAGAATCAAAAGCCGTGTGGGTTACCCGCTCTAGCTGCAGCTACAGGAGCCGCTACCTACCATGTGTTTATGGCCCACTCCAGTCCCACCTGTTTTATTCAGGTCAGGCCATCCAGACCAGTCATAGTGGGAGGGAGGGGGGGGCGAATGTCGCAATGTCTGGGTGGGAGATGTCTGAGTAACTTGACATTTAAAAAAAAAATTCATTGTTTTTAAACAATTCCAGAGATTTTCCCAAAATAGCATATAGTTTTATAATTGCTGAAACTCCATTAATCAAATCTAATGCATATCGTTTCCACGCTGTTCACCATTTGAAACTCTAATTTGCTGTGATATATTAAATAAAAATTATTACCACCCATAACAAACTTAACCAGTTTCATCCAAACAAAAATGTAACCACCCAAAACAAACATAACCAGTTTCATCCAAACAAAAACATTACCACCCAAAACAAACTAAACCAATTTCATCCAAACAAAAACATTACCACCCAAAACAAACTAAACCAGTTTCATCCAAACAAAAACATTACCACCCAAAACAAACTAAACCAATTTCATCCAAACAAAAACATTACCACCCAAAACAAACTAAACCAATTTCATCCAAACAAAAATATTACCACCTAAAACAAATTAAAACAGTTGCATCCATATACAATACTACTCAAAATATTATTTTTCTTCCTTCCCTATCCCATATTATATTCAGAGTTTATCGATACTGATTTTAAGATATGAATTAAATTTGTATTGATTTAAAGCCCCAAAATACATAACATTATTTTGAAATCAGTGACTTTGTCTACGGAAACTTTAAACATATAGATCCAGTAATGCTATCACTTCGGTTCAAGGAGTTGCAGTAAAGAAAAACAAACGATAATTTATTTGCGTACTGGTTTCGGTGCTTAGACTAACAAATATCGCTACACAGGGGAAACAACCAGACACGGTGCACAGAAAAACTGAGCTGAGAAATAGCTTGTTCATCCTGTGTAGGAACGTGTACAATCTGTTGCCAATTTTTATTGATACAGAAATAAATCACAAACAAAAGAAGTTTCGAAATGTTCTAAAAATATGAATGGGTGTACTATAATATATATATATATATATATATATATATATATATATATATATATATATATATATATATATATATATATGAAAACAAAATGCATGTGTGTAAACCATATGTAATCATAAATAACTATACCATTTACAACTATACAAACACACACTAATATATATATCTAAAGATATATATATATATATATATATATATATATATATATATATATATATATATATATATATATATATATATATGCCTTAAAATGTATTTTCTACTACTTTTGAAGAAATCATAGTTTGATGTTGAACTGTTTCTCTTTCAGCAAAGCCGTAGGGGTGATACGAACTTAGATGAACAACCGCGTGAATGTGGAGGGTGTACAGTGGTTGGGGGGTGTAAGTGTATAGGAGAGAAAGGATCTAGGGTAAGTTTTTTTTTATGCTTGCTTGAAAGTTATATACATTTAAAAATAAGTTATTTTGCATTTTACTTTTTTTTAAAAGGTAAATTGTAATATTTAAAGGATGTCAAAGCACACAGAAAGTTATAGTTTTATAACTGTGTTAAGAAGGATTGAAAGAATTTTTAGCTAACTTGGTCAAGAATGATTAATATAATTTTTCGTTGAAGCAGTCAGGAATGATTGAAAAAAAATGACTTAAATCCCATTAGGGGGCACCGGGCAAGATTGGTGAGGCGGGAAAACAGGGGGTTCAAGGCTTTGAGGGACCTGAGGGGCCACCAGGGCCGAAAGGTGACAAAGGTGACCACGGCCCACCTGGACCAATAGGAGAGACAGGTGATCGGGTAAGTCGGTGTTAACTTCAATATTTCATCTCTTATTCTTTTTGTACAAACACCGCCCTAATATAAAAACCCTACCCTGCTTCCCAAAATATATCCGCCCGAAACACCACTTCCCCTACCCCAACACTCCCAATACACTCCCTACCCCAACACTCCCTACCCCAACACTCCCTACCCCAACACTCCCTACCCCAACACTCCCTACCCCAACACTCCCTACCCCAACACTCCCTACCCCAACACTCCCTACCCCAACACACCCTACCCCAACACTCCCTACCCCAACACTCCCTACCCCAACACACCCTACCCCAACACTCCCTACCCCAACACTCCCTACCCCAACACTCCCTACCCCAATACTCCCTACCCCAACACTCCCTATCAATACACTCCTCCCGATTTTGTTCATTTTTTAACTTGTGTGTTTAGTGTTTAAAATTCTGATTACTTCGTGAGTTTAGGGTTAGCATCCTTTTGACTTTCTAGATTTAGAGTTTCAATTTTGATTAATGTGTGTATTTTGTGTGAAAATTGGATGACTCAGTTTAAGGCTTAACGGCTTGGACGAAATGTATATACCTTTAACTGGCTTAGTAATCAGATCTTTGATTCAATTGGACAATTAGATCATTTACTCGTGGAAATTCCAAGGACCAAATTTATTCGTTTTTAAGTAAAATATTATTACATGCAATTTGATTGTGTACAATTTGAGATCTCTGTAATTTTTTGCATACCCGTGGGCGAAGAAATTCAGTTCTGAACAGAAGCTAATTCAATTGACAAACTAGGCTAACAGAAGTCTAAAAATAGGCATCAGGAGGTACAAGAAAAAAAAAATCCCCCATTCTGAGCGGAGAGGAGAAAAAACGGCGGGAGGGTATGATTGTATGCCACATGCGCGGTGTGGGGGTTTGTGTAGATAGAGTCAAGATTTGGAAGAGCCACGCCCTAACCAGCAGCTTGCTATGTTTAGCGAGAAACATCCTGTGCTGCCAATTAGTAAGCTGCTCACTATACGATTGGCACTTCAAATTTAAACATGTAGATTATGATATGAAACAAATAGACCAAATTCAAATTTTAACAGTGGCAGAAATTTTTAGTGATTTTAGTGAAGTATATACATTTTAAATTTTAAAACAGTTTAAGTATAATAGATATTATAGAACATTACAATTTTTACTGCTGCAGATTTTTTTTTTGGAAAATCGCAATTTGTTGCTTTTAGAATATTGGAAATATTAGATCTTGGTACTTTAGTTTCGCCAGCCTTTAAATAGTTTATAAACCTCGACATCGCTTTTTTGACGTCTGGACTACCTGCCTTTATCAGACGTCCAACAAATCAGCTAGTTCACGTCCGACTTTAACCCAGATTTTTGCTGAGGGTTCAAGTGCACCAAGGCAGACGGCTGGGAAAAGTTGCCTAACTGGCATTATAAATGTACAGAGATTTCGGGACTTGGAAACAAGGGAGCTAACCGATTTCTGTTTTTCTCCCTTTAAGTAAACTACTCGTTTGTCATTTCCTGGGAAAAGGACAGCATCGCAAACTCTTTATCTAATTTTTGCAGTACTTGCAAAAAGTGCTTGAAAAATGAAAGTAAAAAAAAAATTAATTGCAGTTTACAGTACATTTGCTAGCAACTTGGAAGAAACTGATACAGTACATTAGCTAGCAACTTGTAAGAAACTGATACAGTACATTTGCTAGCAACTTGTAAGAAACTGATACAGTACATTTGATAGCAACTTGGAAGAAACTGATACAGTACATTTGCTAGCCACTTGGAAGAAACTGATACAGTACATTTGATAGCAACTTGTAAGAAACTGATACAGTACATTTGCTAGCAACTTGTAAGAAACTGAAACCTATAGAAATATGCACGAGGAATCATGATCCGATTAGGATTTCCAGTACATCTATATAATGCAACATATTTACCATACCGTAAGTTTGAGGAATTACTCTGATGAAAACCATGGACTGATTTAGAACGGAAATGGAAATTGAAAAAAATAAAAATAATCTTATTCGTAAAAAAATCTGGAACTCATTAATTAAAATTAATTTATAATGTCTTCACAGAAATATGATAAATACTCCGAGCAATAAATGAGCAAAGCCAAATCACGATCTGGAGTACATTATTTAAAAAACGAACATGATTCATTTAATGACTGGTTCGTTAAGCCAGGTACTCGATGGCTAAGCACATTTTAATAACCAACCAATTCATTTAATAGATTAAAAAAATTACAGCTCTCCAATTAAATCGTTGACATCTTACATTTAGAAAAAATAATGAATCCAATGGACATAATTTTATATTATCAATAAAGCTATTGTCCTACAACTTATAATTTTATATTATCAATAAAGATATTGTCCTACAACTTATAATTTTATCCCAAAAATAAAAACGTCCAATGATATGTCACTATGTTTATTTTAAACAATCTTCATTTGTATCTTACACCCCTTCCTTCTTACTCCACCCTCATAGGTAAAAGGTAAGTCGTTTTACCGCGTCCTCGTTGAAATCTATTTGAACATGTAGACTAGTACCGATCTGATCATTGAATGTGCAGACTAGTACCGACCTGATCATTGAATGTGCAGACTAGTACCGACCTGATCATTGAATGTGCAGACTAGTACCGACCTGATCATTGAATGTGCAGACTAGTACCGACCTGATCATTGAATGTGCAGACTAGTACCGACCTGATCATTGAATGTGCAGACTAGTACCGACCTGATCATTGAATGTGCAGACTAGTACCGACCTGATCATTGAATGTGCAGACTAGTACCGACCTGATCATTGAATGTGCAGACTAGTACCGACCTGATCATTGAATGTGCAGACTAGTACCGACCTGATCATTGAATGTGCAGACTAGTACCGACCTGATCATTGAATGTGCAGACTAGTACCGACCTGATCATTGAATGTGCAGACTAGTACCGACCTGATCATTGAATGTGCAGACTAGTACCGACCTGATCATTGAATGTGCAGACTAGTACCGACCTGATCATTGAATGTGCAGACTAGTACCGACCTGATCATTGAATGTGTAGACTAGTACCGACCTGATCATTGAATGTGCAGACTAGTACCGACCTGATCATTGAATGTGCAGACTAGTACCGACCTGATCATTGAATGTGTAGACTAGTACCGACCTGATCATTGAATGTGCAGACTAGTACCGACCTGATGATTGAATGTGCAGACTAGTACCTATCTGATCATTGAATGTGCAGACTAGTACCGACCTGATCATTGAATGTGCAGACTAGTACCGACCTGATCATTGAATGTGCAGACTAGTACCGATCTGATCAACACAAATGTGTGCCCGACTCGCCCTGAATTGATCAGCCAGCCCCCGCCCCTCCCGTGGCGCATGAGTGTGAGATGTACACTCACATCCACAGGGATTCTTCATGCTCTCTCTAGCGGAAGTCCGTGTTTACAGGGGCAAGGCCCATAACTCGTTCTCGTGGAGTCAGCAGAAATGAATGTGCTACCGACGTACCTGATTTACTTCACCGCACCCACCCCTCTGCCAACGCGCCTGGACTGCTGAATAAACGAGTTCTTCCCCTTTACCATTAAAAGCACACGGCCACCCTTAATGTAGCCAACACAACCGAGTTAACTCCCTTTCAATAGTCGCCTACGCGCTTCCTCCCTTTCTTCCTAGTGTATTTAAAAAAAAAATGCTTTAAAAGGCTTAAGTTATAAACACGTATTAAAACTAATGGTACTGCTTGTGAAATGTTCACATTATATATTTTAGAAACAAGTTTTACACACACACACAATCACACGTTGAATGTTTGCCTTGAAAATAAGGCACTCACGAGTAATGCTATATTTAGCAGCGCCTGATGTACACCTAAGTCGGCCATGTTAGTGCAAGCAAAATGTGCTCCAGATTTTTCCACCTTTTGACACAGGCAGACAGTCCCACCTGTATCAGACTTAAACACGTTTTTTTTTTCATTCAAAATTTCAATCACGCTTGGTAGAAGCAGACATGGGGTTTCTGCTTCTTGTGACGTCATGATACAGTTTATGATGCTTGCAGAATTCGGTCTTTAAATGACGTAATATTTACAATGACTAGTCTGAATTTTTTTTATTAAATCATGATATAATATATATGGCCCATGATATAATATATAAGGCCCATTGAATGATATTGGAAACTTTTTCTTACGGTTCTGTCATTATTTGATGTTACCGAAAACAAACAAATCGATACCTACATAGAATACGGTGTATCTAAAAAAGCAGGCTAAAATTAAAAAAAATGTTTTTATGAATGAGGCCATTCAAGCATGATATTTTTAGATGACTCAATGACAGTTCACCGAGTAATTTTCTTTGACCGAAGAACCTAATTCTTGGATAAAAAAACAGTTTAACCAGAGTCCTAGTTTTACCCAACTCCTTATCATGAGCAAGCATACACAGCTATCTTCGCTGCAGACTTGTTTATCAAAACTGTTGAAATAATTTTATCCCACGACGGCAGCTCGCGTTTATACTAGCTCTCTGAGCCTACGTTTTGTTTAGAACGTGCTTACGCATTCGTTTTTACCCCCAGCCCTTCCCCGCCCTGTCTGCAGACCTACAGACGCATACCAAAGAGGCATTTTTTTTAACACTGGGGGGGGGGGGGTTCAGCTAGCCAGACTTTCTTGACAGTAGGAGGTTCAGCTAGCCAGACTTTCTTGACAGTAGGAGGTTCAGCTAGCCAAACTTTCTTGACAGTAGGAGGTTCAGCTAGCCAGACTTTCTTGACAGTAGGAGGTTCAGCTAGCCAGACTTTCTTGACAGTAGGAGGTTCAGCTAGCCAGGCTTTCTTGACAGTAGGAGGTTCAGCTAGCCAGACTTTCTTGACAGTAGGAGGTTCAGCTAGCCAGACTTTCTTGACAGTAGGAGGTTCAGCTAGCCAGACTTTCTTGACAGTAGGAGGTTCAGCTAGCCAGACTTTCTTGACAGTAGGAGGTTCAGCTAGCCAGACTTTCTTGACAGTAGGAGGTTCAGCTAGCCAGACTTTCTTGACAGTAGGAGGTTCAGCTAGCCAGACTTTCTTGACAGTAGGAGGTTCAGCTAGCCAGACTTTCTTGACAGTAGGGGGTTCAGCTAGCCAGACTTTCTTGACAGTAGGAGGTTCAGCTAGCCAGACTTTCTTGACAGTAGGAGGTTCAGCTAGCCAGACTTTCTTGACAGTAGGAGGTTCAGCTAGCCAGACTTTCTTGACAGTAGGAGGTTCAGCTAGCCAGACTTTCTTGACAGTAGGAGGTTCAGCTAGCCAGACTTTCTTGACAGTAGGAGGTTCAGCTAGCCAGACTTTCTTGACAGTAGGAGGTTCAGCTAGCCAGACTTTCTTGACAGTAGGAGGTTCAGCTAGCCAGACTTTCTTGACAGTAGGAGGTTCAGCTAGCCAGACTTTCTTGACAGTAGGAGGTTCAGCTAGCCAGACTTTCTTGACAGTAGGAGGTTCAGCTAGCCAGACTTTCTTGACAGTAGGAGGTTCAGCTAGCCAAACTTTCTTGACAGTAGGAGGTTCAGCTAGCCAGACTTTCTTGACAGTAGGAGGTTCAGCTAGCCAGACTTTCTTGACAGTAGGAGGTTCAGCTAGCCAGACTTTCTTGACAGTAGGAGGTTCAGCTAGCCAGACTTTCTTGACAGTAGGAGGTTCAGCTAGCCAAACTTTCTTGACAGTAGGAGGTTCAGCTAGCCAAACTTTCTTGACAGTAGGAGGTTCAGCTAGCCAGACTTTCTTGACAGTAGGAGGTTCAGCTAGCCAGACTTTCTTGACAGTAGGAGGTTCAGCTAGCCAAACTTTCTTGACAGTAGAAGGTTCAGCTAGCCAGACTTTCTTGACAGTAGGAGGTTCAGCTAGCCAGACTTTCTTGACAGTAGGAGGTTCAGCTAGCCAGACTTTCTTGACAGTACGAGGTTCAGCTAGCCAGACTTTCTTGACAGTACGAGGTTCAGCTAGCCAGACTTTCTTGACAGTAGGAGGTTCAGCTAGCCAAACTTTCTTGACAGTAGGAGGTTCAGCTAGCCAGACTTTCTTGACAGTAGGAGGTTCAGCTAGCCAGACTTTCTTGACAGTAGGAGGTTCAGCTAGCCAGACTTTCTTGACTTAAGACACCACGAAAAATCTATGTTACCTAATTATGTCACCAGTAACGTTCTCATTGTGTGAGGTTAACCCCCCCCCCCCCCCCCCGCCCCACGGACTCCTGAAATTTGAGTTCTCTATGTTATTTCAGCTTTGGCGACGGCGCGCGTATTGCTTTATGTCTAACGAGTACAAAATTTTGAATGTCATATAAACAAGTTTTTCTTCACTCTCAAAATGGATTATACATATATATATATATATATATATATATATATATATATATATATATATATATATATATATATATATATATATATATATATATATATATATATATATATAAATCCACTGACAGACAGACAGCAAGAAGCATTAACTGACTAACTTGTGTGATATACAAACAATGTAAATAAATACGTTAAAAACACAACTATACGAGACATTCTGTGTAGAGAGAAGTGAGGGAGCCTGACAAGACATCTATACTCTCGGTGGCTTCAATAAATAACCTAAAGTCTGTGTCCCTGATTGAAGACTTCTCTAGAAAACTCCACTTGGATTACCTCCCCACGTCAGATTTATCCCGACCTGGTCGACTTTCAATTCATGCATACACCGGACTTTGGAGTCTAAATACACTCCCCTCAGCGATGAAATAAATCTCCGCCGATAAAACAGACCACGCCTATCTTTGTTATAAATAAATAAACAAAACATTTTCCAAACAAAATGTCAAGCTCCCTTATTATATATATATATATATATATATATATATATATATATATATATATATATATATATATATATATATATATATAAATATAAACCAAGCCCTACTTGTCTATACAAGAGTCAGCCCAGCTCTACAACAAGTTGGCTAAAGGCCTCCAAAAAAAATATTATTCATTTTTGTTTTTGGTGTGGAAAGTGTGTTTCTGCGACAAGCATCGGCAACCTGGAGTATGGGTCGATGTTGCATGAGTCAACTCACTATCATGTAGTCTGGGCATTTTATCATTAGTTTACCTAAATGGGGTCATCTATTTGTGACATTCACACAAAAAAAAATTTGAAATTTTAGACCCCCCCTCCTTGACCCCACGCTTCCATCTAGGACAAACTTCCGATGTGGGCGTCCACTAAAATTTAATACCTCACTAATTTTTAATTATATTATTTAAAATAAAATTTGGAATAATTCTTTTCCGAAATATCTGTTACTAAAAATGAAAGTTGAGCCTTTAATGAGCTGAGTGCAGTAAATGAAATATAAACGTGGATTTCTTTAACACATGGACACAGACGTTTGAAGGTATACATTTTGTACGCAGGTTCAGTGTGCCATGGCACATTAAGAATTATGTTAAAATAAAATTAACGGAAAGGAGCAGAGGCGTCGCGAGGTGGGGACGGGGGTGCGGACCGCACCGGGTGACACCATTGGGGTGGGGGGTGACACGAAGACAAAAAAATGCAAGATATATGAAATAAATTATTTTTTTTTGCCAATTCAATGAATGGTTAATTAGAATTAAAAAGTATTTTAAGTACCAATGTATGACTCCGACAAGGAGAGGGGGGGGGGAAGGGGGTGACACTATGAGGTAAACATGCAAACTGTAGAGAAAACAATGTTACATCCCGCTGTATTAATAACCGACTATAGATAAACATCCGCCCCACCCCGCATGGAAGAAACTCAGATCTGTCCAGTCCACACGCGTCAAAAGAAGTCGAAATTTTCGGGCGCTTCTCCATGCCGAGGTTAGAATTTGATGACCCCTGTGCATAATCAAAGAGATAGAAGCTTTAGGGTAGCGTGAAACTGCTGTCATTTTGGGGCTCCATTAGGGATGGTTATAATTATTCCCTAACACCCATCTCTCTTACGCTACTGCATTCGTTTATTACTAAAATAGATCAATAAAAAGGGATGCAGCATTGTAACTTATTAGCATTAATATTATTCACAAAGGTTTGTGGCAAACATGTCTCGAGAATGTAAAAAATACCAATCTAGGCTTCTGAATTAATTTTTTTTATTAGGCCTATTTACAAATATTTTTAAGCTTAAAAATAAGCCAAGAGAGAATGTAGGCTTACTCCTAGATCTAACTTATTACTTAAGCGGACACAAAAATAAATAAACAAAAAACTAATTGCCTAAAAAAACGTTGGTTCTTTGAATGATTAGGTTGTAGGGCCTAATCTCAATCTCATATTTCTTTTTCATTGTAGGGGAAAACTGGACATCCTGGCTTTCCTGGAATCAATGGAATTCCTGTAAGTATAAATGTTGTCATCTATTAGAACCGTATATTAGTTGGTAGTTGAACAGAATTCTTGTAAGGTCAAGATTGGCATTAAATTATATTAGAACCATTAGACGTTGAACAGAATTCCTGTTTTTGTGTGTGCATTTATTAAATTTTTTAATCGTTATGTTAGAAACTCATTTCCTGCAATAAACTTAAAATGAAAACCACAGACATCTTTAATTCTTTAGTGTCTATTAATTATTTTATTTGGGGGCATGCCTGATAACACCATTGATTTTGGAGTTACACACATATATGACATTGTTTTGTTGTGTCTATGTATTTTTTAGTCGTTCTGTGTGATTTTACTATTAATTATTATTCTAAATAAAATACATCCACATTTTTATAGGGTATACCTGGACCAACAGGGCCCAGGGGGCCTCCTGGATTAGACGGATGTAATGGAACTCAGGTTAATATGTTTCTGCTTTTCTTGCTTAAAAATAATATATTTTAAATGACATAAGGAAATATTTTAACTGGATACCAGCTACATGCTCCCATTCCTTAATAAAGCAGTTTTATGTCTGGTGAATGCAGGGTGATCCAGGACCTCCAGGTGTACCTGGTTATCCAGGTATTGAAGGTCCCACTGGAGATCCAGGAGAAAAAGGTCAGAAAGGTGAACCTGCAAGTGCTGGACAAAGCGTCAAAGGAGACAAGGCAAGTGTTTCTAATTTTTATTTTATAAATAAAGTACACTGTTTTTTATAACTATATCATTATATAAATTAATAAATGCTTAAATGAATCAATTTATTAAAAAATATTTTATCCTGAGATATTTTTCCTTTATATAACTTGTCCAGAGAACTTCTGTCCTGATATATTTTGTCCTAAGATATTTTGTTCTTTAGATCTTTCATATAGCCATGTGTAGATGTGCTTCAGTGTTTATTTTAGTCATTTCTCTCAGGAGGGGGGTGGGGGGGTGTAGACAGTGGTTATAGTTTGTATTTTCTATGTAAATTATTTGCTTTTTCTATTTCGTTGATGCCCGAAAAACTCAGATGTGCATGTGTAATTGTAATGTTTGTATTAATAGTCTGTATATTATATATACCTATATTTTTTTTTATTATATATCATATAACTTATTTTTTTCCAGGGTCAAGCTGGTAATCCCGGCCTTCAAGGAATCATTGTAAGTCATAATTAAGTGGGACTTAGACACCAATCATAAAATGCACTATAAACATTTTATATCATATCTAATTTTCATAAAATTCAAATTACACAAGTTCCATCAATAGATTAATGATAGGGTGTAAAGATTTAAAAAGTCCTATAAACAATATAATTAAAAAAAATATATATATATAATTTCTATGAATGGATTAACTTTAGGGAGACAGAGGTGAAACTGGCCCGCCAGGACCTAAAGGTTCTCAAGGACCCCGTGGACCTCAAGTAAGTCATACACAAATTTTCATTTCATAACACTTTATTTTGAGATCTTTAAATGTATTAAAATTTTAAGTTTGTGGGTACTAAAATATTTCATTTAACTGTACAATACAGGGTGAAAATGGGCTGATGGGTGAGAAGGGTGATAAAGGTGAAATGGGACTTGGAAAGTATGGCTCACAGGGAGACAAAGGAGATAGAGGTGAAAAAGGTGCTACAGGACCCCCAGCACCATTTACTGGTGAACCCCCCACATTTTTTGACGCTAAAGGCCCACCAGGAGAAAGCGGAGAAAAAGGAAACACTGTGTGTAGTTAATGTTATTGATAGTTAATTTTTATTTTTTAATACATTTTAGTAAATAAATTTAGTAAATACATTTCGTAAATAAATTTAGTAAATACATTTGCAAACTAAACTTTAGTAAATAAATTAAGTAAATAAGTTTAGTAAATAAATTCAGTAATAAATTTAATAAATAAATAAATAAATAAATATGTATTTATGTATATATATGTTTATGTATATATATGTTTATGTATATACATACACACACACACACACACACATATATATATATATATATATATATATATATATATATATATATATATATATATATATATATATATATATATATATATATATATATATATATATATATATATATATATATATATATATATATATATGTATAGCTATATATCAAAATTCATAAGTGTATTTACTTGAATACAGGGAATGAAAGGAGATAAAGGGGAACAAGGCTATGACGGAGAGCGAGGTTTACCTGTAAGTTGTCTCATCATGTATATAAAATGCATATAATACTGTTATACTGAATCATCATATAATTTTACCTACTTTCACAAATGGAAAGTAATTTTTATACTTTGTTTAAACTCATGTAAATTTCTCTATAAGGGTCCTCCAGGACAAAGTGGAATGATAGGAGAAAAAGGTGTGCCTGGCATGGCTGGACCTAGAGTAAGTCTTTAAATTTGTACATACATAAGTTTAAAAGTAGTTTTTTTAGAGCTTTTTACAATGGAACAAAATGAGATGAGAGAGTCAAGCAGTATTTCCATCCAATGTTTTAGGTAATATGTGGTCCTGGTTGCTTGCAGCACCACTCAAACCAACACTGATAATGTAAACAATTGTTTGTTTAAATTAAAAAATGTTGAGTTGATTCGTTTAAAAAATATTGCTTTTTTTCTTTCACAGGGAAAACAAGGATATCCTGGGCAAATGGGACAGCCTGGTCTAAAGGTTTTTTAATTTAATTAGTTGTCACTACTTAACGATCTGAAAAGTTTTGGACCAACTTTTACTTATATATCTACTGATGTACCTTTATACACTGTGACCTTTTTAACCTTTTTAACTTCTCATCTTGAGCAGTGACTTCAGTTCTTCTCTTTTGCCCTTTTATTTATTCAGTCATTATTAGCCAATGACTTTTAAAAGTGTTAATATAGATCAATTTTATAATAATGCATCCATTTATTTATTAATATAATTTGTAACAAAATATTTTTGTAAGGCTAGATAGTAATGGCACAGTTTTAGCTTATAGTAACACATTTATAATATTTAGTAGAAAAAAGTCTTTTAATAACCAATTTAGAAATGATGTTTAACTTTCAACTTCAAGGAGAGGTGAAATTCCTATTTGCATATTTGAATAAGACGATAAAAGATAAATTTTTTTTATTTTAAATTAAAAGGGTGATGCAGGTCCTGGAGGGATACCTGGTCTTGATGGTAATCCTGGCCCTAAGGGAGATCGAGGTCCAGCTGGTCGTGATGGTGATCCAGGACCACCTGGTCCTAGAGGATTTCCTGGTGTAAGTTATTTATTTAAGACCATCCTGGTGATCCAGGACCACCTGGTCTAGAGGATTTCCTGGTGTAAGTTATTTATTGAAGACCATTTTGTTTTATAATATATTGATCTTTTAAAATCTATCAAAATCAATCAAAACAGTAAGTACATTAAGCAATGTATACGTTTAAAATGGTGTACATTGTCCTTGTAACTCTTTATGTAAATAACTAAATGAATGATTTAGAAACATTTTTAAAAATAAGTGTTGTTGTAGTTTACTATTATGACCAATACGAGCATTTTGATTGTAGGGCAAAGGAGGCAGTGGGGAAACTGGACCAAAAGGTATGAAAGGAAACCCAGGTCTACCTGGTGAGTCTGGTGAACGTGGGTTCGATGGAGCCAAGGGTAGCAAAGGTGCAACAGGCCCATCAGGAGGGCCAGGTGTACAAGGACCTCCTGGTAAAGACGGTGAGAGTGGAGAAAAAGGAATGAAAGGGGTACCAGGACCTAGAGGTTATCCTGGTGTCAATGGCTTAGATGGACGCCCAGGTACAAACGGAGCTAAAGGAGACAAAGGGTTGAAAGGTGAACAAGGCAGAGGCATACGTGGTCCAATAGGTCCTGCTGGTAGAGATGGCGTGCGGGGGCGAGATGGTGAAAAAGGTCCACGAGGCCCTGAAGGATCCCCTGGCATTCCTGGTGATACTAAGACAGGTTCCCCTGGTGAAGCTGGACAACGAGGTGATAAAGGTGAAAGAGGTCCTGCAGGTCCTGAAGGTCGACCTGGACGAAATGGAGAACCAGGACCTAAAGGTATATTCACGCTTTAGTTTAACTTATTTTAACAAGTGCTTAGTACTTAAGAAATTAATTTACAATAATTTCTTAAACTGCTTGATATATTTTGCTGCACAGTCTATTTTTATTTGCAATAATTAGGTATTAAGATATGTAGGCAAACATCACTGTTATTTCACAAAATGTATAGTTACATTTAATATTATTATCTTTGCAGGTAGATTTTATTTTATTTTATTTTGAATGTAAATAGTTTATTGATCTGTATCTAGAGTAAGCATGATACTATAAATATTAATACTATTTTTCTGGTTGATAATGTAGGTGATATTGGTGGTGTTTGCCAAGTCTGTGAAAATGGAAGAAAAGGTGAGAAAGGTTCTCAAGGTATGGATGGTTTGAATGGTTTTCCTGGAACTCCAGGACCCATGGGAGAACCTGGAGAAAAAGGAGATCGAGGAGAAGATGGATATCCAGGAATTCCAGGACCACCAGGTCAAATGGTAAAAAAATTGGATTTATTTTTTCCACTTAAATATTTCAAGCTATTTTTATCTGCTACTAAGTGCATAGTGTATTTTTATTTTATAAATGCTTGTGAAATTATTAGATCATGCAGAAGCTACTTGTGATTGATATTTTCAATATATTAGTTTTCAAATATTCTCTTCTGATATTTATTTAATAGTATTAACTGTTACATTGATGAAACCTTTATTAATTCTATAAATTCTATAGGGTCTTGATGGTCTAAAAGGAGAAAGAGGAAGGGAAGGCCCAAAAGGAAATGATGCTATAGCTGATGCCATTTTGGGGCCACCAGGTACATTGATCACACTCCACCAATCACAATTTATATTCTTTTAAGATTGGAAGTAGATTTTAGGATATTTCGATTGAAAATAGCACATCTTTCTAAACTGCATTTGCTACATTTGGTTGACCATCACCAAATTATATCTGAATTTCATTTCTTTGACCAATCCCAGATTATATCTCATTTTAATTTCTTTGACCAATCCCAGATTATATCTCATTTTAATTTGGTTGATCAAGACCAGATTATATCTCAACATTTAATTTGCAGGTCCCAAAGGTGATACAGGGCCCACAGGTTACCCAGGAGAACCTGGACGTGAGGGTAAACAAGGACCTCAAGGTCCTCCTGGTCCTCAAGGACAATTAGGCCCCAAAGGTGATAAGGTAAGTTGTTTAGTCAAAAACCAATTATGGACACGACTATTTTATCATTGGTTGTTTTCATGTTTCTTAAAATTTTGTTTTACATCTCTCCTTTCTTAAAAAGAACAACTAATACTTCTTTTATTTTTGTTTGTAGGGATTAAGAGGTCAGCCAGGAATAAATGGTTTTCCAGGTGTACCAGGTAATGATGGACTGAAGGGTGATAAAGGTGAACCTGGTATTGGAATACCTGGAGAAAGTGGTGATCGGGGAGAACCAGGAAATAATGGTTCTCCTGGTATCCCTGGTAATGATGGACCAAAGGGAATTCCAGGTAAATTTTGAGAGACTGCTGAAGTAGTTTTACTTACAAATCTAAAGTAAAAAATAAATTGAAATAAATAGCATGTTTTAGTGTTTCATGCCAAAAAATATATTTCCCTGATAAACATGTTTCCTAAAATAGAGGGGCACAAAACATAAAGATGAAAAAAAAAATTGGTGCAATCCTCAACACAGTATTAGAATCACAGAAAAGACCAGTTTTGACAAAAAAAAATCACATATGACAACAAAGATATTATTTTTGATTTAGGGCCTGCTTCAACTGCCGCATCAGGAGAGAAAGGAAACAGAGGACCCCCAGGTCCTCCAGGAAAACAGGGACCAAGGGGTCAACCAGGATTACCAGGAGAGCCAGGTTTGTCTAGTCACTGCCATAAAGTTGAACTACAATCAAATACAATGCAACATTTGCTATCTGAAAACTAAAAATAGGTGATGCCTCATGTAAGATATGATGAGAAATCTCTTTGAGAGCCAGATATTAGGAATTCACACATTCTTAATTATACATCACGTTAATTTTTTAAAGCATGGCAAATTTAGATACTGATCTCATGTTTGTAAAATTGCAACGAGAAATTTAAAATATCACTATTTTTTACTTAGGCCCTCGAGGACTAACAGGTTTAGAAGGATTTAAAGGTGAACCAGGAGAAAAAGGAGAATCTGGACTGAACGGAATGCCTGGACCTGCTGGTCAGTGAAATATTTTTACATTTTCTAATTAACTGTGAAATATTTAAATAGAGTACCAATATGCTGAAAGAGAAAGTACAAATATGAAAGATAAATTTTGAAAAATTTGAACCTGCAGGTATAAATGGAGCTAGAGGAGATCGAGGTCCCCCAGGTAGCGTTGGTGCACCTGGTGACCCTGGAGACAAAGGTGATACTGGTCCTGCAGGAGATAAAGGAGAACGAGGTCTGGAAACTTTTTTGTAGTGCTAAAACAGCTTTCTCTCTATAGTTTATTATAGCATGTACAGTGGTACCTCAAGATATGAGTTTCATTAATTCCTTCTGTAACATTGCTTGTTTGTCAAATTGCTTGTATCTTCTCCATTGAAATTAATTAAAATGCCATTAATCTGTTCCAGCCCCCAAAATGCCACCTGAATTGTTTTTGTTACATGTTTTAATAATAAGAAAAGTGTATTTTTCCATGACAACTATTGCTTGATAATATATAAATGCAAAGAAAAAAACTGGATTTATGAAGTGTTTTTACCTTGAAAATCAGCCAACTTTAGCTTACATATGATGGCGGAGTAGGTGTAGGGGCAGTGGAGAGTGGAGGAGATAGGCAGAGGAGCTTCTCTTTGCTAATTACTCAATGTTAATGCTAAGGTCTTTTGGTCACTTTAATTCACATACTCTTTACACTCTCAATACTACACTTTATTCCTTAACAGAATGCAACTTGCTCAACAACTTATGTCTCAAATTTCTCATATTTCTGGGCACTCGTATGTTGAGGTACCACTGTGCAGATATTTAGGTTGAATTTAATGCTTGTTTTTTTTAAATTCAGTTTGATAAAAATTATTTCTTTTATTACATGTTTATGGGTTTGGCTTTGTTTTTTATTAGACTATATAGATAATGATCTCAAAAAGCATGATTATGTTGAGCATCTTTTCCTTTTGGTTGAGTGGTTGGGTGAGTAAACTGATGGTTGCTAACCAGAAAGTCCTAAGTTCAATCCCTCTGGCAGAGGACGCTTGTCAGCTGGGGACAGCAACATTTCTAGGAAAGAAAACACCAAAATCAAACAGGAGTGGAGCCCCTTAGGCCATATGATTCTGAATTTTGGTTTCCTTTTAGGAGCTCCCGCTGATTCCAAGTTGTATAAGTATCGTCCCTGGTTCCATCAGATGTGTGGAGAGAGGGCGGGGGGGGGGGGGTGGTCTCATAGATGGGCACCATCTGGCTCCTCTCAGGTGTTGTGCTTGGATGTCAATGTGCAATCATTTAATGGGCTATCATAGTATGGAGCCTTTATATTATTATTTTTGTTCCTGCTTAGGTTTTCCTGGACAGGCTGGTTTACCTGGGCAACCAATGATAGGAGAGAAAGGTTCTAGAGGTGAACCTGGCAGACCTGGTGCAATGGGGCTAGCAGGACAACCAGGGCTCCCAGGTTTGTATTCTGCTTTTGTAAAATGGATGCAGATACTACAATATCTTGCTTGCCTGTCAGCCTATATAAATATATATAAATGTGTATATATATATATATGTATGACAAATGATCTCAGGACAAAAGATCTCAGGACAAAATATATATGGACAAATGATTATATAAACCTATATATATATGTATATATAAATATATATATATGTTTATATGTGTATATTTCTGTATATATATATATATGTCTATATGTGTATGTTTCTGTATATATATATATATATATATATATATATATATATATATATATATATATATATATAAATGTCTACATGTGTATATTTCTGTATGTATGTATATATATATATATATATATATATATATATATATATATATATATATATATATATATATATATATATATATATATATATATATATAAAAATTGTTACTTATGCTTTCTTTATGTGTGTACTTATATAATTATATATGTGAAAGTCCATATATGATGAAGTCTATTCTGTTCTTCTTCTATTATTCCTGGATTTTAAAGTATAGCTTTTATAAACAAAATATGATAATAATTGACCAAACCTTGGCTTATTTATACTAAAGCTATAATTCTTTGGCACACATTTTAATGTCAAATGTAACATTCCTTCAAGGACCCAAAGGAAATCCAGGTCTGCCTGGGCCATCAGGCCCACAGGGTAATGATGGTATTGATGGGGCACCTGGTGCAAAAGGACAAAAAGGTGAAGCTGGTCCTATTGGTTCTTCTGGACCTCGTGGTGACAATGGATCTCCAGGAGCTGATGGAGTTCCAGGTATACAGAATAGAGGAAATAGTTGTAGAAAATGTTCCACTTTAATGATAAAAACATGACAATACATATTTTAGAATGACAAAGTAATAAATGAAATATTTTCAAAGGTATGCCTGGATTAAAAGGAAGAGATGGAAAAGATGGTGTGCCAGGTCCGAATGGACCCCCAGGCTTGCCAGGACCTAAAGGAGATAAGGGTGACATTGGATATCCAGGGATGGATGGGCTGAATGGAGCGGATGGTGCCGCTGGTGAACCTGGTGTACCAGGGAGACCAGGTCAAAGTTCAACTCTTTATTTACTTCCAAGTTTAATGTCGTTAAAATTTTTTCTAGCAACAAAGTTAAACTGGTTTCAATTCAGCAACCATTGTTTTTGAAAGTTTAACTACAGGTTTTTATTTTATTTTTGAATTTCATACATTAAAAAAACAAAACAAAGAGAGTTAGGTCTTTATAGTACTATTATTTTTTATGTAAACAAAGCTGCACTGGAATCTTTTGTAACACTCATTTGATGTATTACCTTTTTTGGTGCAGATTTTTAACAAATGAAGTAATTATTAACATTTCTGTATTTGAATAAAACCACATTTTAGGTGAAAAGGGCAACATGGGCCCTAAAGGTAACCCAGGCTTAGACGGAGTAAACGGAGAGCCAGGATTACCAGGTTTACAAGGACTTATGGGACCTAAAGGTGACAGGGGACTTGATGGAAGGCCTGGCCCAGAAGGCTTACCTGGCAAGTGATGATTTTAACAAATTAAGGCATATTGTTACATCAACATGTTTATAGCAGAACATTAGGTTTAATGCAGCTTAAAGAGGAAACTTGTTTTTAGAAGTTAGCATCAACTAAGAAATGGTAACATGTGAGTCAAAACTTCAGTTGGAAAGGAGTTTTTTTTCCAACCAAGCAAGTGTTTTAGCATTATTGCTAACAATTTAACTAACATTTTTTTAAATTATTAGGAGTTCCAGGAGAAAGTGGTCAAACTGGTGACAATGGACTTGATGGAGAATTTGGAGATAAAGGTGATCAGGGTCCAAAAGGTACCAAAGGTGAAAGAGGTGTTCCAGGTCAAGATGGTTTCACTGGCAGAGAAGGTAAATATAAATTTATGCATGTACTAAACTTAACAATGTATATAAGGCTAGTGACAATTGTTTAAAAATTCTGATTTAGACATTATGAGTTATTTACTTATTTGGACTTTCACCAATCAACCATTCTGATTTAGACATTACAAGTTATTTACTTATTTGGACTTTGACCAATCAACCATTCTGATTTAGACATTACAAGTTATTTACTTATTTGGACTTTGACCAATCAACCATTCTGATTTAGACATTACAAGTTATTTACTTATTTGGACTTTCACCAATCAACCATTCCAGGTCCGGAAGGAATGCCAGGACTTCCAGGTGAAAAAGGAGAACCTGGAATAGGTGTGCCAGGTGAATCAGGTATTCCTGGACTTAATGGAGCTGATGGAGCAAAGGGAGATCAGGGAGAGAGGGGTATCCAGGGTGAGCCAGGTGATCAGGGTCCAGAAGGAATGCCAGGACTGCAGGTCTGTTCATTGGGTCCAGATTAAAGAAATGCTTTCTTCAAATATTTGGTTGATTGGGTCCAGATTAAAGAAATGCTTTCTTCAAAGATTTCTTTCATAGATTTTTTTTTAAATTTTTTTATTTCTCTTCAAAGGGTGATCCAGGAGCTCCAGGTACTCCAGGTATTATAGGTTTGGATGGTGAGCCAGGTCTTCCAGGTAATTCTCTTTCCATCTGTTGATTGAAGAGTTAAATAAAGAATTTTGAGGTAAAACAAAATAAATATAATAATTAATTCATGAATTTTCAAAAATGTAAGTTTACACAATGTATAAAACTATTTATGTGGAACAATGTCAAACTGTTGTCAAAATATGTTGTCCAACAATATTGTCAAACTATGTTGTCCAACAATGTTGTCCAACAATGTTGTCAAAATATGTTGTCCAACAATGTTGTCAAACTATGTTGTCCAACAATGTTGTCCAACAATGTTGTCAAACTATGTTGTCCAACAATGTTGTCCAACAATGTTGTCAAACTATGTTGTCCAACAATGTTGTCCAACAATGTTGTCAAACTATGTTGTCCAACAATGTTGTCCAACAATGTTGTCCAACAATGTTGTCAAACTATGTTGTCCAACAATGTTGTCAAACTATGTTGTCAAACTATGTTGTCAAACTATGTTGTCCAACAATGTTGTCAAACTATGTTGTCAAACAATGTTGTCCAACAATGTTGTCAAACTATGTTGTCCAACAATGTTGTCCAACAATGTTGTCCAACAATGTTGTCCAACAATGTTGTCAAACTATGTTGTCCAACAATGTTGTCAAACTATGTTGTCCAACAATGTTGTCAAACTATGTTGTCCAACAATGTTGTCAAACTATGTTGTCAAACTATGTTGTCCAACAATGTTGTCAAACTATGTTGTCCAACAATGTTGTCAAACTATGTTGTCAAACTATGTTGTCCAACAATGTTGTCAAACTATGTTGTCCAACAATGTTGTCAAACTATGTTGTCCAACAATCAAGCATTACAACCTTGGCATTTGTATTTTTTTAGGTCGTAAAGGAGCAGATGGACCCAAAGGAAATCCTGGTCCAAAAGGAGATAGAGGTTCAAATGGTAGGCCTGGAGAACCTGGTGCCATAGGTCCACCAGGGATACCTGGGGAAGCTGGATTTCCAGGTAACGATGGTCTTCCAGGAGATATGGGAGAACCAGGAAGAGAAGGTATTCCAGGTAAGTTGTACTGGTTTTTGTTTGGTCAATTTTCTCTAGGCCTATAACTAGTAGCCTATAAGATATTTATCTGATAAAATAAACCATTAATACTCAATGTTATATGCTTTATTCATTATTTAATAGCTGTTCTAGGATAGTTTTAGTTTTATGGACTATTTTTTAGGCCCTATGGGACCAAAGGGGGAGTCTGGCAGAGAGGGAAGGCAAGGGAAAGAAGGAAGATCAGGCCAGAAAGGTGAACGTGGCCTCAATGGTCCTCCAGGTGTACCAGGTATAGATTTATTTACATCCCTTCTTGACAAAAGCCATGATACATATCTTACTGATTCATTCATATTATTTTACATTTCTGAGCACTTATTAAATGTTTTTGATTTTAATCTAAGCCTGAATTCAGTGTAGATTTAGTTAAAACTATTTTCACTTTACTTTATAGTAGTTATATAAAAATTTAAAACCTAATATTTAACTTTTGTCTGTGTTTTGTTTTAAGTTCAAGAGTGTCATCTATTGAGCCCAAAAATTCAATGATAGTTTCTCTCATTACATGTTTATAGAAATCATGCCTATTTAAATTAATCCTTGACTTTATTAAGTGGTGTGATCTTTATCTGACAACTTGACTATGTACTATGGTGTGACATGTTATGTTCGTTATCCTCAGAAAATCTGGATTTATTTTAGGAGTAGCCACTTTTAGGATAACAGAAATCTTAGATTTACATACATATATAATATATATACATAATATATACATCTAGTGATATACATATATCCAGTAAATATAGGCTTAATATAGAATGTTAAGGAAAACAAAACTATAAAGCCAAGTTGTGAAGATTTTTAAAAAAGTGGAGCTAAAACTATTTGGTTATATATATATATATATATATATATATATATATATATATATATATATATATATATATATATATATATATATATATATATATATATATATATATATATATATATATATATATATATATATATATATATATATCGATGGTCTCTGTCGAAGACTGTCTAACTCCAAAATTGTAAATTTCACAGGAGAGACAAAAAGTTGATTATTTCAATCTCGTTTGCTCTAATTAAAAATCATTTTATGTATATGTGTGAAGAAACTCTCTACCCACTATACTGTAGCGTTTTAAAATGAGTTTTGTTAATATTTATAAAATTTAGCAGGTTTTAAAAGATAGCCGGTTTGCTCGGTCTAAAACTCTCGCTGCCAATATATATATATATATATATATATATATATATATATATATATATATATATATATATATATATATATATATATATATATATATATATATATATATATATATATATATATATATATATATATATATATATATATATATATATATATATATATATATATATATATATATATATATATATATATATATATATATATATATATATATATATATATATATATATATATATATATATATATATATATATATATATGTCTGATATGGTCTGATATTTATTTATAAAATGTTTCTAGCAATATAAGAAAAAGCTATGATTAATTTCTGATCAATGTCATAGGAATGCCTGGCCGAAAGGGAGCTGATGGAATGCCTGGAGCAGCTGGACTTCCAGGTCCAAAGGGTGACAAGGGTAAATACTGCCAGGCATTCAATATAATTCTAAAACACACATTTATACCAATATGCTATTATGTCTGTATGCCAAATTATTTTCCCAATGATTGCATAAATCTGTTAAGAAATTTTCCAATAATATTCCTCCTTTATATAATAGTTTGTAGTTATGTAAAAAATATTTTTTGAATAAATATATATATATGAATATGATTTGAATAAAATTATTACCTTCAGGAAACCGTGGAGAACCAGGTCCAGCAGGTATTCCAGGAAAGTCATCTCAAGGTTTGAAAGGTGAACCAGGTAGAGATGGCCAGCCTGGCATTGTTGGTCTGCCTGGTCCAAAAGGAGAACCAGGTATGCAAAGATAATTATTGTACAAATATATATATATATATATATATATATATATATATATATATATATATATATATATATATATATATATATATATATATATATATATATATATATATATATATATATATATATATATATATATATATATATATATATATATATATATATATATATAAAATTTATTTTTATCATCCAGATATATCGTAATACTTATTTTTAGAACATGAATACATATTGTAAACTTAAGGGATGCTACAGAAATGGTTTCATGATTTAGCGTTAGTCAAAATTAGATGCTACATAAAAATAATCTTGTAAGGTAGTAATTTACATCTTTGTTCCGATCAGAAATAAATTTCTGACAAATTATTGTTTACAATTTTTAGTTAAATACATTTTTTTTAAAAGTCACCACTTTGCAGAAAATAGCCACATGGGGAGCAGCTCCCCCCTGCATTATCTGCTGTTTCTAACAAATAAAAATTTCCAGGTTTGAATGGTTTGGATGGATTACCTGGTGAGAAAGGTGAGCCTGGAGATGTTTCTCAACCTGGCCAAAGAGGTGATAAGGGAGAACCAGGACCTAAAGGATCTAGTGGTAAATAGCAGATTTTATTATTTGAAAACTTACTGTTTCCTGACAACTATTTTAGGGGGTAGGCTCCAGAAAATATCAACTTCTTAACAATAAGTTTTACTTATTAATTGTGTGTATCTAAGTTTCGGTACTTAAATGAAAATATTTGCATGCATTAGAGACTAATGAAAATATGACTGACATGGCAATGGCGACCATGAAAAAGAAACAATCTCTTGTGGAGGTACCATATATATATATCTATATCTATATCTATCTATATATATATATATATATATATATATATATATATATATATATATATATATATATATATATATATATATATCTATCTCTCTCTCTCTCTCTCTCTCTCTCTCTCTCTCTCTCTCTCTATATATATATATATATATATATATATATATATATATATATATATATATATATATATATATATATATATATATATTGATCATATTATCATCGATCCATCTTTTACTAACTCTAGTCAGTCAGCTGGATAGCTTTTGTAACAGAAAACACGCTAGAAATATTTTTATCCAAATTTCAAAATTTGGTACGGTGAAATACCATTATAATTAATGCTACAACATTTGATGGTATTTCACCATAAAAAAATTTGAAAATTAAAAAAAAATAACGTCTCAAGTGTTTTTTTAAAGGTTTTTTTTCCTGTTTTTTTCCCTGGGCCTACCCCCTTAACATTATTTAAATGCTGTCACTATTTTGATACAATGATAACAGTAAGTAATAAGTATTTCCGAATTTTCCTTTTTTTATAAATAATGTAAAACATTTAAAAATGTTAATAGTAGGCCTACTTAGATAAAACAGAATGATTTTTTAAAAGTAATTTTTTCAAGAAAATGCTTAATGTCTTAAACTTACAAATAGCTGGAAGAAGTTGATTTACATTACAAAAATATTTCTAATTTCCTTTATTTATTTATAGAAGTGGGTTTCTTAAAAGCTGTTTTAGAGCTTAGTCGTGAATGATAGCTAGCCAATGTAGCAAGCCTTGGTTTGCAACCTCCTCTGAGCCATTAATGAATTATGTCTGGTAAAAATTTCATGAGCCCCAGTGGTATAGCAAGATTGTGGACACTTAATATTAAATCTTGTTTTTGCTATTGCAGTTCTAAAAAAAATACATTCATAACTAGGGAATTTTCCATGGTTTTTATTTTAAATAAAGGAGAATTATGTTTAAAATTGTTTGTTTAATAACTGATACAAATACAGCCCAATATTTTTGTCTATTGTAATTCGCTGGTAATGTGTCTACCCATGACTCCCACCTAATTGATAAAGCATTAAAATATGTTCAACTAGTAGATATCCTTAAATGGATTATTGTCAATGCTAAAAAATATTTGACTTCTTTTTTAAGGACTTGATGGGCCTAAAGGTGAACCGGGAGATCGAGGATTGTCAGGATTACAAGGATTAAATGGTAAACCAGGCCCACAGGGAGAAGATGGCATCCCTGGAGAACCTGGAGTTCCAGGTCCAAAGGGAGAGTCAGGTAGAAATTGTTTTTTAATTATTAATAAAACCTTACCATATTGTGGCTTATTTACTAGAATTTTAAGGAGAGTTTTTAAGCAATTTTTAACGTTTTCATAACTGTCTGAATTGTCTTAATTATAAGGCATAATCCTCAGGAATATGTGCACAGAAAGCATTTTTATTTAAATTTGATTTAGATAACATAGATCTTCATGCTTGTATTTTTAAAACATACATTTTGCTTTAATTATAAAGCTCTTTGTTTCAGGACGGGATGGTGTAAATGGAATGAAAGGTGCTAAAGGTGAAAAAGGTGTAATTGGTTTAACTGGAAATTCGGGTGCAGAAGGTCCAAAAGGTGACAAAGGAGACACTGGGGATCCAGGTTATCGTGGTCTTGATGGTCAGTATCCACTATTTTGTCTATTTAGATTTTTTTGTTGTAAAAAAAATATTTTCTGTTAATGTATTGTCTCTATTTTAGGTTCTCCTGGCCAAAAGGGTGATACAGGATTACCTGGAACAATCGGAGTTTGTAATTATGAAGCGTTACCTCCAGGACCTAAAGGGGAACCTGGACCACAAGGAGATAGAGGATCACCAGGCCAAAAGGGTGAAAGAGGAATTGATGGGAATATTGGTAGGTATTACATTTTTTAAAATTTAATCTAAAATATGAACATAGATATTGTGTTTCTTAAAAATGTTTTAAGACATTGAATTTTACAAAAAATCTTTGAATACATTGATTGAATTTAAAAAAAAATATAAACTTTACCCGTAGGTCTGGATGGTGAAGATGGTCAAAAAGGTGAGCGTGGACCCATGGGTCCCCAGGGCTTGAGAGGTCCACCTGGTGACCCTGGCGCTGCAGGTCTTCCTGGACGTAATGGTGAAAAGGGTAAATACACACTTTCATATGTTACATAGGTTTAGGACATTTGATAGAGAATGTGGTAAATACACACTTTCATATGTTACATAGGTTTAGGACATTTGATAGAGAATGTGGTAAATACACACTTTCATATGTTACATAGGTTTAGGACATTTGATAGAGAATGTGGTAAATACACACTTTCATATGTTACATAGGTTTAGGACATTTGATAGAGAATGTGGTAAATACACACTTTCATATGTTACATAGGTTTAGGACATTTGATAGAGAATGTGGTAAATACACTTTCATATGTTACATAGGTTTAGGACATTTGATAGTGAATGTGGTAAATACACACTTTCATATGTTACATAGGTTTAGGACATTTGATAGAGAATGTGGTAAATACACACTTTCATATGTTACATAGGTTTAGGACATTTGATAGAGAATGTGGTAAATACACACTTTCATATGTTACATAGGTTTAGGACATTTGATAGAGAATGTGGTAAATACACACTTTCATATGTTACATAGGTTTAGGACATTTGATAGAGAATGTGGTAAATACACACTTTCATATGTTACATAGGTTTAGGACATTTGATAGAGAATGTGGTAAATACACTTTCATATGTTACATAGGTTTAGGACATTTGATAGTGAATGTGGTAAATACACACTTTCATATGTTACATAGGTTTAGGACATTTGATAGAGAATGTGGTAAATACACACTTTCATATGTTACATAGGTTTAGGACATTTGATAGAGAATGTGGTAAATACACACTTTCATATGTTACATAGGTTTAGGACATTTGATAGAGAATGTGGTAAATACACTTTCATATGTTACATAGGTTTAGGACATTTGATAGAGAATGTGGTAAATACACACTTTCATATGTTACATAGGTTTAGGACATTTGATAGAGAATGTGGTAAATACACACTTTCATATGTTACATAGGTTTAGGACATTTGATAGAGAATGTGGTAAATACACACTTTCATATGTTACATAGGTTTAGGACATTTGATAGAGAATGTGGTAAATACACACTTTCATATGTTACATAGGTTTAGGACATTTGATAGAGAATGTGGTAAATACACACTTTCATATGTTACATAGGTTTAGGACATTTGATAGAGAATGTGGTAAATACACACTTTCCTATGTTACATAGGTTTAGGACATTTGATAGAGAATGTGGTAAATACACACTTTCATATGTTACATAGGTTTAGGACATTTGATAGTGAATGTGGTAAATACACACTTTCATATGTTACATAGGTTTAGGACATTTGTTAGAGAATGTGGTAAATACACACTTTCATATGTTTCATAGGTTTAGGACATTTGATAGAGAATGTGGTAAATACACACTTTCATATGTTACATAGGTTTAGGACATTTGATAGAGAATGTGGTAAATACACACTTTCATATGTTACATAGGTTTAGGACATTTGATAGAGAATGTGGTAAATACACACTTTCATATGTTACATAGGTTTAGGACATTTGATAGAGAATGTGGTAAATACACACTTTCATATGTTACATAGGTTTAGGACATTTGATAGAGAATGTGGTAAATACACACTTTCATATGTTACATAGGTTTAGGACATTTGATAGAGAATGTGGTAAATACACACTTTCATATGTTACATAGGTTTAGGACATTTGATAGAGAATGTGGTAAATACACACTTTCATATGTTACATAGGTTTAGGACATTTGATAGAGAATGTGGTAAATACACACTTTCATATGTTACATAGGTTTAGGACATTTGATAGAGAATGTGGTAAATACACACTTTCATATGTTACATAGGTTTAGGACATTTGATAGAGAATGTGGTAAATACACACTTTCATATGTTACATAGGTTTAGGACATTTGATAGAGAATGTGGTAAATACACACTTTCATATGTTACATAGGTTTAGGACATTTGATAGAGAATGTGGTAAATACACACTTTCATATGTTACATAGGTTTAGGACATTTGATAGAGAATGTGGTAAATACACACTTTCATATGTTACATAGGTTTAGGACATTTGATAGAGAATGTGGTAAATACACACTTTCATATGTTACATAGGTTTAGGACATTTGATAGAGAATGTGGTAAATACACACTTTCATATGTTACATAGGTTTAGGACATTTGATAGAGAATGTGGTAAATACACACTTTCATATGTTACATAGGTTTAGGACATTTGATAGAGAATGTGGTAAATACACACTTTCATATGTTACATAGGTTTAGGACATTTGATAGAGAATGTGGTAAATACACACTTTCATATGTTACATAGGTTTAGGACATTTGATAGAGAATGTGGTAAATACACACTTTCATATGTTACATAGGTTTAGGACATTTGATAGAGAATGTGGTAAATACACACTTTCATATGTTACATAGGTTTAGGACATTTGATAGAGAATGTGGTAAATACACACTTTCATATGTTACATAGGTTTAGGACATTTGATAGAGAATGTGGTAAATACACACTTTCATATGTTACATAGGTTTAGGACATTTGATAGTGAATGTGGTAAATACACACTTTCATATGTTACATAGGTTTAGGACATTTGATAGAGAATGTGGTAAATACACTTTCATATGTTACATAGGTTTAGGACATTTGATAGAGAATGTGGTAAATACACACTTTCATATGTTACATAGGTTTAGGACATTTGATAGAGAATGTGGTAAATACACACTTTCATATGTTACATAGGTTTAGGACATTTGATAGAGAATGTGGTAAATACACACTTTCATATGTTACATAGGTTTAGGACATTTGATAGAGAATGTGGTAAATACACACTTTCATATGTTACATAGGTTTAGGACATTTGATAGAGAATGTGGTAAATACACACTTTCATATGTTACATAGGTTTAGGACATTTGATAGAGAATGTGGTAAATACACACTTTCATATGTTACATAGGTTTAGGACATTTGATAGATAATGTGGTAAATACACACTTTCATATGTTACATAGGTTTAGGACATTTTATAGAGAATGTGGTAAATACACACTTTCATATGTTACATAGGTTTAGGACATTGGATAGACTTAATAATCACATTGTGTATGATGTTTTTCCCCTAAATCTTTACGCAACACCAGTTATAGTCTCCTTAAGATGCATTATCCTTCTAGAAAAGATGAATAATACAAGAAAAAGATATGCCAGATATGAGTTTAGAGGGTACATTGTAGCAGGCACTAATTTATTTTGGTCATTCTATCTTTGGAACAATCACTGTTATATGTTACATAGTTGGTGATACACAATAGCAAATATCAGAAACATTTATTGTACACATTGGAATGCGACATGGGTATTAAGTTGACTGGTATAAAGAAACAATATAGAGGAAACAAACTGGAAACCAACTACAGCAACAGCTCAAAATCTGATTTCATAGCTGTGCTCTGCCTTCTTGCACATAGTCAACAACAAAATATGCAGAACAAATTAAACTGGTTAAAGAAGCAGCAATATTCAGTTTAATGATGGGGGCATTGACTATGACATTCAGAATATAATCAGCAGCGATGAAATACTTTTAACTTTCTAAACCAATGTGATATTCAAATGCACTGTGAAAAAAATTAAGTTCAATCAGGATCTATGGCTAAATGTGAAGTCTCTATTACTGTATGGCTCAGACTTAGGGGGTTACAGACAGTGGAGAATGTATAAAGAGCAAAGGAAAGGTAGTGGATAAGGCACAATATCAGAAAGAGAGTAAATATCACAGAAACCCGGTAGTAGTGTGCAAGTTTCCACCAGGTATTTAGCACCTTGGGTCTGGTCAAGTTTCCACCAGGTATTTAGCACCTTGGGTCTGGTCAAGTTTCCACCAGGTATTTAGCACCTTGGGTCTGGTCAAGTTTCCACCAGGTATTTAGCACCTTGGGTCTGGCCCGGTGCCATGTCTATCACATGACCTCATCACCCTGAGCTTACCCAGAGCATCCTGAGCTTGCCCACGAGCACCATAGCACCAACTTCCATTTTAAAGAGCGCCATACACTACATTTATGGTGGACTACCACTATCTGTGATTAAAACTATGGCAAATGAAGCATCTCACTACATCCGAGACACATGGTTTTCAGCAGTCTGGTGGAAGGGGGGGGGGGGAGGGTCTGGATAGTAATTTGGACAAAGCCATGCTCAACAACTAGGATCCAAGAAATGTTGTGCTGTCGATATAAATATATTGATATAACTCACATTGTTATCAACAAACAATTTGATTTAGTAAGGCCAATAGGTTATTTGTTTAGTATTCGTCAATTTGTCACTTTACACAAACAAATACATACGTTGAACTTATTTTCTAGGTACGCCTGGACCTCGAGGTAATAATGGCCTTCCTGGTGCTACCGGAGCAACTCCTCCAACTGGTTATTTATTGGTCCGCCACAGTCAAAGTCCTGATGTTCCTGACTGTCTTGCTGGCCAGACTAAGCTTTGGGAAGGTTACAGTTTGTTGTATATTGAAGGCAATGAGAAATCTCACCATCAAGATTTGGGTAAGTTTTTTTAGTTGTAATAATTTTAGAGCATTGTATATGGCTGTTACCATATGGAATGCATGTTAAATAAAACAAATCTTTTGTTAGACTAATCCATACATTTTTGTTATGTGTTGAATATGTTTATCTTTTGTTATGAGGTTTTTTGTAAATTAAATTACAAATTTAGAAGAAAAAGGGAAAATGTCTTGCTTTTATTAAGAGCTGCGATCTTAAGTCTTTTTTTATTATATATTATCCCCTTTTTAAAATCCTATTTTAGTACATCAATGTTAAATCAGAGTTTATGCATTAGCAGCAGGGGATGTTTACCAAAATGTGGTAACATTTTAAGGGGTGTGACACCAAAATGAAAATGTAAAGATTTTACTGAAAAAAGCTGCCCTGTCCATTATTCAAATTAGACTACGTTATTAAAGATATATTGCCTACATACACAATGCTGGATGGGATGACACCATACTGCTTATATTTCTAAGAACATACAAAATCCATTATATATATATATATATATATATATATATATATATATATATATATATATATATATATATATATATATATATATATATATATATATATATGCATATTTCTATCAATAGTCTAATTGAGGTTGGGTGACATCCAGATTAGCCATATATGCAGTGTCACCTAGCTGATTATAAGATGCTGCCAATTGGGTTTAATCTTTGGTTTTCTAAATCAAAGAAATTAGTTAATTTTGAAATTACCACTTGTTATGCTTGATTTAAGCAGTTTATATTTGTAGAGTTTAATTAAGTTTATACATCAGTTCCAGCCAGAAGTTAACTAACCTTTTAAATTCCTTTCAGGCTGGGCTGGCTCCTGTTTACAGAGATTCAGCACAATGCCATTTTTATTCTGCAATATAAACAATGTTTGCAACTACGCATCAAGGAATGATCGTTCCTACTGGTTGACCACGAATAAACCAATTCCCATGATGCCAGTAGCTGAGACAGAGATCCAGTCTTACATCAGTCGATGTGTTGTGTGTGATGCCCCATCTAATGTTATTGCTGTTCACAGTCAGACCTTGACAATACCTGATTGTCCTATTGGATGGTCAACTCTATGGATTGGCTACTCATTTGCCATGGTAATGGAACATTAGAGTGATCAAATGCATAGTTTAACTTTTATACCAGAAAAATGTGTCGAAAGTGTTTCAAAATAAAATTGTTCCAAGCTAAGCAACATACAAATACAGTTACTGAAATCTGTTTTTAATATTCTTTTAATCAACATTAAATTTCAATTTTTGAAACCCTTTCTAATAAGTCTTTACACTGACTGAAATCTTGTCTAATAATTCTTTATAGTGATATAAACTTCACTGACTGAAATCTTGTCTAATAATTTTTTATAGTGATATAAACTTCACTGACTGAAATCTTGTCTAATAATTTTTTACAGCACACAGCAGCAGGTCCTGGCGGTGGTGGCCAGTCCTTATCAAGCCCTGGAAGCTGTTTGGAGGACTTCCGTGCTACTCCTTTCATTGAGTGTAATGGTGCGCGAGGCACATGCCACTATTTTGCCAACAAATACAGTTTCTGGCTATCTACTGTAGAAGTTAATGAGCAGTTTAGGACCCCCGCCAGCCAGACCCTCAAGGCAGGCAGCTTGCGAACACGCGTCAGCCGATGCACTGTTTGTTCTAAGATTGTGTGAAAGTGTGTATCCTGTTATGACATTTAACAAATTTAGTTGTACATTGACTTATATTTGTTCTCTTAAGTTAAACCAAAATGTTTATCATTTATTCATTGTCATCAAGCTAAAAGAAAGAATAAGTGATTTATTCTGATGGGTTTTTTAAGAAGCAATTTTTAAAACTTGATTATTTTGTCATCTTCTTATTGTTTTAATTTTAAATGTGTGCTAATCAATAACACAAAAACAATTGACATGTAAAATATATTATACATATAATTTTCTTCATGATTAACCCTGTTTAGCCTTTGAATCAATGAATATGTGATGTAAGTCTGAGGTTATCTGATGCTTTATTTACATTGCTCTGTACAAAAGAAGGATGTGAATAATCTGTCACAGCAACATACATTTTAATGTCAGTTAAAACTATTCTAAACTACGCTTAGGTGGTGATTGGTTGCTTTGCATACAAGAATGAAAGATCAAACTTTCAACAGCCACCTTTTATTGTGTTTATTTTATAGGTCATCTTGTCCATAGTTCAATGTGTTTTGCTGCTCAATGTATAACTCATTTGGTTTCAGATACAAATAATTTAAAAGAAAACTAGTTTTAATAATTAAAATCAAATGTTTAAACAAAAAAAATCTGAAGTTGTAGGGGAGTTTATATGATTACTTAAAAATCCTTCCTAATAATGTTTCAAAAGCTTTTGCTTGGTATTCCTCAATCATTGGGTTTACTAATGTAGCCTACGCCTGCCAATATTTTATTGCAATCATTGTATAGTGATAATTGTGTACATTTTTTAATTTATCTAATTCAAGTTATTAATTGAAATTAGAGTGATTTTCGAAATCCAAAAGGATCTAGTTTCATTTTATATTTTCAATTTCCAATTTTTTAAAAATTCTAAGTAATAAAATAAAATCAGACATAATTGTCTTTATTCTTTATTTCATGTTTTATTTCCAGTACTTGCTTTAGTATAGACCTTCAAATCTTTTCTCAAATGAATTAATTAGTCATTTAATAGAAACCACAGAATAGCTATGAAGTTACTTAATTAAATTATAAATCTAATTTTCCAACAAAATGTTTATAGTATGTTCTGAAATAACCTATTTAAAGATTGAAATTTAGCAAACATGAAAACAGTAAAGATGTCTTTAAATAGTAAAAATGAATCATTTTACTGATTTTTAGGATTGTTTTTATATAGATTTTATTTTCAGTATGTCATGAAAATTTAGGAATTGATGAAAATAGTATTCAACAAAAGCAGATTGAAAGCATTTTGTTATTTTTAATTTTGTTACTGTTGGTTGGTTGTTTATGTTGAAAGTCTTGTTGGAGTCAAAAATTCTCCTTGGGTGAAAATGATTTGTCAAATATTTTTCTCAAACTTGACCATTTGAAACAAATGAGATCTGTGTACTCATAATAAATAAATAACTTTAGAATCTTTTGTTAGACAATATTTTCAGTACTTACATTAGCATAAGACCTATCTTCCACCCAGCCATTAACTGATAATTGCAGAATAATGTTATACTTTTGGTGAACACGTCAGTCTATTTTCATCTGTTTAGCCATCTATGGTTCAGTCTATCCAGCTCTTTAATGAGCTGTTGCTAAAATAAAAATCTTTTCACAAGTCAGCTTCACTCTTTCATACCATATATGTTTGTAGCATGAAATCAATAACTGCCAGAAATCTCCAATGTTTAAAACAAATCTAAGACAACATCCACATTGACCTCTCAGTGAAATAAAAAGAAATGCCAATTTGTGAGATAAAAGCAGTACTATATATATATATATATATATATATATATATATATATATATATATATATATATATATATATATAATATATATATATATATATATATATATATATATATATATATATATATATATAGGGGTCGTCCATAAATGACGTCACACTCGTAGCGGGGAGAGGGGTCCGTAATTTTGTGACGGTGTGTGATGAGAGGAGGGGGGATCAGATGATGTGACGTCACGTTTTAGCATTATAAAAAAGCAATGTTAGAAAACGAGTTTTAGCCGTTATTTCGCGTTTTAGAAAACGCTTTTAATAAATTGCAATAGGAATTGATTAAATTGCTCTATTTTGACAGAGTTCTGACAAGATTTTGGAAAAATATCGATGTTTTAAGAACAGAAAAAACAAGGCATAGCCAAAGCCAATGTTCATTAGAGCTTGCCAACCAAAATGTTCAAAACATGATGATGACATGTATGCAGACAGATGAATCAGCTCATTGGGCTTATGAAAAACCGTAATTTTCATCAAGGAATCCAACAATCGCCATATGAAACCTTGTTTGGATGCAAAGCAAAAGTGGGACTTAGCACTTCAAATCTACCAAGAGAGGCTCTCGATAAGTTAGCTACTGAGGAAGATCTTGAGAACATTGAACAAGAAATGGAGGTTGCCATAAATGCAACGACATCCTCAGCTAACACATATGCTGCCGTGGCGGAACGCCCAGATCAGCTGCATGACAATAATAAGGCCAACCGATTCTGTGTAGTTTGTGAAAAATATTGCAGTGCAGCCCATTCTTGTGGATCCTGTGGCAACGATGTCCATGCAATATGCGAAATAGCCAATGAAGCAGACGAAGGGTATGGATGGAACAGTACTCGCAGAATATGTCACAATAAACAAGAAACCATGGACAACAGGTCAGCAGCTCATACTACCTTGCAAACTCAAGGTGCTAAGATGCTAACAAAATTTAAACAAGCTGAAGTGAAAGATACTGGTAGCATCCGTATTCCAGATGTTGACATAGGTCGCGGTGGTCCCCGAAGCGTCATTGCAGTTGGCATGAGCGTCGAGGGCGCTTTCTACAAGCTAGGAACGGAACATGATGTATTTAAACAACTATAAGCTAGAAGTGAGTTTTCAATTCTTCACGAAAAACTGCTCTCATTGTTACCCGTTGGCACTGAGGAAAATCACTACGAACCATTGCATCTTCACAATCACTGACCGGCGGCCAAGGCTACATTTACTGCAATTGCACAACCTAGTGCACAACAAGAAATAATAAAAAATGCCTTAATTATTATGATTCTTACGGTATAAAAAAAACAAAATCTGCTCATGATCTTCTAATTCGGACTTTGTCCCTAGCCAGATGATCTTCTAATTCGGACTGGCCGGTCCACCATGGACAGGCCGAAATCAAGAGCCATTTCAGAATTTGGCCGGTCCACCATGGCCAGTCCGCGGATTGGCCGGCCAAAGGACGAAATGAAGTAAAGTTTCGGACTTTGGCCGGTCAATCCGCGCTTTGGCCGACTTTGGGCTTTGACCGTAACATATGTATATATGTTACGGTCAAAGCCCGAAGTCGGCCAATGCGCGGATTGGCCGGCCAATCCGCGCATTGGCCAATACCGCCTCCCATAAGTCGGTCAAAGTCCGAAACTTTGCTTGATTTCGGCCTTTGGCCGGCCAATCCGCAGACTGGCCATGGTGGACCGGCCAAAGTCTGAAATAGCTCTTGATTTCGGCCTTTGGCCGGCCATTCCGCGGACTGGCCATGGTGGACCGGCCAAAGTCTTAATTAGAAGATCATCTGGCTAAATACGACCTGGCCAAAGTCTGAATTAGAAAATCATGAGCAGATTTTGGGTTTTTTGATGCCGTAATTATCATGAAATTAAGTCTTTATTGATTATTAATTAAAGTAAATGACAGAAACATTCAAATTTTTTATTGTACTATAGTCTCAATCAATCAGTATTATCATTTGTTACAACAAGTTGAACTTTTATGGCATTTAGAATTACATAGCAGCTTGTTATTTTTACACTTGCAGCGATTTGTTGTGCACTTGGTTGTGCAATTGCAGCGAGTGTAGCCTTGGCCCCCAGTCAATGATTGTGAAGATGCGATGGTTCGTAGTGATTTTTCCTCAGTGCCAACTGACGACAATAAGAGCAGTTTTTCGTGAAGAATTGAAAACTCACTTCTAGCATACAGTTGTTTTAGAACACCATGTTCCGTTCCTAATTTGTAGAAACCGCCCTCGACGCTCATGACAACTGCAATCACGCTTCGGTGATCACCGCTACCTATGTCAACATCTGGAACACGGATGCGTACATTGTCACCCACTTCACCATCTTTAAATTTTGTATTTGATGTTTTAAGCATCTTAGCACCTTGATTTTGCAAGCCAGTATGAGCTGCTGATCTGTGTTTCATGATGTCTTGTTTGTTGTGACACAATCTGCAGGTAATGTTCCCTCCGTACCCTTCGTCTGCTTCATTGGGTACTCCACAAATAGCATGGACATCTTTGCCACAGGATCCACAAGAATGAGCTGCACTACAATGTTTTTTACAAACTATACAGATTTTGTTGGCCACATTATTGTCACGCAACTGGTCTGGACGTTCCGCCACGGCAGTAGATGTGTTAGCTGAGGATGTAGTTGCATTAATGTCAACCTCCATTTCTTGTTCAATGTTCTCAAGATCTTCCTCAGTAACTATTTTATTGAGAGCCTCTCTTGTTAGATTTGAAGTGCTAAGTCCCACTTTTGCTTTGCATCCAAACAAGGCTTCGTATGGTGATTGTTGGATTCCTTGATGAAAAGAACGATTTTTCATAAATTGAATGAATTTGAGACTCTCAGCCCAATGAGCTGATTCATTTGTTTGCATCCATGTCATCATCATATTTTGAACATCTTGGTTGGCACGTTCGACTGAACCTTGGCTTTGGCTATGCCTTGGTTTTCCGTGAACTAGTTTAAGTTTAGGCCACATGTTCTTTAGTTCAGAAATAACTTGATTCACAAATTCTCTTCCATTATCTGATTGAAGCACACTTGGAGCACCAATAGTCGTGAAGATATCCAGCAGCTGGTAAGCAACTTCTTCTGCTCTTTTGGTTTCCAAAGCTCGCAACAATATGAACTTGGTTAAATGATCCTGGTAACTGAGTATAAACTTGTATTTGCCGTCTGTGTTACTTTGCATATCAATAATATCTACTTGGTATCTTGAGTTAAATTCTTTAAATATTAAAGGTTTGAAAACAAGACCTTTCTTGGGATTAGACAATTTTGTCTGACAAGGCTTGCACAACCGAAGATACATAGTAATGATTTCTTTGGTGATATTTTTGTACTTTCTCTTGAGCTCTTTTTACATCCTTGTGGATGCTTTACAAACAAGAGCTAAACAATACGTTACTCACAATGAAACCGCACCCAGAATAATGAAAACGCGATCACAACTTAGTCTAGATAGAACATTGGCCAGGACATCCCGGCCAATGCGCGAATTGGCCGGCCAATGTACAAAATACGCTGTCAAGTTTAAGCACTTCGGACTTTGGCCAGTACGTCCCGGCCAGTGCGCGCATTGGCCGGCCAATGTACGAAATACGATCTTAGTTCTAAGTTCTTCGAGCTTTGGCCAAGAGAGCCGGCCAATCCGCGCATTGGCCGGCCAATCCGGGGTTTGGCCGCACTTCGGGCTTTGACCGTAACATATATATATATATATATATATATATATATATATATATATATATATATATATATATATATATATATATATATATATATATATATATATATATATATATTCTTACGGGGGGGGGGGGGGGAGTGACACCATCAGGCGCCGCACCGAGTGACACCCGACCTCGCTAATCCACTGCTCGCGGGTAATCCCGGCGTGCCAAACTGCATCCTACTGGGGTTCCAATGCGTGTTCCCCACAACATCCCAAGGCTGAGTAATGCATTAAAGACAAACACAGAGACAAACAGACATACTTTCATTTTGTATGCATAGAAATATTACCAATTGTTATTTTTAGAAATGTAATTTTTCTTACGAAACTCCAAATTCATTCTTAAGGTATTACTATTCAATATTTTTAGAAACCTTGGCCCATCCCACTGTTTGCCATAAAATTTTTATGGACAAAGGGAAACAATCAAAATAATCTAAGCATGGTTAACTATACTAAATATTTAAAAAAATCAATATTGTTTCTTACTTACTCTGGGGTTCTAGGGGGGGGGGGGTATGTTTGAGCCATTGGAGAGAAAACAAATTTTTATCGCACAAACCAGGAACATTCTCAACATCTCCCCAAAGTTTAACAGCGAAGGAATAACATTTATATTTTCTTAAATAAAAAAAAATGAAAACAGAGGCTTAAAAGTAATTTTCTTGAGATATTTTTAATCAACGAATATTAGTTTTTATTAGTGTATGTTTCTTATATCAAAAGTACTTAGATGGGTGACCGCTTTGGAACACCACGTACTGTAGATTGAATTTTAGATTATTTTTTTTTCATTTTTAAATATATTTTTTTTTATTTTACTTTTTTTTTTTAAATTATTCTTTTTTTTTTAATAAAAAAAGAAGGTTGAAATTATTTTTCCTGAGTTATTTTTAATCAACGAATATTAGTTTTTATTAGTGTGTGTTGTTTTGTCAAAAGTTTCATATACACATCAGTATAAACAGTGTTTCTTCCAGACTTTTTTCTAGGGGGGGGGGGCACTTGAAATCTTCGTGGGGGGGGGAGGGCGGTAAACTTTCTTCGGGGGGGGGGGCGGACACTGTTAAAAGTATATATTTTCTATATAAATTATATAAATTTCATTTCGTTCGGGGGGCGGTAAAAAATTTGCGGGGGGGGGGGGGGGCGAAAGAAGAAACTCTGAGTATAAAATGCTACTTTGTAGTCTACGACCATACAACGTTGAAGATACCGGTTCTCGTCCGATCACCGAAGTCAAACAACGTCTGGCGTGGTTAGTACTTAGATGGGTGACTGCTTGGGAACACCACGTGCTGTAGCTTGAATTTTTTAATATTGGGGTCGTCCGTAAATGACGTCACACTCGTAGGGGGGAGGGGGGTCCGTAATTTTGTGACGGTGAGTGATGAGGGGGAGAGGGGGGGGGTTCAGATGATGTGACGTCACGTTTTAGCATTATAAAAAAGCAATGTTAGCTAACGAGTTTTAGCCGTTATTTCGCGTTTTAGAAAACGGTTTTAATAAATTGTAATAGGAATTGATTAAAATACTCTATGTTGACAGAGTTCTGACAAGATTTTGGAAAAATATCGATGTTTTAAGAAAAATTCAACAGCAATTTTGAGGGGGAGGGGGGTTGTAGGCTGAGGTGTGACGTCATTTTAGGAGGGAACTAGCTTTTTGTGACGACGTGTGACGGAGTGGGGGGGGGGGGGGGTGTGGTAAAAATCGTCCAAAAAAGCGTGACATCATTTATAGATGACCCCATTTCTTTTAAATTTAAAAAAAATTATTTAAAAAAATACTTTAAAAAAAAAAAATCTATTCTTTATTTTTTTTTAATTAAAATAAAAGTTGAAAGTATTTTTCTCGAGTTATTTTTAATCAACAAATATTAGTTTTTATTAGTGTGTCTTTATGTCAATAGTTTAATGTACACATCAGTATAAAATGCTACTTTTCTGTAATTGTATATCTACGGCCATACAACGTTGAAGAGACCGGTTCTCGTCCGATCACCGAAGTCAAACAACGTCTGAGAAAGTTGAGGCGAGATCACTCCCGCTGTATTTATTTTATAATGTTTGTTGTAAATTAAGTTTTAATTTTAAACAATTTTTTTTATCAAAAAGTAATTTTTAGATTAAGAATTTAAAAAACACAAGTAGAGAGTATATTTCTTGAATTATTAAAAAAACGAATACTTGTTTAAATAAATGTGTGCTGCTAATGTTGAAGTTTTAATGCACTCAAGAAAACGTTTATCTAAATTTCGCTGTTGTAAATATACAGACCTAGCTATTTAGTTGAAATTTTCTTTTCTACAGATTAAAATGTAAATACTTTGTTAATAATAATCAGTCATTTTAGATATACACATAGCTCTGATCAATATTTTAAAATATATGTTAGAAATTTTAATATTTGTTTTTAAATGGTAGAATTTGATGCATCCAGCAAGATCTTTACAATTTTTCTTTTGAAAAACATTGAAGCAATATCACTGGATACTTTGATAACTTTCCATTTCTTTCATATGCAGGGCTTGATATGATACTTTGTTTCTTTGATGTCTTTCAAATGTGATGATTAACAGCAGTCCGACACAAACTACCGTTATGCAAGAAACAGCAATCACCAATGATTGGGAAAAGGCCGAGTCAGATGATAGCATTTGTGCAGTGTTGTTAAACTGCGCTCCGAGCTTTTGTTTACTGGATAACGTCTTATCAGTGGGCCTCCAGCTGTGGCAAGTAGGAAAACCTTCTGGGGGTGGTGGCATTTGGTTGGCGTTTCCTTCTTGTAGTATTAATGCCATTCCTAGCTCCGCGTGAAATTCGATATGGCAGTGGAAAAACCAGAAACCTGAGGTAAGTAAAATAATTTTAAAAGAATGAAGTTTTTACCCCATCAAATCCAATCCAATTATTTTACACAATAATAAGGTATAATAATATACTCAAATGTTAACTGTGCAAATACCTGGGTTATCTGCCCTGAATCTTATAATGGTGACTGCCTGTTCTGGTACAGCCAATGTGTCTTTTCTAGGTGCTCGTGAAGTTTTTCTTGGTATTTCACCCTTCTCGTTTAGCGCTTTCACTTCGTTCATTGTAACGTCTCGACCAAACTGAATTAGAAATATTTAAATTTAAATTTTATTAGCCATAATAAATAATGACAGCATTTTTCGTCTTTATTTCTCAAATAATTATTGTTGATGACAGTGATAAGAGTGGTATTAAGGGGTCATCCATAAATGACGTCACACTCGTAGGGGGAGGGGGTCCGTAATTTTGTGACGATGTGTGATGAGGGGGAGTGGGGGGGGGGGGTGGTTCAGATGTTGCGACGTCACACTTTTGCATTATAAAAAAGCAATGCTAGAAAACGAATTTTAGACGTTATTTCGCGTTTTAGATAACTGCTTTAATAAATTGTAATAGTTTAGACAAGATTTTAGAAAAATATCGATGTTTTAAAAAAATTCAACAGCAATTTTGAGGGGGGGGGGGGGGGTTGTAGGTTGAAGTGTGACGTCATTTTAGGGGGGGGGGGGGTCTGGCTTTTTGTGACGACGTGTGACGGAGGGGAGAGGAAGGGGAGGTAAAAATCGTCAAAAAGCGTGACGTCATTTATAGATGACCCCTAATGCAAAAGTGTCTTTTTTTTTAAATAAGCAAGATGACCACCACTTAAGATGGTGTTTTACCCAATTGCTGAATATTCAGTGGATTTCAAACTTTTAGTAGAGATATGATTATTATTACTTATTTGTTCTATCAAAAGTTAAATAATTATTGTTTTTACGGAAGAATATGATTTTAACAGCTATGTCATATAAGGATGAATGGAGCAAGTAATACAAAGCTTAAATAAATACTTCCTAAAAAACTTACTCGATGCATTGTGATCACTTTATATGAGTGCCCGTGCATATGCATTGGGTGAATGAGTGTATTCTTGTAGGAGACTAACACTAGCTCAACCATGTCACCTATATCATACTTTAACATGTGTACACAGATGCATAGTTCTTTGCTACACTCATATTTTACAGTATCATTGTTACATAATAGACCCTGCAATAAAAAGTAATTATTAATGAGTTAAATGAATAATTTTTTGGAAGCTAAAATGGTAAGGATACGAATTCTAATTCTAAAATCGTGTGTTTTATTAAATAAAATTACATTGTCGTTGTTATTATGAGATGCCACAATGGATCTCTCATGAAACAAATGAGTTGCTGCTAATAAAAATTTCTAAACAAAAATTGTGTTTAAGTGACAAAAAGATAAACCTTTGGTATTTCATCAAATTGAGACAATGGGGGTGATGGGGGAAGCCTGAATGAGATGTAATTCATTTGATGGTTGAACGGACGGACGGGTGGAGGTGTTACGGTGGAAAGAACTGGCTGAGGTGGAGGCAGAAATCTTTCATCTAAAATTTCACTGGCTCCTGTTAGAGTATTTTTTTTTGAAATAGCATAAAAATCAATCATGAATAAAAACTAATTTAAAATTAATTAATTAAATTAGTTAAAGAATGTATGCGGGGTAAATTTTTGTTTTATAACGAGAGATTACCAATAGAAATGAAAAACTGTTTATCAGGTAACGTTTGAAATAAGTGATCTTCATTGTTTTCAGGTAATGCATTCAAGTCTACGATTTGATAGCTGGTATTAGTTGACCCTTTCCGACCATTTAAAATCTGGAGGGTAGAATACAAAACAAAACGTTTTACTTTAAATAAAATCTATGCAATATTAAAATAGTAGGCCCAAATATTTTAAAACAATAATAACGTAAAAAGTGAAAGAAGGTAAGTACACGAGACCCCAAATATAACCAGTTTCAAGTAACAAGGCCATTAGAACAAAATCATATAGCTTATAGATTGTTTTAAATCGGCGGGTAGACCAATGTGTTTTTTGACGCGCATAATGAAAGAACTTTAAAATATTTTTCTACACGATTCAAAATATAATTTTAAAAAAAAATCTGTCCATGATACCTTTAGTACGGTTTAATATCACTAAATATTCCTGCATAAAATGTCATTTCTTACTCTCTCAGTTTCGCTTTCAACAGTATTGTTAAATGTTGCTTCTTCGGGTGGTTGAACTTCTTCAGTTCCCTCGTATTTCAGTATTGCTGCCTAAAAATGTCAGTAAAAAATAACTTTACAAATACAGATAACCAAATCCCATAAAGTGTTATTTATTCAACGTATCAAAAATAAAATAAAACGACACCTGGAAAGCTCGCGTGGCAAGACAACGACCGTGGCCTTTAAATCTGATCCAGAATGTTTGTTTAATATCTGCTTTAGCCTGCAGTACAAAATCATATCTTTCTCCCGAGAAGATCATGAAAGCATCAACTTCCAAAGGTTCAAAGTCCTCTCCATCAGTAGAGATCATCAGCATTGGGTGATCATCAACTTTGACGTAAATAGGACAGTTTAAAATCCCATTATAAGCTATTCTAAATCTGTATTTCTCGCCAGCTCTCACGCTAAACACTGGAAACGGCATATTTGTTTGCCCTTTAGCTTTGCCCATACCTGTGACAAATAAAAAGTTATAAAAACTTAAGATTAAATGATATAATATAACATGATTAAGAAATGATAATGTATCTAAAGCAGGTTTAAGAAGGAATCTGTTACCTTAATCAATTATAATAATCAGCGTAGTTTTAAATATATAAAAAAAAAAACTATCTTTGACAAGTAATTTATTTTCACCACTATAAAATTCAGCGTAGTGTTTTAAATTAAAAAAAAAAAAACTTTACCGTTCACAAGTATACTATTAACATCTGTAGTTTGACCACTATGAAAATCCTGTGCATAAGCCTCTCCAGACATTTTTTCTGTCCAGTCAGATAAAAGAATATAATGCTCTGGTAAGTCGTGGTCAAATAAATGACCTTGGAGGTCAAGGACTTTAGGTTCTCGTATAACAAGCCCACCGAATAAACCTTCGGATCTTTGCATAGATGAGTGTGAGTGCCAAAAATGGGTGCCAGTATCAACAGCTTGGAATCTTGAAAACAATGGAAAAGAGAAATTCATATATATATATATATATAAACAGAAATTCATATATATATATATATATATATATATATATATATATATATATATATATATATATATATATATATATATATATATATATATATATATATATATATATATATATATATATATAGGGCCTATATATATAATTAAAATTCAAGTTGTTTACAAGTTTGTAAATTTATTTGTTTCTTTGGTACACGAAAGCATCTGCACTAAGTGTAGAACTGTAAAATACGTATTTATGTAGAGAATAAATTATAATGTTCTTTTTAACCAAACTGTCAATTACAGGTTCATTTAAAGACAATGATTAATTTATTGATATATTAATTGTTAAAACACCACTTTAATTTTAAAAGTTCAGAACAATTACTGTATTTTTAGTGGAGTTTTTTTTCACGATTTTAACTCTAGATCTACGGATAAACTAGACTTGAGCCACAGGCAGATTCTACAAATAGCAATCTAGATTCTAGATCTATCTAGATTCTAGATCTAGGGCAATTATGAGTTTCTATACTAAACTATTTCAGCCCATAATTATTTCATATAAAAGATAATAAAAGCTATGTTTGTTTAGCAATGGCATAGGCTAAATTAGGATTAAATTAAATATTTAAAAAATATTTGCGTAATTCAACTAAGTAAATGACCCCAATAAATGTGCACCTGATGTGCCCAGCTGCCCGAGATGATAGTGTAACAGTTTTTGCTAGCGGTACGGGTTCGAGACACATAATGTCAATGTTTTTAAAAATTCTTTTTTTTTTATGTCAATGATAAAGTAGCCTATCGGGACTAGGTGGGACATGGGGCAGGTGAAATAGTTCACCTGATTTTGTGTCCTCAACATATGAAGGGATAATGTGGCCAGATCTATGCTCAGCCCAAATCGGTCTTTTTAAAAGACAAAAAAACATGTTGTCTGGGGTGTGATGTCTTTTTGAATGTGGGGCCTGGGCTTTTGTTAAGACGTGTGACAGTGGGGAGAGAAGGGAGGGGGAAAGATAAAAATAGTCAAAGAAACGTTACGTCATCTATGGATAACCACCAAAACATACGGTTATTTAAGAATAACGGGTAGTCTAGTTTTTTATAAAGATAATTTGAAACAAAACTGTTGGCTTATTAATAGTTTAACTATACCTGTATTTCATAGTAGCCCATCTGTGTATTGGACATTGTGTAATCAAATTAGTTCCATCCATATGTGGTGTACCCATTTGTCGAATGCCATGCCAGTGGATGCTAGTTCCTTCTCCAAGCTCCATGCGGTTGTCAACTAGAACTTCTATTATATCATTTTGACAGACCTAAGTTTCGAGAAAAATATTCGCAATGATTATCTGTTGGCAATCCTGCACATATTATATCTCAAGAAAGGATGGATTTGTAGTCTAAAAGATAGTTACATTGTGTTTTATATCGTAGAGTGGAGGTGAAGAACAGAACTATAGAACTCATTATTTTTATCAAAGTGATTTGTTTTCAAAATTATTTCTACCCGTGATTTATCTAATTAATGGTTCAGGTAGCGCTTAATTGCAGAAGTGGCATGTATATTCGTTAAAGGTAAGTAGACCTACTTCAACGGCAGAATTAAAGCTGACAGTATTAAAAAATGCAAATTATTGGTTGTCATTGGGAGGGGGGGGGGGAATTCCTGTCTTAATTTAGAATGTGGGGGTCTAAATTAAAGTATACCGTTTTCTCGGATGTTGTGTTGGTTCTAGAAATGCCTTATGTGTGTGGTGTACAATATTTACACGATCTTGACCTAGTCTTGCAATTACTTTATGCCGATGTAATAAAATATTACTTTACAGTCGATGAACGCAATGAAGGAGTGCGAACAATCCCTTTTTTAACATTAACTCTTTATGGGAAAATTCATTTCCTCATCCAATCAAGGAAAAATAAAACATAAATAATTATCCACTTAATTAGAAACAGATTAAAAAGTATAAAGCGCTATTTACTTTTATATAAATTTATATATCGAATAACTTACTTTTTTACTGTTTAATACTATAATACTAAAATAGGAGAAAATAAAATAAATGTGTCTATAGAAACTTCATAACAGCAGCATGAGATGAAAATTAGAAATAGACATGATACCAGTATTTCTTCCAGACTTTTTTCTCCGGGGGGCACTTGAAATTTTCGGGGGGGGGGGGGGGGGGGGGGGGGGGGCGGTAGACTTTCTTCGGGGGGGGGGGGCGGACACTGTTAAAAGTACTTATTTTCTATATAAATTATATAAATTTCATTTCGTTCGGGAAGGGGGGGGGGCGGTAGAATTTTTTCGGGGGGGGGGGGGGCGGTAGAATTTTTTCGGGGGGGGGGATGCCTGGAAGAAACTGCATGATACTATAGTAAAACCGACAGAACGGAACTCAAAGAACATCCCAAGCTTCTGCTATTTTAGACGTTTTAGACCAATCTTTGAAACAGCGACTAACAAATATATTAGGGCCTGGAACCATGCGATTGACAGTCAGCACTCCACGAGGAGTTCCATCTCCAGGGATACATTGTGGGAGTCCACAGTGGCTTTTATTCAATGGACAATCATAGCAGGCGGACGACATCGTGGTATAATGCTCTAATAGGAAGTAGTAATGGCAGCGCATCGGCGGTCCATCTTTTGTACATTCACGTCTACAGCTGTGGTTAGTATAGTCTGAAACACACAGTCCAGAAAAGGAATTAAAATAATTTTGGTAACTAAAATCAACAATATATAACTTGTATATATGTTACGGTCAAAACCCGAAGTCGGCCAATGCGCGGATTGGCCGGCCAATCCGCGCATTGGCCAATATCGCCTCCCATTGACTGGTCAAAGTCCGAAACATCGCTTGATTTCGGGCTTTGGCTGGCCAATCCGTGAACTGGCCATGGTGGACAGGCCAAAGTCTGAAATAGCTCATGAGCAGATATTTTTTTTTTTTTTTTTTGTGCCGTACGGATCATGAAATTAAGTTTTTATTGATTATTAATTAAAGTAAATGACAGAAACATTCAAATGTTTTATTGTACAATAGTCTCAATCAATCAATATTGTCATTTGTTACAACAAGTTTTATGGCATTTAGAATTACATAGCAGCTTGTTATTTTTACACTTGCAGCGATTTGTTGTGCACTTGGTTGTGCAATTGCAGCGAGTGTAGCCTTGACCCCAGTCAATGATTGTTAAGATGCGATAGTTCGTAGTGATTTTTCCTCAGTGCCAACTGACGACAATAAGAGCAGTTTTTCGTGAAGAATTGAAAACTCACTTCTAGCATAGAGTTGTCTTAGAACACCACGTTACATTCCTAATTTGTAGAAACCGCCCTCGACGCTCATTACAACTGCAATCACGCTTCGGGGATCACCGCGACCTCTGTCAAAATCTGGAACACGGATGCGTACATTGTCACCCACTTCAGCATCTTTAAATTTTGTATTTGATGTTTTAAGCATCTTAGCACCTTGAGTTTGCAAGCCAGTATGAGCTGCTGACCTGTGTTCCATGATGTCTTGTTTGTTGTGACATAATCTGCAGGTAATATTTCCTCCGTACCCTTCGTCTGCTTCATTGGGTATTCCACACATAGCATGGACATCGTTGCCACAGGATTTACAAGAATGAGCTGCACTACAATGTTTTTCACAAACTACACAGAATCTGTTGGCCACATTATTGTCACGCAACTGGTCTGGACGTTCCGCCACGGCAGCAGATGTGTTAGCTGAGGATGTCGTTGCATTTATGGCAACCTCCATTTCTTCATTTGGTATTCCCCTTTTGTTGGGGAAATATGGTTTCTGACGCCCACGCCATCTCAAGTCGCTTGGACACTATTGTTCAACTTACAAGGAACGCGGCAAAGTTTTGTTGCACGTGGTCGGTGACGCCGACTGTCTTTGATTTTGTTATTTGATAATTGTCATCATGGAGGAGGCTGTCACATACAGTTGTAGCCCATATATGGAAACTAACATGGATTTACATTTTTTTTTCTTTCGACAGCCATCTGCTATGTCTGTCTCATGGTCTGACGGCCCTTTTGATCCATGTCGCCTTGCATATAGAATGCTATACAAGCAAGAGATAAACAATACTTTACTCACAATGAGACCGCACCCAGAATAATGAAAACGCGATCACAACTTAGCCTAGATAGAACATTGGCCAGGACATCCCGGCCAGTGCGCGCATTGGCCGGCCAATGTAAAAAATACGCTGTCAAGTTTAAGCGCTTCGGACTTTGGCCAGTACGTCCCGGCCAGTGCGCGCATTGGCCGGCCAATGTACGAAATACGAACTTAGTGCTAAGTTCTTCGGGCTTTGGCCAAGAGAGCTGGCCAATGCGCGCATTGGCCGGCCAATCCGCGCTTTGGCCGCACTTCGGGCTTTGACCGTAACATATATACTTTATACTCACTAAATAAATGTAGAAAATAAAGTCGCTGATCACACATATTTCCAAAGGCTAAACTGTTTAATATAAAACAATTTATTTTAATAACAACTTGAATAATTGGACAAAGTGAAATGTAAATAAAATAATAAAAGGCTTGCCATAGATATGGTATGGGTCTCTCTGATCAAAGTATTCTTCTTCCTGAGCATAAGTACAAACAACTAGCACCCAAAGACACACCCAGCCTACAAAATGCGTCGTTTGGGATGACTTCATTATGTCCCTTCATTCTGTAATCAATCATTATATTTTTTTAATTTAGGAAAAAGCATATATATATATATATATATATATATATATATATATATATATATATATATATATATATATATATATATATATATATATATTCTTTCTTTCTTTCAGATACAGATATATTTTGCTTCAAGCTACTTCGTTAATCACGAACGTAAAGTTTTCCAGATTTGTAAATTTCAATTTTAAAAAGTATTTCGGACTTTCTTTGGATTTTACGGCTCTCCGTTTATACTATTTGTGTACATAATTTATACGTCGTATTTATATAATATAGATCTGATGAATTTTAGAATTAAATTTGTGCAGAAGTATATTAAAAGTATTAAGTGAAAATAGAATTCTACAAATACTTCAGACCTGAGGTGTTTTTTTTTACCAAGATAAAAACTTTATTCATTACAAGCTACCACCGTTTCGCCAACCTCATCTCAAAGGAAAAGAATGTCAATTAACTCAAGGACTCGGTATGGCACCTACGTTCGTTTAAAGTGAGTGCAATAGACTATGGATAAGTTGGGGTATTTAAGTAGTTTACTGAGTTGAATCAGGCGGTTCCGCCGGCGTCCTGGCAGGGTGAGCTTTTGCGTTTATGTTTGCATTAAAGTTTGTGTTTATATTATGCGTTTAGGTTTGCGTTTGTGTTTTTCGTGTTTGCATTGTGTTTGTGTTTACGTTTACGTTTGCGTTTTCTTTTGTGTTTGAGGTTGTATTTGTGTTTGCGTTGTTTTGTGTATGTTTTTTGTGTTTAGTTGGTACATTTAAAAAAGATTCACTGTGGCGGAGCACGGGTATGCAGCTAGTAATAAATATATCACTGTGTAACTAATGCTGTTTCTATACCAGCAGCAGTTAGCCCCTTTTTAATTTACAGTCATCATGGCAACTTATGTTACTGGCATGTCGAGAGTGAACGGTTGGTTGGTTTCTTCCCTGAGCATCGACAACAAACTTATTATGTTCCCATAATTCTTTCAGAAATCACAACCTACTGGTCAGGCTTTAACGTAAATATTTTTAGAAAAATCTTTAAATCTAAGTTTTGAAACGAAGTATTTGATGAACCGGCAATGGTAAAAGCACACAAGGCATACAATGAAAGCCAAATGATCAAGTAAAAAAGGTAGAGCCAAAAACTCTTAGCTTAGACAAGTTAGAGAAATTTTAAAAAGATATGAAAATTATGGGAAAACTATGGGATCGAGAAAAATAGTGAAATAGTAATGGACAGCAGTTTCTTCCAGGCATCTCTCCGGTCCCCAAGAAAGTCTCCCCCCCCCACCCCGAATGAAATGGAATGTATATAGAAAACATATACTTTACCAGTGTCCCCCTCCCCCCCCCCCCCCAAATATCTCCTCGGAGAAAAAAGTCTGGAAGAAACACTGATGGACAGAAAAGTATGGACATTGTTTAGCAATTTAATTATACCCAAAAGGTAGTTAAAAAAGAAAAAAAAATGACGCAAAGGTTTTATTCAACATTTGACTAAAGTCTTTTACTTTTACAGTTTGGAGTAGTGAACGGGCTTGGTTTGATTGAGTTAGTTATAGCTGATTTCAGTTTCGTTGTTTGATTGAGTTAGTTATAGCTGATTTCAGTTTCGTGGTTTGATAGAGTTAGTTATAGCTGATTTCAGTTTCGTGGTTTGATTGAGTTAGTTATAGCCGATTTCAGAATGTGTGCAGGCAGAACTATCGCATTGTACATTGTAAAAAGACGATGTTGTCTACGGTTTAACACTTATTGCCAACACAACGTAGTGACTTAATTAAGTATAGTTTAAAATAATTACATCAAAGTCTCAAGTGTCAGACTTTAATGGTTAATAGTTTATCACAGATTATTATGCCGTACCAGTTTGGTCCTAAATTGTTATAAGCTCATTAATATATATATATATATATATATATATATATATATATATATATATATATATAGTAACATTTACTAAGTAGTTAATGCATTTATTAATTAAAATGTTGACTAGATATCTCAAGCGAAAATATCTTAACATACCAGTTTTTCTCTTAACAGTCGACGGTTTCAATGTTGTTTTACTGAAATGTGTATTCTGTAGCCAGACTGTAGCGCGTCTTACATGGAGTTTTATGATACTGCAAGATGTCCTTAAACTAGGTCAACTTAACAAAATCATGTGATGGCAATTTTTCTCTTTTTCATTTTTATTTTAGAAAGCTGCCACCGCCGTACTCCCCCTCCCCTTGTTTTCACGCAGTTGTTCTGCAGAAAGGTATACTGCTCGTGAGGGTGATGGGGAAAATGGGCGGGGCAATAACAAGATTTCACGTCACGTGAAGATTTGATAAAATGTTAGTTTTTACGGTCGTCTGTTAATAAAATACATTTAGCCGCATGAGAATTGTTTAAAGATTTTAAAGTTAAGGTAGAAGTGTGATAAAAGAATTGAAAATACATATCTTGCTACTATAAAGTTATTAGTTTTTTTATTTACGTGTAGAGCAGTGGTTCTTAGCCTTGGTTCGATCGAACCCCAGTAGTGGCGGAAAAAGAACAAAAAGCCCCCCCCCGCCAATATATATATATATATATATATATATATATATATATATATATATATATATATATATATATATATATATATATATAATTATATAATATATATATTATATAATATAATATATTAGTACACTTTGTCACTAACTTTTAAATTAAACGATTTGCTAATTTTATAATTTTATAATTTAACCTATTTCGTTACAAAATACTGCCATAATGAGACAACAAAACACACTGAAGTGGACTCAAACTTATTTTTGACCTGAAATAATTGAGTTTTAAAAATAATGTATAATATTTATATCCACCAAAAAGTGCGAAAAGTTTAACTTCATTTGTGGTAGTCGATCAAAAAATATGATCCATGGAACGGGAGCTTGATTTGTGTAATTTGTAATGGTTTCACGTGTCCATTTTTTCCCCTTTATTCTGTGTGCATAAGTTTAATAATAATGAAGAGAAGGAATTGCTTTATTTATGCTTAGTACAAATGTATTTACATGAGCTTCATGTGCACTACTATTAGACTCAGTGGCGTAGGGGGGGGGGGTGCGGACCGCACCGGGTGACACCATTTAGGGTGGTGACACAAAGGCAAAAAAATAGCAAACTATATATAGAAAAAAAGCAACAGCCAATAGAGAAAGATATCAAGGTCCGTAAATGGGGATGGATCGGACACAGTAAGAAAAGAAAAAAGAAAACATCGCAAAACATGCTTTGGACTGGAATCCCCAGGGAAAACGGTGGGTGGGCCGGCCAAGGAAGACATGGAGAAGAACGATTGAAGAAGAGGCGAAAACAGCTGGGCTCACATGGGCACAGATAAAGGGGGCAGCCCAAAACCGAGTCCGCTGGAGATGTGTTTGCAGCCCTTTGCTCCCCAGGGGCCACAAAGGAATGATGATGATGATGATGATGATGATAGAGAAAAAATGATAATTCCACTTAATAAAGTTATTAATTCGAGTGTTAAAAAGTAAAAGAGCAAATTTGACAAATCCCGACAAGGGTGGAAGGGGGGTGGGGGTGCGAATCGAAAATTGAAAGTTTGTCTACGCCTCTGGGGAGGGGGGGGGGTTGACACCATTAAGTGCCGCACCGGGTGACACCCGACCTCGCTACGCCACTGATTAGACTGTTTAATGAGAAGCAATAAGCAATAAGCAATAAGTCATGGTGGTGGTTTGAAGATTTGCCTATCTTTCACAGCTCCTTTAGTTTTTTCTTCTATTCAACGGTGTGAGTTACTGTATATCAATCACTACAGTAGATGGTCTATTTGGATTTGCTAAAAAACACTTCCATCAAGGTGTAAAAAAAAAACAGTTTTGGTCGGATTTTGGGCGGTTTCTGTCGGTACTGTAGTTCCGCCAGGGGCGTAGCGACCCCTTCCGGCGCCCGGGGACAAACTGTCAATTCGCCTACCCCCCCCCCACATATATTTTTTATATTCAAAATAGCAGCTAAAATGGGCTTGGGTCGGCGCCCGGGGACATATGTATTCCCCCGTCACTACGCCTCTGAGTTACGCCCCTGAACCCTAAGAGTTCGGAGGAGATCAAGAAACACCGGCTTATGATTTTGATCGGAATTTGTCAGAGCCGTTGACAGAACTAGCGACCGCGGTAGTTTACAGTTAAAATACGACAGCACGAGTCCCCCCCCCCCCCCCCACCCCTCACCAGCGCTCACCCCGTCACCCTTGAAAGAAATAAAAAATATATTATACTCTATCTACAACATTGTATTCTTTAACCTGTATCCGCATCACTTCCAGATATGGAGTAACACTTCACAATTTTCACAATTTTTGGCGGGCATAAAATGAGATAAAAATCGTTTTTTAAAAACACTTCAAAAGTTTTGAGCTATCGCTTTGTGGTTTGCGGCGATTGATAGATAGATCTCTAATTGGCAAGTTTTATATAAGGGAATTGGCCAGAACTAATTTATTAACTTTATCTATTTCATTGCCAATTTATATATATATATATATATATAAATATATAAATATATAAATATATATATATATATATATATATATATATATATATATTTATTTATTTATTTATTTAATTATTTATTTAATTTATTTTTTTGTTGGGTTGCTTTGTTTTTCTTGTTCCGCCACAAGTTAAACCCAAACCCGCTATTCTGAGAGAAGAATGTAAGTTGCAAGTCAACAAATTATGTGATCCGCCATTTTGTCATGTTAAACACCCACATGACATAAAAAGTTCCCCACGTGCTGCTAAATTACGTCATTAAGACCACATTTCCCGTTTTTAACTAGGGCGACCTACTTTGGTAAATTATTAACAACGAGTCGACCCGCGGCATATCATACGCCGCTATTTAGTTGTTTTATTTTCTAATTTTCAGTAATTCATAATTTGTGAATTCGACAGTACCAATGCTGCCACTGAAAATATTTGCTTTAAAACACTATCAGTAGCTCGTTAAGGACGATACCCCCCCCCTCCTTTCCCCAACCTCTACCCCCCCCCCCCAGTGAAAGCAAACTCCTCGTAGTTATCTCCCCTAAGTTTAAAATCGTTTCAAACTACATTATCTGCCCCTAATAGCCGTCACTAACCCAGGCTCTACGATTGTAAACATTTAGCGTGAACCACAGTTCAGCAGACCATGTAGGGGTGGGGGTGGTTGGGAGCGCGCTTACAGCTTGGTGTTTTCTAGGGTCTCCAAGAAGAGAATTATATATATATAGATGAGGGATTAGGGGAGGCAGAGGGACTAGTGATAAAATCTATAGTTCCCAACTCAATTAGGGTTAGTTACACTTTAAAGTGCAGACAGATATGTATAAGACAGACGCGTAGTTACAAGACAAAAAGACATGAAAGTGCAGTTGAGAAATACACGTAGGTACAGTAAGACGTATAGGTACAAGACTGAAGGAACTTTAGAGGTATAAGACGTAAAGAGGTGAATGTACACGAGCTAAATACTTGTTGATATAATATAGAAACACTTGTATGCATATGTTGATCAGTGTTTCTTCCAGACTTTTTTCTCCGGGGGGGGGGGGGGGCACTTGAAATTTTCGGGGGGGGCGGTAAACTTTCTTCGGGGGGGGGGGGGCGGACACTGTTAAAAGTATATATTTTCTATATAAATTATATACATTTCATTTCGTTCGGGGGGGGGGGGGGGGAGGGGTAAAAAAATTTCGGGGGGGGGGGGGGCTTTGCCCCCCCCCCCCCCCCCCCCCCGAAGAGATGCCTGGAAGAAACTCTGATGTTGATACAAGCTGTCGTCCATGAATTACGTCACACTCGTAGGGGAGGGGGGTCCGTAATGTTGTGACGGTGTGTGGTGAGGGGGAGGGGGGGGGGGGTCAGATGGTGTGACGTCACTCTGACATTAAAAAGCAATATCTTCAAAAAGTGTTACATCATTTATGGATGATCCCCCAGACAGAAACAATTGTTTGCATATGAAACTAAAGTGGATGCCTGGGTTATTTCTTTTATTTGAATTGAGCAGTTTTTTCGGTGATTTTTGTGTGGCATTAGTAAGAGATGTGGTAGTATTAAGGGGCGAACGATAATTAATTAGGTGATGTTTTATGTATGACACTTTTAAGGAATGTCACTGTCAGCTTTATGTAAACTGATTGTTTAATTATTATATAAGCTATCCAATAATTTTGTATCTTTTTATATAGTTTGCATTCCCTTATGTTGTTTAATTCATTTGTTTATGTGGAGTACCCACTAAACAATTTTGGTTCAATTATTTTTTTTTATTGCACGAAATTGTTTTCAAGCCTCGCGTTGTCTTGTCACTTTAAATTTCCTGTGAATTTTGCGTTTTGTCAATGTCGTTCGCGGGACCAGCGAGTTGTACCGGGCAAGTCAACTTGGGCGTGTATTGGTTATCTATGGCTCAGTTGGATGTCTGGCCTTACTGTGGAGATAAACTGCCGTTAAATTAATGAACATCACAATTATTGTTATCAATTATGTTATGCCTGGGGTGCTACTTGTATCTAAACTTATGTTTGCTCTGTAAGATATGTATTTCCTTAAATGTGTGTGAGCGAGGGCCTTTTGGTACCGTGCTGTGTATTCATGGTGTCTGTTCTTGGAATGGTTGGGTTCGGTACACTATAAGAATAGAATTCAGTATTCGAAATAGGGGTCGTCCAAATATGACGTTACACTTGTATGGGGGAGCGGGAGTGTAATTTTGTGACGATGAAAGATGAGGTGGAGGGGGGTTCAGATAGTGTGACTTCACACTTTTGCATTTTAAAAAGTAATGTTAGAAACTGAATTTTAGCTATTGTATCGCGTTTTAGGAAACTGTTTTAATAGCGTAGGGGTGTAGGATAAGGTGTAATGTCCTTTGTGGGGGATCTGGTTTTTGTGACGATGTGTGGAGGGGGGCGAGCTAAAAATCATCAAAATCGTGACGTCATTTATGGATCACTCCATAATAATATAGCGCTTGAGAGCTTAGTTGAATGAAGCCAACAAAAATCTTTCATTCAATGTCTTCATAATTTTGTACTCATCTTCTTTCCTTTTAGGCTGCATTGGCAGCTTGACTGTGTGTTTCGTTATGATGTTTTTATTATTCAAATGTTTTGTTAGGTTTAGGGTTGGTAGGCATAGTTTCTTTCAAGCATTTCTTTGGATGCCCCCCCCCCCCCCCACCGAATCACACTCACCCCTATCACCCTACCACCCGTCAGCACGATAGAGACAAAAGTAATATAGAATGCCCCTTCCTCTCCCCCAGTAAAAATAAAAGAAACACTATGGGTCGGGCGGACGGTTAGTTGTTTCTTTTAAAAACTGTTAATGTTTGTTTAGTTGTCGTTATGTGCTCAAATAAATATTCTTGCTCTATTATCAACCATAACACTGGGATTTCTTTCAAAATTTTCCGAGAAGAAAATTTCTTAAATCAAAACCTTATGAAAGAGTTTTGAGCAGTCAATGTAATTAGACGTTGAACTACACAGAGAAATATATTTTTAAAATGTGTTTTAAAGTATTAATATTTCCACTAACGAACATGATAGTTTGTCGCGAAATGTATTAGAAGATAGCCAAGATGCTTTTTTAAAGAAAGATAACTGAAATGTATAAATTGAAAAATATTAATTTGCTTCCCTTTAATATTACAGGTAGAGTGTCGGTGAATCAGAAACCTTTTTAACCCAATACGTTTTTGTGCGCAGGGGTTGAATGGCTGTGTCTATCAGACCCGGGGAATTTTTAAATTTATTTGAAATAATTTCCTCTGCATCATCCGTTTCAGCAGTAGGTCCTATTAATGTCTACAATTTAAAGAGCGAAACATTTTGCTCAGTGAGAGGTCAAATCTTTTTAAATTTTTTTTAGAAACATTACCCCAATTTGATAGAATTCACGCTACTGGGCTTGAGAAAAATAAACTTTTACACCTTAAATTGCCACGGAGGAAAGGAAATTGTAGACCGATGGGAAAGTTCACCTCTGGTTGGGTGCTAACCTAACTTCAATATTACTTCGACTAAAGGCTTTCGGTTAATAAAAACGCAAGGTTAAAATTAAACAATACAAAGAAAACTTTCCAAATCTATTTTTATTTACATCGTAGTTTCTGGAACATGTCATTGACATGTAGGCCTAAGGCAGAATTGACACCTTTCCTTCGACGTCCACCGGGCCGTGATCAGTGTTTCTTTCAGGACCCCCCCCCCCCCACCCCGAAAGGAATAGAATGTATATAGAAATTATAAACTTTTACCAGTGTCTACCCCCTTCCCCCTATAATCAGTTGTGATTTTTTTTTTTACCAATCGCAAAAAAATTGTTTTTAGTAAGAACATATAGCTGTTTTTTTTTTTAAATTATATTTTTTGTTCTCAATGTTTATTCAATTAGGCTTTCCTAGTGTAGATAATATAAATGTTAAACACATTCGTTGTCGATATATATAGGCCTATGCTTATTTGAGAACCTTTATCGCCAGAAATAATTGAACGTTTGTTTTTACAAAGCGTGACCTTCGTTGGTTCCCAGGTCAATGAACGAAAGTATAGTATTACAAACGCACATATTTTTCTATTCATCAAAAGATGATTATTATTATTATATCTTTTCGTCGAGATATTTAACACTAATATTAAAAACAAAAGGAAAAAGAGCCTCGTAGCAATTGCATAGCTTAAAATGTGTATTCATAGATTCATACACGTTTTACATTTTTTAAATTAACATAAAAGTTTATTATATTTGGTAATACCGCTTACCGTACTTAAACGAGTAAGCTAATATCTCACAGTTTGGCGTAACACTGGCAGTTTGACGCCGGGGGAGAGAGAGAGAGAGTGAGAGAGTAGCTGTGATCTAAACTGTGTATCAATACATTCCAAAACAGAAGTGGGAAAGGATGTACTTCCAATATCCTCTTAAATAAAATGCATTGTAAATTTCCTAGTTCGATGAGTTTAGTCGATGCCGTTTTAAACAAGTGTATATTGTGAATTATATATGAAAGCTATAGTATATAGATCTATATTATATATTTAGACTAAGATACTAAGAATAAGTACATCTCTATAACTATAAGTCAAATAAGTAGTAGCTTGTAGATCACTATAAGTAAGTAAGGCAGAAGCATACTTTAATGACGATATAATTGTAATTTAACATAAGTCTATATTATATAGAAAGTATATTAATAAATATTAGAATCTAGATTCTAGATCTAGACTTTTCTAGTTCTAAATAAAGTCGACGGTGTGTGTGTTCAACTGGTGATTTGGTATGTTACAAATACGTCAGCCTACACATACAAATAAAACTAATTCATATAGAAATCTATCTACTTAGAAGGGCCGAGAATCTTACATACTCCATTATATTATAATGATTATAATCAAGTTAAAACGTTATTTAACAACCTAATCTCTTTCGTTTTTAATTTTAGATAGATCTAGTGATAGGCATAATACTGGCTATGAGTATAATGGTTATATCTAGATTCTAGTTCAAGAAGATCTATAATTATACTTTGTACATAAAAAATACGTCTAAGACTTAGAGTATCACGAGTCTATATTTAGGACAAATTTATCTACGTAAAATCGGCCGAGGTTAGTAATGTGCGAGAAAGGTGGCTCATTAATATGACCTTAATACAAGTATATTATTATACTTTGTGTCAAATATAATAGATAATTGAATAATAAACCAAAAGCAATGTTTAAATATATCAACAAAGGCCAGAAATGAACTTTAAACAGCCTTGTTGGCGAGCAAGATTTGCTATATAAACAGCGGCCGTCTGTAAATTAGAGTGGTTTCCCCTGAATCTCTAGCTAAAATGTTACCAAAAAACTTAAACAAGATGGCTGCTAAAGTAAATTAGCTTGTTTGCATCTGTTGAAAACATCGCTAATCTTTATTTATTACTGAAAAGTTTTAATACAATTGTTTTTTAAAACACATACACGAATGAAAGCTTAAAACATTTTTGTAATTTTTAATACTAAATCTTTCTAAACATGTAGAATATTTTTAAGAAATTGAGGAGTCACCCTTTTTTTTCACATTACTAGATCTAGCTTCGGCCTATTTTACGTACCTAAAACGATAGCTGACCTAGATTAGATCTAGTCTAGTCCTGTAGTAAATGCGTTTACCTATTCTCGTACGTTAGCGACAATGTGAAGATGTGGAATTCTCGGTTGTCTATATTGGAGTTTGATCCATTGTATCTTTTTAAATTTTATTACATATTTGTGTCAGCTGATAATTATTTTAACTGTACACAGTTGTGCCACGGAAACCTAGAAAACAAGGAATAACAAGGAATAACAACAAATGATAAATACGAAGTAAGTGGCCCTTTTGTTTCATTAGTTCAATCAAATGCAGACCCCTCCCGGCGCCACGGTAAATCTTTTTTTAAATGTACCAACTTAGGAACAGAACAAAACTAAACACAAACACAACACAAACACAACCTTAACACAAACACAACACAAACTAAAACAGAAAAGCAACACACAAACACAAAAGACAACACTCATAAATTTGCATTCACATTTTATTATTGCAACAATAATTTCTTCATGGACGTCTGCGGAATTTGAATTCACATTTTGCTAATTATGTTATTGCAACACTAATTCCTTCTAGAACGTCCGTATATTTTGCATTCACATTTTTTATTAGCGTGAGTTGAATTTATTTTTAAATTACCTCCCTTTGAATATTACTAAACAGTTTAATTAATTCGTTTTTTTCGACCCTATTATTATTAAAATGTATCCACTTTTTCTAAGAATCTAAACGAAAATGATATTTGACATTGATCCGTTTAATATGGTTTAGCAATGTGCGTGTATTTAATATTTTCTTTACGTTATGCAAAAGAGTAAAAACAGTGGTAACTATAAAATAAATTTAAGTCGTTATATAAACAAACCCCACTGAAAAGCATTGCATGGTGCAATGTTTACTTTTATGGTTCCAAAATCTATAGCGGAGACACGAGGAAGAACTGACAAACTAACAGCCCGCTTATATTATAGATATATGGGGGCGCCAAACTGATATATATATATATATATATATATATAAATATATATATATATATATATATATATATATATATATATATATATATATATATATATATATATATATATATATATGTGTGTGTGTGTGTGTGTGTAGTGTGTGTGTGTGTGTGCGTATGCGACTGTCCAGAAAAATTTAATAATTACGATGTATGATTGTCTTTCCCTAAAGCTTTACTCGACGCCTATTAAACTCCACAAAAGATGCATTATCCTTTAAAAAATGATTATTAATGTCAGGAAAAAAAAAACCTCATCTGAGTTTAGAGGGAAATTTGTAGCAGGTGCTAATTCGTTTAGTAAAGTCTTTTTTACTTTCTCCTATATACGAAGTATAGAGAAAGTATTGTAATCGTACACAAAAATCACTTGAAATTTTAACAATTTTCACCGTATTACACCTCAGTCCTTCATCACATCCGAAGTATATGTTTAACAAAAATTCAACAGCAATTTTGAGGGGGGGGGGGGGGGGTTGTAGGTTGAGGTGTGACGTCATTTTAGGGGGGGGGGGGTCTGGCTTTTTGTGACGACTTGTGACGGAGGGGAGGGGGAAGTAAAAATCGTCAAAAAAGCGTGACGTCATTTATAGATGACCCCTAATGCAAAAGTGTCTTTTTTTACTTTCTCGTATATACGAAGTATAGAGAAAGTTTTGTAATCGTGCAAAAAAAAAAAATCGAGATTTTTACAAATCTCGACGTTTTATACCTCACTGATACGGAAAAACATAATTTTGGAATCTTATCCGTATGTCTGTGTGTGTGTCTGTCTGTCTGTCTGTCTGTGTGTGTGTCCGTGTGTAAACACGATAACTTGAGTACCGTTACAGCTAGGTTGATGAAATTTCATATATAAGTATTTTATCAAAATCGTAGATCCGTATCAACTTTTGAGCGATTTCCGATAACCGGAAGTGGTACTTTTTCTACTTTGAATTTTTCAAAGCCTATAACTTGAGTACTATTTCAGATAGATAAATGAAATTTCACATGTAAGTATAAGATCTAATTCTCTACCTTCTGTCAAATTTTGAGTAATTTCCGTTGCCCGGAAGTACTAATTTACGCTACTTTCGATTTCTCAAAAAACTAATGTAAATTTTTAAAGTACTAATAATATTGCGCATTATTATGCACTTTTTTATTTGGCGTTCACTTGGTGTGCAATCTTTTGTCTACGAGATTTTATTCTATTTTTAAAACTTCAAGTATTTAAAATGGATTAAAAATCATGTCTATAGCCCGAGTTCTCATCCCCTGTTGTTTTATATAAGAATATTCGAGAAAGTTTAGGGGAGATCACTCCCGGTTTATTATGTTTTATCTTTGTAACAGTCTCTGTTATGATATATAGTACATAGTTGGATTATAAGTTTGTTCGATTAAGGTCATACAATTGACATACAATAGGGGGAGGGGGGTCCGTAATTTTGTGACGATGTGTGATGAGGGGGGGGGGGGGGGTTCAGATGTTGCGACGTCACATTTTTGCATTATAAAAAAGCAATGTTAGAAAACGAATTTTAGACGTTATTTCGCGTTTTAGATAACTGTTTTAATAAATTGTAATAGTTTAGACAAGATTTTGGAAAAATATCGATGTTTTAAAAAAATTCAACTGCAATTTTGAGGGGGGTTGTAGGTTGAGGTGTGACGTAATTTTAGGGGGGGGGGGGTCTGACTTTTTGTGACGACTTGTGACGGAGGGGAGGGGGGGAGGTAAAAATCGTCAAAAAAAAGCGTGACGTCATTTATGGATGATCCCTAGCAAATTATTGTACACATTGGAATTCGATATGGGTATTTCGTTTACTGGTTAAATGTATAATGAATAAGCTAGAGGGAAAAAAATGGAATCCAACAGACACAACAGCTCTAAGTCTTTGATTTATAAGATGTACGCTGCCTTCTCGTCCACAGTCAACAACAAATGCAGAACTAATTGTACTGGTTGAAGAAGCTGTAATAACCGGTTTAATGATTAGAATCAGCAGCGATAAAATGCATATTAATATTCTAAGTCAATGTGGAATCCATATGCATTGTCAAAAAACTCAATCATGACCTATAGCTAAATATGATGTATCTTTTACTGTATGGCTCGGAGCTAGGTTAAAGACAGTGGAGAATGAAAAGGTAGTGGTTAGGGCACAATATGAGAAAGACAAAAAATAGCATCACTATGCAGGTGCATGTGTGAAGTCCACACCAAAGAAGTCCAGACCAAATATAAATAAGTCCTGAAGGAAATCGTTTGAAATAGAGAAGAGGGAGGCTGGATAATTAGGTTTCATCTTCATAAAAATAAAGTGAGTTGACGAAGTATTGCCTACGCCTATGCTCCTTAGGAAGCCGAAAGGAATAAAAAGAATAAAATCAAAAGAGTTTAGTACAGTAGGTTCCATCGAACCCAAGAGGTTCGAAATTCAGTCTCAGGGCTTCCGCGGAGGTCAAGACACACACCCGACTCGTATGATTCACGATCGGATTTTGTCAGTGTGGACGATACAACTACTAAGAAGGGTTTGGTGAATGCGCATATGAAAGTGGTGGGGTTCGGTACCTCCAAAAAGTTAAGAATCACTGTTTTAGAGTGTACTTTGTAGAAGGTGTCTACTTTTGGTCGTGTCTTAAGAAAAATTTCGATTATAGTCTATTACAATTTAAAATTATCAGGTTGAACAAAGTGTTATGAAAAAAGCAATAAAAATATATATATTCAGTACAATATACTAGTTTTCTTCTCTCTTAAAATTTTGGCAAAGAGTTTCGCTTTCCACCACCCGCACCGACAGTCTGCCAGTGTTTCTTCCAGGCATATTTTCGGGGGGGGGGGGGGAGGGGGGCTGAGTCTACTACACCCCCTCCCCACCCCGAACGAAATGAAATTTATATAGAAAATATATACTTTTAACAGTGTTCGCCCTCCCGGAAACTTTAGTTCGCCCCCCACCCCCCGGAGAAAAAAGTCTGGAAGACACACTGCAGTCTGCTATTTTACTGATCGGATAGCGATACAAGAATCCGTAATATTTATTTCTTTTTAATGCAGTGATGCAGGTAAGATGTAATGCAATCAAGTAAAAGTATCTCATCTCTCACATTGAAGTTAAGAGAATCTATAAGAATCATACAAAGAACTAGTCGCGTCTCCTCTTAGCAAAACTGGCTAGTGAAATCAATCGTACATTAAGCGTTAATACAATTGTTTCTTTTCTCGCCCCTAGCTACATCTCTGATCATATGGCGGGTGACACCATTTTGGGGGTGATACCAAATCGAAAAATCGCACGGTTAAAACAGTGCTTTATCCAGTCAAAATAATCATATAGGTGGTAAATGGGTGACACCAAAATAAAAATGCGTATTTATGGAGAAGTGGGGTGACACCCTCAGTTACCCCACCGAGTAAATTTGAATTCTTTTTTAAGTCTACGGATACATGCGCTAAAATTAAATATTATTCATATGCCATTTTTATTGTGCATATTATTTCATTATAAAATTATATAAATTATATATATATATATATATATATATATATATATATATATATATATATATATATATATATATATATATATATATATATATATATATAGGCTATATATATATATTAATATATAGGCTATATATATATATAGGCCTATATATATATATATATATATATATATATATATATTAATATATAGGCTATATATATATATTAATATATAGGCTACATATATATATATATATATATATATATATATATATATATATATATATATATATATATATATATATATATATATATATGATAGTAAATATGATAATATGACCTTTAACACATTTATATTTCTAAGTTCAAAACCTTGCCTCTATTTTATTAATCTATTAATGCTTACGCTAGTCTGTCGCCTCCGATTTCAAAAAAATTTTTCAGTATATGAAAGCCTAATCGCTTTAAAAACTACATTTATTTATGTTTAAGACGTAATATCAATTTCAGTTATGAAAATACATTGTTAGCGGAGCCTTGAGATTTTTCTTTTTAAATGCCGTAGTGGTTTTAATGGCTACGACGTGAAATTTGTTTCCTTTAAGGTGTGTTCACTTTTAAGGAGTGTTGTTTTAAGGAGTGTTGTTGTGACCATGTTGCAAAAATGTTGTATACTTATCCTCGTTGAAAAAGGCCTACACAGCGGTTAAATGGGCGGGGTTAATCTAAATCGCTTAGTTGGTTGTTGTTTGGGTCAAGTTATTATTTCA